ATTAACAGTAATTGCATCCGTCTGATGGGTTAGCATTTCCATCATCACACATTTCTGTTAAATTGGCTACTATTCCATCTCCACAAACTGAATCGCATGTTCCATCAATTTAAGCGTACCATCCATTATCTTCATCACATTAAAGACATCTTCCAAAATTGCAATCAATACAGTTAAGAGAACATTGATATTAACAATTAATACAATTCCTTTATTATTCAGAGCATTATTAGAGTAATGCAAGTGAATTTCCTTAACATATAGACCAACATTCATTATTATGAACTTCATATCCACTTTTACATTGATAACATTTTCCATTCAAACAAATATCGCATGCAAAATTACAAGCAAATTTACAATTATGGCAACCATCGAATGGGTTATTGTTCCCATCATCACAATCTTCTTCTTCTACTATTATTTAATCTCCACAAATTGGAAGACATGGTAAATTTATACCGTCGTCATAATATCCAGGCAAACATGAGCATTAATTTCTTTAAATACCTCTATGAAAATCTCTTACACAAGTAAGACAATTATATTAAGAATTACCAAAACAGTTTTCACAATACTTATTGCATGAAACACAGTTATTTCCTTATAAAAATGTAAATGGATTGCACAAACAAATTCCATTAATCAAATTAAATTAATTATTTATACATTAAGTACATTATTCTGCGCTTGTACATGTATTACATCCAGGCTAATTACAATTTTTGCAACTATAAGTTTCGGTCGATGAATTAAAATCTAAATATTAACTACTAACACAATTTGGGCCAGTATATCCTACATCCAAACATGCAGTTAAACTTGTACAGCTAGAACAAAGAGGAGGACACTAAATCATAATAATAATATACATAATGAATAACAATGAAGTAATCAGATATTGCACAAAATTCCTTTGTTATGTTTGTAGTAGTTACATCACAATTAAATTCAACATAAAGAGTGTTAGAAAAAAAGTTTGTTAAACTTACATTAAAGTAACGAGTGCTTTCAAGACCAGTACGACCAATTAAATTTGATCCTCCCCCAGGGTTATTAAAAGGTCCTTACTATCCAATGCTTGAAGAAGAGCCTATCTTATAATAAAATGATCCAGTGTAACCATCTCCATAAGTTAAATTAAAATATATTGATGCTGCATAATGAGGTTTTTAGATTGTCCATGTCTTGATATATGAGCCATCATTCCAAACCAATATTCCTCCTAAAACTAATTTATTATTTAAAAAAGAAAATTTTTATTTAGTAGATAAACTAAATGATGGATCTGTTGTAGAATCATAAAATTATTAAATCTCATCAATAGTCATATTTAAATCGTAAAATCCTTTGGCTAAATATCTAGAATCTAAAAATAATCAATAAATAATTTACAAGGAATAATATCTTCATAATCAATACAATTTGAAGAATGAATGGGGCAAGACTGAACGCATTTGTTTTTAAATAATTTATATGTTAAATCGCACTATATACAAGTAGAGAAGTCAGAACATACTAAACACTTTTCTTAACAAAATCCTGTGTCTACAGTAATGTTTCTTAATCCCCAGGATTCACTTTCTTATTGAAGTGATCCTTTAATCAAAAGAGATGGATTAGGATTAGTGATTTAAAATATCGTCTCAATCCTTAACAAAGTATAACTATCAGCACAATTAAGATTCTTCTCAAATATTTTTACTAAATTTTCAACCTAGAAGCCAGATGAGTCTTTTGCAATTTTAGATTTTATTTAACCATTATATTAGATTTAAATGTTGCTAGTATCTTAAAAGTTAAACAAATAAAATGTTATTCTAATCCTGATAAATTTAATAGCATTTTCTAGATTCATTTAGTATAGCATTCCTTCATTAAATTACAATTTTCCAATAAAACTAATTCCGTTACAATTTTCATAAATTAAATCAGTGTTTTTTGGATTAAATTCATCTTATTCAAACAATAGAGGAAGATATCTTTGATTTGATTGAGGAATGTCGTTATCTTCAAATAATGTAAATTTTGATAGTATTCGATTATCATTAACACATATTTTATCAAAGCGTGCAATTGAAAAATCTCTACTGCATTCTTGCCGACAACCTATATAAGTTTCAGAAAATTATTAATCGAGAATGCAAATACATTTCCCTCCTTATACACTTTAACTGTTAAAACAGGATAAACATTAATTCTCTTAAGGACCATTACAAGTCAAACAAGTTGGATGGCAAGTATTAACATAAATTAACAAATTTTTAATTCCTACTTCCATATCACTGGTTTTAGGGCGAAAACAAATTTTAATAGTAAATTTGTTAGTATTTGAATTAGCTATAGTACTTACAATTGTATAGAATTCAAAATCCCTCCAACTACTACGACATATTCTAGCACTGTTCTAAATTAAATCATCTTCTTCGTAATCTCTTCTATATAATTGCTAATCACTTTCTGAATCTTTATTACTATCATAACTAACTTTTAAGTATGAATCTTCATCACCATCAGCTTCATCATAAAAGACATCAAAAATTACTTGAGCTTGATAGCCCTTATAACTAAATGATTTGTATAAATATCGTCTATCTTCGTCCAACTTTACATATTATAGTGAATTCTCACTACAAGTTTAGTAATTAAATGAAGTTTCGTCAGAATCAGAACAGCCATCTTTAATTTTCCAATTGTTGCTTATCATTTGCATCTCTGTAAAACTCTAATCAATAAGTCTCCAATTAGCTACAACTAAACAAATAAGGAGTAGCAACTAAGCACAAGTAATAAAATAAAAAAACATTTAATGATGTTGTGATGTAATTGATGATGAAAATAAATATCATTAACATTACGTAATGAATTTTCAACCCATCAAATTTTAACAAATTTTAGCATTTAGATACTAAAATTATGCTCATTTATTCTATTAGAGTGGTTTGAACTGCTAAATTTTGTAGCCAATATTTATCAGTCTTGCAAAAATTGATGGATTGAAATAATAATATAAATATAGAATAAATGTTATCTATTTATATAAGTTATCAAGCCTTAAATATTTTCATTGTTTAATAAATATTCTGAAATAGATCATTTGATTTCCAGTTAAAATTTGATTATATTCAAATAGTATCAATAATTTTTATTTAGTTTTCTAAACAATACATAAATACAAAAAATGAATAAATACACTCGAATAATTTTTTATAGATGTACTTATTCTTAGATAAATAATCTAATTTTAAAAAATAAAAGATAAGAGTGAATACTATTTTCATTATTGAACATAAAAATTAGTAAAATTAAAAAATTCAAACAATTATAATCATAAACAAAAATTTGAGGTTAATGATTGGATTTTATTTAAGTTTATTTGGATTAATCTTATTTTAAGCACTCAAGTAGATGGAGACTAAATCATTTTACTCATTTTAATCATGAAAATTTATTATGTGAATAAATTTCTAAATATTAATTTTACTACTCCTTTAAAAAAATGAACCCATTTAATAGTGATTTAAATTAACTTGACTTTACGAATTTAAGTTAACAATAAATTATAAAGGGAACTCTTTCTTTTACAATAAATTCAATTCTTTTTTGGAATGTAAGGCTATACTATATTTAAGGTATAATTCTTTATAAGGATAAATATTTTATTCAATAGTGTTATTATTCTTAAGATCTTAAAGTAAATGAAAAACTTGTGTTATTCTTAAAGTATCATAATTGAAGTATCATAATTAATTGACTTCTGTTATTAGAGTTCTAAAATTCTTAATGTGTTAGAAATAAAAATGATATATTTAATTAATAATTAATCAATATAATAATATATATTAATTCATTTGTTGAATGAATTAATTAATAAATAACGCAATTTAAATAAATTTATATGAATTTTATAATTATTGATAGAGTATAAAGATTAACTTATTATAATAAATTATTACCTTTTATACATAAGACATAATTATGAAATTGATTTTTAGGCCTCATTGTTATAAGCTTTTTAAACAAAAAGGAAATACAATTAAAGTGGAAAATGTTAAGAAGGTAATATTTTAAAATGTTGTTAAGACTTCCTAAATCACTATTCCTAAGGTAATAGGCTCTGTGTGAGAAATTCGTTTTAAACTTCTTTTTCGAACTTTTTAAAGAGATAATAGGAATAGATAAGAGGAAGTGAGCCTTATAAAAAGTCTTTGAATTAATAATACAGGTATGAAGAGGTGAAAAAAAGGAAAAGGATTCTGTACTTTCTCCTAACTCTGGGTATTTTGGGGACAAAAAAAATCGATGGGTTAAGTTTAAAAGTTGTGGAAATGGTTTTAGATGGAGGTTCGAATATTTGATAAAACATGATCCCTCTATGATTATTTTAATTAATTGGAAAAATAGATAGATTAGAGGATGAAAATCGAGCTAATGATTCGATAAGGCGAAAGGAAGATTCCTGGAGCTATTACAAGCTAATAAAGATATTAAAAAAAGAAGAGAATTTTTTTAAAGTAAGAGAATGAGAGGAGGTGTAATTTTATTGACCTTTGGCACATGAATATGACTCATTTTCATTTAATATATAATCATATCCATTATTTATTGAATAAAATTATCTAAACTCAAAGGATTTATGTTTGTTATTTTTTTGAAGAAAAATAGAAAAATATCTGCACATCTGGAGAACGGAGATTTCTTGCTAATTTAATTTTGAAGTTGGAATCTATGAAGAAGTTTAGAACGAAATTTAGCATCCTTAAAATTAACTTAAGTACCATCTTTATATAAGTCAGCCTACAACTAAAACATTTTTAAATTAATAAGATTTGTTTAAGTAATCTGCTTGACTAATTTATAAAAGTACCCTAAACGAAAATAAAAAATTAATACCAAACTTATAAATGCATTTAGCTACAGAATGAATAATATTTCTCCTTTCGGTTAGATAACTCATCAACCAATATTTAATTTATTTTATAAAAATCTAAGTTTAAGAAGATGAGAACAGAAACTAAAGGGTTGAATGGTAAACATTTATTAAAATACAATTGTAAAGATGAATATGATGGAGTTTTTTTAAATGGTTAAAAACATGGTAAGGGTAAATATAAATGGGCTAATGGAGATTAATATTATGGAGATTGGAAAAATGATTATCGAGAAGGAAAGGGTCATATGAGATGGGATGATGGATGTGAATATTATGGAGATTGGCAAAATGACACTATAGAGGGAAAGGGCCAAATGAAATTTGATGATGGAGGAGAGTATTATGGAGATTGGAAAAATAATAATCGAGAAGGAAAGGGTCATATGAAATGGGATGATGGAAGTGAATATTATGGAGATTGGAAGAATGACATTAGAGAGGGAAAGGGTCAAATGAAATGGAATAATGGATGTGAATATTAAGGAGATTGGAGACAGAATAATCAAACTGGAAAAGGTCAAATGAAAGTGGCGGATGGATCTTCATATGATGGAGATTGGATAAATGGTTAAAAACATGGATTTGGAGTATATCAAGCAGCTAATGGTGAAAAATATTATGGTTAATGGGTATTTGACAAAAAAATTTGAATTCTATATTGCATATTTATAATCAAAATATTATTTATAAAGATATCATAAATTAAAATTTATATATTTTGACATGAAAAAAAAGTTCAATTTGCTACCTAACAATTGAAAATAGTGATTCCATGTGAAATTTCTGGAATGAAGGTAATTGAAGAGTTGAAATATTGAGTTGCATATAGTCTTATTAATTAAATAAAGCCAATAAACTTACGTTGCCAATAAATTTTGCTGCAAGTGGCAAGTATATCTATCAAAGTCTCCTCTACAAAATTTATTTAAATCAATGTAAATGTCAAATAAATGCTCAAAATTTTATTGCAAATCGAAAGAGAGATAAATAATTTTAATTATCTTACCTAATGTGCATTTGCCTTGTTTAGATTACTATATTCTTATTTATCTGTCTTACTCCTTCAAAATTTATTAGATATTTATCTGCAAATGATGCATTAAAATTTATTCATTTATCATTTCGATAAACAAAATAATAAAATTTTGTTTTTTTTTAATTTTTATGAGGGTGCTTTTTAAAGCTCCCCTTCCTACCTTTAAGTTTACCTTTCCAATTTCTAAACAGAGCTTCATAATCTTGTTGCTAACACCTTATCTTAGACAGGATCTGTTAGGACACATGAATAAAGATTTTAATTACTAATAGTTAACATTCACCTAACTTAGGACTCAAGATTGAAATGGAGAACAGCACTGCAACCTTTTAATGTTTTGCCTCTATAATTGGAAGAGGTATTAACTATCGAATGAGAAATAATCAAAATAAGTACAATAATATGTAAATCATGATACTATAAAAAGAAAGAAAGTTGAAATTTAATCAACCTAGATTGAATAATTGAGGAGTAGAAAAAATATTGATTTGGAACAAAGTGTTATAAAATTTCTGTTAATTCTAAGAACTTTCTCATATTAGACATATCAGATATTCTTAAAAGATACCTATGGATAATTTGTTTTAAGTCCTCATGATTAATATCAAAGAAATAAAAATGTATCTCAATATCTTAAGTTAAATAGCATAGAATATTTATGAATATATATAATTATTTAACAATAAAGAATTTTATTGATTAAAATATATAGACTGCCAAAAACCCATGAAAAAAAATTGAGGAGATGCTTTTGAAGCCTCAAAACCTCTACTAAATCTAATGAATTTTCTAATTTTATCAGCTATCTGGAAATCTGAAACCTTTTAAGAAAGAAGGATCCATTATTAACATTATAAAACTAGATGATTAAAATATAATTTAGTGTAGAAAAAATTAGAACTTACTAAAAAGCTAATCTAAAAATAAGACAATTCAAACTTTACAAAGTTTAAATAAAATAAAAAGGCAGTATCCTTTGATTTAATGAAACAAAAGACAAGTGCTTAACTTTTTAATTTGAATCTCGAGATTGAAATTTATTTTGAAATGATTATTCATTTGGGCTACCTATTCTTTATGAGAGCTCCTTTAAACAAAATACACTCAATTATTCCTTGTTAACAATAATCAGACCTATTCTGGTCCCTAGTAATTTTATAAAACTTTTTGAATCACATTATTTTCAGAATAATTTGAAAATAAATACTGATGAATTTTTTTTTCTTAATTTGGTTGATGTTTAATTAGGGAATATAAGTTTTATAAAATCAAAAATGATAAAATTTCTAATTTCTTAGACCTATCCATCATCTGGTTAAAGATAAAATTATTTGATATCCTAAAAAATGGTATGGATATAAGAGAAGCTATAAATTTATGAACCACTAAAGAAGCTTTAGATTAAAAATACTAGTGATAATTAGAAACTATATATTTACAGTCAAGCAATCAATTTATTCAAAAACACTAAAATATAAACTTAAGCAAAATTAACATGAATATAAATATTACAGTTATTATTTATTACAGAGAATATCAATAATTATATTCAAATAGAAAATACTATCAATAGATTTTATTTTAACTTAATGTAAGATTTTATCTAAGACCTTAAATTTATAGAATTTCAATATAAGAAAAATTATTGAATCCAAAATTAATTTACAAAAATTATCTAATTTAATGCAACAAAATATAATTCTCAAAATCAGATTGTTGAGACTCTTAAATTTTGGATTATTAGAGAGAGTATCAATTTAATTTTCAGTGAAATTATCTACTAACTGCACTCAGATAATTTAAATTAAATTTAATATATTTTCACTTAATAATTCATCGAAATTTATATAGAAAATTTTTGAACAAGTATTTGTTTAAGTAAGAAAGGATAGAAAATATGAAGGTATTCTTCATCTCATTTTGTTATAAAGTTCTCTAAGCCTCATATTTCTTCCTGCCATTTTTGAAGGTTTTTTAGAGTTTCCAAACATGGTACTCAAACACTCAGTGATGAAAGGATGAAGGAAAGAAAATTTTTCGTTATCTAATTTTTTAATAATTTTAATTTTTTGTGATCCAACCTAATTATCCACAAATATTTTTGCCTTCCCATTAAAATTTAGATTCCTAACTCTAAAAAATCTACTTAATCCCTATTAAGTAAGAGGATAAACAAATGGCAGATAGTTTCTTCTACTTTAGTTTATTACCCCTTTTATAGACCACAAAAAATTTTCCGTATTGGTCTCTTTAATCCCTAAGGTTAGTCTTAATTCTAAATAATCCACTAAATTATGGTCTGCGAATAGCTAAAGCATATAGGACAGATCTTCCTTCCCATATGACTCTTCCTAATGTTGAGGGCTCTTAGATCTTTACTATTTTGAATAATTATGTGTAGAATAATCAATAAACTTTACTTTTATTTTGGAATACCCAAAACTCAATCAAAATATAGGAATGTCTGAAATTCAATATTATTCAATTTGAAAAATCAAAAAGATATTTCATTATAATTAAAATATTGTAAGAAAAAGGTGGATTTTTTCATAATTTTACAGATATACTTATCCAGCAAAAACTTAAAAATTTTTTATAATAATTGATTTAGGTACAACTGTTTCTTTCAGGCCAAGATCATGAAAACTTTTTAAAATGTATTTTCCTTTAGTTTTTATCAGAATCAAAATTTTTATCTATAATCAAGACTACCAAAATTCTAAAAATCTTTATCTATATAAAACTTACCATTTTATAAAACGGAAGTGAGAGCTTAAAAAGGCGAATAAAAGTTTGTGATATGATAGCAAGCTTCCAAAATAAAATGTTAGTTTAGAATCTAATTTATAGAAATAGACTTTGAATTGAATATATGTATATTTCTTTAAAACTACTCTAATACATCATACTGTTTCGGTTTGTTTAAAGTTAATCGATTGAATTTTTATTTTTGCATTTATTTTTATGTTATTTTTTTTACCTAATTAGACTTTGCAGAAATCTCAAATATTTTTTAAGAATTGCTGGATGAATTAATGCAGTAAAAATAAGGTTAACTAATGAAGAGTAAAGATTTGGAGAGTGAATGTATTGAAATTGTAAGTGGCTATTGCTAAAAGTAGTTATAAAATGAATAAAATATGAGTTTAAATTTAAAAGTTGAAATTTATTTATGAATTATAATCAAAATACATACTTGAGTAAACTAGAAATATTTAAAATATAAAAAATTAAGACAGAAATGAGAATATTTATTTGTGAAAATAAACTTTTGTTTATAATATTATCAAAAACTTCTTCTATCTTATGTAAAAAGGTTTATTGATTATTCAATTTGTTCAGTGATCATATAATTTTATTGGCTTAATTTTGTATTTTTTTTAAAGTTAATTGATCTAGAATTTTATGATATAAATAATACGGTCTGTTGATAATCTAAGCTCTAGATATGCTCATTAAATATTTCTTTAATTTTTATTAATACATCTTTAATTTAGATTATTTAACTTCTTCCTATTTTAACAACTCAGAAACTGCTTAGAAAGATGATTTCATTCTTATTTTTTTCATAAGGGTTGCAAAAGAAGTTAAAAAAGGGATTTTATATTTTTTATAGTAAAATCTTAAAAGGAAATCAATAAATGGATAAGAAAGTATTACAAAAAGAAATATCAATATATATTAGAGGATGAGAGAACTCAGGTAATTGTTCTACTCTTCGCTAACATATTTAAAGGTTGCCAAAAATATAGAAATAGAGCAAATTTATCCACTTTACAAATCTAAATGATTTAATTTGGATATGATATAAGGTCTTTTTTTCACTGATAGCAATTAGTAACACAATAAACAAAGTCCTAAAAAAGATGCCTTTAACAAAATGTTGGTCTCAAAATAAGTTAAAATCAGTATCAAAACTGCTTTTTTTAATAATTTTATCTCTTCCCAATATTAGCATTATTTTTCATATTCATTAAATAAATAACATATATGGCCTCTAAGTTTGCTCTAATCCATTTTTTCTTTCTTCAATACTATCAATAGGAAGAGGGATAAAGGAATAAGTGCACCAAAAATCACCAATAATGGCACAATAAAATATGCCATCCACCAAAAATGACTATCTGTATTATACCTTAATGAAACATCTCCTTAAACATATTATTAGTTCGCTATTTCTCTTTAAGAGATTATGGAACCTAATCTAAGATATATTAATATTGAAAAATTACAATTTAATTAAACCTGAATAATTTATTATGTATAGACAGAGTAAAATATTGGAGACAACTCGAATTTTAAAATTGTCTTTTTAAAAGTAGCAGTAAACTTAAAATAATATAAGAATAATTAAAAATTGCCAACATATTAAAACAAGGATTACAAAGATCTTCAAATATAGAAGATGAATGACTGGTATATCTGATAAATAGCAATCTAAATTATTTGCCATAGAGTAAGAAGTATTGCTTGCTCTATCGATAAAGTTAAAAGAGAAAGAAAAATTGATATTAAAAGTAAAGATTAAGGAAAAAATCCAAAGGTAATTTATCATCATTTTAATAAAAATACTTTAAAAATCTAATATAAGGAAAACAGGATACCTTATGTTAATTTGAAAATGATTTAACTTTATCTTTCTTTTATTCTCAATAAAACAAATAGATCATTTGATTTATTGATACCGTCTAAAGTTAAAAAGACGGATAAAATAGCCCTAAAATTTACATTATTTATACCAAAGTGAATTCAATATAAATGGAGCTAAGCTATCTGAATTCCCAAAACATGGCCAGCATACTGAATTTTCTGATCCTTTTAAATATTTTCCTTTTCCTCTCACATTATATATATCACATTCTTCACACAAAGCTCCCAAATGCCCATTAAGGCAAAGTTGATCGCCAACTGTCCAACCACCTTAACAATTTTACTAATTCTTAAAACATTGCGTTGTATAATCAGATAAATAATGAGGTCTCCAATATCCTTCTTTTAAATTTAATTAATTAGATGTTATAGATAAGAATTTCTATTTATCAAATATTGAGCATTTTGTTTCATTGTAAGTTACTGAATAAAATCCTTAGCTAGATTAGCATAACTAACATCCATCATCAACATAAAATTCCCCCAATTAGCATTAATAATTGGTGGCTTTTATAATATATTATAATTATTTTGAATGATCTTAAATATGGCATAAAATTATTATTTATAAAAAGCTTTAACTTATAAGGCTTGTATTAAAATGAAATTATAATGATTTTAAATCAAAATTATTCAAATAAGCGTTGTATATTACTTCACCTATTTTACTACCATTTTCTCTATCATCATTTGATATAATTTGTTAAAATACATCACAAGTTGAATTAGCTTGATAAAAAATCTGCTCACTATAACTATTTTTAAAATATAAACTAAGATCATTAAATAATTTAATGGATTATGATTTTTTAGGGATTAAAATATTATAATCTCGAATCACTTAATTATTTGGTATTTTTAGATACTGACTTCTTACCTTTTACTCTTGTTCAATAGTTATGTATGGCTATAAATTAAGAACATTAATTTATTTATCTTTCAATATACTATTAGATGATAACATTTCGAGATAGTTGATACTTAAAGCTAAACTTGTTGGACTCTCTACAAGATTATTTCCAAATTTATTTGCTTAATTGAATATTAATATAGATTAAATAAAATTATTGCTATTTAAATTAGAGTTTTAATTCAAATATAATCCTCCTCCCATTAAAGCTTTATTATATATTATAGTAGATGATTTAATCAGAAAATTACTATCTTTCAAATCTAAATAAAGACCCCCACCTTGCTCACTAGCAGTATTATTCATTATTAAACAAGATTACAAAATAACTGAAGCTACTAAGGTTGAAATCGCTACACCTATACTACCGCTATTATTGAAAAAATTAGAATTCATTATTTTTATTTTGTTTGTCGTTGTGTTTTATTGAATCAAACTTAAACAACCATAATTTAGTATTGTGTTAGAGAAACAATCTAAATCATGTATTTTAAGCTATTTAATCTATTAAATATTAAAATAAATCAAGCCATTACTACAAAATGAACAATTATTTCTTTGTAATTTAATTAAATTAAAAAAATAACTATTATTTGCTTAAGCGCTTTTGATGTTAATTAATGGAGAGTTTTTTTCATATCTTTAAAAAGAACTTTACAATTTTTCAAAAGCCTAGAATCTTTCAATAAAGGATATTAACATTTTTATACAACTTTTTTTTACATTTAAAATTTTTGAAATTATACTCTATTCCAGGGAAGTTTAATAAACTTTGGCACCTGTAATACTTAATTATTAAATGAGTAGATTCTAATTTGTTTAAAGTGTTGTTTCAAAATGAAAGATACTCAATGAGTAAAATAGTTGAATTTATTATATTAAGCAATTTAATAATTTGATATTTGGAGCATTTGAGACTTTTAATATTGGTGATAAATACAACCCTTAAATTATTAGTCCTGTGATTTTAACTGAACAGCTTTCAAAAGAAATTATTGCATTGTCTTCAGTTACTATTCCTTCTATTTCGACAGCAGTTAATGGTTCAATTTTTGAAAAATAACTAATCCAATCTTTTTCATCTTAAATTATTGTTATATTTGACAGTCTTATTTAATTATATGATACTATCTTTTAAGAAAATGACACTTTCAAAATTGAATTAATTAACGATAAACAATTCTAAATGATACTATTTTAGATTGATATTGAATTTCGAATACTTGAAGGAATAATATTTAAAATTGATGGAGCTATTCTACTTAAAATTTATGAGAAATGAGAATTTCTTATTGAAAAATTTAAAAAACTATTTTAAGAATAAATGCTTATACATCCTGTAGTATTCGTAAGTGATGATAGATCATGAAAAGCTTAGAAAATTTATAGCTCTATAAGTTCAATAATACCATCTTACTCTGTAATTATTTCAAAAACAGAACTTTTAAATGCTCTTAAATATTTAAAGTTGCAATTCAAACATGTAAAATTAGATGTCGTTAATTAAGCTGCCCCACCAATAGTTTTTATAAATAAAGTTTATGAAATTATTTAATTAATTTCATCCTAATTGTAGTTTTCTTCTAATTGCAAATCAAAATATCTAACCCATAAGTTTTAAGTTAGAAAGTTATGATTTTCAACATTAAAATTGTTGAAATATATGGTATTAGAATTTATGTAAATAAATGAATTGGATGAATTTGTAAATGCATTATTTTTAGAAATATAATTATTTATTTCAACTATACAAGTTCTACAATTCATAAATATTAAGCTAGCATAAGATTTAAAAGAATTATCAGCAAAAGAATGGAATATATTTTCTAAATATTGAATATCTTTTATAGTAACAATTAATCGCCTATCAGAGTTAATTTTTAAGAGTGAAGTGAATTCAATTTAATTTAATAGAATCACTAGATTCCCTATAAACGAAATATCTTGTAATTAAACCAATATTTATCCTTTAATTAATTATTCATTATTAGAATTTATATCTATCATTGATTCATCAAGATTATATATATTCTAAATTCTGACCCCAATTATTTTAATTGAAAAAAAACCAATAATTTAAAAAAGTTTAGTTTATTGCTATATTATTTGCTGGCAATATTATATTAATGGAATTTTAATTGAATTTTAGAAATTTTCATAAATAACATTCTGAATATTAATTAAATTACTTTAATAAATGTAGAAAATAAATATGTTGATTACATTTTTCATTTAAACATCATTTAATAAAAGTTGAAAACATTTTAATTTGAATAAATAGTTTAATTGATCTGAACTATTCAAATCTTCAAGAAAAATATGATTTAGACTAAGTATTAAATTACTAGTTTCCAAATTCGATGAAATTTTCCAAATATTTGAATTGGTAAAAGTATTTTTTCTTGCTTAAAAGAAGCTTAGTGACTATGATAATTAATATAAAACCTAAGATTCAGAAGTAGAAATTAATGATGAATTTAAGAATTCGTTATTGTATATTAAAATATTTAACATAGTGAAATTGTGATTCAAATCAAAAGCTATAGAATTTTTTAGAAAATTTTCATAGAATTGAACGTCTATAATATTTTGATTCAAAGAAGATTAGCTATTCTAAAATTTTGATTAATAAAAATTATTTCCATTAATTTACATTTTTATAAAGTTCACAATTATTTTATTTGTAAAGTTTGATTTAAAAGAAAAGATAGTCGAATTAAATAAATTTGATTCTTCCAAAATGAAATTCTAAATAAAGATACTCCCTCTAGTAAGGATGATATTAAATAAATCCGAATAGTATAAAGTGCAATTACGTATTATTAATTAATCAATTGAAATATTACCGTTTATTGGGAAAATTTCAAAATTAAAGAAGGATGAATTATGAAACGTAGAATTAATAATTGCAACTTATTAGAATTATATATTTCCAAAAGTGTTAGTTTGAAATATTGATGATGTAGTGTTAATAAAACTATTAGCTAATTAAAAGTTTTGTAACATTAAATCAACTGGATTTTAATTGTTTTTCATTATGAAATTCACATTTTCATATCTTTAAAAAATGATACTAGTAATTTCGAATCTATCAAAATTATTAATCTAAATAGTATTTGTAGTTTAAAATTTCATTAATACTTCAGAAGTAAATTAAAAATATAGTTTTCTTAGAGAAAATATTTTCGATTTTAATGTGGTTTCAGCTAAAAACTTTTCCATAAAGCAAGATTAAACTGGGTTTTTTAGAAAATAGAACCTAACAATTATAGTATCTATGCCCATTTGATTACAATAGTTTGTGTTAATAGTGTCTTACCATTCATTTATCTCTTCGCAAAAATCATAATTAGAGATATGTAACAATTAAGGTGTACAATTTTTATCATCTAGACAATGCTTAGCTATTTAATCATATGGATCTAGATAGATTTTTGGATCTTTGATAGGTCTTAAACATTTTGATGTATAAATTCGGTTATTCTCTGTCAAAATAAATGAAGGTTGTAAACTCTAAAATTGAAAAAATTAATTATTACATAAATTTCTTCAGGTGAACGTTTTTAACATATTTCACACAACTAGGTACATTCAAAACACTTTCCTTCATCTTAGTTTCTTATGGGCTATTAGTATTGATTTAGAGGGCATTATAAACAAGAAAATCCAACAAAAGGAAACTCTTTACATTTCAAGCACTCAGAAGAACATGATTTTCGACACTCTTTAAATTCAGTTAATTAATATCCATCAATACAGTCAACTTTAAATTCTACGGTAAACTCAGATACATCGGAATGAGGATAATAGTAAGAATTAGGTAAAAATTTCATCATAAAAGATTATATTGTTTGCACCCATCCATCTTCTAATCTAAAATCACCTTCAATTGTAACTTTAGTAAAATTATCACCTTCTCTACTTAAATAACAACCTCCATTTATAACTGAGGCTGTATACCCAATTTAACAAATAATGCATTTTATAATAAATTAAGGTGATCTAATGCATTATAAACAATGGGCTTAATATTTTTCACAATTATTAATTTAAGGAGCAATACTAAAATCATTAATAGCAGCTAAAGTGCAAACTTCATCTCCATTAAAATTAAGAAATGATCTTAGACACAAGTTATCTGAGGGTTATTTTTATAAACATAATCCTAAATTGAAATCAAAAATATAATTATCCTCACATAATGCACAACCAACCTTAATTTCATCATCAAAATTGAAAATCTCAAAATTTTTGTATAAAGTACATTTGCTTAAATCCTTTTGATATTCAAAACAATATTTACAATGCTTTATTGGACAATTACTACAAATTTTTTTATGTGTTTAGTAATCTCCTTAAGAGCAAGAAGTTTTATTATAATTATCAAATATACATTAATTATTTATTAAAAAATAACCTAAATAGCATTTCAAGCAAATAGTTCCTTCTAAAGTAAAAATATAGAGCTAGCATTAAAATTTATAATTTTAGATTTCATATTTTGAAGCTGCAGAATTTTCAAATTCTTCGAAATACTAATCATCTAACAAAAAAGAACTTTCTGAATTGCAAAACTAACAAAAAATCAGATTTTCTCCATCAAATTTATATTGATAATAAAAATCATCCGTAATTTATTATGTATCTCCTTCAGCATTTAAATTTATTTCAACTAGACATAATGAATTTTAGCTCCAACTTTAGGGATTTTATAAACATTCTAAACATGAGATTAGATTATCTCTTAAAATTGAGGGACTAGAATAATGTTATATAAATTTACCATTTGATACAATCTCCTTAAAATTCAAAATATCCATATTAACAATTATTCTATATTTCATTTTCTTTATCGATTAAAGCTAATTAAATATTCTGATAAGTTTTGCAGATTTTTTCATCAATGGTGTTAAGTGGACAAATGCAAACTTTAAAATCAGTCAGATAGATTCTTTGTGATTCTATTGAACATGAAATACAATCAAATTTAGTTGGTCCATCACAAGTTTCACAACTGTAATGGCATTAATTTTGATCAACAGTTTGTTCACAATTATAAAAGACTAAATTTCTTGTTTAGACATTTAAATAATCATTTTGATTTTACTAGATGTTTCCATGTTATAATTTGTATCTTACACTATTAAATTATATCACATCAATTTAAGCTGAGAATTAAGTAACTTCATCACCTTTATAAGACTTTATCAAAACTTCAAAATTATTCCTGATAAGTTATATATTTAAAAAATGCCAAAAACCCACTAAATTGATTATATCAAATTTTTTTGTGATTAAAATTGGATTTTCCTCGAAATTTTCATTTATTTTTGGAAAAATATAACTATAAGTAGTTATAATTATTTCATTTCCAAGATGAGAAAGTTTATAAAGTAATTAAAATGGGGATAAATTAGGATTTGATAAGTAACCTTCATAATTAGATGTTAACTTGATTAATTGATAAACTAAAACATCTTATGTTGATACAACCTCCGTAATCTTAAACCATCCAGAAAAAGCAAAGCTATCACAATTAAGATTATTTGAAACAAAAATTATTTTATCTAATTATTTTAAATCTACATCAGTTATCTAAAAATTCTCACTGTTCTAACAGTTACAATCTTTATATGGTTAAAACTATTCCAAAGCTATCAATTCATAATCTAAATTTGGTGACTAATCTTAAAAACGAAATTTTGACAAAATTATTTTACCTGGAAAGTATGAAAATTAATCCCCAGATTTTATTGATTATATCAATGAGTTTTGTACTTACAATCCTCCACCAAAATTAAAAATTAATTTAGTATCTTAGAATGGATGTTTAATTTATAAACTTCTTTTTATGGTTGTTTTATCTAATTATATTATCATAAATTCAAATCTATTGATTCTAGGCCATTATTAAATTAAAAAGTAAAACCAAACATTTTCATACTCAAAATTATCTATTAAAAATTCAAAATGATGCTATTGTCCTTCATTGTCTATAAATTATAGAGTCTTATATATTTTATAAGATTCATAATGCAAATAATCATAATAAATTAAGTTCAAACTTTAAGTTTGTTAATCAACTACATTGTGAATGTGAAAACAATCACTATCAAATATACCAATCATACCAACTTGAGAAATATTACTCAAAGGATTATATTTTGACCATATCCCATATTCATATGAGAATTCATCCGATTCTCCGATTTAATTTAATTCAATTTTCTCTGATGAAAATTAATAAAAGGAATCCATTTACAACATCTCACAAGCCCTCCCTTTAAGCAAAACAACTAGATATGTTATAAAAGCTATCATATTAATTTAATAATAAAAGGATTTATCATAGATTAACTTTATATATAAAATTTAGATTTTATTATTATTTAAAATTGAGTTCAAATAAATTTAATTACCAAAAAGTACTAATTCTTTTTGTGAATTCATTTGGTAACTTCAAAGATTGCAATAGAAATAAAGTATAACTATCATTATTTATATTTCTAAGAATCACTAAAACTTATTTAATAAAAAAAGTTTATGAAAATTATTAAATATAATAAATATCATGAATTATTTTTTAATTAAACAGAAGATATTTTAAATCAAAAGACTATAACTTAAATTTTGGATGATGTCCTTAATTTGAGGATACATTTTTTATTAATGTATTCCAACAAAAACTTGAATATCCATCTAAAAACTTTACAAATTATATATATAACAATAATCAATTAAAGTAATTAAAATTTGAACAATTTAAATTAAACAACTTGTCTAAGGTTAAATTAAAAAATAATTAATTAGTTAAGAATATACAAGACTACCTGAAGGAAATTTTTAAGATAAATTATTATTTAATTATTTTCCAATAATTTATTAACATTATCAGTCTCACTTAAACTAAATTATATGGATAATAATAAAATTATTGCAAACAATCAATCAATAGACTAAGCTTAAATATTATATAAAATTATCTAATTGATTTAAAATTGGAAGAATTTTACTAATGAATAGAAATGAGCAATGTTAAACTTATCACTTCAGAGTAATAAAAATAGAATATTTAACTTTTTTTTAGTTTGGGATCTAAATGATTTTCATGATAATAATATTATTATCTAACTTTATTGAGCCTATTCGAAATAGTGGAGTTATCCAAAGAATAATTTATATATTTCTGGTATAAATATATGATTCATTTTGAATGTTTAAGAAATTATCTAATCCCTATATATATTTAATGTTATTTATGATATAAATCAAAATTTATAATTAAATCATTATTAATTAATATTAATTAAAAATAATATATGAAATAAAATAAATATAATTATTATTACATAACATTTTTTTTAGTTGTTAAATAAGAAAAACTAGACTGTTTATTCTGATTTGTTAATCGAAAATGATTTTGTATATCATTAGAATATCAATAAAAAAATAATATTCAAATATAAGTAGGGTTTTCAATTAAATCTCGACGATTAAAAAAAGTAGAATTTTTATAAAATTTTTTAATCTAAATATTAAATAATGTAAAAGCTTTAATATCAAAATAGATAAATTGAAAATTTTCAATATGTAGGAATGATATTATTTGAGTTTATTCTTAATAGGGNTAAATTTTGGATGATGTCCTTAATTTGAGGATACATTTTTTATTAATGTATTCCAACAAAAACTTGAATATCCATCTAAAAACTTTACAAATTATATATATAACAATAATCAATTAAAGTAATTAAAATTTGAACAATTTAAATTAAACAACTTGTCTAAGGTTAAATTAAAAAATAATTAATTAGTTAAGAATATACAAGACTACCTGAAGGAAATTTTTAAGATAAATTATTATTTAATTATTTTCCAATAATTTATTAACATTATCAGTCTCACTTAAACTAAATTATATGGATAATAATAAAATTATTGCAAACAATCAATCAATAGACTAAGCTTAAATATTATATAAAATTATCTAATTGATTTAAAATTGGAAGAATTTTACTAATGAATAGAAATGAGCAATGTTAAACTTATCACTTCAGAGTAATAAAAATAGAATATTTAACTTTTTTTTAGTTTGGGATCTAAATGATTTTCATGATAATAATATTATTATCTAACTTTATTGAGCCTATTCGAAATAGTGGAGTTATCCAAAGAATAATTTATATATTTCTGGTATAAATATATGATTCATTTTGAATGTTTAAGAAATTATCTAATCCCTATATATATTTAATGTTATTTATGATATAAATCAAAATTTATAATTAAATCATTATTAATTAATATTAATTAAAAATAATATATGAAATAAAATAAATATAATTATTATTACATAACATTTTTTTTAGTTGTTAAATAAGAAAAACTAGACTGTTTATTCTGATTTGTTAATCGAAAATGATTTTGTATATCATTAGAATATCAATAAAAAAATAATATTCAAATATAAGTAGGGTTTTCAATTAAATCTCGACGATTAAAAAAAGTAGAATTTTTATAAAATTTTTTAATCTAAATATTAAATAATGTAAAAGCTTTAATATCAAAATAGATAAATTGAAAATTTTCAATATGTAGGAATGATATTATTTGAGTTTATTCTTAATAGGGTACCAAAAGGTTTATTTAGTGAAAATGATGAAAAAATTAATCAGGAATATATAGAGATTATCGATTATCATTTTAGTTAAAAGAATTTAGAAAGATTCAATACAATAAAAAATAATATAAATAAATTAATAATAGTATTATTGTAAGCATAATTATACACATTTTATGTGATAAAATATAGAATAATTTAAGATTCTTATTATTTATATAAAAATATCACAATAAAAAACAAATTAAACTTTATAACAATATTTTATAAATAGATTTCATATTTATAAAGAATAATTTCAATATATAATTTACAAATAACTATATTAAACTTTTGATAATTATTGAAAAATATAAATATGATTCCAAAAAACACAGAGGTATCATAAAATTTGTGTTTTAAATGACTTGAAGCATTATAAAATTTAACAAAATAATCTTAAAATTGAAATATTCATTAAGAATTAAATGATAAAGAAAAGCTTAATTTTAAATTAGAGTCATATTTGTTATGATAATTATATAAAAATTATGGGTCTGGATCATGTTAAATAATACTATAAAAATTATTAAATTTGTTGCTCAAGATATGTGATATTTTATAAATTATCTTAAAATTTTTATAAATTTTCTTGTATATAAATATCTATGTATTTAATCTCTATTGATATATTAATTCATTTCAATTTTAGAAATTATTTTATATTCTCTTTGGTTTATAATAATATATAATTAAATAATCAATATTGCTACTATTTTAAACTAACGATTTCTGATTATAACATTGCAATCTATTAGAGTAGTTTTTTTTCTTTTTTTTTCTTTGATTCTAATACTTTTTTCATCCTTTCCAAAATTGCTTAAAATTATCGATTATTTCTTGAAATAATTGGAGTTCTCTTTTTATTTGATTTAGTTGATTTAGTTTATAGATCAGCATAATCTATAGATTTAGAAATGTATGTTGAATCATTAATTTTTCCAAATGCATTTGAAGTCAATTAAGTTGGCTAATTTGAATTGTGTATTCTAGGCTTATAATGAATAAAATATAAATACTTTCAGCTTGAATTTAAGAAATACTTATTTATATGAATCATAAAAAGATGTTGTAGGCTGTTTTTATATTTTAGAGATAGTGCAATACTATGATTTTGCTCTTGGTTTTGGTACTCTTTCTGATTCGATTGTTTTTTTTGACATCCAATCTGATAGTGTTTCATGCCTTTGTTTCAATACAAACTTGTGATCATCATCTGAATGCTTTAGTTGTGACTTTCCTTGTTTGTTTTTTTTCAGATTCAAATAACAATTATTTAGATTATACATTTTTTCCATTAAGAAAAATAGTTTAGCAATTATTCCATGATATAAACTTATTCAAATTCTAATCATTACAATTAATTACACTAAATTTCTAAACTCAAACCTATATAAAGAATAGTTAATAAAATAAATAAGCATTAGTATAAATAAATGAATATTATTCTTTAGAATATATGTTTCAATTGTAATTATATTTCTATATAAATTATAAAAAAAAGGAGTCTTTATAAAGATTTATATTTATTATCTATAATTTATAATCTTATTCTAATCTTAAAATATTTCAACATTACTTCATTATTTATTATAGAATTTACAAAGCTAATTTCAAATTTTATGTATTCCCATTCAAATAGCGAAATTGATCCTAATATGTTAACATCAACTCATGTCGAAACAGATGTTAATCAACAGTAAGAAAATTTGGAGGAAATTGAGAATTTAAGTTAAATCAAAAAAGAATTAGATGATTCATAACTTATAACCAATTTTGATTTGAATCTTTCCAATTTAGTTTTAAGAAGATGTATTTATAATTATTATTTTAAGGTTATGTATTTGAGGATCAAATCATTAAATATGATAAAATTTTAGAAAAAAATCCCACTTGTGTTGAAGCTTTAATTGAAAAAGGTAATATAAAATTAGATAATCTCTAGCCAAAAATTTAATTAGCCTTTAAAGATTTGAAGATGCCTTAGAATGTTGTAATTAGGCTATATCTATTGATAATGGCTATATCTAAGCATATTTTGAAAAAGGTATTTTTGATTTATTCATATAAGCTAAAATATTTTGTAAATAATAAAAAATGGAAGAAGCAATTAAAGCATATGAAGCACTTTTATCTAAAAATTCAAAGAATAATGATGCAATTCAAGAATTATGTAATTATAATTATATAAAATAAGCTTCACTTTAAAATTAAATTCAATAAATATAGAAAGCCCTCAAATATTATGACTAATTATTGGCTTTTGATAGAAAAAATAAATTTATCTATGTAGAGAAAGCCAAATTATTATAAAAATAAAACAAATTTGAATTGGCTCTTAAATGTTGTGATTAACTATTGAGTTTTGATCCTTATGAAAAGTATGCATATTTATAAAAAGGTATCTTTATAAATAATTGATAGCCTTATTATTATAATAAATTAATGAACCTTAATTAGCTATAGAATGTTATGAGAAAGTAATCGAAATTGACTCTACAAATAAATATGCTTATCTAGCAAAAGGTTTTAAATTATTTTAATATTAGTTAAATTGTTAATGGAGATAAAAAACTATGAAAAGGCTTTAAAATATTGTGATAAGATTTTAAATTTTGATCCAAAAGAAATTTATGCTCAAATATAAAAAGGTATCATTATATCTTATTTGAAAAAGCCAGAATTTTAGAATGTCTTCAAAGATATGATCAAGCTATAAAATGCTGGGATGAAATAATTAGTTAAGAATAAAATAAAGCTGAACCAAGTGTTGAAAAAGGTTTAATTTATTTTTAAGTTGTTTAGCTCGTGTATTAGTCAAACAAAATAAAAATAAGGAAGCCATAAAGTGTCTAGATATTATTCTATCAAGTAATAAGGCAAATAGAGATGCTAATATACAGAAAGGTATATAATTAATTATTATTTTTAGCATAAATCTTAATGTCGTAAGGGTCATTAGAATAAGCTATTTAATGTTGTTAATAAATTTTGACTCAAGATTCAGGATCAGAAAGAGCATGGCATTATTGTGGTAAGAAAATAAATTAAATTTTTAAGGGCAAGCTTTTAAATTCTTAAATTAATTGAATGAGTCCTTAAAATGTTATGAAGAGATATTGAAAACAAATAGCAATGATTGGTATTCTTAATACTAAGTAAAAGAATTGAAAGAGTAAATAAAAAAGCAAAAATTAATAAAAAATGATTGAGATTTATTTTATCTTATTCAAATTGATAGAATCATTCTTTATAAATCTAAGAATTACATAGTACTCACATAATACTTAGTTATATCTACAAAAATATTATTTTTAATGATTGTTAATTTATGAAATTAATTGAAGAAGTAGTTTACATAATATTATAGAGAAATTAAAAATAAATATTAAATTTAATTAATATATATATCATAAAATAATATTTTTTCTGTTTTCAAATTTTTCTATTAATTCTTTTGATTTCTAAATTGATTAATCTTAATCTTCATATTAATATACTCTAACTAATTAATATTATTAAAATTTACATTGACTATTTGTGAGATCTATTTTTAAGAGTTTAGTGATAGTTTTTAAATTTTATTCTTATTTATTTTCATTTTGAGTGTGAAATATTGTATAAAAATTACCATAGGCAACACAACCTTCAAAGTCTTAAACAGGTTAAAATGTTTTGCCACCAGAATTAACTATAGTAAGAATTTATTAAGGAGGTTCAAGTGAAAATAATTCATTTAATCTAAATATACCATTTTCCCAATCTAAAGTATATATTTCTCTCTTTCCCATTTTATAATCTTCAGTCAACGGTTTCTTGAGAAATTCTCCTGATAAAATTAATTAATTTCTCCCATAATATGGACAAGAAAAAAGAGGAGTACAAAGAACTTTTTTTTAATATTATTCTTCTGGCTTTTTTGAAAATTCAGGTTCAAAATATTTTTATATACTTCCTAATAGATTTTCTTCCTTACAAGAAAATATTTATATTTTATTTTATTATTCACAAAGATGATTAGGTATACCATTAGGATAATGAGATATACCTCCATAAAAGATTACTAATTTATCAAATATTGGGTCTTAATATACGAAAAAACTTCCATCAAATCTATTTTCTAATAGAATATCAAGTTTCTCCCATCTATTTTTTTTATATACATAGGGATTATTCAATAGTTCATTAATATTTTCCCCATCTACTACTTTTCTTTTCTAACCATAAAAGACATATATTTTTCTGGAATTGTAAAAATAAAAAATACCCATTATATCCTGTGCCCATAAAATTATAGCCTTCTAAAGGTAAATTTGGTAAAATCTCAATTAAAGCTTATTTTTTCTCATATGGATCACTTGGTATTTGAATTCTTATAAATTACGAACTCTATTTGTATCTATCTGTTGTATATACTCCTCCTATAATATATAATTAATGATCTTTTCCTTCACTAAATTCTTTTATACATAATTGTTGTTCTAAAATATCAATAGGATTTTAATTATAATCTAAATTGTATTCATGCCAAACATCATAATATACATAATATACAATTAACTATGTAGAAATTAATAGTTACAAGTGATTTTAATCTATTAGCTACTCCTGATATTTATTTTAATGCAAAAATGAAATCATTTTTTAAAGATTTATTTCCAAAAGATATTAATCTCATAGATTTATTAAATATATGTCTAATCTCCTTTTTTTTAAATTCTATTAATTTTTATAAATTTCTTATGAATATTTATCTTTCCTTTGATATTCTATATAATTTTCGATTGAGATATTGAGATAATTTCTCAATGGTTTAGGCTAAATCATCATTTATTTTTTTTTTTTAAGGTATTTATTCTTTATTTATAAGGAGATGCCTTTTCTAGATACCTAAAATAGCAGAAGTTCCTGGAATAGTTACTTTTTGGAAGGTTAAAGCTTTTTTATCATCTTTAACTTTAAATTTATAAACTGGATTGGAGTAGGATGCCTTATAAAAAAGTTCATTTGATTCAATATATTTATTGGGATTCATTCTTTTATATTATTCTTTAAATAATTTAAAAGCTTCCAAAGCATGATATAACTTATAATCTACACCAAATTCAGTAGTAATTATCTTTTTATTACATCCAGGACAAACAACAATACTATTGAATTTATACTATATTGAATACTTTTATGTTTTATCATATTTATTGCAATATTCTAACCAAAAGTTTAAATCGAAAATACATTTAAGTAAGGCAAAATCAGAATGTCTTACAGGTATATCAATAATTGATTTTGAAAATGAACATAAAATTGGTAATTGAACTTCTTCTCCCTACATTTTAGTTTGTATGAATAAATCAACATTATCACTAATATTCTTTGATTTCAATTCCAATTCATAAGAATTCATTATAGATAATTTATATTGATTATTTTTAATATTTGTTCTTTCAAATAATTATATATATATGATTGAGTTATTAGACATAAATTTAATCTTATTTGATGACTTAGAAAATGATTTTGATAATAAACTAATTGAATATTATATTTTTTAATGAAGTAAGGATATCTCTTTTTTCTGGTTGGTGTTTAATGTATTCTATACTAATTTAATGCTACAAATCAATATTTATTAGTTGAGAATGAAGTAGAGGAATGGAAATAAATGAAAATTTAGATATATGAACATAATGTAAAATAGATTGAGGCAATTGAAAATTATGAAAAATACTTACAACTTTATTATAAATTGAAATTAGGATCATATTATGAACTAGAAATAGTTATAATTCCTGAGAGTAATTTCAAAATTCAATAAATAAATTAAAAAGAATGTCCTAAACAATGTTCTAATAATGGAATTTGTATTAATACAAGTTGTCAATGTTATGAATTGTTTTTTGGGTATTATATTAAATTATTTATTGAATAGATCAAGATGCTAATTTGAAATAGAAAGCTATTATAACATTCAATAATATAATATTGAATTACATTAATTTGAAACTTCGTATTTATTATTGTAGTATCAATAATCAGATTTGATCAATGAACAAGGGTAATTTCTATTCATTAAGATAGAGATAGACAAAAAATATGATTTTGTAAAGTAATCATCGTATAGAAATTCAGCTTTATGTAGTTCTACCATATCAAAATATCTCAACAAGCATTCAAAATCAAAATATTCTATACAATTAGTCATTAAATGGATCTACTACAATAGATTTTTCATCATTTTATTAATCCTATAGCAGTTCTTCAATTAGTTATTCATTCTTTTTTATTTTTACAAATAACTATACAAATAACTAAAGATATTCAATAACTTTTGAATTGAAAAGCCAAGAGATCACATTTTAAGATTTTATTTTAGTAACTATTCTTAGTGTAGTTGCATTTATCATTTTATTAATTGTTATATTTATAGTAAGAAGGAGATGTTAATATATTTAAATAAGTAAATTAAAATATTCAATTGATAATTAACCAAAAATTGATATTGTTGGATAATTACCAATTGTTACACCTGCAAAAGATGAAGAATGTATAGTTTGTTTAGATTTATTGGAAAATTAGTAATGTAGATAAACATCTTGTAAACATATATTTCATGAATAATGTTTGAATGAATGGTTATAAAAATAATAAACTTGTCCATTATGTAGAGATAACTTATTTGAAGAAGAAGGAGCATAAATAATGAAAATTAGAAATTTAAGTTCCTCCTCTATAGTTGCTGGCTAATTTTCAATTATTTAAAGTGAAAGACAACCAATTTAATAAATTATACTTTCAAGATCAATGAATAATAGATTAGCTGCATTCTAATGAATCTTTTAATATAATTATATTAATTAGTTATTTTTTTCTGTTTATGGTTTAAAATTATAAAATAAAGGATTCTAAATTAATTTAGGTTTTATTGTTTTCAGTGATTCATTTAGAGCAATCACAACAACAAATTTTAATTATTTTTTTTTTGATTATAGAGAATTATTTTATAAATTATTTATTTATCAAAATTTGCTTAAATTTTAAATCATTAAATTCATTTGAGATTCAAGTATGTTCCTTAAGACTGTTACTTTCTCTAAGGTATTCATATTTTCATATTCTAATTAATTAATGCCACAAGACTCAATATACTAATGATCTAGTTGTCGTTTTTAAAAGTACTTTTTAATCTTTTTCCATTTTAAACTATGTTTTGGTTTTAAAGCTGATTTACTGATGTCTTAAAATTCTTTTATATTTAGTGTTTGAAATTGTTTTTTAAGATCTTCCCTTTGATTCTAATCTTTAATGATTAATGAAAGTTTAGATTCATTCTCTTTGAAAAATTTAATGGAGTTCTCATTAGTCTTATCTTCTAGAATCTCAAAACTATTATTATTCTTAATTTAATCACTTTTAATGGATTTGACAGCCAATAATTGTATAGTATTAGATCTAAAAATGATATAATTCATACGCATCATCTATTAAACAAATAGCAAAGTTTTAGATCACTTTAACAAGTTGATCTCTTTTTTCTTTTTTCCACATTCTACCCTCTTATTTGTAGACTCGATATATGGCCTTTATTGTCGAGAGATTATACCCTGTTAGATCTGATACCTTTTGGAATCATATTTATTTTACCTAAGAAGGACTCATTTTATTATTGACTAAAGCCTTTACAATCTAAATGCGTTCATTTCCTGGTATTGGTTTGTACTTAGTGTTTTGTTGAGTGTAGGTTTCTTGATTATTCATGTTTAAGATTTAATTAAAATTATTGTTCATGAACTTTCAGCGATTAATAATGACCAATAGTAATTAGACTTTATATAATTTATTAACAAAGTAAGTTTTTTTATGAATTAATGACATTCAAGAATCAAATAGAATCTTTACAATAGTTCAAAAGTAGTCGAAAACCTCAATTTTTTGAAAACTTTATACTTTTGTAAAATATAAATGATTAAATCATTAAGATTATATTTTATTATATAACTAATAAATTAAAAAAAAACTCTAAAAAAATAGTATTAATATTAAGATAATAGATTAAAACTATATTAAAATGATATACTGAATCAAAATTTTAAGGTGTTGTTTTATCCTGTCTCGCTGAAAATTACCAAATATATATTTAATATGACATATTTTAAAATATCTACAATCACTAATATAAATATCAAACTCCAGGTTTAATAATCCTTTGATAATGACAGAAATAGAAGTAATGATGGTTCAAATAATATTATTTCTATACTTTTCAAAATGTAACTACTAATCATTATCGTATTAATAATATTTTTTATCTACTTTTTAGGAATGCATAGAAAACAAAATTCTACTGGTAATAATACAAATAGGATTGTTCTGCAATTCAAAATGTTATTTTTATAATTTAGAGGTTTTAAATCACATTCCCTAGGTTCTTCTTCTGTTATAAAGTTTTATCTATACAAATGACTAATTGGAATAAAAGATCTATTCTATAAATTAAATTAATCCATAAATAACAACTTTATAGTACTATACATATGGAATACTCTTGGAATTTGGAATAATATGATAAAGTAATTTAAATATTAAGTAACTGTGTTTATCTTTAAGCAAAATAGTGTAAATATAGTCATTCGTAAAATTACATCTAATATCACATTTGCGAAAAGAAATTTTCGAATTAAGGATTTATTTTCTTTAAGAAACTACAAATAAAGGAAAGTAATGTTGATGGCTGTTTCTTAATGAAAGTTAAAATAACTATCTTTTCTCTTAGCTTCTCTAAAAAGTAATCGAGGATTCAATTTTGAAGGATTACTAGAATATATGTCATAATCGTAATATTATAGTTCGATGTTATGCATAGTTGTTGAAGTAAAATCACTTTAAGTATGTTCTGAAAGTGGTTGTAATAACTATAAATTAGAATCAAGCATCAAACCAGATTTACTATTATTTCTGAGCTAAGACCTCATATTTCTGTATATATAATAATATCCGATTTAATAACACAAAAATATCATCTTATTAGATTCATTGGATATCAAGCAAGCCAATAATTATTTACTTTAGAATCTAGAAAAAATAATATAAAGAAAGTTAATTTGATGTTAAATTAGATCCTCTAGAAATTGAAATAATTATATTTCTCATTTAAATATAATATAATCAAAAAAAGAATTAGAGATTATATGATTTGAATTCAATAGCATTATTTTCTCCTTTTTTTAATATTTCATGTTTTCTCCTATTTTTTTTTTAATATATAATTTGTGATTGTATTTTAGTTCAATATAGTTTAATTTATGCTTTTTTATTTTATTTTCAAGTATAAACCTCCTAATAAAAAGTAATCAATTTATATCGAAAAAAAGGATGGCTTATTATTTGAGAAGATCAAATTTAATTAAATAGTGTAAAAAAAAATTAAGTTAACAAGATAACAGTAAGGAATTTAACTCAAAATATAATAAATATAAGTTAGCTAAAAATTTAGAATAATTCCTTATTAATATATCTATTATTATATAATTATTAGTTAAATATAATATTTAATAATAGTATTAATACTATTATATAAATTGAAATTATTGTTGTATTAGAATCTTTAATAGATTATCATAGTATTTTCATACTTTCAAATATATCTAATAGTATTAAAATAATTATAAGAATGTAAAAATACTCTACTAATTAAATAGAATATAAACAAGTGATAAGATTAATTAAAAATACTAAATATTAGTTTTAATATGATGTATGAAAATTATTATCATATATTATTGCATATCTATGGATAGATTTCTTTGGAATTATTAGGCCTTTATAATTTATTTGGATTAGCTGAATAAGTCCAAAATTATGCTGGTGACTTTTATGAAATATCACCTATGCTTCCATCTACACAAAGTACTAACCAAGTTAGATTTGGTTCATTCTTAAGATTATTAACTTAAGGTAATTAATATCTAATAATGGGTCTTTCTTGTTCAGATGCATAAAGAGTTATGATAGGTTTAATTTCTTTGAAAATTGGATCATTATCAATAGTTGATGTATCAATAGAATGTCCTTATTATTTTTTAATATTTAATTCTTTTAATTTTGGATCTAATGGATCAAATGCAACAAAGAAAGTATATTTTCTTTCTGCTAATTAATTAACATAGATTGCTTGAGCATTTTCACTTCCATAGAATTTCATACCTCCACAATTTTCATTAAAGAAACCAACTGTACATTCTGTGTATGAAGCACCAAGTAATAAATCAAATTTATTATGTTTTGGTGTTTCCAATACAACAGTAAATTAACCTTTAATTGTAGATCTAGGTATCATTGTAACTTCTAAACTTTTGGTTTCTTAAGTGTTTTTGAATTTATTACAATATAAATAATATCCTTTTTTCTCAGCTCCAAAATAGTATTCTTTGACAACCATATTATATAAAACACTATCCTAATCTACAGTAACTAAAATAATGATAAATAAATATTATACTCAATCTTGATGGAATAGGTTTAATTCTTCCACAATCATCTTCATTTTTATAGAAATATAAAATGACATCATTTAATTATTATCCTGTTTCTATATCTACTATATTGACTTAAAGATTTGTAAATTTAAGATTATTAATATATTCTTTTTGATTTTAAGAGAATTTCTTTTCTTCATCATGTGTTCTATGTCTTTACCACAATAATCTAGTATTTTTAGCAGTTTCTATTTCATAAATATCAATTTATATCTTTTTCTCTCCTTCACTACAAATTTGAACATGATTTTATAAGATATTTTTGATTTCATCTTTATTACCTTATACTCCAAACATTCCATCTGTATTTTCATTTGCTTAAGGATATAGAATATTTTTAATCATTAATTTTGGAATGTATGATACATTAGGAGAATTAACATATTCAGTAACTACAACTTACATTTTTGGAGCCAATATAGTAACTCTAGAATTTCCTTTTAAATCTATGTCTTTATTATTATTTTATGATTTAAAAACAGTAATTAATGGTTCACATCCTGTTACATTTTCAATTCCTGTAGGATAGACAAGAGGAGCTTTATTTTGTTTAATTACTTTTTAGTTTTCAACAATTATATTATCCATTTAATGAGGTATTTTGGGTACAGAAAAAACTAATAAAAATGAAAAGATTAAAACTATTATTGCAATTAATACAAATATCCAATCTAAAGTTCTATTTGGTATTTATTAAGTTTTAACACTTGTATCTACTTATAATAAAGCCATTGATAAAGCAAATCCACTTATTACAAGTAATAATATTGAAAAACCAGCTTTGAATAAATTTTATGAAATTGAATCAGAAAATGCATTACAACAAGATATATTTAAACATTTCTAAGTTTAATCAGTTTCCCATGAAATAGCTTAATTTTGTGGTTCACATTACATTTTTTCTAAATATTTTTTACATTAAGCATTTTCTTATATCCAACTTTCATGAGTATTTCTCATTTATTATGTACATTCATTAATATATGTAGTTCTAACTTATTCACTTAATCTGATTACATGAAATGAACAAGCTGCAATCAAAAAGATTATTATAAGATTTGCATAACCTACTGTTTCAAAAAGATCATTTCTATATATAAATGTCAATAAAAAAGATATGAATGCTGTGATTATTGCTCCAACAGCTAAAATTTAAAAAATTGTAAATGCACGATTAGATGTCACAGGTGAATATGGAGTTGCTAAATCTGATAATACTTAATTTGAATAAAGTAGTGCAAATGAAGCTATAATGATAGTTGTTAAAGAAAAGACATAGATACATACTCTTAATTAATTCTTCTATTAAATTGTAATATAACTAGTAAATGCTACATACATTAACATTAAACTAATTATTATCATAATTGGTATTGCTATGTATAATCCATAAGTATAATAACTCATATATTATATAGGTGTTGTTTAACTATCATAATGTCTTGCTAAATAAAAATCTTTTCCTATCCTATACCAAAATACTATGAACACTAATAAAAAACAGTTAAATAAAATATTTAAGAATGATCCCAAAAATACTGCAATGGAGAATCTTTAATCCACATCCAAGACTTCATGTGATTATTAATGATCATCTTATGTTCTTACTGTAGTTGTATTAAACCAATAAAAAATGATACCCTAAATTCAAATTAACATATAATCTTACACATAATATCAGTGAGAATATTGCTGACATTAATAATAGCAACATTATAGTAAATGAATATTGATTGAAAAATATTAAGGAAATTATGATTAATCCAATTGCAAAAAGCAAAGTTAAAATAGTTAATCTGGTCGATAATTCTTAAATTAAAAATTATATTTATACTTTATTTAGCTAATAATTCTCTCTCAGACCATCCTTCGCTATATTTATGGCATTTTTAATTGATCACTTCCATATTAACTGTAAATTTTATATTATTATTTATATCAAAAATTAGCTACTAATTCTTTTATTTATATTAAAATAAAATATGAATATAAAATTAATATTTCTTTTCATACTTACCCTAATTATCCCTTTTCTACTCTCTCTTTAATTTTTTTTGGATCTGGTGGCATTAAACTGAATTTAGCCACTACACTCTTTGAAATTCTTCTGAATTCTTTATAAGTATCTTCATTTCCATGATGTAATTCAAAATTCTCCCAAGTCTTCCATAATCCAAAATCATCAAATCTTGGATCACTGAATTAAGATATATGTATATAGACTGCTCTTGCTCTATCTATTTCTCCAAATTTTCTTTCTAATTAAGCTAATCTTAATCCCATTTAAATTAATTCAGCTTCTTATAAATTCTCTATTGCACTTTCAAATACAGGTCTTGTTTTTGTTATTCCTAAATATAAAGCTACTTTTGCTATATAAATATTATAACTAAATTAATAATATTAAATTACGCTTCCATTTTATCTTAATATTCAACATTAAATACCATTCTATCATATATTTCAATAGCATGATTTAATAATCCATATTATTCCTCAAATTCTCCATACATTAAATAAAATATTCGATTTTTCTAATTTAATAATAAAAAATAATTACATCTTTGGGAACTTATTCAATTACAGTCTCAAACAGATTTCTTGTTCTTTCTATTTTTTGACCTCTATATCTTTAAATAAATTTAGTTATATAAACAATCCATAAATCATATAGAGCTGGCCAATCAAATAATTAAACTCCAGCCTCAAATACTTTAAATGATTCTTCATAAAATGCATTATCTTCTAAAAGTTAAGCATAATTTATAATAATAAATGGAGTCACAACTTTTAATTCAACCATACGTTTATAAGCTGCTCTTAATGATTTAAAATTTCCAAAATTTCTCTCTAAATCTAAATAAAGTTACCATAATTATAAAGAATAAGGAACCATTTCAGATGGTGTCATTTTATCTAATTTCTTTACATATCTTTTAAATAATCCTTATTTAATTACAGTAAGAGAATCATTAACAAATCCATCTAAAAGTAATGTTTCAACCCATTATGACCATAAATTTACATGTTCTTCAATATTTTTAAATTCAATTTTTGATCCTTTATGGAATATTTAATTACAAGTTTTCCAATCACCTTTATTTCTATAATAATTAGCATAAGCTATCCATATATCACTCAATTTTCCATTATCTGCTAAATTAGGTTCTACAATTTCAAGAGCTTCAGTAAATGTTTTCAAAGCCATTCTTTCATCTCCTTTTACTAATTCAATTCTTTTTAACCATTCTTCAACATTATATTTATTTTATCTTAATATACATGAATTTAATAATATGGGTCTTCTTTCTAAAAGTTCATCTAATCTATCCATTTTTAATAATAATTCATCTTCTATTTATACTTCATCATCTTATGATGATTTTATTTTTAATAATTAATCTAATTTAGTTGATAATATAGTATCATCAATATCATCTTAATTTTCATCATTTTCATCAAAATCTTCTAACATTTAAATTATTGTTTCCTCATATTTTACATATGCATTAAAAACCAAACTAAAATCTTTTACTGTTAACACATTATTAACTGCATCTTCAAATGTATCTCTAGCTTATTCAAATTAACCTGTTTTAATATAATAATCAGCCAATTTTATCCATAATTAACCAATCTCATCTGAATATTTCTTTATTCCAAATTTCATTATTGATGCTGCATCTATTGGTAAATCATTAGGATGTCTAGCAATTATTTCACATAAATATTTCATAAAATCATATTTTGTTTTACCACTTGAAGAATTAAATTAATCATCATTTAATATATCCACTAAAATTTAACATGCCTTTCCCCATAATTATTTTGATACTAAATAATCTAAATATTCTTCTTTATAATCTGGATTTATTTTTATATATCTATTATATATAGAAATTGCAGTTTTTATAGAATCTGTTTTTGATATCTAAAATTTAAATATAATTCATACCCATTAACAATATGCTTTCCAAATTCTATGATGTTGAGTTACTGGTAATGATTATAAGGCTCTATCATATACATTTCTAGTGTGTGTATATTTCTACAATGATGCACTATATTCTGCATACATCAACCAGATATTTGGCATTTTGTGCATATACACTAATGCTCTTTCAAAATATCCAATCATTTCCTCAAATTTATTTGATAAAAATGTGCTTCTACCTCCCAAATCTTCTAGTTATTCCTTCAAATAATTGAACCATAATTTATAACAATTTGGAATGTATTTAAAGGCTCTTTCATACAAATCGATTCTTGTTGCATAAGGTTTATCTCGATGTGCCTATAATACAATCCACCATGCTCTTAAAGTGAATCTTGAATATTATTCTTGTTGGGTATCAGGAGCAGCAAAAACAACTTCAAATTTTGAACTTCCTTTGACCTCCAACTATTCCAATTTATAGTGAAGCAATTGTGCATTCATTAATTTTTATAAAAATTCAATATTTTAATAAATATTACTTTCTCTCACTCATCATTATTATTATATGCAGTAATACAATCATCAATTTTTTTCAATAAATCTTAGAGATTCTTTTCATCAAAAAAAGGATTCAAAATATAAGATCTATATAAATCATAGATCTATTTTAATATATCCTTTGGTCTCTTTTCTTCTTTTGTACATATCATTATAATCTTATTTTCTGTCATACTCATGAATCCAAATATTTTTAATTCATTTAAAATTCCTATTTAACCCATAAAACCATTATTTGGAGATATTTGATATGCAAGCTCAATTAAATCACATTATGTATTGATAATCAACTCTATAAAAGCTTCATCAAAATTTTCATAATTCCTACAAATGATAGGAGCATTTTTTGAATCAAGCAAACAAATATATTTTATTGTATTTTTCATTGTATAATTATTATAATAATAATGATTTCATATACATTCAAAAAATTCATCTATAGATGATTTTAAGTATTTATGTTAAATTTGATTATAGTAAGTTTTTCATTTATATACATTAAGAATACGATAACCCCCATCGTTTGGCATTTAATTTATTTTTATAATTTAGATTTAGTTCAGATAGATATTATATATTAAATTATTAACTAAGAAAAATGTCTAGCAATTCTGATTCTTAAATGCCATTTAACAGTGAAGATTCAGAAATCAAACCTGAGAGTTCATCTTTCGTTAGTAAAAAGTCACAAAAAATCAAAAAGAAGGAACGAAAATAGAAATAACCTAATTGGAATCCTGGAAGACCTGGTAAACCCTAAATTTCACAATTACCTTTTGAACAAGATTTATTTATGTAAAGTAGTATGAAAAACATATGGTTTTGTACTGATATTTCTATGAAATGTTTGATATACCTATGTAAAAAAGGAAACATGATCCTAAAAATAAAAACAGGGAAACCAGCAGAATCAGTTAAGAAAGATTTCTTAAATCTTTTTGGAAAGACTAATATCAAATCCTATAAAAAATATAAGAAAGAATTTAAGAAAAAACTTAAGGTATTATTTATTCTATTCAACCAAGGAAAAAAACATTGCTATATTGAAACATTTAGGCTATTCAGAAAAAACAACCTATCTATTTTTATCTAATAATGAAGGAGATCAAATAGACCTAAAGTTAGAATGTGTTACAAATTCAACAAAATAAGGCCTCTTATCACTTATTAGATATTTATCTCCCTAATTTACATATACATATAAAGTAATTGTTGAATGTTTCTATTCTTGTTTGGCCTTAAGTTAAGAAGATAATTAAAATACAATTATTGATACTATTGTTGATAAATTAAAGTCAGATAAAGAGAATCATAAAATGATCTTTGATATGCAGTTAATTTAAGAACTCTTATTATATGATTTTGAACTTTTGAATTAAATTGTACTAAAATTTATTATATAATAGGAAAATGATCCTGAAAAAGCTAATTTATATCAAAGATCTAATATGAGTGTTAATGTTCCTAATTTTAACACTAATTTCTATAAAGACTAAGTTGAATCTATTGAATAATATTCAAATTGGATTAATACCTTTATTAGTGAATTTGTAGAGATTTTAAAATAATATTAATGAATTATGATATAAATTAATAGTTCATAAAAATAAATGATGAAAAATTAACTGCTCCATTAATCTGTTAGTATAATCATCTAACTTCATCAAGAATTGAAAGCAAATTCAACCATTTCTTCTTAATTAGCATAAACATTAATTGATACAGCTTAATAAATCGAAAGAGTTCAAAAATAAGAATAATAATAATTCAAATATGTAGATTACTCTAAAGATGAAAGTGTTTAAAAAACTATAAAAAATAAAAGGACCTCTAGTTAAATTATTGTTAAAGTCTAGAGTCCTTAATGCAAAGAGATATTTTCAAGAGAATGTTTATAAGAAGTATATATTATTGTTAATTAGTTAATATTACCATATCTAAATTTAAAAGATCTAATATCATTTAGATGTGTGAACTCAGTAATCTAAGAGTCAATAAAGCAATATGTCAAATAATATTTAGTCAAAGAAGAAAAATCATTAGCTCATCATCTCTTTTCATCTTATTACCTTGCATCATTAAAAGATTATTTATATTCATTCTTACCTAAAGCTAAATGGTTAGAATTTGATCATATTTAAGCAAAAAAGAATATCTCAAAATATTATAGAGATTTTGAAGTCTTAAAGAAAGTACGTTCAATACCATAATAATATGAATAAATATTTGATGTTTTATTGCTTATCTTTTAAGGATAAAGAAAAGTTAATATTTCTAGTTTTGAACAATTTAAAAAATTAAATCTTAAACAAACTTTAAAATATGAGAACATCATTTAAAATATTGATTTATTTAATCGAATTGATGAAAAAGTAGCTAAGAAATTCTCAATTGAATTACATAATACAATACTTCTATGTTAATCATTAATTTCATTATATTATTTAGAAAATATCTTCACAATTGGAAGTGCTGCATCTAGTGAATAACATCAATTTAATTAGATTTCATATTATTATAAATATCATTCAGATTTAATCAATTTTTGGAAAAAAGTTACTCATTAAGATTAAAAATTCCAACTATTCCTTAATTTTTCAACAAATAAAGTTAATTTAGAATCTCAAAATTTATCAGATAGTAAATGTTATACAGATAGAATAAACATATTAATACTTTGTTTGAGTTATTGTGATGATAATTCATTATTGCAATTTAGATTAATCAATAAATAATTTAAAATAGAATGTGAACTTTAATTAGAAGATAGATTAGTTTTTAGTATATAAGCTTTTGAATTTGCCAAACTTTATTAAAATAGGTAATTGTAATGTAGTAAACATCTATAAAATGAATTAGGATTCTTTAATCCTTTATTTGATATGGCCTATACATTTTTAATTGATAAACATTAAGAATTAGTTTAATTTAACAATTTTGAATATATCAAATAATGTGATGATGAATTTACTTTTTATATTAATACTGCCTATACCTAATTACACAATTTAAATAATCTTAGAAGTGTTTTAGCATAAAAATAATTATTAAGAATAACTAAAACTCATTTGAATCCTTTTAATAAAAAAAAATAATCTATTTAATTAGCAGCTCATGCCTTATAAAATCTTAGTACTCTTGTATAAAATAATCCAAAAATTTCTTATAATTTTCAAATACTTTATCCTCTATATTTGTATTTAAAACTATTCATTATTATTTAACATACAATATTACCAACATAATTTGATTCTAATGAAACTGTTGTGTATTTATATAATGAATGTATTAAATATTTAAATATTCTTTTTAAATTGGGTAAGTTATCAACATTAAATATGAGAAATATTATAAATCAATCTTTAGAATATTTTGATTAAAATTAAAAATAAGAAATAGCTTAAAGATTAAATTAATAATTTTTTTAAGTTTACACAAATTTTAAAAGTAGTCTTGATTCTAGAGAAAAGACTTTAGAAATATTAACAGAAATCACAGCCATCTTTGAAAGTATGAACATATTTTTAATTGAAAAAATTACAGAATATGATTTCTTATAATTTGATTCCATTTTTACTACCAAAATTTTAAATTACTTAACTTATACTGATTTAATAAACTTTGCTTGCACATCTTCATAATCAAAAAAATTATATATTACTCATCTATAATTAAGAATAGAAAATGAAGCTAATATCATTAGAACTTTTGAAAAATCAAATAAATAATCTCTTTAAAGTATATAAAAGTTGAGACCAAAACTTGGATTATAAAAGGATAAAGCTGTATAATTAGTTTAATAATTCACAATAAGTGATTTAAGTGAATTAAAAGCATTCAATCATCCAACATAAGCTTTTGAAATTTTCTGTAGGCCTTTATTAATTTTATTTGACCTTCCATAAAAGAGCAATACTAATTATTGGGCAACTTTAAAATCTTTTTTACTTTAATAAAATTCATGGTCATAAATTTCTGATTTCCCACCTGAGACTTTATCAAGGCAAAAAGTAAATTAAATTAAATAAATTTTAAAAAGCCCTAAATTTGATTTAGTTGTTTTAGCAAAACTTAGTTCACCTTTATTAAAATTTATAAATTGGCTTTAGGGTATAATTATTATTATAATTAGGCATTTTGATATTACATAGTTATTTAAGATAATATTGTTTGGGAGATAAGGAAGAAAATCTTTCAGAAGAGTAGTAATAACTATTTACAGTCTTAGATATTAAACAATGTATTTTATATAAAGCAATGAGATATATTAACTAAAATAAATGATTGAATAAATTTATTTTAAATTAATAAAATAATATAATAATATATTAGAAATTTAGAGATTGAATAATTAAATAATTTATATTATTTTTAAAACTGATTCAATTTTATGATATTATTGTTCATCATTTATTTCTCTAAAATTTTTATGCTTGATTGGTCTACTACTAAGTTTGTCTTTGCTATTAGTATGGTTATTATTATTATTAGGGTTGTTCTTGTGGTTATTATTATCCAGATGATGCAGTGCTTCTTGAAAATTGCTAAACAGGTTTGCTCTATTATACTTCATTTTAAGGTTTAGAGTTACTAAATCCACCAAAGTTTCTTTCAATTTATGTTTATGTTTATGGTTATGATTATTAAGTTACTTATTATATAGGTTATTATTATGATGATTATTATTATGATGTTTGAGAACTTCTTGCAAATTTATTTTCAAAAACTGGTTATTTTTCAGCTTATTGTGCTTTTAATTTTTTTTCCTTTTCTTCTTATTCTTTCTTTCTTGCTTCCTCCTCTCTTAATTTTTTTTCCTCATCTTATTTTAATAATTAATATGCTCTGTCTACTATTATTTTTTTGTATTTCTAAGTTAATTCTGATTTAAATTATTCAATCTTTTCTTAAAGTTCATTTTCCTTCTATTATCTTTTACCAGTCATAATTTCATCATGATATTTAAATGCATCAGTTAAGCTTTCTTTTAATTTTAGATTTGCTTAATATTATTATTCATGTTTTTTTTATGCTTCTTCAATATTATCTTCAGGCCAACTAGTTATAATCTTTGATTCCATAATAGCTCTTTCTCTTTCAATATAATCATTCTTTTTATAGGTTCTTAAATATTTGTCATCAGCTCCTTTCTTTGCTTCTTCTTCAAATTTCTTTTTGATATCCTATAATATTCCTGTATCTATATTTAACAAATGATAATCCTTTAATAATTCAATCTTTTTTCTTTCTCCATTGATTTCAAATGTAACATATTTACCTCCTTTTAATTTAATTATATCTTATAATAGCTTTTATCTAATTGCTAATTCTTTAGCCTTCTTTGCTTCCATCTCAGCTATTCTTTCTTATTCAAATTTCTTTCTTTCCTCATCTTATCTTCTTTACTCCTTCATTTCCTATATAACTTTTTGATTATCCTCCTCTACTTTCTTTTTAATAAGATCAGGATCTGCTAATCTATTCAAATTTTTTAAAGTCTATTATCTAGTTAAAATAACAAGATTGGAAGAATCAAGTTGTTTTTTTGCTTATTCAATTGGATCTTGAATTGCTCTTTAAGGTTACAAGTTTAATAATATTGTTGGCAATATTTATTGATCATTAGATATTTGATTTGAATTGAATGATACAATTTATGATTAGAAATCAACTTTGCAACTTATAAATTTATTTGAATTAGAATATATAAGAGTTTAGAATATTGTTTCTGAATTTGTAAATTTCAATAAGTCTTTTAATTGATCTAATTTAATAGTTCTATATATTCTAGAGATACTCTTTAATACTTATCCAACAAGATTTTCTTCAAGTAAAGGAATAAATAATTAATATTTTTCATTTTATCTCAATTCATTAAATACTTAATTTGCTTAATCTGAAACTGTTAATAAATCTTATTGATTTTCCAATAATAAATAAACCTTTTAAATTATTGGTTAAACAAATTTGACAGCATTCATCTCTCCTAAAATTTTTAATAAATCATCTCTTGTAGGTATTTTAGTTCCTTTTTCAAATAATGATGTTGTTTTATCTCTTTAATTGTAATCAGCAGATAATAAAGGTATAACTAAAACAGACAACACTAAATGAGATAATTTTTGATTAATTTCAGCATTCTTACTTTTAATTTCTTCTTATGTTTAAACTGGTTTCTTTTTAAATGCCAAATAATGATTATAATAAGCAAAAGCTTAAAATAAACTATTACCAGATTTCTAAAATATTTAAGATAGTAAATCATAATAGAGCATTAAATATGAAGCTTTGAAATTACCTCTTCTCATTGACTTAAGTACTTTAACAGTTTCTAAAGTTTTTGAAGCTTCTGATTGCATATCTAAAGCCATAGCTGTTTTAACAATATCAAAAATAGCATTCACATGTTTATCATTTGTAGCTGGTTTTGTTAAATCTACATGAGTTGGATTTCGTTTGATATCTAATTCTCTTTCATTTAAATCTAATACAAATCTACATTAAATTTATAAATAACCTATTTGTTTAATCACAAAACCATTAAAATTCAGCTTTACGTTTATATTTCAAACAAAATTCACTCACTTTCTTTAAAATTTCAAAATAAACATCTTCTAATTTCTCATTCCATTTAACATTCTCCATAACTGTTCTATATGTTTCCCACAATAATCTTAAACATGATTTTTATTGATCTTTCTATTACTTAGCTTCAGGATCAAATGATAGATATAATAATTCCTCAGCAGGCTCTTCATATGATAATTGTCCAACAAATGGTAATTTTTTAAGCTAAAAGTATTAAAATATTTAATACTTCTTCTACATCATATTATTTAACTTTGTCACTAAAAATCTTCTCTACTTTAATTAAATATTCTTTCAAAATGTCAGAAAAAGCATCCAAGTGATTGTGTTATGTCATTTGTCTATAAGCTTTAAACACTTCCTTTAATTAATTCTATTCATCAGGTTAATTGACTCCAACAAATAATCTTAAATCAATATAAGCTTGCTGAAGAATTCTTTAATAAATTTACCATCAATTTATAAAGATATTATATATTGCTTGCCACACTCACATCTCCTTAATCTTAATAGGAATTTGTAGTTTTTCTGGTTCGTTACCCAAAACTTGATAAATATCGAAATAGAATCAATAAAGCATCATTATTCTTTCCTTCTTTAACGTAATCTAAATTTATTCATGGATTTAATGTACCATCATAAATTTTATAAGCTTATTCTGGTCTTAAGGTTAAATAATTGATAGATGCCATAATTTAAAATTATTAATATTTATAATAGAAAATTCAAATAAACAAAAATATATTATTTTGCAACATAATTTTAGATCAATTTGTTTATCATCATGTATTGATTCTAAAATTTAATATATATATCATCTATTAACAATTAATAAAGGATCTGAAATTATTAATAAAAGTATTATAATCAATTGCATAATTATTTCATATAGTTTTCCCATTCTGTATTTGGCACTCCTTTTTTTATTATGTCATCATATAATGAGCTAATCATCATTGAATGTATTTTATTATTTTCTGGCACTTAACTTTTAATTTTGATTACTAAATCATAGAATTCCCTTTTCGAAGTATTATTCTAAGATTATTCTTAAACTAGAGATTTTAAATAACAAGCTTTGACTAATTTCTTAACTTCTGGATCTTCAAATTATTTAGATAGTTATCTTAATAATTTAAAAGTTTCCATATTATCAGAATTATTCAAGATTTCTTAAGCATAATGAGTTATTCTTTAATACTGGTCATTCTAAGATAATTATTAAATCAAAGTGGAGATTTTATTATTTAAAGCATTCAATGTTTTATTTGAAGGAATAGTACTATCATCTGATTCACAAGAGTTATTACTTAATTATTATTATTATTATAATTGTTATGAAGGAAATGATCTTTATTTTTAATAGCAATCATAAGAATGACCTTAGAAAGTATTCGCTCTTATGGGACCTCTTTATAATTTTTCTGACATAGTTTTTGAATATTATATATCTCTCTTTTCATTTGATTTAAAACTCATTTTCTCTAAAAACTCTCCTACTAATTTAATTATCATCTAAACTTCATTTGATATAGATTCAACTTCATCAACAATTTATAATAATTCTTAATATTCATTGTTGATTATCTATAAATCATTTTTAATGATTTTCTTTATAGAATTATCTTTACTAGTTAGCATTTAAGAATAATTTTCTAATGAATTAATCACCTTTTTTTTTAATTATCTGGCATGTTTTACAACATCTTCATCATTGTCTTTTTCTCTGATAGCTTCTTAAGATTGTAAAATCATTAACTATTAATTTATTAGTTCATCATCTAGATGATCTTCCTTTAAAGGTATTGCTGAAATATCAAGTAACATAGTCTTTTCATTAGACTGAATTCCTGAAATGTCCAAAAATCCTTACATGTTCAAAATATTGATGAGATTAAAAAGAAATAATTTATTATATTATTTTATTGTAATAAAACGGAATAATGATTCACAAATAAACTTGTAAACCTTTAGTTAATTATATGTTATCAATCATTTTTAATGAATTTATAATTGAAATACAATCATTTAATTTTATCATTGAATATCATGTAATTCCAATCAAAGAATAAATGAAATCACTTAATAAATATCCTAATCTACACTTATTTAAATTGTATACATTTATATATATAATGAATTCTCACCCTATTTATTATATTAATTTGATTTTAAATTATATTTAATTAATATATATATATATAATGACTGAAGAATTAGGGACTCTTTATCCAACTTTGGAATCTAATTGTGAAGATTTGGTTTTGAGTTCTAAAAAGTTATTTTAAGCTTAATAAGGTAAAGGAGTACCAGAATTTTATGAAACATTGAAACTTAAAATAAACACAAAAGTAAATTATGAATACTCAAATGTTACTAAAAGTAATGAGTTAGCTGATTCTTTGCATTAGGAATTTGAGAATATACAAACTGAAATAAAAGATTAGAAAAAACCAGAAAATAAAAGATAAATAGATAAAATAATAGAAGATTATTAAAAAGATAAGTAGAAGGAAACTAAATTATCAAAATTACCTCAATAATTTTTAAAATTTGATGAAAAAACATCAGCCACTTAAACTAATAATACTTATATTCAAAATGATAAATAAATAGCTTAAAATAAATCATTAGTTGCTGTAAATCCAAATGAACATTAATTATCTGTAATTGAACCAGCCAGATTAGGAACAGTAATGGTTTAAAAAATAAAGAAAATAATAAAACCAGAATGGCATGCACCTTGGAAATTAATGAGAGTTATAAGTGGACATCATGGATGGGTAAGATGTATAGCTGTTGATCCTGGAAATTAATTTTTTGTTACAGGTTCAAGTGATCGAACTATTAAGTTTTGGGATTTGGCAACAGGAAATTTAAAATTAACTTTTACAGGTCATATTTCAACAATAAGATCCGTTATAGTAAGTGCCAGACATCCATATTTATTTAGTTGTGCAGAAGATAAAACAGTGAAATGTTGGGATTTAGAATAAAATAAAATGATTAGAGATTATCATGGTCATTTGTCAGGAGTATATAGTTTAGCATTGCATCCTACATTAGATGTATTAGTAAGTGGTGGTAGAGATTCAGTATGTAGAGTATGGGATATAAGAGCTAGACAATAAATACATGTTTTAGAAGGACACACAAATACTATTGATTCAATAATTTGTTAAGAATTTGAACCTTAGATAGTAAGTGGATCTTAAGATTCTATGATTAAATTATGGGACATGACTTCTGGAAAATGCATATCTACTTTAACTAATCATAAGAAATCAGTAAGAGCTATGGCTTTTCATCCATTAGAATATACATTTTGTTCAGCAGCTTCTGATAATCTAAAAGTTTGGAAATGTCCTGAAGGTACATTTTTAAGGAATATATCTGGTCATAATGCTATGATCAATTCTATAGCTATTAATAGAAATAATGTATTGGCAAGTGCTGCAGACAATGGATCATTATATTTCTGGGATTGGAAATCAGGATATAATTTCTAATAGATTAATACTATCGCTTAGCCTGGTTCTATTGCTGCAGAAAATGGTATATTTTGTTGTACATTTGATCAAAGTTAAATGAGGTAATATTTAAATATATTTTAGATTTTTAACTGGAGAATGTGATAAATCTATAAAGATGTATAAGGAAGATGAAACAGCCACTCCAGAAACCCATCCAATTGATGATATAAGAATTGAATATGCAAATCAAAATTATTGATAATTGTTTATATTACAATTAATAAATATATCATTTAGGAAGAATTTAGTTTACTTTTGGTATTCTAAAAGTTTTACCTCTGTATTTATTTCTTTTACTCATAGTCAAAATTTAAGATCTATTATTATCATCCTTAAATCGTCTTTATGTAAATAAATTCACTAATTATAATTTAACATATTTATATTTTTCTAAATACATTTAGGGATACATTAAATATTTAACCAATTATTTCCTAAGCTCTACTAAATTAGGTTAGAGTTTTCCTTGTTGATAATAAAATTCTTCTTTTTCAAGAATTTCAGAAAAGTTATTCTAAGGCTGGTAATATTGAAATTCTTTACATGTATCCATCTATTAAAATAATGATTTATTAATAAAATATTCCTCTTACAAAGATATTAACATTTTAATTTTAATAGATAACAAGAATGCATTCTAAACATCAACATCTTTCAAAATTTCCTTTTTTCCTTAATCAATTTAATTGATTCTAATCATTACTTTTTCTAATATTAATCTTAAGTATTAAGTTTATTATTGAATATTTAGGAATTTATTCAACAAAGATTTTTTACCAGATTTCTTTTTCTTCATAGCATTAAGTTTAATAACCAATTATACAATTTTTCTAAATTTTTACAACACTTAAATTTATCTAAATCTACTAAATTCAATAGTACAAGATGGTCTCAAACGTCTTGAATTAGTATTTTAAGTACTTGATTTAGCTTCAGGTTATTTTACTTATAGTATATTTGATTTTCTTCTTTTTATTCCTCTTGCTATAGGTATAATTTTTAATTTGTTGTCTTCAGCTTCTATTTCATCAATTTTACTTGTTCTGATATCTTGATTATTAAATCTTGCTGTTGGTCTATGATATTAAATTGGAGATTAAGTTAAATCTGATTATGTACCTATAACAGCAATTTTATTAATTTATGAACTTTTAGGTTCTTCCTCTTCTTCAGGAGGTTCATCATAAAATTCAGTCCATTTAGAATTACAACTGCTATAAGATTGAGCAATATCTGAGATTTCTTCTTAATCAATCAATGCATGGAATTGATTAATGAATCTTTTTACATTCCTTTTAAAATGTTATCTATCATGATTTTTAGTAAATAAATGTTTTTTAATTATGAATTCTCTATCACTTACATAATGTAAAAGTGGACAATTCATAACTCTATGAGTTGAAGATTAACATGAAAAACATTTCATTTGTTTAATATAATCTTAATTAAATAGAAGTCCATCATGAATATTTCTAAATCTTTCATAATCTTCTGGATAATCAGGTAATATTCTTAAAAAATCATCTCGAGATAATAATAACAATTTAGTAAAACCTATACTTCTAAATTTCTCTATTGATTTTTAACCACTAATAAAACTATAAATTCCCAAACTACTACCTTTACCTACTTTACTTATTACAGAAACTTATTAATGTGAATAAATTGAATCTTTTTAATCATTTTAAATTAAAATCTAAACTTCTCCATGTTCTATAAAACACATAAAGATTTAACCACTAGGAAGATTTGGAAATATTTAATCAAATTCAACTATATTTTCAGGTTAAATAACTGTTTATTTAATTTATCTCACTAATTTATTCTTTAATTAATCACTAAAATGATTTTAAAATAAAGGACATTCATTTAAAATAATAGAATTAGCTTGTAACATTAATTATTCTCTAAGATTTTAAGATAATTAATTAATAATATTTTATTCATCTTAAGATTCTACTTAACTTTGTGATTACCAATAATAATTTAAATATTCTCTAATTTAATATTGTAATTCATATCCAATCTTTTTATTTTGCATATAAGTATTTATTGTATGAACCTTTTTCATTTTCTCTTATTCATAAGCTGATATTTGATCTAAGATGGTGCCTACTGTACTTACACTATAACTCAATTGAATGCTACAAAACATCATATAGAATATAGATATAATTCTCTCTATATAACTTACTGGTGTAATATCTCCATATCCTATTGTGAACATTGTCACTGTAGAATAATAGAATGAAAATAAATACTACACAGCAAAAGTTTCATGTTCTATATGGTATAGTTCTAACCAACTTCCTTAGACTGAATGGTTGTGACTATATTCTCCAACCTAAATTATATAGTTATCCTTATTACTTACAAAAAACCACAAGCAAGAGTAACAATGCAAAACGAAAAACAATACTAATATCAATTTTAATAACTCTAACATAGATGAAACTGGCTTAGATAAATTCAATACTTCTTCTATTTAGGCAATTAATTTAGGAATATTTCTACTTTAAACATAAAATAATGCTATAAAAACATCAGCCCAATTATCTAATACATTTATAGTATTTGAATCTGAATTAAATAGGTAGATAGTCAGAATTAAAAGAGATATAGATTCTAAACCATAACTTTTTGTTATTACATGTTTAGCTATTATTGCTCTCTAATTAGCTATTTAACCAAATTAATAAAATGAATTGTTAAAACTTATAAGATAATCTAATAATAAAATTATGAGTGCTAAAATTGAAACTGGATATAACTTACCATAAATTACTGGAATTTCTGTCCATCCCAAATCTATTGGAATTAAATACATAAAATATAATCTTGAAAATGCTACAAAACAATCCCAAATTAATTTCCATCTTGATTCAGGAGATATTAAAGGAATTTTTTATAAATATTGTTCAACCCTTTTAAAAATATCCTGAATGTTTTATTTTTATCTAATTAAATAACTTTTCATTTATTATGTTAATGAAGGTTTAGATAGATTCTCAGACTAATTTTATCTTCTTAAACCTCTATGAATTGGTTTAAAATGTAAACTGCTTTCCTTAAATAACTTTAAATCAAAGGAAGAGCCTTTATCATTTATTAAATCATATTAATATTGACTAAATTTTGTGTTTATTCTTTTTCGTTCACTTATTCTTCTAATAAACTTTATTATATTCCAAGATTAAAATAATGTTAATTAATGCTATGATTCATCCTTTTATTATCTAGCAGATGCTTATAAAATTAATCGTGCATCTGGACTATCAATACTTATTCTCTAACTTCTCATTTCTTCATTTGATAACTAAATTGGCTCTAATTATTTTTAACCATTCTATTATGAAATTGAATAATAAGCATCAGATAGAGAATTATTTACAAAATGATGAATTTCACCTATCTGTTCATCAGTAATCATGAATTACTATACTTTATGTGACTATTAAGTATCAATTTGAGTTTGTAATTGCATATAATTTATATTATAATTGTCAAATTATCTATTGCTAAAATTAAAATTATTTTGAAAAAGGCACATTAAAGTTAATTAATTATTAGATAATTAGGAATGATAATAATAATATTTGATTTATATTAATTTATATTATATTACCTTTTTAATTATCATATAATTCTTAATTGTCCATAATTAGATATAATAAAACCCAAAAAAATAAACATATTAATTTATTATTTATTTACTCTTGATTGTCTATATTCAAATTATAAAGTTATTTTAATTTATTTAACCAATCATTGATAATTAATAATTCTTTTTTTAAATTAAATTATTATATATAATTTAGTATTATATAAATGATAGGAGAATATTAAAAAATAAGATATCAATGTTTAATGGATTTTGATCCATTAGTTCTTTATCCATTTTCTAATTAGTATCTTTTCTCTTCTTTTCTTCCACCATTATCAATTGTTTCAACTACTTCTGTTGTTCCATCAGCCTTTGTTGTTGTCTTTCTTGTAACTGTGACTTTACGACCATTTCTAAGTTATTAATTATTTATTTATACTAAATTGTCGTTGAAGTAGAAATTGAAGTTGATCCTCCAAATCCACCACCAAAGTTAGAAGATGAAAATGATTAAAATGAACCACCTCCCATACCCATGAAGTCATCATCATCAAAACCACCAAACCCTCCAAATCCACCAAATCCAAATGGACTTCTTTAAGAATTGTTACTATTTTTTTTGCTGCCTTTTCTACCAAAGAAAAACCCTAGTTCATCATCATCCATTCCAAAATTTTAAAAGAAACTCTCAAATTATTTAAAAGGATCAAATCCATCCCCAAAACCACCAAAACCACGGAATCCTTAAAATGAACTAGCACCACCGCCACCATTCTTTAAACTAATTATATAAGATTAGATTAGTACCCTTCATGACCATATCTATCATAAATAGCTCTTTTATCTTTATCAGATAATACAGAATAGGCTTCTCCAATTTTTTTAAACTTTTCTTAGGCTTCTTATTTATTATTAGGGTTTTTATCCTAAAATTATTATTCAATAATCATACTGGATGCCACTTAATTGCCAATTTTCTATAAGCCTTTTTAATTTCATCATCAGAGGCTGTTTTGCTTACTCCTAAAATCTCATAATAGTCTTGTTCTTTATTTGACATACTTATATATTTATAGATTATTATATTTATTTAGACCCAGAGAGGAAGTTAAATATTCAAAGAAAATTCTAGAACTTTATATATATATATTAATTATATATCATAAATTCTGATAAGTTCTATATACATCATATGTTGCAAATATAATTACCTAACATTGTTATTAGTTCAAATCATAAAAATATTAATTGATATGTATTATTATTTTCATTTTCAACTATTTTTCTATAAGTCAAATAGAAAGTAGGTATGCATCATAAAAGATAAAATCTTATTGTCTATCTTATTAAATAAAAGGTTGGACATCATAATAATGTAGTAAGAAATAAGAATTGATAGAATATGAAAAGAGTTTATAAAATAATTATTTAATATATAAATATTTATGTTGACTAAATTGCTATAGAAATCAAGATAAGCACGATTTTGTGGTAAGTAAAAGAGATGAATATTTAGTTTATATAAAGAATTCTGTAAATTATCATGTTGCAAATTCTTAAGATCCAAATAGTAAATTTGCCACTCCTTAATTCAATTCAAGCATTCTTGATTTTGATAAAGATTAGGAGAATAATGTTCAAATGCACTACTATCAAGGTATGTTAGTAGTGTGAGATTGTTTAGGAAAATTCATGCCAGATGAATTGGATTGGACAGATGTTTGGGAAACAGCATATTAAAATTTTACACAACCAGAATACCTTTATCATTTTTGGTTTTGTGGTGTTCTTTATTGTTTCGAGCCTGAATGGACCATCAATTATCCATATGAAAAAGGTCCTCTTTCTCCATTGTTTAGAGGAGAACATGCATTAAGAAGATATCCAACAGGAGAGGAAAGGTATATTATAGAAATTTGAAATTTTAGATGTATAGCATGTAAATTATGCTAAAGTGCTTGTCCTGCTAGAGCTATTACAATAGAAACAGAACCAAGACCTGATAATTCAAGGTATTTTCATTGAATAAAGTATTAGACGTACAGTGAGATATGATATTGATATGACTAAGTGTATTTATTGTGGATTTTGTCAAGAAGCATGTCCAGTTGATGCAATTGTAGAAGTATTTTATAATATTTTATTAAAGGGTCCAAATTATGAATACACAACCTATTAACATGAAGATTTATTCTATGACAAATTTAAACTTTTAGAGAATGGTGACAAATGGGAACCATAAATAGCAAGAAACATTGAATATTTAATTACAAGAAAATATTGATTAAATAAAATTGAATATTTGCAAATAAAAAGATATATAAATATATTACAGAATCAATTTTGAATTTTAATATCTTATTAAATAAAGCTTAAAATATAAGCATTTTCGAGTAATCTTTCTAAAGGAACTAGAGTTAACAATTATTTGCTTGTTTAATAATGGAATCGAATATTTCTCATTGAGATAACCATTGTTATCATTGAAATTGTCATTAATAAAGCAGAAAACATTACCAAAATTATATCTATGGTTATATTGTCTTCTACTGATTTCTATATCTGATTAGTTAAGGTTGAAACAATAACAAAAAATCCCATTGAATCATAAAGTCTTTCAATTTATGATGTAACAGAATAATAATTCAACTAAAGATATTCTTAAGTAGCATTATTTTCTAAATCCTACAAAAATCTTAATTGTTAATCACATAAATCTGCAAAAATTACACTCAATCCTCCCTTTAAAATTGGATAACTTATACATTAGTCATATGAAAATAATTCATCATATTCCTAATAACTTGTTCTAATTAAAATAATAAATTTGTTATTTACAATGAATCATTGAAAATATTGCAAGCTGATTTTGTCACTATGTTATAAATGATTTAATCTTATTAATATAATGATAATTTCTTTCTTAAATCATTCAATTCACTAACAGTTTTATTTTAGATTGTTAAGATTTCACTAGTGATTTAAGTTTAAATGAAAACTTAGGATTAAGCAAATGCTAAAGTAATCTCATAATAAGCTTATTAAAATAAAATCTTATCATTAAATTAGATAAGAATCTTATCAATAGTAGCTTAATGTATTAAATTACTTCCAATAAAATAAATTGAACATACCATCATCAATATCAAAACAAATAAGAAAAAGATTATTTGTGTTGAATTATTATCTATAATATTTTATTCTACTTAATTACTTTTTTATTTTATTCTTTTTCCTACTTTTTGGTATTTTTCTAAAATAGAATCACTTGATTATTTATGAAAAGCTTATCCTATAATCATTTCAAATTTCTCTTCATTTGTTTCTTCTTTTTTGAATTTAGTATTGTTCATAAGTGAATATAATGAAGAAAAAGTTACATATTGTTCTTATATAACATCTGTAGTAAATGTACAAAACAATTTGAATACTTTCTATTTCATCTTTATAAGTTTAATACACTTGTATGCATACCAAACGATAAATAAAACTAGACCTATTTCTTCAGCTATAACTCTAAAAATGATAGTCATAAATATTATAAATTATTTACATATATTATATATTTGTAATATTTCTAGTTGTATCTGCTTCATATAAAGTATGAATCATACTCTCAAAATATTTTGTATTATTTAAGAAAGTATTATAATTAAAAAATTAATTATTTTTTTGATTTATCATTTACTAAATAATATGAATTGATTGTTGTTTTAATGAATTATCTAAATTTACTTCTATTTCTGGTATATTTTTCAAAACTTCATCTATATTTTTAATTTCATTCTAATAAAAATCTAAACTAATTTATTGCAAATCTGAAAATGGGAATAATAAATTATATTACAAATAAAAGGAAGAAATGACAAATTCATTATAAAAATAAGATAATTAATATGGTAAATTCTAACTAGATTGATTTTATTATATCTTCTAATAATTTGAAGAAAAAAGTAAGCAATTAATAATATATGATCCAATTATCAATAAATAAAATATAAGTAAAACTATTGCTTATTTTTTATTTATTGTAGGATTATCATTTAAACAATCTCTCATTTATCTTTTGAGTTATGATTAATTATTTTATGAAGATCTACTACCTATTGACATATTATTTTAATTATCTATTTTATTCATTTAATTCTTCTTCTTTTCATCAATCTTGATTGAAGGTTATTCTTCTTAAGGAGGTTTTTATTAAAGACTTTCAATTTCATCTTAAACATATTAAATTAATTGCATTTATTATTAATGAGTTGTATTAGTAATATTAACTGTAGCTAATTAATTTTTGACTTCATCAATCATTCTTTCCTCTTCTTATAATAAATTATGATCTAAATCACAATCTATTACCCAAGGTGAATTTAATAAACTTGATTATTCTCTAAAACTTGTCTAGTTTTGAAACTATTAAATATGAAATTATTTAGAAGTTCTCACCCTTAACTAAATTATTTATTTACTTGATATCTTTTAATTTGCCATCAATCTATAATCTTATAATTCTAAAATTACTAATCTAAATAATTAATAAATTTTTATTAATACCTTAAATTGATAGTAACTAAACTCATAACATGTAATTAAACAAGAAAAATAACATTTTCAGTAGGTTAACTTTCAAAATTCTTATAAATTTATTTCTAAAAATATAATTTAGATAAATTTTTAGATATTTATGATTATGACATACTTTTATTATTATTAATTAATGGAATTATGAATTAACATTCAAATTTTTTATCTAATTTATCAAAATTTTAATCATAAATATTTTCCCAAATTTTAGCTAATTCAGGTATAAAAAATAAACAATCCAATCCTCTTATTTATTATATTTATATTCCTAAATATTTTTAAAACATTTCTTCAAAAATATTTTAAGTAATTTCTTCAATTTGTCCTTTCTCATTTAAAATCATATATCCAAAAGTCAAATTTACAGGTGTAATTAAAGCAGTAGCACCAAATTCAGTTGGACTTGTTTCAATTCTCAATCTAGTATTAATAGGTACAAGAAATTATCCTTTATTTTTACCCAATATAACTCTAACTTCTGATCTTACCACTATTATTCTTCCTCTCTCTACAAAATTATCTAAATACATATCATGATCATCTGCAATTATTTGAGGCATGAATCTATGAATATTCTAATCTTTAATCTCTTCATCCTTAAAACCAATTGCTTACTAAAAAGATCTTGTGTATCTTAGTACATTTCCTCTAGGTTACAATAAAGTGATTTAAATCACACAACTACCAGGATCAAATATTGTTTTCTCAATAGATTACATAAATAATGTCACCAATTTTCCTTCTAAACGATATAATTTAGGTCTGCTCTTATTATATTATATATATTTAGAGAATAGATTATAAATGGTGTCACATTCATTAGATAATGGATTTATAGTAAATGCTTCCTGTAATTAAGATTCCACTGTTTTAATATTACTCAAAATCTAAAATCCAATTGTTACCAACTAATCAATATCAATAATAGATGTTAAAATCAATCCATACCATTCCTAAAATTATTTACAATTTTTAATTACCTTAAATTATTTTGTAATTAAACACATATTCTATTTAATTATTGATAGAGATTCTTCATATTGATAAACTCTTTTAAATATATATTTTTAATTTTTCAAATCATTCTTTTTAACTAATTGATCGAATTCTTCTAATGCATCATATTTTAATTTATATATAATTGCTTATTCCTTTAATGCCATTCCCTTTATTAATAATATATATATACTTATGTTTATATTGATAATCTAATAACTTCATATATTGCTTAAGTTGGTAATTTCTTGACTTATACTAAAAAGTATATATAAATCAATGCTAAATATGTATTTGAAGTTTCAATAATTTCATCTTCTAAAGTTTATGATATTAATTCTTTAGCAAATATTTTCATTTAAGTTATTGAATTAAATTAAAAGTTTTCTTTTTCTGAAAATTCTTCACAAAAACACTTGAATTTCATTTTTATCTATTTTTATAATTTTCTTTCTCTATTTAATGAACAATATCTCAAATGATTTGTAGTAAATGAGTACATAAACAATGATTCCATTGGATCTAATGATCTTTATTCTTTTTTTAGTCTAATTTATTTTTTAAATAAATGATATATAAATCTAATTTGTTTTTCTAATGAATTTCCTGTAGATTTCAATTATGATATCTTTTATCTTTCAGTTATAATTTTAAGAATATAAGCAATAAAAGGATAAAAGAACATTAAAAATCCCAAAACATTTAAACTTTTAAATATATCACTAAGTTGTACTACTAATAATGTTATTTAGTATATAAACAAATAGTTTGATATATGAAATTGTAATCTAGATATTTGAACCTCTACATAAATAAGCTGATAGTAACTCATTATAATGTTCATCAACAAATATATCATATAAAAGACTTGAATTATTATAGAATTTATTTCTAATCCTATTAATATGACTATTGTTGTTTAAAATGCAAATATTAAATGAATTTTTTATTAATTAAATTTTCCTAAAAAATCTTGCTTTTTCATTTTAAATTCAAAACAATGTAAATCAATAATTAAACTAAAAATCAATTAAAGAGCTATTGAAAATATACTAATACTAGCACTAAATAGCAAGAACTAGTTAGGTGAATCTAATATAAATATTTAATACTTGACAATTGATAATAATTTAGAATGTGTAAATGGGAATACAATAAAGGAATCCTCATAAGCATATAATAAATTTGCATGTAAACTGAGATAAATTCTTTTATTAAAATATTTTACTCTATTTATTTCTATCTATTCTAATTAAAATTAATAAATTAATACAATTTCAAGTGTCATCTCAATTATTTATCCATTTTTATTTGTTCTAACTGAAGTATTTAAGATCAATATCAATAAAAAGATAAAGGTTAAAAAGGTCAGTGTAAATCCAATTAACATGTATAAAATGTGCATCTCTATTTATTCTCCAAAGATGCTATATAATCTAAGAATATAAAACATTAAAACCGAAATATATTTAAAATCTAATGGATGAAGTCTAAATACTTAGCATTATTAATGATAGTTATTGATTGAGTAATTAAAGATAACAATTAGATGTTTTCGACAATCAAAAACATTATTGATAGTTCAAGAGACTTTCTCCATATTCCTTTAATAGTGAGAAATTGTTGAATGTAAAAGTCTTTTACTTGAAATATAAAATTTCTCATTATTCTCTATATTTGTAGGATAATTTAAAATATTTATATGATTAATAAATATTTTTGTATTCTTTACTTAAATAAATAAGAAATATCAAGATTTAATTACTCTTACTTAATAATCCTTTTTATTTTGATATTAAACCATTTTTAATTTAACATTCCTAGTTAATATATATATTATACATTAATTTAATATAAAATTATTATTACTATTAATATAATAATAAATATTACAAATTATATTACTGATATTAAGGATTAATATTTTATTTAATCTTATTAATTTATTTAAATTAATTCATAAAATTTAAAGTATATGGAAGTGCATAATTTAGAAGGGTCAAAATGTAAATAATTCTATAAAATTAATTCATAAATTAATAATACTATTTTTAAAATGCTGATTAATAAATAATTTAATTATATAATTAAGTATCAATAATATAATCAAAATTTGAGTCATATGACATATTATAAAAATACCATTAAAATACATTAAATGATGTCTCTAAGATAATAATTGCAATGTAGAAGGATCATTTGTTAGAGAAAAAAGAAGCCTTAGATGCATTAAACAATGCTAAATTTGGATGGTTCCATATAAAAGCATGTTTGGTTTCAGGAATAGGATTTTTCACAGATGCTTATGACTTATTCATAATTCAATTAGCTGTAATAATGATAGGAATGGTATATTATCATGATGAAGTACGTGATGGAGATATAATAATAAAAAAGGCTGATAAATTGTATCCTGTATCTGAAACATTATTAAAACAATCTGCTTTGATTGGAACATTAATTGGATAGTTATTATTTGGATACTTAGCAGATTTATTAGGAAGGAAGAAGATGTATGGAACTGAATTGTTAATCATAGTGTTTACTACAATTACTTCTGCATTTGCATCAAATACTGCTTCACCTAATGGATTGACAGTAGTAGGGATGCTTATCATTTGGAGGTTCTTTTTAGGTATTGGAATTGGAGGAGACTATCCTTTATCTGCAATTATAACTTCTGAATTTGCAAATACTAAAAATAGAGGAGCAATGATAGCAGCTGTATTTGCAATGTAAGGTTTTGGAATTTTAACAGGGAGTATAGTTTCATTAATAGTTCTATTCTCATTTAATAATCAATTAAATAATGGTGATCCATTCAATTATCTTTAAGTGGATCATATTTGGAGAATAATAGTAGCATTTGGAGCTGTTCCAGGTTTAGTGGCTATATATTTTAGAATGACCATTCCTGAAACACCAAGATTTACAATGGATATTAAAGGGGATGTTGAAAAAGGAACTAGAAATATTTAATAAGTTTTATAGAAGGATGATACAACATTTGCTGATTCAAGTTAAGAAGAGAAGAAATTCAAAGAATAGAAACCTTCATTTAGAGAATTAAAATAGTATTTATCTAAATGGAAAAATGGTAAAGTATTATTAGGAACTGCTATGGCTTGGTTTGCATTAGATGTAGGATTTTATGGAATCAATTTAAATTAATCAACTATTTTAAAATAGATAGGATTTGGAGGAGGATCTAATCTTACTTAATATGAGATTTTGAAATAAGCAATTTATGGAAATCTAATTACTTCAGCATTAGGAACTGTTCCAGGATATTGGTTGACAGTTCTTTTTGTTGATAAATGGGGAAGAAAGACTATATAGATTATGGGATTTGTGGCATTAACAATTTTATTTTTAGTAATGGGTTTATGTAAAGACATATTGGGTCAATTTTTATTTATTACACTTTATACATTAGCCAATCTTTTTAATAATTTTGGTCCAAATGCTACTACATTTATTATACCTGGAGAAGTGTTTCCAACTAGATATCGTTCTACTTGTCATGGTATTTCTGCTGCAGCTGGTAAATTAGGAGCAATAATATCATAAGTTTGGTTTTTAGGATTAGGAGCAGACAATTTCAAAGCAATTATGCTAACATTTGCAATCTTTATGATTATTGGATTAGCATTTACATTTCTAATACCAGAAACAAAAGGAAAAAGTTTGGAAGAAATTAGTTAAGGACAAGAATAAAGTAATTAAATTATACCTCGATGATTTATTAAGAATAATTAATTTTATATTAATAAATCTATATAATTGAATATGTAAAAATCAATAATCTCAAATCATTTATAAATGATATCACCTACTTTTAATTCATTATAATAGACTCATAACATAAAATGGCTTATTATAAAAAAAATACTACAATTAAATAGCTCAATAATTTTAAAATATTAAAATTTTTAACTATTCTAAATGATATTCGATTACCTATAAATCCATGTTAAATTTGATAAAACTTAAATAAACAGGAATATTTTTAATAAGTCTATAATTTTCATATTCTTATATTATTATTCATAAATCTATTGTAGTTTTGAAATAACTTAAAATTAACATTTATTAATTAATATAACTAATTTTTAATCTCTCTGCATTAATTTTAACTGTTATTGTATAGATGTTTATTAACTTGAATAGAATTCATATATCTTGTTTCATTAATATTGATATTTATTTCATAGTTTTAATGAATTTAAAATAATCCTCATTCTACTATTAAATTAAGTTATGCTAAGGTCTCATTTCCTTATTTTAATGTACCAAATAAATTGTCTTTAACTCTAATTGGACCTACTCCATGAGGTGTACCAGTCAATACTAAATCTCCTGGTCTTAGAGTCATAAATTATGATATGTAGGCCAATAGATCTGGAATTTTGTAATACATTGAAGAAGTAGAATCATTTTAAACTACTTTTTAATTTATTGTCAATTCTAATTAAAGATTATTTGGATCCTTCACTTTCTCTTTTGTAATCAAATCTGTAATTGGGAAAAAATTGTCTTAACCCTTTGCTAAATCCCATGGAAATCCTTACTTTTTGAAATGAGCTTACATTTCTCTGTCAGTTAAATCCAATGCCAAAAAATAACCTCCTATATATTCTTACCATTTATCCTTTTATATATTCTTTCCATTCTTAGCTACCATAAATCCAAGCTATCAAATATATATAGAAATACTTCAATTTCATGATGAATTTCATGATTATGTTTAGGTAATTAAAGTATACCATTTCCATCTGGTAAGTATAATAAAGATGTAAATGGTTTTTAAAATATAACTGGTTCTTTTGGTGGTTCATCACCACCCATTTCTTTAACATGTTTAACATAATTTTTAGCAATTGCTACTATTTTTGGATTATTTGGATTGACAACTTATCTAAAAAGAAGATTCATTATTTTTTTACTAAATGATTAATAATTAATAAATAAATATTCATTAATAAGTAATTTGATTAAGTTCATTTACTACTTTATCTGCAGTCCATCTTCTTTCTGCATTCTTATCTAGACATGACAATAAAATTCTTTATAATGGTCCAGAAATAGAATTCGATATTTTATTATTCTTTGGGAATTCTCCAACTAATAATTAATGCAATACAATTCCACATGCCCATATATCTGTAGCAAATGGATTGTATGGCTATTTGATTAACAACTCAGGTGCCATATAATTTGGAGTTCCACATTAAACAGAACATAATTTATCTGTTTGAATTGCAAATCCAAAATCAATCAAAACTATTTGTTAACTATATAGAATGTTTTCCAATTTGATATCTCTATGTGATATACACTTTGAATGTAAATATTGAACAGCCATCATCAACTACTTGAATATAATTTTAATTTATTATTCTGATAACTACCTATCTTTAGTAAATTCAGCTAGTGATACAGATGAAGCATAATTGAGTAGAAGGTAAATCTAAATATAATAATTAAGTACACATTTATCATCCTCTAAAGAATTATGTATTTTAACGATATTTTGATGTTCCAACTATTTCAATATAGCAATCTCTCTATGAATACCATTTAAGGTTTTCTGATCTAATTTACTCTTTTAATATATTTTCATAGCATAACGTTGTCCATTATCTTTAGATCGACAAATTCGAACTTAAGCAAATTAACCTTATCCAATCTGAGCTTCTAATTTATAATCATTAAGTAAAGATGGTTATGGATTCTAATTATTTGGTTAAGCCTTGTTTTTTAATAGTCTAGTTATATTAGAGAGTGTTTATGTTGGAACAGAATTGTTTTCTTTAGCAGATTTTAAAATCATTAATATTAACAGTAAATGGAGACCAATCAACAATCTTCGATCTTTTAATACATTTTGATTATATCATTGTGCATTGTTTTTTTGATGTATTTGAGAAGGAGAATGTCATCAACTGGTGAATCAATATAAGTATGGTTATGATTCGGCTACTTAAAGGATAGAATATGGAGAAAAATCGTGTTTGCTTATTAGGATATGTTACACACTTTTGATTAGGCTGAGAAAGAACTACTTAAGCATACATACCATAACACAATCTTTAATAGCAAAGGTGTTAATGTCTCAAATGATACACGCAAAGAAAGCAAGAAGAAAAGCTCCAATGTATAATTCAATTTGAACAAAAACGAAACTCTATATTATTGATAAAAATAATATATAAAGTAACTATTAGATAATGCTCCCATTTCTTATAAGGGATCATAATCAAATGTTTCAATTCACAATTTATCAAAAAACAATAGTCATACTACCAGCATTTAATAGATATAGTTTATCATAGATAATTAATGTTCTATTCTTCTAATGATCGACTTATCTAAAATATTCTTTGGGTTCAATATTGTAAATCTCATTAAAATTCAGACATGAAAAACTAAAACAGATAATTAGTACAATTCATTTTTAAAGAGTGATTAATATAGATATTATCTCTTGGTGGTATTTTCAACTTTGAAAAATATATGATTTATTATTGATATATATAAAAATATATAATAATAAATATGCGTAAAAATATAAGATTATCAACAGATTCAGATAGAAAAAGGATTGCATCAAATATCTCAATAAAATCAATAAATTCTACTACAATTAATACGATAAATACAACAACTGATGGTACTCTTCCTCGTTTAGAATCAAATTACTTCATAAAAAGTAGAATTAAAAGAAGTACTCATTAAATTAGATTTAAACGATCTCCTATAAAAATGTCATAACCTAATAATATGCTTGAAAGTCAATCCATTAAATAATCTACTAAAATATTACTCAACTCTGTTGTCTTTGAACTCGATAAATTGGCTATAGCAGCTAAACATAATTCAACCAAAGCTCAAGATATACTTAATCTTTCAATAGATTTAATGAATATGTTAGGATCTGATTATGATCGACTTGAAATATATCTAATAGTTCTCTAAAATAAATGTAAATCACAGTGTGTTTCTTTAGGATTAATGTTTACTTTTCTTATAGCAATAATTCAAGAAACTTATGGACACAATAGAGGTTCTTTACAATAATATAAATATATGAATGATATAGCAAATAAACATTAATTATTTTAATGTAAAATGATGGTGTATTATAGAATTGGATTACTTTTAAATAGATTGAAATAATTTGAGAAATTATTAGTAATTGGTAAGAAATTATTAAAGCTAAGTTGGTATTATTCAGAAGAAGAATATGAATCGAAAGCATATTATTTAATTTCAAAGGGATATAATGGAATTTAAGATATGGAAATGTCTGTAATATTTATGAATAGATATCTTGATGGAATTTTGTAATAGAATGATCATATCAAAAATATAGGGATATAATAAATTGCATTGTACCATAGAAGAACTTAAGAATCTAGACACAAAAGTCCTTCATCAGATGATTTTAATTTAGAAATGTTTAGATAAAAGATTGAAAGAAATTATATCAAAATGAAAATGATAGGGGGAAAATTAGCATTTAAATTGTAATCATCTGAATGTGATATTTGTGCTTAATATGGTAAGAATTGTGAAAGAATCTAAACTGAAGATGAACATCCATACAAAAAGAATATGATTTTACATACTGATAGTAGAAATAGAGATTTAATTGGGTATTTTGATTCAGAATAAATCTAATAGATGTACATTCCATCAAAAACACTGCCAATTCTAAAATAATTAATATTAAAATTCATTTCATATATATGAAACAAACAAATTAATTAAATGATAGTATGTATTAAGCCTACTTTCTTGGACATATGAATGCATTAAAAGCAATTAAAGGTAGAAAGAATCAAAAAATACAAGAATCAAAAGTTTTAGTCAAATTATGTAATCATTTTTATCTATATATAGCATAATCTATGAAACTGTATAAATAAAGGGTAAATCACTTTGAACAAATACAATATAAATAATAATTGGCAATTTCTAATCAAAAAATTAAACAAACTATTGAGAAAATTCATTAGAGTAGTCCTTCTATTGATAGAACAAGTGTTTCTTTACCAAGATTAAAGAAAAGAAATTAAGAGGGAGATGAAATCAAAAAAGAGAATGCAAGAATTAAATTGAAACTTGAAAACTTAAAAGGAAGTATTAGTAATAGACAATCTAAATATGAGAAACCAAAACGATATGAAGATGTATTATAAGAATATTTTAAATAAAAATTATAACAATAATGAACATCGTATCTGAGGAAGACTCTTTTGTCACTTAACATTATGAAGAAATATATAGATAAATAAGAGACATGAAATTATGTGAAAGATTGTGCAGGTATTAATCTATAAAAATCAGGTCTTAAATCAATTGAGGAGAAACAAATGGATTTATTGCAATTTTTAAATCTCTATAAATAATTGAAAATATCATTACAAATTCATTTACTTGTAATTCATAATCCCAAAGAATTGATTGTAATATATTCTTGTAATAATATAGAATATAAGTAAATTACATAAAGAAGTATTTGGAGACACATAGTTGCAACATCTAAATATAGTATTAAAGTCTTTGAATCTTTGTCCAGTAGTCTTTGACATAAACATTAATGAATTAATAAGTCATGCTAAAGTATAATCAAGAATAAGTAGAGTTTGTCAATATATTAAAAACATAATTTGTTGCAAACTTTGAATATATTTTAATTATATTTAAATTTTAAATTTGGTGCCATTTCATGAGTATTGATCTCTCATTTAAGAATCTAGAAATACTAGATTAGTCCTTGAATCTAAATAATTATGTAATTATATTATTATATTATAATATAGACAATAATAAATTTATAGGGTAACAATTTTAAGGGTGAATAAACATATATACAATAACTTAAAGTTTAACATCTTAATTTATCATTCAATAATATAGAATAGATGTGGTTATTACCTTCTTCCCTTATAACATTGGAAATCAATAATAATTTGCTCTAAAATTTGTCAAGTATTAAATAAAGAATAATATTATTAGATATCTCTCATCTCAAAAATTTGAAATAGATTGATTTATCCAACAATTTATTACAAAGTGTTCATTGGTTTAGTAATTTGAACCAATTAACTCATTTATTTCTAAAAAATAATAAAGTAATAAAAAGATAATTATATAATAGATTAAAACAATTGAATAACTTAAGAATTTACCATAATTGATAGAAGTTGATTTAGAATGTAATGAATTGAAAAATGTAGCTGAAGTGCATTATCTAGAAACATAAACAAAAATAAATATAATAAATTTATTTGGTAATCCTGTATTTGAAGGATTGCAATTAAAAATATTAAATGTAGTTGAAAGTATATTATTTAATTTAATAAATAATTAGAAAATTGTCATTGTAGATCAGAATAAATATATAATCAATCAGAAATATTTAAAAAGAGAAATTAATAAATTGATGATATTGATTTATTTGATGAATAAGCAAGTGAAAAATAGTCTGATCTTTAACCTTAAACAATGACTCAAAAAAAATATACAAAATCTCTATCTCCTTTAAATAAATAATTACCATAATTTTATGATCCTAAATCTAGTAAATATGTTACTTTTCATGATGTATTAAGATAAAAGTAACGTAATATCACTAATACTAATTATGATGTAAAATAATAAAATGTTACAACTACAAATACTAATACTACTATTAATAATAGATAAACTATGGATTAATTAAAATAATAAAATGAAAACTTAAAAAAAGATTATATGAAATTAAAATAAAAGTTTGAATAATCATAGAAATAAAATTAGAGTTTTTTTCAAGAAATTGAAAGTTATAAAGAATAATTAAATGGGTTATTATTATAATTCAATATACCAATTTAAGAAGAGGAATCATCAGTCAGATCTTTATTAGATTAATTAGAATTAGGTTTAATGACTTTTATTAAAGATATGAGAAAATAAAATATAGAATAAATAAATAGTATGATGACTAGAATGGGAAATAAAGTTAAAGTAATGAGTAGTTAAATTGAAATTACTACTTTAAAAAAATGTTGTGAATATACTGAGAAAATAAAAAATATAGAATTAGCATTATCTAAATTAGCTGATGTAGTTGTTGAATAGTAATATCTAATAATATTATTTTTTTTAGAAAATAATAAATAATAAAACTATAAAGACAAAGAGTTCATTCACCATTATAGAGATAATGTTTGACTACAAGGGTTCATGGTAAAAATCCTAGTGAACTTGATTAAATGAAATTGAAAACATTATTCTTTAAATCTCCCAATGTTCAATAATTAGACAAACCTCTCAAAACTTAAGGATCTTAAAGTACTAGTTTGTCACAATAGATGTTAGAAACTTAATAGAAATAAAAGATTTATAAGAAATGAAATATTTAATAGTTTATATTTATCATTATATTGGATTCATACCTGAAATAAAACTTCCATAACTAACTCTTGATTCTTTTTTAGTATAAATAGATATTAGAGATTCTATTTCTTAGTTTGTAATTTATATATTGTAAGATTCAAATACTTCTCTAAATTCATCTATAGTTATTGTTCCAACTTTCAATTTATCAAAAAATAAAAAGGCTAATTCTAAACTAAATTCAGAATTTTCTGCTAATCTCTCTTTAACTAATTATATTTTTTCTTCAGTTAAAAGTATTTATGCAATCAATTCTTTAAACTTTGTCATTGTTTTAATACTTATTTTAGTTACAATTCTAACAAGAGGATCATTACTACATGAAATTACATTAACGAATTCTTAATATGTAAGAAATGAATTATCTTCTGAAAATCTCTAAAACAATAAATTAATTTATTATTTCTTAACTTTTATACCTAATTACATACAACCAAGTTCAAAATCTAATCTAGTTATCTTTTTCTAATTAAAAGTATCAAAAAATGAATAAAATTGATTCAAATCAAAATCATCATGTTATTCTAATTGTATTTTTCTTTCTTCTAATTGTTTATTTAAATACATCATTTCATATAAAGCATTAACTAACTTTGCTTCTTAGTTTTATTTTAAAACAATTACTTTGCTGTTATTTTATTACATAATTATTTATTCATAATTATTGTTTTAAATAATAAATAACACTTTCAGTTCGTTATTTTCTTCTTATTATAACATTTATACTTGTATATAGTTACATCTCTTAAGAAATATATTTTAAGTTATGATTATGTGAGTAGAAGTTATTAAATTTAAGAAACTATGATTATATCGTTAATTATTTTAAAATTATGTCACTCAACGATTGGAAAAATGAAAAAGCTATGCTTGAATAAAGAAATCAATTTCTATATATGTAAATTCAAGAAATTAAAGAAAGAGAAGAACATTAGAAGAAATTTAATGATACTATTATGCAAGCATGGAGTTAAGGAGATGGAAGAACCAATGTAATTAAATTAATTATACTTTAGTGTAAAGTATATAAAGAAATCTAAAGTACTTTAGAAGAGTATTCAAGAGAACTAATTGAAGCTAAAAAGAAGAGCTCTATTGCAATGATGAAATTAGAAAATGAAAATACCGAACTCAAATATTAAATCTAATAATTAGAATCCATTTATCAATAAAAAAACTAATTACATTAAGTGAAGGTAATGGAGTTAAGAAAAAGAATTGAATGTTAAAATAATAAAGAAAATGTTGGGGATAATTAATTTGGTTGTATTGTAAGTGTCAAAAGTAGAACTTGTAGTTAGAATACAAGTAGAGAAATTAATAAATAAAGATCTAAAACTTAGAATAAACCTGAATTATTAAATTGTCGTAATTCTAATGTAATGGAAATTAATACTGATTTCTTAAAAGATTATAGTATGTAAATAGAAAGTGTTTCACCTTAAGAAAGATAAAATTTAGCTATTTAATTGAAATAATTAACTAAAGAATTAAAAACTACAAAAGTAATATATATATATATATATTTAACTTAGAATGAAATTGAAAATACCAATTTATAAACAGCAAATGAATTGAAAACTGAAATTAAATCTATGTTAAATAAGTTACTAAAAGCTAAAGGAAAGATGACTGAAAGTATTGTAGGAAGTGGAAAAGAATCAGTTCTTATGTTAAGAGGAAGTTAATATAAACCAACATTAGCAGATTTTGCTAAATAATTAAATGCTGTTAGATCTATAGAAACCTTTAATATTTTGAATCCAGGAAAAGCCACAAACAATTATTGATTAGTTAATTATATATATATATATAAAAACACCAAAAAAATGTGAAAAAAATAGATATCATCTGTATCATTATTTTTAACGCTTAAATGATAATTTAGTAACTTACTTAAATTAATTGGTGAATTCTTGATAATTCACTTTAAGGCACTATTACTGGTTTAAGTTTCTTATCCTTTAATTATATATATATTATTAGAACCTTTTAATTCATCACACTTGAAAATTAAAAATGCTAAACCAACGCTTAACGTCCTTATATTCTTGCATATCTTAATTCACAAATCTATATTTAATAATATAATAAATCTACTTTTTCACTATTGAAATGAGGCCATCCATTATCATGAAAATCCTTATAAAATTAAATTATGTAAAAAGGATGCACAAAATTTATAAATGCATAACCCATATTACACTTATTCTATATTTATAATTATCTTATTTTAATACCTTAAAATCTATTGGAAGATATAAAAAATCATAATAATTTCTGTGACTATGATCAATTAAATCTTAAAGCATTTACACTGTATATTTATTAGGAATATTTTTTATCATTATTGTAGTTCTTTCATCTGTTTAATTCATTACTTTGTCAATCCTTACTACAAAATAATAGGATTCTTCTTCTGATATGGTTTTTCTTTTCCTTCTTTCTGTTTCAGAACCACTTGTTAACAATGATTAACAAGATGATCCCAATTACAAACAAGGTTCATTTGAAATTTCTGTTGATAGATTTGAACTCACTTTTTAGTCAAATGATTTATTTTTAAAAACTTCAGAAATCTATTCCATCATTTAGTCTTATGACAAATTATCTTCTTTTGCATATAATATTACTTTAGGTTCTATTGATATTTCATGTTTAATGGTATTACCTGTAAACATTTATATGGCCCTGTCTATTTTATCACTATTAGATTTGCTCTCTTAACTTTATTTACTTTCATTTGATTAGTTCATCGTCGCCTTGTCAATGTCATCAAATAATTCTTATGAACTATGATCTTTTTATTTTGTCAAGATTTCATTCAAATCTCGATGATTTCTAATACATTTCAGAATCTGTTCCTAATTTAAACGAGACTGTTTGTCCATTTATTATAATAATTTTTATTTTCTTCTTATACTTATTCTCAACATATCAATATAATGTACTTTGTACTTTTACAAGAACATACAATAATTGAATAGCTATTAAGCAAATATAATTCAATAATAATCAAACACACATAGAAGTTTTAAAAAAATACTTCATTTTATTCACTGAGTTAATCATAATGACCTATTGCAAAATGGGATAATCATTCATTCTATTTCTCTTAGATTGTAGTTTTAAATGAAATAAAAGATTCCTTCAATGAGATTTTAATTCAATTTTACAGTTCAATTCGAAATGGAAGTTGACAAAAAGAAAAGACATAACTTTCTAATTATAATATTCTTCTTTCATTCAAATTTTACTTTACTTTTTGATTTTAAGGTTATAATAATAATCCTGCTTAATAATTAATTGAAAAAAATATTATTGTGTAAAATGGATAATAAATTATTTCAAGTATATTCTTAATTTATTTATTAATAATACAAAATAAATCTTAACCATTTTTATTGTAAAAATTCAAATTAATGCTCAGAGAAATTTTAAACAAAAAAATATTATTAATTAATTAAATAATTTTGTATTTTTCAGCTTTTTTTAATTCATACTAAAAATACTACTTATAAAATATAATATAAAAATTGGTTTTCTTAATTATGAACTTAAAGTATAAAGGAGATAATTAGTCATAACTGTTAGAAAAACAGTATAAAAGTATTTGTAATATCTTTTAGGAGAGATTACATTTTCTTTTTTATTTTGCTTACTAAAAAAAATAAAAAATTGAATTAGTATTCTTTTTCAATCTGATATAGATAGAAGAACTATAAATATATTTGATTAATATTAAAACATTTAATTCTAATCAAGAATATTAAGCTTGAAAAAATGATAATACTTAGGTGAAATCCCCTCGAGAATTGTCTCTTTTATTATAAAAAAAGGATAAACTTTAGAAAATTGATCCTATTTATTAGTTAAAACTTTTAATCTTTGAAATTATCAGTTAAGTTAATGCACTTGATAATTAAAAAAGCTAAAATACTGAATAAAATTAGATATTTCAAAAAGATTTTATATATATTTAATTGATGAATGTTTATATAAATGACACTAAAAATATTTAAAAAAAGAAAGAAATCTTTTTAAGTATGTCGGCAATTTAAAAAAAAATGAATAGTAATTAAATAATATTTTTATTAATTATTGTCTTCAATTTTCAAATAAGAAGATTAATTTAATAAAATTTTAAGAAATAAAGTAAATAACATCATAATAATTAGATTTTAGGTTTTTTGTTTAGATATTTTTGATTAAACAATGTTTTAATTATTAATATTAAAATTTAACCGACATGAGTGGTTACAAACAATATGATGATGTTGAACCTTATAGACAAAGAATTCGAGATCTTGAAGCTTAATTATAGAGAATGGACGTTAGATTTAGTAATGTTCTTACTCATGCTGGGAAAGGAGATACATAATTTAATAACGATTTGCATGTAGAATTAGAGAAAATGACAAAATAAATGATATAAAAGAGAAGTGAAGCTGAATTATGGAAATAAAAATATGAATAATAATTATCATCAACTATGTAGATGAGAAATAATTATGAATTAGAATTATAATAATTATCAAAGGAAGTTTAGAGGTTGCTTGATAAGATAGATTAATTTGAATATGAGAAAAGATTGAATGATAAATAATTAGTTAGAGAAACATTATAAGATAAGGATTTAGAGATAGATGATTTAGTGAGTAAATTACAGAGAATGAGATTAGAACATGAAAATGAATCATAAAGACTATTAAATGAGAATGATAATTTAAGACATAAGATAAATCAAATTGAATTGGATAGATAAAAGTATGATATTATTTATATTATTTAATAGAGAGTTAGAACAGATGAGATTTAAGATAGAGACATTTCATTCATAAAATTTAGATAATTTAAGAAAAACTCATTAGAGTTAAATATCAGTTGTTGAATCAGAAATTGATAAATTAAGAGGATTGTTGGAAATTAAAAATAATGAAATTGAAACATTGCTTTAATAAAATATGAAATTAAAAGCTTCATATGAAAATTAAATAAATGAATTAAATGCTTAATTTGATGGTTAAAAATCTAAGTATTAAAAATAAGAAATAATTCATCGAGATTAATTAAATTAATTATAATAGTAATTGTTGGATGAATAAAAATTTAGTATGTAATCTTTAAGCAAGAATTATGAATAAAGTATATTAACTTTAGAAAAAGAAATTGTAACTCATTAAAAGAAAAATGATAATTTATCAAAAGAAATCTAAGAGTTAATAAATGAAAAGACATAATTAGAGAGACAATGTGAATTATTAAGAAAAGATAATGAAATTTTGAAATAGAGATTGACATAAATTGAATAAATAAAGTAAAAAGATTTATAATATATGGAATCAGAATTATTATAAACAAAACAATCATAAATAGAAGTTGAAAATGTTTATAAGCAATAAGTGATTAAATTAGAAAATGAATTATAAATCTAAACAGAAAAAGAGATAGTAAAGAATAAAGAAGTAGAAACTCAGATCTAATAATTTATTTTAATAAAATAAGCTTTAGAAGAAGATCTATAACATTTAAGATAATAAAATTTAACTTTAAATGAACAAATAAAAGAATTAGAAAAAATAGCTTCATTCGAATAAGAAGAATGGAAAGTCAAATTGCAATAAAATGAGTATATGTTAAAAGATAAAATTCGTAATCTTGAAAACAAAGTTGATTTATTAAATTAAGAATTAAGAAAATAAAAAGAATTAACTGATTCTTAAATAAGATAGATTCCAGAAAGAGAATTCAAAGCTTTAATTGAAGAAATTGAATAATTAAAAACAAAATAAGTGTTGTAAGAAAGAGATAAATTAAAAGAACGAGAAGATTTAAGAACAAAGCTTGAATAATCACATCATTATCAAATAGAAAATTTAAAAGCAGCCTTTAATACTTAAATCAGAATTCTTGAATAAGAAAATAAGGATTCTAAAAATATTATCACATAAAAAGAGAATACAATTTAAGAATTATTACATAAATATTAGAATTTAGAATCTGCATATAGTGGATAAACTATTGGACCATAAGAATAAGCATCCAAAAATATTTATTAAGCATATATTCGTTCATCAAATAGACAATCATCATTACGTAAATAATAATGAATTATACTATCTTATATAAATAAATAAATAAATAAATATTATTTGTTTGTCTTCATGTAAAAAAATGAATTTTAAAGTGTGTTTTGGAGAAAAGTAAGGGAAGATATGAAAATGGAAATACTCTTAGAGAAATAGCCATTAAAACAATTTAAATTATATGAATTGACTGAAGATGAAATGAATATCAATTTAGATTAAGTTACCCAATGGTAATTAATAGGTGAAAATGTAGGTCTCCAGATAATGAAAAGATTTATAAAAATATATCTGAGAATGGATTTGCTGATTTTATTTGCAATAAAGAATACATGATTGAAACATATACAAATATAGTATTTGATTCTGAAGATATAACATTAATGGATAATCAATTATTACAATTCAAAAATTTATAATTATTAAGATTAAATCATAATAAAATTGAAACTGTTCAACATCTTCCTTAATAATTAATAGAACTACATTTATTTAATAATCAAATTACAACATTGAATTTATTGAAACATAATTTATAATATCTAGGTTTAGGATATTGTTTGTTGAATGATGATGCAATACAAACAATTTCTAAATTCTTACCTTAATTAATAGGTTTAGATTTGGCTCATAATTAATTATGCGACTTAGAATATTCAGTAGAGGCCTGTAAAAAGATTTCTAATATAAAAATTCTATATCTTTATGGTAATCCTTTAGTTTTAATGCCTCAATACTTTATATATATTGTTGATAATCTATTAAATTTAAGAAGCTTTGATGAATAAAGTTTTTTGGAAATAAAAAATAGATTAGAATAAGCAGATAAAGAAAAATAAGCTAAAAAATAAGAAACATTAAGAAAATAGTAAGAAGAATATGAATAATAATAAAAATTATTAGCTGATAAAAATAAAAAAGGAGGAAAACCAGGAAAATAAACTGATCCAGTTGTAGTTTAATAACCTTAAGTTATAATTCCTATTGATGAACCTAAAATTAATTTAAATGATTTAAGATAATTCAAAATTACATTTAAAATATAAACTTTAGAAAATTTAGAAGGAATTTTATTAGATAAATATAATTACCCTTTAATGGAACAAAATAGTAAATTATTTTAAAGTAAGTATGTAATAACAACAAATTTATTTGGTTTTGAATTGAAAACAAAAGAGGTATTTTATGAGACAGCTACGATTGAAAATGAAATAGGAAGAATTGATTTTGAATTTTCTATTGAATAACTTTATAATCCTGAAGTTGATATTAGAGATGCAGTTGAATAAGGTTTTTTACTTTAAGTTTCAGTTGAAGAACAAAAGTTGTATATTGTAACAATTTATATTATACATAATTTAGGCAGATGATGGAGAAAAAAAGCCAGTTTTAGGCTAAGATGAATTACCTGAACAATCTATAAAAATTTAAGAAGTATGTAAAATTACTTGTGATTGGTTGAGAGGTTACAATAAATAATTTAATGAAAAGTATCGATTATTCAAAGAAGAAACAAAAAATTCAGCTGAACATTGGTTTCCCTTAGATAATGAATAGGAATTAGTATAAGCTAAGATGGAAATGATTTAAAAAGAAAAAGATGCAGAAAGGCATAATAAGCTTTAATTGATTAAAAAAAAGAATAAAGTAAAGGGAAAGGGAAAGATGTTAAAAAAAAGGATGATAAAAAAAATGTTAAGAAAGGGAAAGATGAACCTGTTTAAAAAGTAGTAGGATAATTAGATTGGGAAGTTGATACCAGATAATATATATTTGTAAATGAAAAGAAAATTCATAGAGCAACTGACATGTTATTAGCAATTTCTTTAGATCTAGGATATTGATTTTCTTTGTCTTAAATAAAATTTCAAAGTCTAATTAAATTTTAAATTTAACAATAAAAATTGGATGTATTAATTTCTAGAACATTATTTTACAAAAACAAAGTTAACAAAATTTTTATAATCATTCCATACTTCCCTTTCTAGTTTATGCTGTATTTTTGAATAGAGGAATAACAATTTTAGGGCCTTCATGGAATTTCAAGCATGTAGCTACCTCTTTCATTTTCTCTTAATATATTTTCTCAGCTAAATATCTAATGATATAAAATTTATAAATATATTTACATATGCAAACAACATGTTCTAGGTTAAGATTTCTTTGAATTTTATTTATGATCTTCAATTAAATTCAAATACACTTATTTCTATGCATTTCTAAGTATTTGCTATTTTAATTTAAGATCCCTAAATCATAAAAATTAAATTTACCTGAGAATTATATGCACATTTGAAATATAAGGTTCAACTTGAGAATTTTCTAAATTTTTTGTTTGATTTCTCATAGGTTTAACTAATTTCTCGGCTTAATTTTTATTGTAAGAAATGATTTCTGAAACATTTTGATCTGGATTTTCTGGCATTCTAAATGTGATTTGATTTGTTTCTTTATTAAATTACAGAATTCTTTATACTTCTTCGCGCTTTTGCTTATTTTAAGAATCTGGCAGTTCTACTCTCTTTTGACTTTTTAGCACAATCTAAACTTGTATTAAATATATGATTACATTCATTAATATCTTAGACTAAATGATAAAAGCTGGTAACAAATTCTTAATATTCTGAATCGCTTTCTTCAGAACTCATATATTTTAATTTAATTTAATATAGTTCATAAATATGAATATGATTTACTAATCTTTTTTTCAACATTTAATAATAATATCCTTTTTTTACAATGCTTATTTTTAACTATTTTTATATTATATTATATTATTCATCATCAAAAACTTAAAATTTTAAACAATATCTTTATAAATAAAAAATTATCTATTTAATTGAATAAATAATGTATAAAAAAAGTACTCATATTTCATTACTTGACTTCCAAGATATAAAAATATAACTTGAAAAGAAATCATTTTTTATAGATTTGAAACAATATTAAAATTAACAGATAAATTTATACAAAAATTTCTATTTATCTTAAAATAAATAAATTATTATGATCATATTTGGTTTGTTCTCTAATTTTCGATGATTAATATTATTCTTTTTAATTTTATTAGGTTGTATCATTATTTTAGTTTTAAAACTACTTAATTATTCAAGTTAGGATGAAAATCGTAGAAATATTTTCAAAAATTAACAATTAAGCATTGAGTATCTTCTAAATACATTTGAAAAATCTTAATACATTATTTATTAAATTATTATTTCTATTCTAAAATTATATCTTCATCCAATTATATCTCCTGATTTAATTAAACAACATAATAAAGAATTTCATTTTTGAAATCTTTTTGACTAATATTTTCATAAATATCCTTATGAATTTAAGTTTCTAACATTTCTAATTTATTTCATTTCTTTAAAAACTGATGTTTTTCCATCTTATAATACACTAATTCCATTAATTTTTAGCTATTTTATATTTGATGATATTGTTTGATATACTTTATTAAAGACTTTTATTTAATTTAGTTAGATAAGTATTATATATTTCTTTTCCTTTAGAAGATCAATATAAAATTATACATTTTAAATGATAAATTAAATTATTTAATGGAATTAGAAAAAACATTACATAGAGTCTAAGAAAGAATTTTGACTCATTAATGTGCACCTTAAATTATGAATATTTGCAGTAAGATTTTATTGAGCATGGTATCAATTAACTTACTTATAATCTGGGGATTGAGTAATAGAACAATTAATTAAATATCATTTGATCAAGAGACTAAAGATAATATCTATCATTTCTCAATTATAGATGAGGATAATACAATGCTAATGATGAAATATGCTAAAACTTAAGAATTATTGCATTTAAAAACAGAATTACTTCAATCACACAATTTCACAATAATTAATATTTCTATAGATTATAATAACTACTTTGATAGTAATTTATAAAAACTACTTTCTTTAACTACAAATCTAGAAACTTTATTCTTACATGATATTGCATACTCAATCTAATCAGATATTTATGTTAAAAATAATGCAACAAATTAAACATATATTTGGAAAGAAAAAAGAGCTCCTTAGAATTAATTAGGGAAAATAATTTAGCATTTATGGGAATTTTCAATTATTACCTTTGGGTTGTTCATTTCTTCTGCTATTTCATCACTCTATATAAAAATCACTATTATTTGTGCTCCAGTCATCATAATCATAATGCGTAATAAATATTTATATGATAAATTTTAGTTGAAGTATCCTATCTCTTTGGAAATAGATAAATATTCCCAATATTTTTAGCACGTGCATTCCCTTGGATAGGATTATATTTAAATATCCTTGATAGAACATAAAGATCAAAGAAATAACTAATTATAGCTTTTGCTTTAATGCTGTTTTTAATTTATTTTATCTATCTATCCTCAGTAATTATAGGAGGCTTTTTATTATTCAAAAGTCAGGTTCCCTTTAGTTTGGAAGACAACTTTTTTGGGTATCCTTTTATATTCAATTCTAAAGTTTAGTTACTGTAAATGAGTTTGCCTCATTATTGTTTTTGAGAACGAGATCTTCTTTGTATTTTGTACCAAAATTCACCATTATATATTATTACTTATTCCTTTGGTATGTTCAATCTACAAGTAAAAATTTGATAATTAATATTAGATTATGGTTTCTATTCATTAGCAATGCTTACATTATCATATGTATGTTTAGGAACATTTTGTCTATTCATTTATCTTTATGAAATTCCTAGTTTAGGATGGAATCCACTTTCATATTATACACCAACTATTGATAGACCACGTTGCTACTATTTACCAGTATTTTCATTGAATTGGGTTAATGATTTACCATAGTTATGGTCAATGTTTTATCCACTGCATGGAAGAAGGTATATCTTTATTTAATTAATAGATATTTTCAAATTTAAAATTTAGCATTAGTAGATAGAAACTTTCCACTTCTCAACAATCTCTTAGATATTGAAATGTAAGAATAATAATGATTTATATAATATTCAATTATAGGCTACTTATTTTTTCACATCTAAAAATTCTACACTCATTGGTAGTGAAAAGACTACCTACTTTCTTTACTTATAGCGTTCATAATTTTTCTCAAATTCTCTTGAAATGTCTTTGATTTCTTAAAGCAAATGAACCACTTCTTAAATCTATTAAGAATGATTTGCTATAGATATATCTCTTTAATCTATTTATTCTATTATCAAGGTTCCATTCTGTTTATATTCTTAATAATATTTCTTTATTTTTTCTATTGTCAATTACTTTAATGGTTTGATCCCTCCTAAAGATATATGTGGTGATAGAATTTCAGAAAAGATTGATTGTAAACTACATTCTACAATTGCCAAAGCAATCTCACTTTCCTTAAAAGTAAATATTGTAAAACCCTATAGAGATTTTAAAAAATATTCTTCAATTTTCTTTTCATATCTAATGAATAGAGATTATTCTAAAAGATCTTTTATTTGATAAATAAATATTGCTGATTGAATAATAGGATAAATCGGCTTTACATCAATATCATAGCCTAAAGCTTGTACTATCAAAATTTCATATTTAGCATAAAACTCATCTCCATAATGATGAAAACGTTCATGTTTTGGTTTCTTTTTTAATTATTATGCTTGAATAGCAATAGATTATTAAGAAAGCTAAAATGAATTATTATATTACTCCATTTAATTTCATTCCTAAATAACTACAAAATAATAGCATCTAATGCATTCCAGATTATTCAAATATTGTTTTTATCATATAATATCGTTTAAATAGTACTGCAGCATAAGAAATTAAAGTTAATTATGAATTTTTTTCATTCTTAAATAAAGTTGGCAGTAAATTACAGCAATAATGATTTATGATATTCATTTCTTCATTTTATGTGTAGCCTTCTGGTAATTGTTGTTAACGATAATGAACAAAATCAGCTATTTAACTTTTTGTAAATCTCCACATTAAAATTTAGCACTATATTATTTATTTCTTTAAAATTTATTTTTATTTTTTGTTTTAAAAATTTCTATGTTATCATAATTACTCAATTATATTATTGAATATAAATATATATGTTTTATTTTAACTCAAAAATGTTGATAAGACAGTCTTGAATTTTATATTATAAGTTACTAAAATAATAATAATAATAATAATAATAATAATAATAATAATAATAATAATAATAATAATAATAATAAATTAAAGGCTGTGATATAAAAGAGAATTAAGACTATAAATATCGTTGTCGGCCNTCATAATTTTTCTCAAATTCTCTTGAAATGTCTTTGATTTCTTAAAGCAAATGAACCACTTCTTAAATCTATTAAGAATGATTTGCTATAGATATATCTCTTTAATCTATTTATTCTATTATCAAGGTTCCATTCTGTTTATATTCTTAATAATATTTCTTTATTTTTTCTATTGTCAATTACTTTAATGGTTTGATCCCTCCTAAAGATATATGTGGTGATAGAATTTCAGAAAAGATTGATTGTAAACTACATTCTACAATTGCCAAAGCAATCTCACTTTCCTTAAAAGTAAATATTGTAAAACCCTATAGAGATTTTAAAAAATATTCTTCAATTTTCTTTTCATATCTAATGAATAGAGATTATTCTAAAAGATCTTTTATTTGATAAATAAATATTGCTGATTGAATAATAGGATAAATCGGCTTTACATCAATATCATAGCCTAAAGCTTGTACTATCAAAATTTCATATTTAGCATAAAACTCATCTCCATAATGATGAAAACGTTCATGTTTTGGTTTCTTTTTTAATTATTATGCTTGAATAGCAATAGATTATTAAGAAAGCTAAAATGAATTATTATATTACTCCATTTAATTTCATTCCTAAATAACTACAAAATAATAGCATCTAATGCATTCCAGATTATTCAAATATTGTTTTTATCATATAATATCGTTTAAATAGTACTGCAGCATAAGAAATTAAAGTTAATTATGAATTTTTTTCATTCTTAAATAAAGTTGGCAGTAAATTACAGCAATAATGATTTATGATATTCATTTCTTCATTTTATGTGTAGCCTTCTGGTAATTGTTGTTAACGATAATGAACAAAATCAGCTATTTAACTTTTTGTAAATCTCCACATTAAAATTTAGCACTATATTATTTATTTCTTTAAAATTTATTTTTATTTTTTGTTTTAAAAATTTCTATGTTATCATAATTACTCAATTATATTATTGAATATAAATATATATGTTTTATTTTAACTCAAAAATGTTGATAAGACAGTCTTGAATTTTATATTATAAGATACTAAAATAATAATAATAATAATAATAATAATAATAATAATAATAATAATAATAATAATAATAATAATAAATTAAAGGCTGTGATATAAAAGAGAATTAAGACTATAAATATCGTTGTCGGCCATACTAAGCCTAAAGCACCGGATCCCATTCGAACTCCGAAGTTAAGCGGCTTAAGGCGAGGTTAGTACTAAGGTGGGGGACCGCTTGGGAAGTCCTCGTGTTGACAACCCTTTTTTTTTATTAATTAATTAAAATTTATTTAATTTCAAGAAAACAATCAACAATGATTAAACATTTTTTGTGTTATAACATTATTATATATTAAAATTTGAAGATGTTTTAACCCAATCAAAGCTAAATTAAGTATAACAATTAATTTGGTGCCACCTCTGCAGTGTATTTCTCACAACAACAAACATCAAGAGACAAAGTATAAAATTGCCAAACATCATGTAGATAATATAGACAAGAGAAGGTTCTGAAAATAAATAATTGCTTTAATATCCAGCTTCTCAAATAGTCTATGGTCCATCAATGAAATTCAATTCACCAGTGCATAGCAATATAGCATTTCGCAAAACATCTAAAGAATTGAATATTACTATAGAAGATCCTTTAGTGAGTTAATAAGTACGTTAGCCATCTCCGAATGTCAAAAAATAAAGGGAATAGATGGAAAAGGATTGGAATAAATTAATTGACAAATCTAAGACTCTATAAGAAAATTTAGTATTGCTAAAAAACAATATCAGTATGAACTTGAACAAAAAATAACCTGATCCACGTTTAACTAAAGAATCAACAATTACAAATACTGGTTTATCATCAAGGATGAAATTACAGAAAGTAAATGTCACTTGTAAACTAAATTCTCCATTCAAAGCTTAACCTAAATTAGAAGTTTGTAAGAGTTTGAGCCATAATGCATTTGGTAATCTCAAATTTGGTTCAAATGTTAATAAAAATCCAACACTAATAAACAATACTAGTTCTATTAATTATGTTAATATGAACAATAATTATGCTAAAAAGTTATTAGATGAACTTTAATCATAAAAAGTGAATACTTAAAATAAAATAATAAAATAAACCAATCCTCTCTATATTTAAATAGAAAATAAATTGAAATTAAAAATAAGTTCATTTTTAGGAAGGGGAAAATTTAGTGATGTTCATATGGCAATAGATAATAGAACTGGTTTAATTTTTGCATTGAAAATTATAAAAAAGTAAACTGTTATTGACCATGAAATGTAATAATAATTAGCAAGAGAAATTGCAATCTAATCTAAATTATAACATCCTAATATAGTCAAAATGTTTGGATAGAGTTATGATCAACAATATATTTATATGATGTTAGAATTTTGCAATAATGGTGAATTATTTTAACATTAGTATAAATAGCCTAATAAAAGATTTAATGAGAAAGAAGCTAGTAATTTTATAATGTAAATACTTTCTGCTATTTAATATATGCATAATTAAGGATTTATGCATAGAGATTTAAAAACGGAAAATATTTTATTATCTCTAGTATTAATTTATAACAAAAATTTTTAGAATTACATTAAATTGTGTGATTTAGGTTGTGTTCGAGAAATCCCTAAGTATGAAGATAGAAGAAATACTTTTTGTGGAACTGTAGATTATATTGCCCCTGAAGTCATAAAAGATGAAGGATATGATGAAAGATGTGATGCATGGTAAATTGCTATTCTAGCTTACGAACTTGTAGCTGGTAACACTCCATTTTCAGAATTTCCAAGAGATGATGATGCCATTATGGAAAATATATTAAATGTAATATTATTTTCTTAGATTAGAATAAATTTGATCTTCCTCATTTCTTTTCTCCATCTTTGAAAGATTTTGTAATAAGAGGATTACAATAGAGTCCAGATCATAGAATATCTATCGATTAAATGTTGTTGCATAAGTGGATAGTTGAAAATATCAAGACAGATAGAGAATATTTATTTTGATCTAATTTTGTGATATAAAGCCTATTTTGTAATCTCCTATGTATATCTATTTTTTAATTAACTAATTTGTTTTATTCTTCTAGATTGATCAATAAATTTCAAAATACTTCAAATCAAAAAAAAATTAGTATAGTATTTGTTATATTTAATCATATAATAATCATTACTCAGCTTATTTAACAACATTTGGATTGATCTTTTCTAAAATCATTATAATTATGATATTTCCAACAGTCAACAAAATATATCTGATGAACAGGAGTTCCTGCAACTACATCATCAATAAATGTAACTGAATGTAATTTAAATCCTCTCAAAATAGGATGACCTTATTTATCAATCCTAAATCTTTAACTTAACTTTTTTGAGCTCAATCTTGTTTATGATCTACTGGGAATTTCAACTTACATTTATATATATATAAAATAAATTAATAAACATGTACATCAAGAACCCAAATATAATTAATTACAATAAAATGTTTTATCCATAACTAATGGAAATGATGATCAAAGTATAGTTCATTCAAATTTTTCTAATTCTTTTTGATGTTTATTGTCTAATTATGCAAGTCGATCTTATGTTAAAGCTCTTTCAAACTCTAATATTTTTTCAAGTCGCATTCTTTCAATTGGATCATCAACTTACCTTAATAATTTTTATCTATCAAGCTCTTTATTTTCTTCTTCTTACAAAAGCTAAATTTAATTTATTTTAAATATTTACATTTAACAATTCTTGATTTTATTTAATTTTTAATTCTTAGATTTGTTTCTCTTTAGTCATTATATCATAGGGAGCCATTACAATTGGCTTATTTTTTTACTATTATTCTTACAATGCTTTACCCTTTTAAGGAGCACTCTCAGGTCTTTTTTTGTGTTGTACATTTATATGTTTAGGTTCTTATTATTATTGTTCTTTTAATAATTCAGCTAAATCTTTTTTAAGTTATTCTTTTTCCATAATTTGAGCTTTCTTATATTCTTATTTTTGTTTCTCTGAAGCTATTTTTTCTTTTATTAATTAATCTCTTCTTTAAGATTTTTCTTCTACTTTCTTTTTCAATTACTCTCTTTCATAATCTCTTATTCTCATCATTCTTTCTTAAGTTTCTTCTTATTCCTATTTTCTTAGTAATTCTTTAAGGTGTTTTTCTTTAATCATATCATCTCTTTCTTTTAATACTTTTAGTGCTTATAATTCTTTTGCTTCTCTTTACATACTAATCTTTTCACATTTTTTTTCTAATTCTTAATCATTTTTTAATAATAACTAAAATATTTAATTCAATAATACTTATTATCTATAGTGTTCTCTTTCTTCTTAAAGTTATCTTCTTTGATGTAATGTTAGTTCTCTATCCATTTCATTAATTTTAAATCTATCTTCAATTTCTTTAAATTTAAACATCAGATCATCTTTTCTTTTTTCTTGTTAAGCTGTATTCTTTTTTTATATCTCTTATCTTTTTAATTTTTGAATATCTCTTTTCATATCCTATTCCTTATTCAACAATTCAATTTCCTTTTATTTTGCAATCAATTTTTATTCAGCATTCAATTATTTTTATTAAAAATTCAAATACACTTAATTTAATTAATGTTAAGCCCTTCTCTTATTTTCATCTCTTCTATAATTTGCTTCTTCTTATTTTTCTTAAATCAATTATTATCTGAGTTCTTTCTCTTCTTCTAATAAGATCTGGCGTCTAGCTTCTCTTTATTCCATTTTTTATAATTTTGCCTCATATAATTATTCAAGCATTTATTAATGCACTCTTTCCTTTTCTTCTCTCTCTTCCTATGCTTTCTTTAATTATTTATCTCTTTTATTCTTTTACTTCTTAAGTTCTTTCTCTTATTAAATTCTTTATTATGGTGTTATTTTATGAGTAGTTTCATATTTTAATCGATCTTATTCTGCATATAATTTTTATTTTCTTAAATGCTCTTAATATTCAATTTATTATTTTCTAAATTATTCTTCAATCTTTTTATCCTTCTTTCTTTATTCTAATTCTTAACGTTATTCATTTTATCTCTCTTTCAATTCCATTTCTTTTTTTCTTAATTGATTCTATAACTCTTATGTTTTTATTTCCTCATCTAATGCCTTTTACATTTATTTTTATCTTCTATTTTTTATCATCTCCATTCTCTTTCTTTCCTTTTCTAAATCAATCCTCTCAAACTTTTCATTCTCATATTCATCTTTCTATTGTGAAATAATCTCTTCTCTCTCTGCTATTAATACAGATACTCTAGCTTATCTTTTATCTTCTTCATGTTAAAGAAATATTTTCCAAGCTTGTTCATCTAAGTTTAAATTTTTATTTTCTCTTTTCAAATCGTATAAACTTTTCATAATCAGTTGTTCTGGTCTAATTCCTTATCTTCTACAAGCTTCAATTGATCTTGGGGAATTAATAATTGGATCTCTGACTTTAGTTTAATCAAAATTTAAAAGAGAAACTGGAGTGATATGCATAAGTTAAAATTTATTAATTAAAACATTTATTAATTTACAAAATAATTCTTAGTGTGTATTCATATTACAGTATTGAATATTTAACAGATTATGATATCAATACTTAATAATATATATATTGTTTGATCACTTATATTTGATTTTGTTTGTATATAGAGATTAATATACTTTCGATGAGAATTTATTTTATATAACCATAGCTGTATTAATAAAATTTATGTTTTTATTCTCTTAAAACATATATATATATATATATTTAATTTTTCCTTAATTAGATTTGTTCATTTAATGAACGATGAAGCACAATCTCAAATTTGATTTAAAAAAATTTTATGAGAAAAAAATAAACCCGCCCGTTATTTATACCTAACCCTGAAAATGGGGATTTTCCTTTTGACATCAAAAACGCTAATACACAAGATATAAAAGCTATAGACTTCTATAGAATGTACAATTCAATGCAAATGTTTATAGAGAAATTAATACCAGATCAGGTAAAATACATTTTTATCAATAAAGTCACTCCAATAAAAAGTACAAACTAATATTGATGCCATTTACAGAGTCTATGTTGAAAAAGACTTAAATCCTCCTCCACCTTAAAAACTTGTAGGAAGAAGAAGTTCTCCTTATACATATTAAAAACAAGAGTTTTGGCAATTGGTTGAGCACTTAAATTCTTTAGGATTTTCTTATCGTCAAATATCTGAGAGATTACAAGTGCATTATGTTTAAATTTCAACTCATCATCGAAGCACTGTTGATTATGATGACGAAGATTCAGAATAAGAGTCATTCTCAGTAAAGAAGGAAACCAAAGAATAAGTTAAATAACTAATGGTTGTACAAAAATAATAACAACATGATGTTTTTTATTCAGATGATGAAAAAGGACAGAAATGAAATTCATAAATAAATAAATGCTTTTTCCTTTATATTCAAAATGTCTTTTATTTTTTAATATTGTACTTTGTTTTATACTTATTAACAAAGGACTATCTAATTTAAATGTATAAAAAAAAAGAATTGTAAAAATAATGGAATAATTAATATCAAATTTTTTAGTCATTTTTTCTAAACTTTCCCTTTAACTTCCTCTCTCAATTAATTCAATAAATGATCTTCTTCTTGTTCCTCTTATTCTTCATCTTTGCTTGGTAATTCATTAAAAATTTCATCATCATTAGGTATAGCTGAATAATCTTAAGAATTATTTGAATGCAAATGGGAATTCTATTATTTTGGTTTGATTCTGACATTTCTTTTTAAAAATTCCTAATCATTTAATTCTAGGACAGTGCTGAAAATAGATTTATTCAATAATTCTTATTGTTACTATTCTATAAAAATTGTAAATTTACCAGTTCAGATAAGTTAAGTAATTTTTCTTTAATAGCATCTAGAATTCCTTAAAATCCTTTATCTTTTGATTATGCTAATTTTTTCAAATTTCTTGTAATCCAATTATTCAATTTATTTTATAATAATCCAGAAATTGTTGCTTTTTCTTCAATTTCTATGACCATTTTATCTTAATCTGTTTATTCATTTCTTAATTTATGATTTTCAACAAAAAATTCTTTATCCATATCACTATATTCTTATTTTAATACATTAAAATTATTTCTTAATTCTTGATTTTCTTATTTTAAATTATTTATTTTCTTTTCATAATCTGATATAGATATCAGTAGATGAGCATAAGTTTGTTCTCTCCCTATAAATTTCTAAACAATTTCATTAGCATCTGATATACCTGTTGAAGCCTTTATTTTTTAGAATGCTATTTCTAAATTTTGATATTAAGCTATTCCTCTTTGCATTTTACTTTTCAAAAAAGAATTTAAGAATTTATGAACTAATAATAATTTTCTCCATTTTTTTAATGCTCCATCTCTAATATCATTAGCAGCAACTTCTGCAATCTCTTATTATCTTTTTATTCTTTCATCTCTTTTGTGTTCAACATCTGATTTTTATTTTAGTTCATTTTTAAATCTTGATATATTTTTTTCCCTATTTCTATTTTATTGTTTAATTCCATCAGCCACTTCTTTCAAGGCTAACATGGTTTTTTAAAGTAAAACTTAAATTTCCAAAGCTCTATAAATTAATAAGTATATTACTTTTAACTTGATGATTAATATGATAATAATGCTTATTTAAGATGTCTTTCATATTAATTTGCTCTTAATTAATAAGTTACTTAATCTTTTTTCATTCTTGTCAACATATGTTCAAAAATCTTTTTATCATAATTGCTTTGACTTAATAATTTTTATTATTCTTATAATTTTAATGAGTATTCATTTTCTTGTCTTTCTAAATCCTTTTTTCTTATATTATATTATTCGATTTAATAACTCATTTGATCAATATCCTTTCTCATTTTATCAATATCTTTATCTTTATTAATACCAGACATTTTCATATTATCACAACTTTTTTTTAATTCTGTCAAATTAGCATGTACTTCTTAAGCTTCATCAACTTTCTATTATAAATATATATATATTGGATTACTTTTTAATCTTCTAATTATTTAGGATAATAATCATTATCTTAACCTAAAACTGAGCATAAACTATTATGTTTAATCATTTTTTCAACTGATAAGAGAACTGATGAGTTACGATATTTCTCAAAATCACTCTTTTTAGATCTAGTACGAGATTTATGTGAATAAAGTCTAATCTTATTAATAATTGGAAGTGATTACATCTGGAAGTTCCACTACGGACATTATTGATAATAAATAAAATATATTTCATTGTATATATTAAAATAATTTTATAATTATTTAATATGATAATAGAAGAACTAATAAAAAGTGAAATTATATAGTTTGTGAAGTTGTGTTTTAAATTTAAATAAATTTTTATTAATTATGTCAATCATGAAGTATTTCTTTGGATTACAAATAAATCACATTTAGAACTTGATCTTTTTAAATTTGAACATGTTGTACAAATTAAGCAAGTTCTGAATCTATTTCAAAAGTCTTTAAATAATTCAACATATCGATTTATATCTTTTGTTATTATCAAATATTGTACAGATTCATCAATTAGATGATTACTTCCATTATAATCTTTCAATCCTCTATTTTATCTAGGGATTTATTTATGTTCTTCAATGTCATCAATAATAGAAACCATTTCAATTATAATCTACATTAATTATATTTGTATACTTTCCCATTGTATGCCAGACATTCATAACATGAAATAATCCCATTTCCTTTAGTCAAATAAATACTAAATGGAGATGAATTACTTTAAAACGAACTATAATAGTTTTCTGAAGAATTTTGAATTTGGATTATTTAATTATCAATTATTTCTTGCTCTTTTGATTATTATCTGTTTTAGAAATCAATACAAATTAAAATTTAAATATTTTCTACATTTTTACTTAGTTCTATTCTTAATTGATCTTCAAAATCTTTAAATTTAAAACCATTCCATTTTATTTGATCATTATTATAGTGATTTATGTTTAATGGTATAGTTTCAATCATTTTTTCAATTTCTGTAAGTTAAAATAGATGATCTTTAAATAAACATTCAATATACTTATTTCAATTAACTATTATGGAATAATTATTTAAGATCCAGGAAAGTTCACAGAGAATAAAGTTCTTGCAATTCTTAAAGGCATTTTTGTAATCATAGATGTTTTTGAATATGTATTTAATGAAATTATAATTAAAATTAAGATTATAATGGGAGCAGCAGTATGTAAATAATAGAATCAAACCTATGGAGAAGAAATTATTTAGAATCAAAATGATGTTTAAGTTAATAATATGACTTTTGCTAAAGAATAATCATCAAAATTGGATGGTTCCAATCTTAAACATCCAAGTTTACAAAAGAAAATTATCACTTAAGTGACAGAGAAGCTACCAGATGACCCTATAAGTATAATCAATTCAATATAATTATTACTAGATTTAAGCAACAATTAATCAAGTATCCTCTATGAAGAAAGATAGGAACCTACTACACCTGCACTTCCAACTCAGTAAATAATTCATATAAAGTAGCGATGTTATCTAATAGAATGTATAACAATAACATTTTTAGAAGATTTATTTATTGAATAAAGAGGAAGCTTAATCTGTAAAAATGAATTCAACATAAAAATTAGTGTCTTCTCAACAAGAAGAAATTCTACAATGTATCTATGAATTATGAAATTGAGATTAGAGTTCAAAGAATAAACATCGCAATATTCTAAATCATGCAAAGATGATAACAGATAAAAGTTATTAAATATAAATTTAGTTGAAGATAATGTAATTGATTTCAATTATAATAGCTTGATGATTATATTTATTTTGATTGGAAGAACAGTAATTTTTAGTTAACTAATATTAATGAATAAAATCTATTGAAGAAAGTAAGTTCAGCTAAAGTTACTTCTAAATAAGTTAAAAAAAACTATTGATTTTCATAGAATAATTTATATAGATTAACTAAATCATTAATATAAAAATTACATTTTGAATATCTTATTTTTAGTGAATATAAGTATTTATGATTTTTAATAATTTTAACTTACCATCACAAAAAAAAATAAAATAAAAATATACAATTAAACTTAGAAGTTGTATATTTCTAATATTTATATTAGATGAATATAATAATAAGTTACTTTGAATTTTTTCATTTAAAAATAAAATCAAATAAACTTCAATTAATTTTATACTAAAAATATTCTTTATAAAATGTATCTGTAAACTCTATTTTATATAATAATGATTACATCTCTAAATTCTTTATTCAATATTAATCATTTATGATATTTTTATTAATCAAAAATCAAATGAGATCTAAAGAGTTGAAAATAGCATCTATAAATATTATAATATTGACAATTAGAAAGTAATGCTTCTATTTTTTAAGGTAATTAAAATAAGTATTATATATGAAATGATCAAAAAGAAGTAAACTAAACCTTTAATAAAAATTTAATTTATATTTGAAAGATCACTTAGTTTATTTATAATTTAATCAGATGAATAAATATAGCACACGATTTAAAGATTCAGTTTTAGAAAAATAATATTTAATCCATAAAGTTTAAGTAATATAGTTTCCAATATTAACATACTTGACTATTGGTGGAACTATTTTATTACTTGCAAATTCAATTATCAATTTGATAAACATTGATTACACAAATGCACTAATTACAGCAGCAATTATGACTTATTTATTGCTCTAATATATAGTTTTAAGAAAAAATGAATCACTTAAAATAAATTATTGTAATTTGGCATTAATGATGACTAATTTTGCTTCATTAATTTTTGAAATTTCAATTTATCCAGAATATGATTATTATGATGGGTATTTACTTGGATCTAATCAAATGTTAGTACATACAATTTTGATGTTTGCTTGTAATTTAGAATTAGGAATCTTGAGTAATATTGTACTAACTATTGTAAGAGTAATTTTAGTAGTAGAAAATTCATAAAATCTTACTGCATAATAATATTTTTATTCAATTATTGTGTCATTGAGTTTTATGGTGATTTAATATCAATTAGAAAAATAATATCGATAATCATTTTATCTATAATTCAAAGATAATAGTTGGGGTATTAATAATTATTTATTATTATAATAGAAATCTTAATCCCATTATTATTGAAAAAACCATTTTTCATTTTTACCTTTAATAAAGAATCCAATATGTATTAAACAATTATGAGTTCTTAAAAAGAATTCTTTAACTCAGAAAAACCTCTTAGTACTTTCTTATTTAAATCTAAAGTAAAATAATAGACCTTGGAATAATATATAATTAGGAAAACTATTTACAATTAAAATAATAAATAATCTTCTTGTTTATTTAATCATCAAATTGATGTTGAATATTAGATGAAGAAATTGCAAGTTTCTATAGTATGTTGTAAATTTGAATAAATGATTTACACTATTACTATAGATTCAGAAGATCCAATAATAAATTAAACCAATATAAAATTAAACTAAGCATTGTAAAATTGTAGAAGTATTTTAAACACTTAGATTTTACAAATCAATAAAATTTTAGGTGTTTATTTATAAGATACTTTTAGTCCTTTATTAAGAGATTTAAGAATATCTTTATTTGAAGTATATTATAAATAAATATCAAATCAAAAATTATAATTAGTAAAAATGAAAAAGTTATTATTTAAATGTTCAAAAATATTCGAAACTCCTAATACTAAAATTAAAATTGATTGCAGTGAATAAATTCGATTTATTACTATAAAACCAATTTTAATTATATTTCTATTTGAAATATTTAAATAAGTGGACAAGAATTAATAAGTATAGATATTCATAAATCAAAAAAATACAACAACAATGTTTATTTATGGATTAAAATAATTGCCTAAAACTGTATAATTTAAATAATGTTAATAAATTCTAATAGATAAAACTAATTTTGAAACTTAGTGTAAAATATTATTATGCAAATTTAGATTTTTCATTTGAGTTTTAAAAATCTCCGTCTCTTCATTTTCATTTTGAGAATCATGATAAATAATAATAATTATATTGATTAATTTAATATTATCTATGATATATAATCATATATATTATAGAAGACTGAGAAAAATATCATTTTTTAAATGTATAGAATAATTAAAAATAAAGAGATAAAATGAACTATTTTAGATTATAATTATAAGCTTTAAGATTAAAAGATATATATTCTTTATTAATTCAAATTCTAAATGATCTAATATATATTAACTAATAATAATATTAAATAAAATATTAAAAAAAATGTAATATTCAAACACTTATGAGTCAGTTGTTAAGACTTAGGTAGTTAGTGGATAAGATCAAAAACCACTAAATTTAGGATTGACTGATGTTGAAGGAGCTAAGGTTAGTTTGTTAATTTCGAATATAGGCTGTTGCAAGAAGACTATTTGATACTTACGATAGAGATAGAAATGGATAAATTGATAATGTTGAAGTTGTTCCAATGATTGTAGATGTTTATAAATCATTCAATCGAATTTTCTCACCAGCTAGAGGAGATATTGACTCATTTTATAAGTTGAAAATAATAGATATATTTTTATAGAGTTTTAGATAGAAATCAAGATGGAAAGATAACATATTAAGATCTTGAAGATTTATGTATTAGATATCTAACTAACTAAACACCAACAAATATAAGAGCTACTGAAGGTCCTCGTTAGAGTGGTATCCAATAGACATCATAAACAGTCACTTCACAATACAGAAGATCTTAATTTTGATTGTGATTGGTATATAAAAACGAATTGCCAAAATAATAATATTCATTTTCAATACTATCTGCTTGTAATACTACCAAATACTAATTGAATATGTGGTTCATCTTGAATATCAACTCTTTCAGTATTATTTTTCATGAAAACTTATGATGATTAAAGATTTTAGCATAACATTTCCAATTAATTGGAGTATATTCTAGAAAATAATCTTTTAATATCATCATCCATAAATTATAATATTGCCTCATCTGTTGTAGTGAGTTCTTACTTTTTAATAACTCTTGAATAAGCTTCATAAGCATCATCTAATCGAAGTACATCTGGTTTTTCATTTTCCAAAATGAATTTATATTCTTACTTTTATTCTAATTCTTTTATTTTTTTTTCGAAATTATCATCAAACATATCATAAGGTATCATAGGTTTTGGAATATAATTAAATAAAGCTAATTGATCTTTGTTTAATAAGATATGTTTCAATTTATCTAATTCATTAAATTTTGTAATCAATTAACAAATATCTAATTTATTTATTATTTTATTCATAGCATATTTTAATTATCTTTATTTATCCTTTTTACAACCTAATTAAAATTTTATATTATCAAGTAAAGTAAAATTTAAAGAACACTTTTTTTTTCTTAAAAACTTTTTTATTTCTTATTAAGTTTTAGAGAATTCAGCAAAAGACTTTCTAATTTAAATGTTTTCTGATTTCATAACATCATCTGGTTAATCTTTAACATCACTTTTATTTAATTAATTACCAATTGGAACTGATTTAGCTACTGACAATATATCTAAATCAAGTGATTCCTTACTTTCAAATCTAAATATTTTATTAGCCATAGCCAAATTCATTGAAGAAAATAAAATAGGATAGAATAGACAATTAAAAAAAATAATAGTGATTTACCATAAACCTCCAATTTATCCTAATAAAGTATAGAGTTTTAGATAACTCCTTTAATATTGATTTCTTCTCTATTCTAAGAAAATAGAATTTTAGACCAGATATTATTTATTATATGGTGTGCTATCTTCTTTTATAGTGGATTACATTATTGCTGTATCCAATACATAATCAGTCTTCAAAATACCATAATCTGTTGTTGTTTCAGTGACTTTGAAAGTTGAATGTATTGATTTTGAATTAGTTAAAGAAAATTGAGTATATTAAATAGATATCACATCTTAATATGGTTTTTAAGGTGATTGCATTTAGATTAACGCATCACTTAAATACATTACCTATAAATATGAATTGAATATATTTACAAAAAATCCAGATTACATTTTACTATTGATTTCTTCTAAAGACGCACAACCTTAATAATCAGTGGAATTTTTGCATATACTAAAAGTTACTGTCAAAAATTAAAATCTATCCTCTTGACTATATCCTTAGAGTTGCTATATACTAATTATTAATCTATACCAATGCATATTAATTCCAATAGTCAATAGAAGGGCAATACATGTATTGAAGTTTGAATTTTTCAAAATATTCTTATTAATATTACTCTTAAAAATGTTTATCCATTTGACAAGGCTCTAATGGAATATTGGAGCAGCTGAGTTATACTGAAGGTATCATACTTATAATCAATTTATGAAATTCCATCTTCATTTAAAGAACGATTTCTTAGACAATTTTGTACACTTAATGTAAAATATTTGTTTAAAGTTTGCAAAGAACTTAATTGTGGATTTGCGATTGTCAATACAAATGTAAAATTATTTTTCCCAAAATACAATGGCTTATCATATTATTTATTAATACAGAAGTGTTTGAAGGTTGGAGTTCTGAAAAAACAACTTTAGGGCTATCTCGATTTGTCAAATCTAATATTTCATGGATAATGTAATATAAATAAGCAAGGCATATAATAATAGTTATAATTTAGCCTAACGGAGTAGAGAACTTTTGCCTCTTCAAAATTCTAAATTAAGGAAGCAATCCAAAAAAATCTAAGCGTTCTATTACTTATGTGGTTAAATTTTTTGAGCAAGTTTAAGGTTTTTGAAATTTAAGCATAAATGTTATAAAATATCTTAATTATTGAAAAATAAATGTTATTTTGAGCATCATGATTTCACTTTAGGTGAAGAATTTAATAATCTGAATTTATAAAGGATTTATTTCTAAGTAAATGTTGAATTTCAACTTTATTCAAAATAATTTAATGAAACTAAACTTAAGTGAAAGTGCAATCCTTTACCCAAACTTACAAATAAGTAATCATAAAATAACATTTCTGTGTTTTATAACTTTATTTTAACAATCTACTGATTAGTTGAATCTTTATTTCATAAAGTTATATTCAAATTTAATACTCTATAATAATTACAAATATAGAACAATAAATCTATATTAGGATTATTTTGGCCCTCTATAGTGATATTAATTATTGAATTTTAAAAAAAGAATTCGTTTTTGACAAAATAAATAATAAAATAATGAAATCAACATTAACTGTCCTTTTGATTGTTTTAGTATCTGTCTAGGGTTTCTAGATTGATATGTTTAGCAAACATCATATCCCCAACAGAAACATTATGGAAATTATGATGTAAATTGAATCCCAACTTGCTTCAGGAGGTCCCTTCGATACAATTAACACAATGTTGTAAGGCTTCAGAACTTCAGTTACATCTGAATAAATTGCTCATGATGACTTATTTGCTAGATAAAAGAATGAATGCGATTCTGAAACAGCTTTCAGAAGAGGATAAATTCAAGATGCAAGCAAAATTTTGAGTGCTTCAACAAATTAATTGAACCTATGCTCATTCTAAAGATAAAAGGCAAAGGCTGAATTTGGTATGACTGAAGATTAACTTACAATGAATTAATAACACTTATCATTGATTTAAGAAGTCAGAAAAACAGAATAAGAAAACTTTAACAAGATGGCAGTTATCTTCTAAGATGCACTAAGAGTTATTGATGAATCTGTATATTTGGCCAAAAAATTCAGTGTTGGAGATGCCAGCTTAATTGAATTAGCTGATGCAACAGGTTAAATGATGTAACACTCTGTTAGTTTGAAAAGAACTGGATAATATGCTGCAGTTTTGGCTTCTTTAGCTAGAATTTCTTTGGCTGAATAAGTTAGTTCTGCTGATGTTGAAAGATTAATTCAATTATTATAAACTTTAAGGTATTTAATCAATTAATATATTTAGAAATAACATCGAAGATTCTTATAATCAATTCACAGCTGAAAACAATTAAGCTATTGTTTTATATAACAACTAAAAGGAAAGAATTGATAAGAACATTGCTAGATTAGAAAAATCTAAGACTAGACTTGAAGATTAAATTACTGATTTGAATGGATGTGTTGCCACTTAAACTGCCATCTCATAAGCTGCTAGTAACAAAAAGTAAAGAAATTAAAAATTGTTGGATGATGCAACAGCTCTTTGCACTACTTTCAATAGTGAATATGAAAATGCTTCAGCTGCTAGAAGATAAGAATTAGTTCTCTTATCTGAAGTTGAAAGATTAGTAGAAAAAAGATAAAATGAAATTAAATGATGAAAATTATCATCAATAATAATCATGTTTAATAAATTATTGTATCGTAAGAAGGACATTGACTCATTGACCGCGTAATACTTTGTGATTGTCTCTACTTTAATCGTTCTCTAAATTACAAATTCTATTAATGTATATTCTCTCTAATGATTGCATCTTTTTGGATTGTATTTGTATGATGTGATTCAATTAAAGTGTTAAGTTGTTGATTTTGTGTTTCTTGATTGAGTTAAGATTGAAAATTAATTTTATGGATTGTTTGTTTTGATCTAATTGATGTATTGAGTTATTCTGGATCCAATTTAGAAATAGAAACTCTTGTTGTTTATGCTCGATTGGAATTTCTAGTAATATGTTCAATAGTATGATCTTAAGATAAAGTATATTGAATTTTTTCTAAAAAATAGTACTTGATTGGGTCTTGATGTTAGTCATAATATTCAACGCATTTAGAATACATTGCAATTAGGGTATCAATTGTAGAAATGGAATTCTTAGATTCAATACGTGCGATTTGTGTAAAGAATTCTCTAGAGAGATTCATTTTAATTAATGCAATTAAATCAATTAGGCAGGAGCAAAATGTGCTACTTGCAAGAGCATCAAGAATTTGATATGCGCATTAAGTATTTGTGTATTGACAGCCAATGCACTCTTTAATTCAGAGCAATGTGTACAGATTGTTATAATAAGTTGCATTAAGGACATCGCGTAATTGATTTGATTGAAGCTGAACGATTGGCGTATCAGCAACACCAAGAAAATTTAGCATAATTTAAGACGCATATCACTAAACTAAATGAGATTCTCTAACACAGTATAAAGACCATAAAGGCTCATGTTAAAAAATTGCAGACACAATTCAATATTCTCATTGAATAAGAGTTGGAGAAATTGCATTAATATCATCTCAAATCTCCAATTGATCTAAATGAATTTGCTTAACAACTGCTACAGAATCAGAGTATTGTATCTACAACTTCTATGTAAATTTTAACCAAAGGAGTCAAATAGCTGTTGTTAAAATCTTATTTTTTAACTTCAGATATTACAGTTTTTTCATTTAAAGATTATATCACTCTATCAGATGAATCATTAGTTTAAATCAAAAGGTTTGATCTAGTACAAAAGGTACTTTTAGATTAAATTACCTTTACAACTAATTCAACTGAAGCACTTTAAATATTCAACAGTCATCCTAAGAAAATCAAATGTCCAGGACTAGTTCATATTTATTCTATTGATATAAAATAAGATGGCACTTTAATAGCTATTGGAGGTCATCCTGATACCCTCCTTTTAATAGATCCAATCTCAGAAATTCTAGTGAAAACCTTTAAAACTTCATTCCTAGAAATCTTTGCTGTTAAATTCTCTTCTGATGGACTTAGATTAGCTGCAGCTGGTTCTTGTCCATATGAAGTCTATGTTTGGAATTGTAATGATTTCGAACAAAGTCCAATAATCTTAAAAGCTTAGCATCTTAACTAAATCAACAGATTACAATTCATCTCAAAATATTTATATACTGCTAGTGATGATTATAAACTAAGAGTCTGGAAGCTTAAAAAGAATGGAATCAAGAATTATAAGGAATATATAGGACATTGGGATAGTGTTTATGGTCTAGCTGTTAACAATAAGCACGTTGCATCAACTGGTAAGGATAAAACTTTGATTGTATGGTTTAAAGGCAAGATCCTGAAATAATGGATGGCTCATGATAATGAATATGGTGGATATTGTGTTGAATATTCTCTAGATGGGAAATTACTTATATCTACTGGTTATGATAAAATTATTAAATTATGGAATACTGAGCATGATTATAAATTGATTAAGCAATTTTAATCTCATGATTAACCAATATGGACACTAGGTCTTTTATCTAATACAGGATTACTTGCAACAGCTAGTTGGGACAATACAATTAAAATTTGGGATATAAAAAGTGGAAAATGTGTATACACTCTTGAGAATCATTTTCATTCATCTCCATGTATAAATATCAAGTGTTATCCTTTATAATTCTTAGCCACCAATGAGGATGGCATAATTTTAATATGGAATCTGTGATCACTTATGAATTAATTTTTATAATTGTAATTTACATTCATATACTTTTATATTTTTTATAATTTATTAAATATAAAATTAGGATAAATATTTTATTATATTTAAAAATGAATTATTATTATGAATATTATTTGGGTTAACATGATTAGAACTAAATCAAGTCTCTTAAATTCTTTAAATATATTTCTATATTCATTCATGTTCCCATTAAAAATATTCAAAATAACTATTTTATTATAATCTTTTTTTTATGATTAATGAATAAACTATTTAAGATATGGTACCTTATATATGGCCGGAAGATTATGATGATAGACTTCAATTTAGTTTGGATTTGAAAATACAATTTGAAAATTTCATAATTTCAAACCCTAAACTTAAGAATTATGTATTATAGACTATGTAGAAAATTTCAGAAGAAGCTCCATATTTAGATTTATTTGATATATTCAAAATTGAGAAGGAGAGAACTCATAAATTATACAAAGTTCTCTACTCTCTTCACTCCAATAACAATACATAAATTGATTTCAAATAACCAGTTCCTAATAAAACTCTATAAAAATTACTATCTGATTCCTATAGATTGTTTAATAGAAGCATCTTAGATTATTAATGCAAACTTATATCCTATGCAAAGTACTAAAAAATAGCTGTTTCATTATTAAAAAAATCCATCAATCAAATGTACATAGATTATAATACTATAAATTTTGTTTGTTCTTGTGCTACTAAATAGTGTATTACTTTAAATAGATTATGGAAAGATTATGATGATACTGGTGAAAAATATAAGAAATTAAAAGTATCTCTTCAAAAATTGGAATAAATGTAAAAGCCTGATGATCTTACTCATTATTTTAATAGATAATAACTCATACTTATATATACACTTTTTAGTCTAATGTAATGTGAATAAACAATTGCTATCCAATTAGGTGAATAGTATTTACCTTTTTAATACATACCTCCTTAAACTCACTTTGAAGAGTAAACATAAGATTTCACTTGGAATATAAATGGATTTTCTTAAATTAGAGATTATTTTCCTAAATTAGCACATAAACTCAACAAAAAAATGAAACTACTCAAAGACCTTCCTTTATTCACTATTTAAGAACGTATTAAAATTTATTAATATACATAACACCAATTAGGATATAAATAAATTGATGATATACATATAAATTTATAACAAAAAATAATTGATATCCTAAATTATAGATAAATAAACTGTGAAGTAGAATTAATTCTACTAGTTGCAAATGCAAAGTGTTATACATAAATACTCTATTCATTGATATGATTATAATTATTATTTCAATTTTATATTAATTATTATAAATAATATATAAATTTTAATATAATATCATTTTTTTTTTAAATTGAGAAATAATCTCTGCAAAATATTTTTAATTCTAATGTTAATAGTTAGAATATATTAATCTAGAGATTATATGTAGTATTAAAAGATTTTTAGATATGTAATTTTATAAAGAATTGAAGAAATTAAAAATATAAATATTTTCAATAAATAATAAAATAATTAAAATTTCTTTAAATATTAATTAATCTTTACAGTTTATATTATATCAGAATTATAACAAAATAACTTGATTTATTAATTTTTTAGTGAATGAGTGATTTCAAAAAGAATCTTTATTCTCGTCAAAAATAACAAGACCTTTAATTATTGAAATTAATACCTGACTCTTTACCTGATGAAATTAAACAAGCCCTTAAATCTTCTGTTGAAAATTTAACTAAATAAGAAGCTGATTAAGAAAAGTTTGAAGAATATATTCATAAAGTAAATTCAGATGATATTATAACTTCATTTATTGGATTAAATCGATGTAGGAAACTTTTGAGTAATCCTCAAATAGCAGCTCCAACAGAATAAATGATTGAATTGTTTTTTCAAACAAGAGTTCATATTAAAATCTTTGACATAGCCAAAAATACTAATATTCCATTGTTAAAATATGAGGCTCTTTGGATAATCTGTAATATTGGATTTGGAACTTAAAAATAGATATAAACTATTGTTGATAATGATGGAATAAATATTCTGTTTTAAGCACTTGAATCAGAATATGTTGAAATCAAAGAACTGGGAGTTTGGGCATTAGCAAATATGGCAGGAGAAAACTTAATTTTTAGAGATATGTTATTGTAGTAAGGAGTTCTAAAGGTGTTCATCAATTTAGCTAATAAATGCAGGGATAATCAAAGTGAGACTAATAATTGGGGAACTAAAAATTTAACAATTTTGAAAACTCTAGTATGGGCCTTTTCTAATTTAGCCAAAGGAAAGAAAACTCCAGAGAAAATTGTATTATATTACATTAACTAATTAGTTTTTTAAAGATTTAGTTTATATTCTTTGTTAAATTATAGTGGAAACTGAGGATGAAGAGATATTAAAAGATGCTTGTTGGGGTTTAAGTTACTTAAGTCAAGAAGATTTTCTAATGCATATTATAATTTAAGAACAAATTACTTAAAAATTAGTTTTACTATTGCAAAAAGAAAATCAGAGTATAGTGATTCCTGCTTTAAGAATCTTAGGAAATATATTAACTGGTAATGAGGAGTAAACAAATGTAGTAATGAACTGTGGAGTTGTATAAGTCTTTTAAAAATTACTTCAGAATAATAAAAGAAATATCCGACAAGAAGTAAAAATATATATAAATACTAAGGTTTGTTGGTCATTGTCTAATATTGCTGCTGGTTCTTCAGGTTAAGTTAAATAAATTATTAGAGATGATTAACTTCTTAATTCTATATTTCTATTATTAAACAATGAAACCTCAAATGTAATAGAATAAATATCTTACATATTTTCAAATTGTATTTTTTCAGCAGAATTAGAAGATATTGATTATCTTGTAATATAGCATGGGCTCTTTTAAAAAATGTCATTACTACTAGATATGAATGAAAAAATAGTAATTAGAGTAACCCTTGAAGGTATCTATTAAATTTAAAAAAGAGGTATTATATTAATTTTATTAAGTTCAAAATGATCAAAGATAAGAGTAATACAAAAAATTCATTGTAGATTCTAAAATTATGGATAAGGTTGCCGATTAATTAAAATACTCATCTAAAGAGATTTCTTCTAAAGCTAGCAAAGTTTTTGAAATTTTTAATTCCTGAAATTTATAAATAATTATGTTACAATTATAAATATATAATGTAAATATAGTATCTTTATATATATATATAAATAATAGATCTTTTTCATAATTAGTTAATTATCATTAAATTAATTTTAATTAATTAATAAACTTATTCTCTTATAGATTTTCTTAAATTGATTTTGATTCTAATTAGATTAATCATAAATAAATTTATATTTCTTATTAAAAAGTGTTTTACTTCATTAATATGAAATTAATTTAGATTATTTTGATTAAACATAATTTAATAATCTTGAACTTAAATAAAATTTGATACATTAATTTAAATTCTTTTACTTTTATTCAATCTTAAAAGCCTATTTAAATTGATATTAACATATTTTATTATTCCATATTTAAAACCATCCAATAATCATTTTGTATAATTATTTCAACATTATTAGTTTTATTTCTAACAATTTTGAAATATTTTATTACATTTTAATTAACTAAAGATAAATTTAAAATAAGACCAAACAGTATAATTTTTTTATTTGATTTTTAAATTCATTATATTATATTTTGAACTTATCCTATTATATCCTTTAAAATTGATTCATAATCATTAATTTTTCAATTTGAATATATAATAATAATATTTATTTTAAGATTTAAATTTACTTTTTCTTTTTATTTTTAAAAATATATTAATTTATAGTGTTTTAGATTTGGGTGGAATTATTTCATTAAAATTTTTAATCCAAATCTAATATTTATTGAATAATTTACACTTATTTTCAAAATGATAATGATATATTGATCATTCTTTATTTATACAATAACTATAGATATATTTGATAATATATAATATTTCAAAAATCCTTAAAATTTCAATTAATTGTGTCCCTTAGCTAAAAACGACCATTTTTAGACAATTATATTCAAGGTGAAAAATGCATTCTTAAATAATTAAATGATTTCAGAAATTGCTATTATGGTTTATATTAAATTTTAATAATTATTTTGAGCAAGATATAAAACATACTTTTAAAAAAATACTCTATCAATTCTCAATTAAAAGCGTTGCTTATAGAATTTAACCAAGCATGATATTAAATATCAAAATTTTACTATTACTAAGAATCCTTTGAATAAAAATTAAGATTAATATTTTTTAATTAAATGATTAAGGAATATTATACATAAACTATATAAAATATATATAATAGAGTAAGAAAAAATAGCAAAATAAGGGTTTTTAAGTTTTATCAAATAGTGTTGCAGGATAAGAAAATACATATATTATTAAATTAGAAATGAACATTTAATAGAGAAATTAATATCTCAATTCATAAGTAACCTATATTCATTAAAATAATAGAAACTTTAAATATTTTTATACAATTCTTCATAGGCATTTTTAACTATGAAGAATATTTAGTACATTTATAAATGTTTATATTAATATATATCACAAATTAAAATATCATATTTTAAGATATCTCTTGTAATCATTTTTTAAATTCTAAAACAAATAACTTTAAAACTATCATTAATTATTATGTATAAATACTCTTTAAGATTCAAAGACTCAAAAATTGAAGAACAGTATTTGATACATCGAAGCACAACACTCCAATTTCCAACCCTAACTTATGTTACAGGAGGAGGGTTCTTACTTTTGATCATTAACTTTTTTGTTCATTTGATAGGTCAAAGTTATTAAAAAGCCATAAAAAATGGAGCCATTGCATTTTATCTATTATTTTAATACATATTGTTAAGAAAATACAGCAAATTTAGAAAGTACTCGAATTTTGCTTTGCTAATATGTAATTTAATCTTTACAGCATTTGAATATGATAATCCCGCTCCTGTTAAGACATATTATGATGGTTATATATTAGGAAGCAATCAAATGTTGGTACATAATATTTTGATGTTTGCTAACAATCTTAAATTAGGAATTGTTGCTAATTTAATTCATACTGTCTCGAAAATATTGATTGTATAGCTTTATTAAGGTAATATGGATATTTAGCAATATGTTTATACAACTGTATTGAGTTTAAGTTTTATTATCATTTAATATGAAATTGAGAAGTAATACAGGAATTCATTTTTTCTGTCTCTCAAAGACAGTACTTGGGGTAATAAATGTGAAAAATAATATATTAGAAATCATGACTCCTTTATTTTTAAAGAAACCTTACTTTTTATTTTCTTTCAATAAAGAAGAGAATGCATATTAAGTAATATCCTCATACTTAAAAGAATACTTTGAATCAGAGACTCCTTTAACAACATTTATGTATCAATCAAAGGTTTTAGGTAATGAATCCTTATAAGCATACATATAAAGATTGACTGTTAAAAGCTTAGAGAATCGTAATAATTTATGCTTATTCAATTAATATCTGAATGTCGATTATCTTAATAAAAAAGTGGCAATTTCAATAATAGCATACTAATTTGAAAAAGTGATATATGCAATAATTATTGAATCTGAGGATCCAATAAGAAAAGAGTAAAAAATGAAATACTTGTAGTAGATTTAGATATATAAAGAATTTTTCCATTTATAAATAATGCCTATAAATAAAGTGTTAGCAACAATATTAAAGGAGAATCATCATCCTTTATTGAGGGATTTGAGAATATCATTAATTGAGATATATTATTAGTAGTCTTAAGTATGTGAATTAAAGTTAGTAACTATAAAGAAGTTACTTCTTAAATGTGTACAATTATTTTAGACACCAAAATATTCAATTAGTATAGTTTGCAATGATGACATAAAATTTATTACTATGAAACATGCATTAATAATATTTCTACTTGAAATACTAAAAAAAAATAATGGATAATTTTTATAAATAAGAATTAGTTAAGTTTAAAATACTTCAATATAAATAATTGGTATGAATCATTTACCTTAATCAGAACTATTTTAAAAAAGTAAAGAAATGTTAATTGAAAGAGTTTTAGAATCTCAGAATTGTAAAATTAATTTTATATTTAGGTTTTATGTTCATATTAATGAAAACACCACATTAAAATTTTAATGATTATTTTTACATTTAAGATTCCAATTATTGATAATTGATTATAGATTTAATTACTTATATATAAATATATAACTTACTAATTTCTTATTAAGATATATTATTTATTGCATTATTTCTCTTACTTTAACATTTAATTTTGATATAATAAAAATAAAATAAAATGGACGATTCACAATTAGATTTAGGAGCTTTAGAAGATATTGATCCAAGTTTAGAAGGAGGATTTAAAATATAATTTGATAGAGAAATTCATATAGAAACAAGGTAGATTTTAAATGAATAATAATTAATTAGGGTTTAGGATGCAAATACTGGTCCATAAGAAATAGGGACATTAGAATTGGTTAGAGTGAAAATTTTAGTTTAAGTTTGTTGTGTTGTAATTAAATTTAGGGAGAATAACAAGCATTCGATAATTTGAAAATTGAGTTAACTAGTGAAACAGATTTGTTTTTCAATTATAATACAATGTATAATTAAATATAATAATAGCATAAATAAAGATAATTATAAAAGAATAAGAGAAGAATAAAAACTAACTATTGAATATCCTCAATTTTTATAAATGTTAATCAAATTGTTAAACTCATGTCATAAAGAGCCTAATCAGTATAAATTTAAATTGATTAAGTTTTTTCTGTGTATTCTTTATGCAATAAGATGGAGCTGCAAGATTAGATTTTATTGAAAATTTAGAATACAAATTTATGGAAATGTTGTCATTAGATTTTAGTTCTGCTTCTGAAGAGACAATTAGATAAAATGTTTCATTTAGATATAATTTAATGAAAGCAAAATTATAATTTGTTTAGAATAGGTATAAAGAAATAAAAAATTTTATTAGATTGAATGACATAGCCTCATTGATAAAATTAAAGAATCCTTCTTTATTAGTATAAATTAATAAAGCATCAGCTGGTGTCAGTTAAAATCAAAGTACTTAAAATGCTAGCAAATACTTGGGATAATCAAAAAAGAATAATACATCAAAATTTGTTTGATTAAGCTAATATTCATATTAACATCACAGGATTAAATATTTTAACTTCTACTTAATTATGACTAGCAAATCCAGAATGTGCTTCTTATATTTAAATAATGTCTTTCTTATCAAATTCTTTATTACAAACCATACATTTTTTATCTGGTAAGCAAATACTAGAAATACAACTCATACACATAACATGTCCACAATGTTTACTCATTCCAATTTTTTAATATTTTAATGTTTTATTACATGCATAACAAAATACTTCTTTAGTTTCACCATTATTATCATTTAATTTTGTAGGATATAATTTTTTAAGTTTTATTTCATGATCCCTATTGGCAGGACATCTACAAATATTTTTTGGTTATTCTAATTTTTCTTCTTATTATTCAGGTTAAGATTCAGGAACCCAAAAATTTTTACATGTTAAATCTTTCTTAGACATTGTAAGCATTTCTTTTCCCTTAAGTTACATTTTCTCTAATACTTTCTTTTTTTATTCTGCTTCTAAATTAATATAACTAAAAATTAATTAAATTTTCATAATTACCCTTATAATTTTTCTTCTACTTTAGATTTGAATTATCTTCTTTCAATGACATCATTTTAATAATCTAACTTTTCAAAATTTTATTCTTTTTCTTTTTGTTATGCTTCATCTTATTATTACTATTTCTACTCTTATTATTATTTTTTTTGATTGTAGGCCGCAATTAGTTTCTCATTTTCTTATTTTTATTTAACCTTATTTCATAATGAAAAATAGATTACCATATTTTATATTATACATTCTCTACAAAATAAATGTCCTTTTTCACATGTCAAAGGCTCAATCACTCTACTAATACATAAATAACAAAAATCAAATGGTCTTTATGAATCTGATCCAACACGAGAATTTTATGTACCAAAATCTTTAACCATTTTCCTTTCTGCATATGTAAATACTGGATTTGCTGTATTATTTTTTGAATGTCTTGACATTATAATTAAATTATTATTTTATATTGTTGTAATTTTCATACTTTATTGAATAAATTTAATTTGAATTCTGGTGTTCTGCTTAAATGACTGATCAAATCTCTTTATCTAATAACATCTCTTTATTCAGGTGTTAATCCCTTGAATTCAAAATTAATTCCTTCTTCTGCTTTATTTCCTATCTATAAATTACCATGAGTTGTATTATAATAAATCCAACCTATACTATTTTTTTATATTCCTTACCAATTATTCCTCCAATCAAAGCTCCAACACCACTTCTTCTGATACTGAAAAATGCTGCCAATCCTGCTCCATATAATGCATGACCATAAAGATATCTATTAAATGTATGTTCATGACCTCTTGAACAAACTAATTAATAAAACCAGAAAAAGTAAGTAACTCCAAAAATAGCACCAAGAGCTCCATGTCTAGAAGCTTATTTAAGTGCAATAAAAGCAGGACCTGTAAATCCATTTCTACTTGCAAATACTCTTCCTTTATTGATTGCCAATGCATTTACTGATAATTGCTTAAATTAATAAGTGGCTCCAACTAATATTGCAGTAAGAGCTCCTTTATAAGCATACTTAGCACATGTTCTAATAATATATAATGTATTTTAATATACAGAACTTCCCAATGATGCTCTTAAAACATGTCACGAGTAGCCCACCATCTTCTCCACCAAGGTTAAGATCCTTTTACATAAATTGAATGAACATCATTCAATTAGGGTCTACCTGTAATTGCATACTAACTTTTATCTTCATGATTTTCATTCTAATATGGATTTGTACCGAATCCCATTATTTTATATTAATAAAAATATATGCTAATTACAATTACATTTCTAAAACAAATATAGTTTTTTTATAATGAATATAATATATGAAGATAAATTCATTTAAATAAGATAGAGCGCATAATCTTTATAAAATATACATAAAAAAGGTATTCAATTTTATATTAAGTTCTTCCACTTAGTATAATATTCTTATTCAACATTACACTAATTGTTCTAATCTTAATTTTCTTCTTGTCTTTCTTAAATTTGCTTAAGTTTTCTAAAGAATTCCAATATGTACTCTTATTCTGTTCCATAAAGTTAACGTACTAAAATTTATTAATTTAAATACTTTTATTAAATAAACTATCTAATGATTTAAGAATATCTTATTTCTATCTAGATTAAGTTCTTTAAAGTCTCAATGTTGTTGCAAATATCTCCAATATTCCCATTTCTATCAATATCATTGTATCTTAGAGTTTTATTTCTTTCATAGCATTAGAATAAACCCAGGCTATTTCTGTTTAGACTTCAGGATTGGATGATTTAAATAATTGGAACAATAAAGTCATGATATTATTGTTGTCTAACACTCTTTTTATCTAATTAAGGTTACCAGCAGTTATATTAGATATACTCCAACAAATCTAAATACTTCTTTTATTATAAATACTTCTCTTATTAGACTCTTTAATTGAGTATTCTTCAAACGATAAAAAAAAACATCCAGAATATCATTATTTAATATATAATCTGTTTAAGTATCATTTCCTGTTAGAATATTACCAATTATTCTCACACAAGGAAATATTATTGAATTAACTTAGCTATTTCTCAGTATGGATATAAGTTTAGGAACTATTCCTGTATTGATAATTTATTAATTTGGATCCACCAATCCATTATTTGAATTACTTATATATTATAATGCCCAACAAGAATCTGTCAAAGTTTCATCATCATCATATTCTTCAATTATACATGAGAAATATTTGATCAATAATAACTTATATTTCTACATATTTAATTTATAAAAATACTTCAATGGTTGGATTTGGATTTCCTCTACATAAATTACTAATAGTCCATGAACATAATTTTACTAATTATTTATTATTTCTTTATTAAAGTTATTCACTAATTTCAATAAATTTTAATAATCCACCCTATTGAATTATTTAATTTCTAAATTCTACATCATCTGCAGCTATATTCCCCATTGCCCAGCATACTTATTCAATGAGGGACAAATATATTGAATTCAAATGCTTTAATATACTTGGTATTCCACCATATTTTACAACAATTTGTGTTTATTCATTTGTTCCACTAGATATATTAGTTAAAATCCAAATAGCTTCAAAAATAAAAAGTTAATTAGAATTCTAATCAAGTATTTATATCAAAATTGGGACCAAATTATTTTCTATTATAGATTGTGTAATATCAAATGGATTTTAATTAGTGCTGATTAATTTTCTTATAGCAACAAGACCATAATGTTACTTAACAATATCATCAGATTAAATCATATCTGCATACATATCTATTATATTTGGATTAACATTAGATTCGTCTATTTCCTCATATTACTTGAGTATCTTCTTTCTAATATTATCCAAAATATATATAGGCAAAATTTATTCATAATTCATTTTTGTGTCTTAATTTTCCTTAAAAATGTAATATTAATATATATAATTATGATGTAAAATTTTTATATTTAACAAATTGAAATAGAAAGTCATCGTATTTTTTAGAAAACTTTAAATAAAATATTGTTATTCCTATATTTCTATTATTTATATGAGGAAAATTAAAACATAATATTTCATTCCTTCAATTTTGATCAGACTCATCATCAGTATTGAATTATTCTTCTTATTACAGCTTTTGTTTATCAATAAATAATCCTTATTTAAACTTTTCTTTTATTTACTTTTTTCCTGATTATTAATCTCCCTCTTGAATTTCTGAATGTTAAGTGATTCCATTCAGTGAAAGACCAGAATTCAATTACAACCTTTCATTTATTTATTTATCCGAAAATCCCATTTAAGATAAATTTTCTACTAATTATAATACTTCTTATTTTTGAAATGACTATTATTAATTTCTTTTTCCGGCTTTTTGCTATTAGCTTGATGTTTGATCTTTTTGCAAAAAGACTTTAAATGCCATATCTATATTGGCTTACAATTTCTTTTACAAAGGCTAAATTATATTTATATGATTACTTGCTCTTCAATTAGCTTTTCCAAAACCATTTTTAAGGAATTGTACATTCTAAAATAATCTATTTATTTAATTTCATTAATGTTAACATCTTTGATGTCAAAAGGAAAATCATCATTTTCAGGTTTCAATATCAAAAGAGGACGAGTTTATTTCCTAATCATTTTTTATTTTTAAATTATATAAATTGATAATATTTATTTAATAATAAATCCAATAGTATTTGTGGATATATATATAAATATATCTATGTATAAAACTTTAAATTAAATAAGGTATCATAAAAATAACATATATATTAATTAAACATATCTTATTATCCTCTGTCCCAAAACTTAATATACTCCTTAATATTACCTGAAACGTAATTATTTATATTTTTAAATTCCAAATATTGATTCAATATCTACAACTTAAGTAATTTTTATTTAATTATTTTTAGGTATATAATCAATTTAATAAACTTCTTTTATAGATTCAAATTTCATAAAAATAAAATCTTCTGTTTATGATGAAGAAAATATCATAAAAATGAATATCATATACCTATTTAGTATCTAATCTATTTATTTGTAATTTCAGATATATTCTTATAATACTTCTAATTTTATTAAATTAGCGTTAGAAAAATCCTAAACAACCTATATAGACTTGTACTAATTGCAGAAGTTTAACTTATTAATTAAACTTGAAATTACATATAAAGAGCATTCCATTTACATCTATCCTTCTTTAAATTTGACTATTATCCTATATTATTAATCATATTTATTCTCATATTTAATAAATTTTTATTTGGTTGATTTTCAACCACTAATTTAATATTTTCTGAATGTTTAATCTTATATCTATTTTGCACAATTTTTAAATATATATCTATTAATAAGAAATTTGATTATAAAATATTTTTAATAAAGTAGAATTTACAATATTTAAATGATCATATTAAGATTAATTTTCAAATATAAAAATTATTAATTATTTTATAAATATTATGATTAATATTAAATAATTTCATAGTGATGTTAGAATTTAAATAAAATGAAGTATGAATTTCTTAAATAATCTTTATTATTTATTTAAATAAATAAATCAATAAAAAATTATAGAATATTAATTGATTATGGCTTAAAAAGATATATATTTTCAGTCATGAATTTTAAAATCATTGCTTTCATTCGAAAGATGGTGTTAATTTTTTTCATCAACTTATTATAAATAATAATATTAATATCAGTCAAACAATTGAAATCATTAAGATCATGTGAAACACGGTTCTAAATCATCATGATATTATGGCAGAATATTATTTAATAATAAATAACACTTTTTTTATTTCATTTTATGGGATTAAATTGAAATATTTTATTTATCAAAAAATGATTAATAGTAAAGTCAAATCAGAATTTTTGTAAAAACTTGCTTGCTGTTCAGAATATGCTTATAGAGAAGATACCAACTATCCTATTAGAAATCAAATGGAAGATTGTATACAATACTCTAAATAAGATCAGCCCATTATTATAAAGATAATTGTTTTTAGGATGGCACTACTTGTCTATTTGCAGTATTTGATGGTCATGGAGGGACTGATGTAGTTGAATACATTACAAAAATTCTGCCAGAAGTAGTTTAATTTAAATATTAAATAAAGACTTTTCTAAGAGATTTCAAATAATTTAATACTTTGAAACCGAATGAATATTTTGAATAAATATTCAAAAAAGTTGATGATTAACTAAAATTAGTTGGGGCTGCAGAAATAGGGGCCACTTGTTGCTTAACTTTATTAAGAAAGGAAGATAATAAAAGAAAATGTTATATTGCAAATTTAGGTGATACAAGAGCAGTTATGAATATTGATGGTAAAGCAGTTAGAATGACAGTTGATCATAAAGGAATAGACCCTGAGGAATAGGTTAGAGTTAAGTAATATTAAATGATTTAATTATGCTTTTTAAAGGCGGGAAGGAGGCACAATTGTGAGAGGTAGAGTGATGGGCTAATTAGCAGTAACAAGAGCATTTGGAGATCTAGATTTAAAAACAGTAGGTGTTTCAGTTAAACCAGACTTAAAAGTTTAAGAAATTACACCTTAATGCAAATATTTAATTATGGCTTCAGATGGACTTTGGGATGTTGTAGATGATTAGGTATAATTTCATTTTAATGTTAAATTTTCTTTAGAAAGCAATTGACATAACTAAAGGACTTAAGAATTCTGATGAGATGACTAAAGAGCTATTGCAGTTTGCTTTGAAAAATGGCTCAAGAGACAACATTAGTATCTTAATTGTAATGTTCTGATTTATTATAAAACAAGTATGTAACTAATCATTATGTAAATGAACTGTTTAAAGAATCATTAATTAAACATTCTTAAATAGTATCATATTTTAACTATTGAATAATTCTAATTTTATTACTATTATTATAACTTTAATTACAATAATAAATAATTAATCTCAATAAATTTACTACATTTAATTATCTTTATTCTAAATCTTGTAGTAAAATTAAATGAAATTCTAAAATTTTTATCAAATTTATTAATCAATAAAATCTTAAACATCTTATTTAATATAGTGTTTTTATATTAAAACTCAATTTTTTGATTCTTTTTATCTTGTTTATATATCTATAACTAGGTTACATAATTATTAATTAAAGAAAATTAGAGATGTTGATTATTTCATTGTTTGGGTCAAATATTAATATAAAAAGTAGGACTAAATTAATTATCATCTATTTAATTGAATTTATCAATTATTGAAACAAATTACTAGGACTAATTTACTATTACTATTAATACTGTAGTATAATTAAATGATAATTATTATAAATATTTAATATAAGAAGTTAGGTTAACAAATATTTGTATAATTACTAATTTAATAATAACTTGAGTTAAAATTAACAAAGATTATTAAAATGTATAATAAATTTATATTCTATATTATAGATCACAATTTAAGTAATTATCTAAAATCTGAAATAATTATTGGCATTTTTAGATCTTCCAATTTAATTTCATTGCCTATACTCTTTATTTCTACATAAACATAATAAAATAGTTCATTTGAATCTAGTAAAAGTGAGATAAATCCTATGATTAATGATATAAAAGGAAAATCTACTGGAAAATAAAAAAAATAAATCCAAAATAGGTAAAAGTTTTCAAAACAAATTATTGTATATGGATAATTTTTAAATTTATTTAACAATGTCAATATTATAGCTAATGGCAAATAAAGGAATGATAATTAAATTTAAGCAAAACATTCAAATAAATATCTAATTTTGTGATATTTTTATGATTTCTTTTATAATTATATTTATTTATGTCCATTATTTAATAAAATTAATATTAAAATAGCAGTATAGATATAACTAAAATAATTAAGTTTATATCCAAATAGAACATGTAATATGGAATCCTTAAATTGAATAAATGTAAATATATCTAATTCTTGTAAATTTCCTATCAAAATGTTCAAGAATACCATTCCTAATTTAAAACTATTATCTACTAAAGTATTCAATTTAATCATCGCTTTTATGTATTCAAAATAGTATTATACTAAATATAGAATTATGACTAATGATATTCTTTTGAATACAAAAATGCTTAGAATTTAAAACAAAAATAGAATTATATAAATGTAAATAATTGCTTCAGCAATAGATTTTTCAACATTAAATGAGCCTAATTAAATGAAATTATTAGTATATATTTGAAACAATGTGAGATATAGTATTAATTGTTCTATTTAATAAAATTTAGTTCTCACATTATATTATTACTAAACTCTGAGAATTGAAACTAAAGCTATAAATTACCAATTGGATATAAGTAGAAACACAATTGATGAGAGTATAATTTAAACTCTATATATTTAATCTTATTTAAGTCTAATTAATCGATCATAATATGTAAATGAAATAAAAATAATAATAATGTGATACTCTTTAATAAAGACTTACAAATTTTCATACAAGTTAAACTATTGTTCTACACAAAAAATATCAACATAAAAAGTATCACAACTACTACCAAGTTATAATATATGATCATTATTTCCTTTTATACACTAATTGCTAAAGCCATCAAATCTACATTAATGAGCCAAAAATGATTTATGATAAAAAGGGCGAAATGCCATTATAAGTAATTCATCTTCGCTTTATCTTATATAATAACCAAATTTTATTTCTTGTTATTGAATTTAAGTAAAACCATCTCTTATTTCAAAATATTAATGCTCAATAATGCATCCAGATGCTAAAACTAAAAATTGAAGTTATGGATCATCTATTTCTAATAAATTGTGTAAATAATTATAATCATTAAAACATTAATGAGGAAATTTGATATTAATATCTTCAAATGAGATTTTTTGATCTAGTTAATTAAAGATGTCTTGATCATTTTATTAATCAAATTATACTAATTTCTGGTATAATTAATATTTCATACTTATGATAATTACAATAGTAATCCCTAAATTTCAAGGAATGAAGCCTATATGTTCTGTGTGTATATAAGTAAAATTAAAATAAATAACATATATATTAAATATTTCATAGAGTTTGAGGATATTTATAAAAATATTAATTTTATCATATTGTATTGTATTAGATTTGATTTAATTATTTTTTGATTCTTTTTAGAAATATATGATCAGGATCAATAATATTTACATTTATTACATTTGAATGGTAGAAATCTTAATAATTTTAACTTATTTGATAGTATGATTTCAGATATATAATCTAAATATAAAATTCTAGAGATATTATAATCATAAAAGATACATTAAAAATGTTGTTATTATAAATTTCTATAAATGTTATAATAATTATAAGAAATGATATTAATAAATTTTTAAAGTAGAATAAATTTGTTTATCTATCTTATTCAGAAATTTACACTTATTGATATTGATTCATCATATATATCTTATTTAAAATATTGAAAAATCATAAAGATGAGCAGGTTAGAATTTAATAAGTTACTTATTTCATTAAAATTATATTAAAAATCTTCTTGAATTTAAAAAGAGTTGTTATAAATTAGATTTATTTTATTCATTAATATTATTATAGATGTTCCGATCCAAGAAAAGTTCAACAGTTCCCATAAGAACTAAGGATAAAAGTACTCTTTTGGCTCCTTGTATTAATTGTGAAGATTTTATACCTTTTGATAAAATCGATTATCATGTTTAGATTTGCAATCAAGTTTCTAATAAAGTACTTAAATATACAGAATCAAATGTATTTTTTGAAGAGAATGATTTCAAACTAAGTAAATTAAAAGCTAATTTATAAAACAAATGTTATTAACACACTCAAAGATTATGTCGGATTTGTGAATTGATTTCTTCAATTAATACAATTGGTTGTGTAGAAAAGGCTTCTTTAAAAGAATTTGAAAAAGAATTACTTAATATGAGTTAGGAACCAAGTCAATCTATAAATTAATCCTTATATATTGAGAGAATACATTCACTTGTTTTGTAAAGGATAAGTATCATTCAAAACTAATTAAACCTTAAGACCATCAAACCTACATAATCACAATAACACTTCTATCCTCAATAAAACACTGCTTTCATTTCAAAAAATTTCAAAAATTCAACAGGTTCAACTCAAACAACTAATAATAATAACTTATAAAATTTAATTCAAAATAAATTGGAATCATCTGAAGTATTCAATTGTCTAAATAAATTTAATCAATGTTAATCACCAGATCCAAGAATGACATATATTACTAAATTTTCCTAAAATAGTCCAATATCACAATATGGAATAACATAATAACAATAAAAAAGTGAAATCTTAACACATATTAGTGAATAATATGCTGAAAGTATTGATCAATAATCTAATCCAAAAACATTTGCTTAGAGATGTTTCTATTCAAAGGTTCTAAATCTTAAATTAAATTATCCACAATCTAATCCAGCTTAAAAGATTCCAGTGTCTGTTTTATGGAAATAAGCTGAGAAAAATAAAATTAAACCAGAAGATTGGGAATTATTTATTAGAAATTGCCTTGATAAACCTTTCCAAATTTTAGATCCTCAAAAAATTGATTCTCATTTTTTTAATTCTTCATAGATCAAATTCACAAAATTACAATGATTTAAAATTAAATATATCTATATAACAGACATTTATTTATTATTAATGAGGCAAAATAGTTTCTTTAATTAATATTAATAATTGAATAAAATATACTCTATGGGAACATCAAGTGAAAAATAACAAAAACCTGCAGACAAATATTCTCAAAATCCATAAGACTAAATATAATCATATTTAGACAGAAACGAGCCTAAAAACAAAAAGGGTATGATAAAGATAATTATTCTATTAGCCATCTAGTGTGTTGAAGAAAAGGAGGTTTCTGAATAGGAAAAATAATTGTAATAATAATCAGAAATCTCAAGGGAAGTTGATGATTTATAGAAAGATGTGATAGAAAAATTAAATGAAGTAATGTATATTTTGAAACTAGTTGGATTTAGCTATGGGAGAATTCATAGATAAAATAAAAAAAAATCGTGAATAAGATTAGGAGTGATTCATAATTCATTTTAATATGAATTGAATAATTAAAAAATATATAGTTTAATTATTATATTCAGGCCATGTTTAATTTTATCTTCAAAGATTATTCATTTTAATTAAAAAGTAATGAGTATGTATTCTAAATTATGATAACAATATGTAAATGTAAAAAATATTTATATTATAATTATATATTAATATATTAAATTGAATACTATAAATTACATTAAAAAATTGAGTAACAATTATTAAATGGAAGATATATTATATAATGTATATATATATAAATAAAGTTATTTGAATCTTTACTAAAATGACAGTTAAATTAAAGATATCAATTATATAATTGATATATAAAATGTTTGATTATATAATAATGAAAAAGAAGTTAACTATTTAATCAAAGTACCTATAAAAGAGATATATTTTATAATTAGATATTATTATTAAATTTTCTGATCATTTCCTTTAAGAGTTCTTCAGATGGCATAGGTAATTTAATTAATTATTATCATCCTTTCATACCTTACCATATATTTTTATTATGAAGCTAATTTTTAGATGAACAAGCAAAATTAGACTTATATAGTTAACGATTATTCCAGATCAATCCTCCATGGATATCACATAGATGAAAATAGAGAGAAAAAGGGAGGTATATCTTAAAGCTCAGAGTTGGGTGGAGGTATATTCAATAGTGCAGAAGTAACTATTAAGAATTTAAATATAGGTTGAATAGAGGAAACCAAAATAAGTTCTGTAAAAAGAATATGATTCAAGGAGTATAAGATATGCAAATGAAGATTACTCATATTTGGCAAATTTGTTGTTAAGCAGATTTTCACAATTAGACACAGCTGCCTCTATAGCTACTCAATACCCATTATTTAAAATGTTAAGAGGTGTTACCAAAAAATTTATGTTTAATGAGTTAGAAATCATATTTTTTTTGCACACAATTGAAGATTAGAAATGGAGATATGATGATTAATTGATTTCAGATTTCTAGCCATATTTTAAATAAGATTTTCTGAGCAACTAAGAAGTAAATTAATTATAAAAATAATTTAAATTAGAATTAGAATGTAGAAGGATTCAAAAAATTATTATTATTTCTAATTTGCTGTGGATATACAATTAAGTGTTTTTTCAATGATTCTAATGATTAAGAAATAATTTTAATAACTGATCATATCTAACAATATTGTTAAAAAGAGTAATATTTAAATTAAATAATAGTTTTAAAAAATCTTTATTAGAATTATGGAGATAGAAATACATGAATTGTTCATTAAAGATTGTACCAAGAGTTTTGAATAAATTATACAATAAATTGATAAGAATACCAAAAGATGGAAAATAAGAATTTCAATAAGATTATAATGCATTAGTAGATTAAATAATTTAGATCTCTCCTGCTTACAATAGTTAAGAAGGAAAATTTATAAAATAAGAAGTTAAACCTATTTAACAATAATAATAATAATATTAATAACCACAACCAACTATTACCTTTAGTCAATAGACTTAGTAATCCTATTAACAATAGGTTTAAATGAATAATTCAGGTATATATATGTAATATTCATAATCATAAATGGCTCCATAATAGACTTAATAACTATTTATTTAAACTTAAGCATCCTTTAATAATTAAGATTTCTTAGATTCAAATATTAATGAAAATTTATTTCTAAATTCAACTAAGATCAAAGAGGAAATGTTGCCACCTCCACCACCATTATTGACCTAATCTTCTAATTATAAAATACAATGATAAATTAAATTAATTACATCAAATTTATTATTATCAATTTCATTCTATCAAAGTCCAAAAATATAATAAGGGTTTTGTAATCTGACACATCCAAATAGAAAAAGATTGTATACAAATTTTATCTTCATTCTAAATTTTTAAATAATAACACAAACTTCTAATCATGCTAATCAAATGGCAAAATCATATTTCAACAAATACAAATTAGAAATCTTGTTATTATTAAATTTTAAAGATTAAAATAATGATTTATCTTATTAAAACATGAATTAATAATTTATAGCTTTAATTTTGATGAATAAAATAGGAATAATATCAATTTAAATAAATCTACACAATATCATTTTTATAGATAATATTCAAAAGATAATAATACTTTCATATAGAAACCTCAAAACCAAATAATATTACTTAAAAATAATTCATATCATTTAGATATTAACTTCAATTTAGATTTATTTTAATTATTTCTTCATTCTAAAATTTAAATCTTAAAGAGATTGTCATTTAGATATATAAATATTCTCATATTTTTTTTAATTAGATTTAATATTTGATTTATTAGTCATAATATACTGTTTCAAATTCAAGATACTTCTAAATAATTCTTATAGAGTTTATCATATAGAAATGTGTTTTGATTGATACATTTTCATAAGTAATTTGAAATTAGACATTAATATTTAAAATATAAAAAAATAAAATGTTATTGTTAAAATAGATAATCATATAATAATAATTATTTTTACATATTTATTTATTATTTTATTTATGTCTTCTTGATTCTAAACTTGAATTTGCATTTCTAATATATTTGAAATAAATATAATATATATTTATAAATATCTAGAAAAAAATATCGCATACTTTCTAAGGATGAGAAATAAGCAGCAATGATTCTATTGCAAAATAATTATTCTACAGAATAATTGAGCATGATCGCTGAGAGATTTCAAACATCAGTTAAAAATTTACGAAGGTGGTATAATGAAGGAGTTGATCGGAAACCAGGATGTGGTAGAAAGAAACTCAATCAAAAAGCAGAAGAAGAATTGGCATCATGGATTCTTTAATAATCCATTTAATAATAAAGGAGAGTGAGAAGGAGTTAATTAAAAGAAAAAGCCATAGAATTATTTCAGGATCCTCAATTCAAAGCATCAAAAGCATGGTAAGATGAATTTATAAGAGCACATGATATTAAGTTTCTAGTAAATAAGGAACTTCATAATAGAGGTATGCTCAATTCTTTACAGGCTCAGAAATTTGAAGAATCCTTAAAGCAAAGAGCATCTGAACCTAAATTGGAAGGAGAACAACTTTAAATACCTACAGAAATTAAATAAGAAGATAAACTGAAGAAAATAACAACAAGTCCTTTTACTTATAAAGAGAAGTTAGAGGAAAATCAAGAAGAAGAAGTGTATAAAATGATTGAAAAATAAAATATTCATCAAACAATTGATGAAATGGATGAATGGTTTATTACTCCAGAACACATTAATTAAAATTAAAAATATGAAGAAGATGGTCTCAAAATCGAACTTTAAGATGAATCTGAGGTATACTTTCCGAAATAGAAAAGAGTGTTAATTAATAAATAATAATAATTTGATTAATCATGATTATTATTATATTTAATTATTATATATACATTTTTACATTTTCTGAGAGTTTTCGGATATAGAGTAAGAAATCATAATTAAATATTAAAACTTACTCTGATTTGAGATTATTAGAACTTTCTGATTATTTATTGATTAATAAGCAATTTTACCACAATTTATCAAGAAAATAAAAAAAAAGCGGTCATTTATTAAATCAAATAAATATATGCAAAAGGTCTTTAAATTAAATAAATAGAATCTATTGAATAATAAGATTTTTCAAATTTTGAATATTTATCAATTTTAATATAAATAATGACATTAATAAGAATGATTTATGACTTTTAGGTTTTTGAGTTTTATTATATAAATAGTAAGAAGATGATGGATAATATTGAATATGAATGTGGTTGTTATAATTTTGTAACCAATTATTTAAAGTCATATTAAAATAATTTAATGTTTCTAGAGTTGATATTATTAATATAAAAATATTATATTGATAAACATTATATTTATATTAATATACTTTTTTATTATTAAATGTATTATTGATGATGGATACTTATATCTAAATTTATATAAAAATTTAATAAGCGATTATCTAATTAAAACAGAGAGTAATTCTAAATTTACATTTTTTCTTAGTTAAATATTCTTCTTAATTAAAATATGTTAATATGACAAAATGGCAGTTATATTTGTATATGTATTTAAAAGAAATCTCAAATAATGCAAAGATCTTTAATAATTTTTACTATTGCTAAAAATTCTATAATTGATTTTTTAAAACATAATAATTACAAGATTAAATAATTGATTTTAAAAGTAAAAAAATAAGAATAAATTCACTGCGATAATTGGAAGAATTAAATAATATGTATTATTATTTAGATCACAGAATTCTCTGGAAATGAATATAGATTTTCAAATATAATGATGATTTAATTAATAAGATGGATAAATTAATTATTTTTTTTTTCAAGTTTTACCTATAAATATTAGAATTGATTATAAAATTTAAGGATTATATATGTTTAGAGAGATTAATTGAAGTTAAATAAAAATCTTGAAAAGTGTATGAGCTAAACAATTATTATAAAAATTAGTTGTTCAGTTTATTTTATAATAANAATCATGATTATTATTATATTTAATTATTATATATACATTTTTACATTTTCTGAGAGTTTTCGGATATAGAGTAAGAAATCATAATTAAATATTAAAACTTACTCTGATTTGAGATTATTAGAACTTTCTGATTATTTATTGATTAATAAGCAATTTTACCACAATTTATCAAGAAAATAAAAAAAAAGCGGTCATTTATTAAATCAAATAAATATATGCAAAAGGTCTTTAAATTAAATAAATAGAATCTATTGAATAATAAGATTTTTCAAATTTTGAATATTTATCAATTTTAATATAAATAATGACATTAATAAGAATGATTTATGACTTTTAGGTTTTTGAGTTTTATTATATAAATAGTAAGAAGATGATGGATAATATTGAATATGAATGTGGTTGTTATAATTTTGTAACCAATTATTTAAAGTCATATTAAAATAATTTAATGTTTCTAGAGTTGATATTATTAATATAAAAATATTATATTGATAAACATTATATTTATATTAATATACTTTTTTATTATTAAATGTATTATTGATGATGGATACTTATATCTAAATTTATATAAAAATTTAATAAGCGATTATCTAATTAAAACAGAGAGTAATTCTAAATTTACATTTTTTCTTAGTTAAATATTCTTCTTAATTAAAATATGTTAATATGACAAAATGGCAGTTATATTTGTATATGTATTTAAAAGAAATCTCAAATAATGCAAAGATCTTTAATAATTTTTACTATTGCTAAAAATTCTATAATTGATTTTTTAAAACATAATAATTACAAGATTAAATAATTGATTTTAAAAGTAAAAAAATAAGAATAAATTCACTGCGATAATTGGAAGAATTAAATAATATGTATTATTATTTAGATCACAGAATTCTCTGGAAATGAATATAGATTTTCAAATATAATGATGATTTAATTAATAAGATGGATAAATTAATTATTTTTTTTTTCAAGTTTTACCTATAAATATTAGAATTGATTATAAAATTTAAGGATTATATATGTTTAGAGAGATTAATTGAAGTTAAATAAAAATCTTGAAAAGTGTATGAGCTAAACAATTATTATAAAAATTAGTTGTTCAGTTTATTTTATAATAAATTGAGTTTTTATATAAACTTTAAATTAGCTTTAATACAATATCATTTTATTTATTTATAAAGGCATTCCTTTGGCTTTGGATAAAGTTACTCTAATTATTTCTCATAGTTTTAGATTGCTAAATTTTAGTTTGTATCAGTTAAGTATATCCAATATAAATACCCATACAGTTTTCCTTCCTATTCTATAAAAATTTGAACTTATTTAATTTTAACATAGAATATATTTCCATTAAAATTTTACACTTCCATTTCAAATATTTATTGATCATTAGAAACTGCTTCAAATACCTGATTCCAAATTTGTAAATAATTGTTGACTCTAATAGCACAAGGAAGTGTTTTTGTTTCTCTTAAATAAATTTCTATCATATCAATTGTAATGCCCATCAAATGTAGAAACTTTATATTATGAGTGTATTTTAGTATAACAGTCTCATGTCTTTCATGTCGATATGTATAACATTCATAAGGATATTTGGAAGCAAATTCCTCCACTTAATTTATTTCAAATTATGTAGAACAAGGAATTGATGCTATTTACTCATATCTTTATAGGTATTTATTCAAATTTGTACATGCCTTATCCATTTTCATTAATCTTAACATATGAAATATTGTAGATATATCAACTAGTTCAAAGTCTCTCGCTTAAAAATGATATTCCATCTTCTCTTGCCTGACTTCAGTTTAAGAAACAGAGTATCCGATACTGAATATGTTGATACCTAATTCTCCTAGAGTGTTTTCATTGAATGTAGTAAGGGCAAATTGTATATTTTCTTTAGTTCTGAAGTATTGACTCTAGTTAATATTTTTTGGAAAAATAAATGAGGTCATAAACTCTTTGGTGTGCACTATTGAATTTCGAGGTAAGTCTTTGTTTTTAGAATTTTATTTCTTTTTCTTAATGTTTTTATCTAATGGAATAACTGCTATCTAAATATTAATCGGGTTCATTTTAATTATATTTAAAATAAAGGTATCTTTACAGAATGTTAAATAAAAAGCAATGACTTGTAATAACATTTTATTAATCTATTTTTAGAGTAAAAAGGACATAAATAGAAATTAAGGTATATATATATACATTTTTTGTTACATGAATATATTTTTTCCTAAAATTCACATTACAAATATAATAATTACTTTTTTAATACTGAAAATATTCGATAACAAAACTTATCCTTAAATACAAAATATTATGATAAAATAATCTAACAAAAATATATCAATTCATTTTTTCTAAATGATAACATACTGATTCAATAATGTTATTTAATGAAGCATCTCCTGAAGCTTTAAAAATGACTGAAGAATATTTTGGTGTTCCATCAATTAATTATTTTAAATCTTCCCATCTTTTCAATCTAAATGAACATCAATAACATAATACCTTAATTATACAACATCTCTTTTTTCATTTGGAGCTATTATCAATCTTGATTTGACTTCTTTGTCTGCTTCATCAATAGAATTGTAAATTCTTCCAGATATAGGATCAGTTCTACGTTAAATTAATCTTTTTAAGATAATATCATCAGCAGCATCAATAATAACAATTAAAGTGGGTTAGATATTTAATTCATTTAATGATTCTAATTATTATTCAGTTTTTGGATATCCATCAAGTACATAACCCTATAATTGACAATCAGTCTAATTGATTCTTTCTTTAATAAGAGCATTGATAATTCTATCCTCTACTAGATCCCCTTTATTAACTTTTTCAAAGGCTTCTTTTCCAGTAGTACCTTTTTTATTAACCAAATTTGAAATTAATTCTCTTGTAGAAATGTAGACAAATCCGTATCTTGAACATAAATGTTTAGCTAATGTAGATCTACCTGATCCTGGAGGACCAATAACAAGTATTCTTCCAGCTCTAGTAGGTGCATTGTTATATAATTTATATTTAAGTCGTTACTAAAATAAGGTTATATATAATATTATACAGCCATATCTTCTAATTCATAGTTTTTTTCTCCATCAACAGAGAAATATTGATTTTTATAAATTTCCTTAATTTATTTAAGATTCAATTGATATTCTAATGAATGATTTCTTGCTAATTCTTCTTTTTTGTCTAATTTACTAAATGGTTCTGTGTCTAATTTTTTGAGACAACATTAATATATTTTCTCTTCAGACATTTCCAGTATAAGAAATGCATCTGGAATGATTCCTTCTTTTTAAAATGCTAAACCTTATACTCTAGTTTTTGGGAATCCTTCAAAAATATAGCTTTTTTTGTCATTTTCTAAATGCTGAATTTAATTTAATGCAATATTGATAACAATATCATCACTTACATATTAAAATTTATCTATAGAATCTTAAATTTATTAACTCTAAGATGTATATATAATATTAATACTAATTCTGATTTTTTGCTTAACTCTTTTTCAATCAAATCACCAATAGAAACACAATGGAAATTCATATATTCAGCAAGTGTAAGGGAAAGTTCAAGTAATTTGGATCCAGGAGGTCCAATTATGAATATTTTTTTTGCTTTAATAGATATTGTATAATACTTTCAGGTTCTTATAATTTATTGATTAAAAATTGAATTGGATCATCAGGTTTTTTAATAATTAAGGCTTTTAGTAAATCTTCAAAGATACTATATACTTTATTTCCTTCTAGGTATTTTTCTACTTGTTATTAGTATTATAACTTATTTGCTTGATCCATAAGTTATACTTTTTATGAATATATTAATATTTATAATTATATAATGATAAAAACAATTTATGTAAATTTTAAGTTTGTAAAATTCATATCAATTAATCATTCATCATCTGAACTTGAATCTGAATTTAATCCACTTATAATAAATTCTTGATCTTATTTTTCACCTTTCGATTCACTTCCATTCTCTCTTTTCTCAATAGCTTATACATTCCTAAGCAATTTTTATCTCAATTCTTCATCTGCTTCATTAGAACTGTCATCTCTCCTTGAATAATCTTACTTCCTTTAATCATAATCATCATCATATGGTGTACTTTATTTAGTTGATAGTTCATTTCTGGATGTATAATTATCTTAAAGATGAAATTTCTTTATGTGATTCCTCAAAGGCAATTTACTTGTATACTATTTACCACAATATTAACAATTAGTCTTTTCCTTGTTTGAATTATATAAGAAATCTTAATTTTGAGATCGCTTTTTCAAATTTAAAAGTGAACTACTGGTTCTATTCAAACTACTATCTCCTAATTTGATTTGATTAAATAGTCTTGTGTATTTGTCAGTTAATAGTTTCTATTCATTAAGGTAATTGCTAATGAAGTCTGCCAACTTATAGTTCATAAAAATATTATCAAATTCTAAAAGGATTACTATAATAAGTTGAAGACCAATTATTTATATGATTATAAAAATAAAGTACTTAAATAATCATCTTAACTTAATTCAAATTATAGAACCTTTTAAATAATGAAGAATTACTATTCTAAAGCAAATATCTTATTCATTTAAACATGCTGTAGATCATTCTTTAAATATTAGGTCAAAATCAAGAAATTGGAACTAAATGTCTTTATATTCAAATAATCTATAAACACATAAAGCAATATTTATTTATAGAAAATATCTGATCCAACTCTTTAAATTATTTAAATAATGGATAAATTTCATTTTGGTAATAAACACTATCATTCACTCTTGACTTAAATTTAAATTTAATATTCATTTCTAAAATAAAAATGATGGTAGTGAATGATAAATCTTTATTTATAATTAATCATAAACTTTATAAAAGAATAATTATATTCTCTTATATTTCAAAAGCACACCACTTTTAATTACAATATATATATAATAATTGATAAATAGATTAAATAATAGTATCTATATAAAAAAATGTCTTTATTATAATAAATTATCTAATTGTATCTTTATTTTTAGAACATTTTTTAGTTTAATTTAAAAGTTAAGATTAAAGTAAATACAATTATATTATAAAAAAACAATTCAAATGAAAACACTTTAAGTCTTGTATTTAAAAGATTTTCTTTTATATTAAAATAGCACTTATTACATAACTTTTTTTGATTATTTTTTTAAAGAAAATTAACTTTCTAATTAAATCTAATTAATAATTATAAGTTTCTGTGAAAATGCCATTTTTAAATTAAAGAATAGTTATGAAGATTCATTTTAAATATATCACTTTAAAACTTGTTTTATTTATTTAATTAATGATATTTTAATCCAACATTTTTTCAATCAAATTTTTTATTTTATAACAAATTATTTTTAAGTTCTGCATATAATGATTTCATACAGTATTATCAATGCTTAAAAGCTTTAAGAATTAATTGTTTTTAATTGAAAATTAATTAGTCGTAATTAGCATTAGTTATTTTAAATTATGAAAAAGTAGGCAATCGGAATGAATAGATCAACAAATCTTAGTAGATAATCATCTCTCTCATCTTAGACATCAAATTCTGATAAAAATAATAAAATTAATTCTTACATCTCATTATCTCCACGTTTTGATCCAGAAAAGGGATTGGCATTTGAAAATAGTGTTAAAGAAGTCAAAATTAAAGATGTTGAAACGGATGAACCTTAACAACAGAATTAGGATTAATAAAAATTAGGAAAAATCAAGAAATAATCAAGTTTTACTTTAAAAACATAAAAAGATGAATAAATCAAAAAAAGTTAGTTTAGTAGAGTTTAAAGAGCAGATAGCTTAAATCCTTAAAAATAGTAATGAATTAAAATAAAATAAAATTATTTTTCATTAATTTAAAACATGCTTCAAATTAAAGCAATTTAGCATTTTATTAATGTTTGATTAAGTTTAATTAATTTATTTTAATAATTCTTTTAATTCATATTATAAGCTCAATCTTTAATGAGGAAAGCTTGATTATTAATTAAATAAGTTATCATTTATTTAATCTAAAATATTAAAGTTGTAATAATTATTTCATAAAATTATAAATTATAAGTAAGGAAATGTATTTTAAGAAATAGAATTAAACTATCTAATATATTAATCAAAGCTTTATAAATTTTGAAACAATTTTTTAAGGATATGAAATTGTTATGATGAAGTTAATTTTTTAGATGATTATGATAAAAAAATTAGATGTTCTTCTAAATAAAAAAATAATGTTTCATTTTAAATTAGAGTTCTTTGATTAATAGAATTATACTTAAATAAATTTATCAATTTGAATTGATTATAAACATATTTATATAGAATCTGTTCTATTCTGTATTAATAATATTTAAATATAAAAATGAGTATGCAATAGGAATATGATTACCTTTTCAAGATACTTTTAATTGGAAACTCAGCAGTAGGTAAATCATCATTGTTACTTCGATTTGCTGATAATGTATTTAACGAAAGTTTCTTGCCTACAATAGGTGTAGATTTCAAAATTCGTACTTTTGATTTGAATGGAAAAACAGTAAAATTGTAGGTAGTTTTAAATTACAATTTAGATTTGGGACACTGCAGGATAAGAAAGATTTAAAACAATAACAAATTCTTATTATAAAGGAGCTCATGGAATAATATTAGTTTATGATGTGACTGATAAGTAATCATTTAAAGATGTAGAAAATTGGTTAGCAGGTAATTATATTAAATAAATCAAATAGAGGTTGAAAAGTATGCAAATGAGAATGTAGTAAGAGTATTGGTAGGCAATAAAGTTGATTTGGAAAGTAAAAGAGAAGTTACATAAGAAGAAGGAAAGGAACTTGCTGATTCATTGAATATACGTTTTATAGGTAGCTATGTAAAATAATTATAGAAACCTCTGCAAAGAATTCATCTAATGTTGAGAAAGCTTTTATAACTCTAGCTAATGAAATAAAAGCAAAGGTTGCAAAAAGTAGTGAGGCTATGCCAATAAAAACAGGACCAGGACCAAGAATCACTCCAGATTAATAATAGAATACAGTCAAAGATAATGGATGTTGTTGACACAAATTATAACCATATTATTATTTATTCAATTAATTGGTTTGTATTATGATACAATTATTTAAGGAGCTTAATAATTTGTATAATCTCTAGATTCAATTCTATCGACAATTTATGAAGATATATTATCTTCTTTTGGATACAAATTTCTAGAATAGATATTTATATTACTTTTGAACATCATTAGTAATAATCACTTACTTTGTTGTTGTTGTTGAACTATTCTAAATTGGTTAGAATTAATAATTCTAAGAAATGAGAGTAGGTGATGGTAGATTTTATGAAGATGATTGATAAATTTTGGAAGTTGTACTCTATTAAACATAACTTGTAGTTTCAACATTTGGTTATTATTATTGTATATTAGTAGTTGAAGTAATAATTTATTATTATTATTATTATTATTATTATTATTATTATTATTATTATTATTATTATTATTATGTAGGAGATCTTTTAGATTATCTTAATTTGACTTCTTATAAAATATTGATTTAAGATTCATATTCAGTAATCTAAATAAAAAATGTGGTTTTACCTTTTAAATCATTATATTTATTCTGGTTTCTTGGTCTTTTTTAATATTTTATAATCTTTCAACTTCTAATTAAAGAGTTTAAATTTAAGTTTCTAGTTCTCTTATTTTTAAATCTTTTGTTCTTACTTATTCTTTTATTACTAAAACAGTATTAGAATTAAAAGAATTTTAATTAGAATTTTAATTCATTTCTAATTCAAGTAATTTTTAGTTTTTTTGTTATATAATTTCAGTTAATTCTTTGATTTTAGGTTCATCAGTCATGACTACAGTTTTCTCAATGAAAGATTAAGTATTTCTAGTTTCGTATTCCTTAGTTCTTAGTTCAAATTCTCTAATTCTTGTTTCATAAGTTGAAATTTTATTTTGATATTCTTTGAGTTTTGCTTCTAATTCTTTAGTTTTTGTATCATCATAAATATATTTAACTTATTATTAAGATTATAATTCTTTGATTCTTAATTCTAATTCTTACACTTATCTTTAATAATTATCTCTTTCTCTTTTTAATGAAATGTATTGAATATCATTTTCAATATTTATAGTAGTTACATTAGTAATAGATTTACTTCCCTATTTTATCAAAGCATCATATTCTACTCTCAAATGATCATATTCTTTCAACCTGATTTCAGTTTAAAAGTAACGATTCATCCAAACTTCAAGTTCTTATTAAAGATTTTATAATTCTTTAGATAAATTTTCAATACTCTTATATTTTGAAGAGTTAGATTCTACAATATCTTTGTATCTAAGATAATTTGCATTTTATTCATTATATCTTATCTATAATTCTGAATATGTATCTTCAAGTTCTTTAATTCTTAACATAAATGTATCACAATCTTTTTCTAATTATTCAATTTAAATCTCTAATTTCCACTTTTCTTATTCTACTTCTTCAAATCTTTCTGAATTATAAACATTAGCTGATAATCTGAACCCTTCCATTTCTTTATTTTATTAATCAATTTTAGATTATGCTACTTCTAATTATCTTTTCAATTAATCTAATTAATTTTCATAATCACTAATTTATTATTATTATTATGACATTTTTGATGATTATTATAAACTCATTTACTATGTCATTTATTAACTAATAGTAAGACGAGTCCTTTACATTTCTTATTCTTTTTCACCTAATAAACGATTCAATTATTCTATTCTTGCCAATAATTTAGCTTCATCTGATGTTTAATGACGTGCTTCTAATGCTTTACATCTATCCTTCCATTAACCTAATTCATGAATTAATGCTTCCATATCAGTTTCCAATGAATTAACTTTATCATTTTAAGATAATTTGATTCTTATCTCTTAACTTTCTAAAATAGTAGCATCATATTTATCTTTCCATCTTTAAATTTCTAATCTTAATTCTTCAATTAATGATTCTTAATCATTTAATTGTTATTATATTAAATCAACAGATTGATATTTTTCAAATTTCTTTTTTGCTTCTAATTCAAATAATTTCAATTTATTTTAATAATATGCTAGCTGTTTTAATTATTCTGAATTATCTTTATCTTTTTATTCAAGTTCTGAATATTTACGTTTCCATTAATCCAATTCAATCATTAACTTATCTATTTCTGTTCTACTTTTAAATTCACTTTCACTTCTTAACATCATCAATTCTTTTTAAGTAGATTCCAATTCTTATTATGTAATTTAAAGTTCTTTTCTAAGAATGGTCACATCAGAACTTGAATTTGATTTATAATTAACTACTTCTCTTTTTAATTACTCAATAACTTCTCTATATATTTGCATCATTATTACCTCATTCTTAAATTATCTTAAATTAACTCTTCATAATGATGCTGTCTTTCTGCTTCTGATTTCTCATAATTTTTAGTACGTTGTACAACCATGAAATCTTTATCATCAACTTTTCCAAGTAACTAAGTTGAAGCCCAATTTGCTTATTGAGGAGAGATTTAAAAGCTTTCTTCCTTATAACGGATCTATTGAGTTTCATTATATGTTGTTTAAAATGCTCCTGATTATCCAGACTATCTCATTACTTAATACGATCTGCTATTATTCATTATTATTTAATTTATGAAGATACTCTTTGTAATAATTGATGGTGTAGCTGATGTTGGTACTCCAGAGACATAATTTAAGACTCCACTTCAATTAGCTGAAATTCCAACTATGAATCAAATAGCCTCAACAGGACTTGCTGGTTTGATGGATCCAGTAGAGCCTGGGCTTTCTTGTGGGAGTGACACAGCTCATATGAGTATTTTTGGTTACGATCCATTTACATTTTATAGAGGCAGAGGAGCATTTGAAACTATGGGTTCTGGAATTGATATGTAAGTAGGAGACATAGCTTTTAAATGCAATTTTGCTTATATAGAGAATGAGATTGTGAAATTAAGAAGAGTAGACAGAGAATTTCCTGAATGGGGTCTTCCTCTAATTGATGCCCTCAATACTCAATTAAAGACTTCCATTTAAATACAAGCAAATCATGCTACAGAACATCGAATTGGATTAAAAGTAGTATCTAATGATTATTCTGGTGAATTGACAGATGAAATTATAGGTACTGATCCACTCAAAGATAATCTACCATTAAGATAAGCTAAACCAAAAGTACAAAGTGAAAAAGCTATCAGGACTGCCAAAATTATCAATGAACTATCTGATTCAATCCATTAAATGTTATCTGAACATCCTATTAATATATAAAGATAATAATAAGGACTACCCACTGCTAATATTGTACTATTAAGAGGATGTGGATAAAGAATTAAAGTTCAAAACTTTTAAGAGAAATATGGTTGGAAAGGAGCTGTTATTGCACCTACAGCCATAATCTAAGGATTAGGAAAAACTATTGGATTGGAATGGCATCATGTTGAGGGTGCTACAGGAGATTATAATAGCAATTTCATTAATAAAGCCAATAAAGCAATTGAATTGTTAGAAAATGATTATGATTTTGTATTCTTACATATCAAAGCTGTTGATGATGCAGGGCATGATAAAAATAAAGATCTCAAAATCAAGTATATTTAGAAAGTTGATGAAATGCTTAGTTATTTTGTGAATAATATCAAATTATAAGATGCTATCATAGCAGTTACTGGAGATCATACAACTCCATATGCTTATGGAGATCATACTTTTTAAAGTGTTCCATTTATAATTAGCAAATTAAGTTTATTAAATGGAAAAAAGAATGACATTTAATTTAATGAGATTTCATGTTTAAAAGGGTGTTTGGGTAGATTTTGTGGAAAATAAGTGATGTAGATTATAAAATAGTATAGTTCATGATTATATTTATTTATTATTATTAACATTTTCTGTTATGAATTTATTTGAAGAAGTTAACAACCTTTTAGATACATAGCAAGATAAAATGGCAAGAGAGTATTATATTCACTATCCTTAAGTACTTATGATAATTTACTTGAATTATAAAGAGAAAATTATGGATTCTATGAAGTTAATGAAGAATTCTTCGAAAATACCCATAAGAAATTAGATAAACACCTTAAAAAGATTAAGGAGACAATAACTAAAAATACAAAAAGCATAGAGAATTTTAAAAATGCTTATGATTTTGGAAGCATGCTTAGTGAAAAAGAAAAATTCAAATTACTTAGCATTGAAAAATTTTATAAAGGATAAGGAAAATTACCAAAATGGTTTGATGAATATAAAATGGATTAATTGGAAAAAGCAAGAGAATATTTAAATGGCTTTGCTTTGCGTTCTTATCGAAATAGAGTTAATGAGACAGTGATGGCAGAAAGAAAATGTTTAGAAAAAAAAGTATTACATTTAATTGATGAAATTCATACTAACTATACTGATAAAGATAAATTAGATCCACCAATTTTAAAAATCTAAGAATTATAACATTGTAAATAATTTAAATACTATATATTATTAGTACTTGAATAATTATAAGAGTATGATCGCATAATACCTGAATTAGTTATAGTTATTATGCATAAAGTAGATGAAGTATGCGCATAAATAGTCAGAAACTTCCTTGAATTTAATTCTAAATGTGAAACTCTATTCAAATGAATTCATTTTATAATTTTATAATAACTATTACATTATTTTATAGATTATATCATTTTATATTTAAAAATAATTAAAAAATTAATTAAGATTATAAGCAGAATTAGATGATTTGTTTTCTAAAAATTAAAAAATTTTTATATCTCAATCAAAATTATTGTAATCATAAAAATGAATAATTATAAACTAAAGATAATATTAAAATTTAATTATCATGCTATTAATAATTTAAATATTTATTTTAGAAATATATACCTCTACTTTACTTAGATTATGAAATACATGTATTAATCCATTATACATTATTTAAATAAAACGAATTTTTTAATTTATAAAAAGGACATATTATGATGATGATTAATTAAATGAAAAATGTGTAATTTATGTTGTGACTTCATTTGATGGATAATTAATAAATTGGATCATAAATACAAGAATTTGATTATTTTACACCTACTTAAATATGCATTATATAATAAATTAATACTATGTTAAGTTAAGAGAAGACCCTGAATTATCTGCTGTTTGATCAGCTCTTCTTCTTGCTTTCATAGAGAATTCTTATGTTTTGAGATTTTGCTCAGTAGGAGGAGATTATGCAAACACTCAAAATGATTTTGGAGATCATTATTTAGAAATGGATATTCAATTTGAATTAAATATTAATACACAATTGAAGAAAACTGGGTATGTTAGTTATGCAGCAAGTAAAGAAACGACAAAAGTATAATGATCTTTTAAATAATCTTTAGATAAAGCTTTTATATGAAGATGGAAAATATATAGTTACCTTTGATCTTATGGATAGAAGTTCTATTATTGGAACCAACTTTGCAGTTGGTACAATTTTTGCAGTTTGGGAATAGATGAAAATCTATTGATTGGAAAAAAGAGGAAAAGACATGGTATCTGCCATCTGTTTTCTTTATGGTAGTCGTACAAATGTTGTCATCTGGAATGAAAAAAAATAAAAAGTTTAAGAATATACATTATTTGGTATATAACATATATTAATCATTAGATGGGGATAAATAAGGTAATTGGGAATTTTTTTGTAATTTAATAGTTCTATATTTAAATAAAATATAATTTAAATTAATATGGGATATAAAATGTCTATTTGATGTATGAAAATACTTTATAAATAGTATAAATTATATTATATACTATTTTAGATTATTTAGATACAATATATTAATAATTTTAATTTAAATAACTAATTGAATTTCTTAAATTTTCAAACTTTTGTTAATATTCGTCAATAATGACTTTAGTTGAAAATTCAAGGACTAGCATTTTTATTAATTAGAATATAATTAGTTTGTTGGCTATAACATTTTGAACCATATTTGATTGCATTTAATAGCATCTTTTAATAAACATCATTTGATTAAGTGAATTATTTAAAAATTAAAATAAACTTTATATATTAATTATATACATGTATCTAGATATAAGTTATTTGAGACCCAAGAGTTAGTAATTCCTAAATAAACATTCAAGTAATGTAATAAGATTTAAAATCTAGAATTCTATATTAAATCTGGAACAGAAGGAATGATAGTTAGAAACATATATGAAAAGGTTGATTATGAAGAATATGAAATCAAATCGATTGATAATTTTAAAACAAAGATATAAGTACCATTACCCAATTCATGGAAGACAAGTGATTATTTGAAAATGCTTATATCAGCTGATTTTTCTATTTAAGGAGCATTATAAGTACCTCAAAATATATATTTAGAGAATTTATAAATTCATCTAGGTTGGCTTAATTTATATTAAAACATGGAACCAAACATTAATTAATTAAAAAGTGGAGATTTTTATATTTTTGGAATAGATAAGTAATCAAGGCCAGTCATAATAATAAAGCATCTTGATAATGAGAACTTTCTAACCTTTTAATATTTACTGGAAACAGTGAAAAGATAGGTATTGATTCCTTACTTTGTTGAAAATTGGACTATTATTTATGATTGCCAAAATCAAGAATACAATTTTTATGAAATTGATGTAATTATATTAATAATTAAAGTTCAATTTTGAGAATATTAAAGAGTTGATGATTAATTTTTGTGGAAATTTAAATAATCTTCTCATAGTAAATTCTAAATTAAATTTTTAATAAATCCTTAATTATATCCCTAACAAAACATAAATACATTCTAAAATTAAATTACTAAATAATCTTGATGATTTATAATAATATATTTTGAAAGAATAATTAGAAGAAAAATATAATGGAGAATGTTCAAATGTAAAGATATATTGGTATAGCATTTATAAATGAATCTAGGCCTCCTTAGTTACCATAAGTCTCTGAATTATTAAAACATGTTACATATGATTGTTATGAAGATTATTAATATGGATTAAGAAAGCTTTAAGATTTTAAAGGAAGAAATTTAAGAAAATTTTCTTCATTAGGAAGATTATCACATTAACATTCAAAGACAACTAGTATGAAAAAATCAATAGAATCTGCAACTTCTAGTAGTCATCTTAAAATTTTAGTTCATGAGGAAAATGGCAATTAGTTAATTTAAGAGGAAATTGAAGTACTTAATAATTAAGGAGAATCTGAATTTGATAACTAGAAGAAAAATGATTTAAATTTATATTAAACAGAATCTGTTGGTCTTTAATAATTAGAAGAGAATAAAAAATAAAGTTAATTCTAAATAATTCTTGAAAATGAACATTAAATTGAACATAAATGTTGTTCAGATAAACTTAATTGTATGATATTTTGATTGATTTTATACTTAATTAAAATAATATATATATTTAATTTATGAAGTAATCTATTAAAGTTATTTAATTAATATTAAGATATGATTTGTATTTATATTTAAATATTTATCATAATTAAGGTATGAATAAAAATATTAGATAAAAATTCATAATCTATTATAATCATTATTAAAGAATCCTATTTTTATTTTTGATTATTTCATTTTCTAATTATTTATTTAATTTTTTTATTAAAATGGAAGATCAATTAATATGGTATTATGTTGACACAAGTGAATAAGAGCCAGAGAAATAAACTAAAGGACCTATATCAATAAGGGATATTGATGTTATGTTAAGAACTAGTATTATAACTTCATGTAAATTATGATCTAAACCATATAGATACTTATGTTTTTAAAGAAGGATTCACTGAATGGAAACCAATTTTTTAAGTTGAAGAATTAAAATTCTTTTTAGATGAATAAGAACATGAGATGGTTTAAATTACATGTGGTAAAGAAATAAAAACAGAGGATTAATAACCATAAAAAATATAATAATAGGATGAAAAAGAAAAAGAAGAGGTAGTTGAATAATTAGAAGATGATGAATCATTTGAATAATTGAATGATGAATAGAGAATGGAAATTTTAAAGAAGAAAATAGAAAAGAATAGGAAGAAATCATAAAAAGAAAAAGAAAAAAAAAAGAATTAATGGTACACTCCAAAAATAAATACAAATGTGTATGTTGAAGGTTTACCATAAGATATAACTATGGAAGAGATGAAGGTGTTTTTTAGTAAAGCAGGAATTATTAGAATCAATCCAGAAACTCTATAACCTACAATTAAAATATATAGAGATTAAAATGGAAATTGTAAAGGTGATGGGTTGATATCATATAAAATGGTTGAAAGTGTGTAAACAGCAAAAGAAATGTTAGATGGACTTCATATTAGACCAGATGTTATTGTTAAAGTAACAGAAGCAGTATTTGAATAAAAGGGATAATATCGTAAAAGAGAAAATAAGAAAATAGATAAACTTTAAAAGGCATTAGCCAGATAAAAAGAAATGACTTAAATGGCAGAAGAAGGATAAGAAGATGATGGAAAAGGGTTAAAGATCTTAATATTTAAAAATTTATATAGTCCTACATAAGCATAAAATCCAGAATTTATGAACTAATTATATGGTGAATTATTATTGAAAATAGAAGCTCTATAAATATATGTATAAAAATTAGAGTTCTTTAAAGAACATCCATAAGGTATTATTTATAATTAAATTGAGGTGTGGCTAAGGTTAAATTTCATTCTGCATATGATGCTGAAGTCTGTTTAACTAATTTAAATGGAATAGAATTCAATCAAAGAAAAATACATATTTAATATTGGGATGGCAAAGAAAATTTCAAATCAAGTATTGAGAGTAAAGAAGTTGAGGAATAAAGACTAGATGAATTTGGTTAATGGTTAGAGGAATAGGAGGATAGTGATAAAGAAGATAAAAATGATAAAATTGAATGAGTGTATGATAATTGAAATTTATTTATTTAACTCCTAAATTTTTTAATAATTTGATTTTGAATATAGAATGAATAGAGATAATCCAAATTAATATCGATCTCCTTAATAAATACCATCATCAAAAAAACCAAACATGGAAAATTTTCCACCTCAAAGAAATACAAATGAATTTATTAAATAAATGAAAATAAGAGTAGATCAACCTCCTCTTAGTGTTATGACTTAAAACTCTTAAATTAAAGATGCTCAATCTATTTTTATTGATATATCAAGAATTGAATAATAATCAAACAACTCAAATAATAGTTTTTTTGACCAATTAAAATAACCAATATTACCATAATGTCATAGATCTAATTAACCCTCAAATTGCACTACATAAAGAACAAACAGGTAAGAAATGTAGAGAAATAGTAAACCTTATTTAGATTAAACTGATAATATGGGATTGCTTTTGATCTAATAACAAATGTTATAATTGTAAAATGAAAATATGATTTTAAAATAACAATTAGAAAAACAGGAAAGCTAAAGATTACTTTTTTAATAATAATTACTTTAACAATTTTAGTCATAATAATAATAATAATAACAACCCATTGTTATTAATAATAATATAACATCATCTGAAAAACAGTAATAATAATCAAAATCTATTTCACCCATAAATAATTAAAATGAATAAGAATCTCCACCAAATTAAATATAGCGTAAAAAACAATAATCATAAGCCATTTAGACTGATAAATCAATTTTAGATTAATCTATAATCAATATAAATGAATCCTATTAAAATGAATCTTTGTGTAATCAATCAAAATTAATTATATAGTAATAATCATTAATCAGACCTCTTTAGTAATAAAATATAGAATCTCTAACATTTGGTACTTAATTATCTTAAAGAAATCTTATTTCTTAATAATCATAATAATAATTACAAATCTAAACTCATGATTCCTAAAGTTAAAATTAAAGTTATTTATAATTTAATTCAAATTCTCATCAATTCTAAACAGAAAAAATATAGAAAGATGATAAATTTCAAAATAAAAATGATATTTAAAGAAAATATTCTTAAATTCAAATTCTTAATTCACCTGCATAATAAGATCAAAGTTATAGTGTACATAATCCAGATATACGAAAACAATCTCAGCCAAGTGTAAAATTAGAATTTAATTTTGAAGATGGTATATAAAATTAATCAAGTAAAAAATGTCTAGCAGATTATTTCACATAAAGAAAGAAAGCAGCTAATGTTGAAAGGAAAGTTTCAGTCTAAGTGCCAATATAAGAAGACGATTAAAGTTGGATAGTAAATGTTAAATAAAGAAGTAAAGAAGAATAAATCAAATTAAGAAAAGAAATGATGGAATATGGAAGAAACAAACGATAACAAAATAAAAGTCAAACTCCAATAAATGAAGACAAAAATAGTGATAGAAAAGAATAAATTAAAAGAGCCAAGAGCCCATTGATGGAACGATTAGCTATGGGATAAAAGGCAAAAGTAATGTTGAACTTATTTAGGTTGAAGAAAAAGAAATGTTTGCATTAACAAAAAAAAATTATGAGAATTTACCTGAAGTAAAAGGTAAAAAGAATTAAGAAGAAGTTATTAAGCAAAAATAACTATTCATGAAAGAAAGATAAAATAAATTAAAAGAATTAGATGAGGTAATTATTTTCCATAATTTAAGAAAATTAAAGAAAAGATGAAAAAACCATGATTTGAAATTTAATAAATTGTCTATAAGTCTATTATTGATATCTATAATAAATCAAAAGTATTATATATAAATCATAAAATCAATCGTAGAGTCTAATCTATAAATTAATTCTATGAATTATTTATCTTAAATAATTAGTTATCTGAAAAATCACTATAAAATCTGATATTATATAGTTTTTCAATTTCATCTTTATCAATTAAATTATATCTAGATAAAGAAGTTTTCATAGAGAATAAATTTAGTAGCCATTTAAATTTTATATAAATCCAAAAGTATTTTTTTCGGAGTTGATATATCTAAAATTTAAATAGTGGAGACTTATCTGAAATATTGTATAAATATAACTTTGGATCTTGAATAAAGTATAATCTTGATATTTCCTACTACTCAAACTTAATAGCTGTTGAAAACTTGGGATATGCATTTAAACGTCAAAACGGTTTTACAAATAAAAGCCTAAATTATCTGCGTCTAATACGTTTTCCTATAATTTGTGTTGTTTCATTAGATTCATAAAATATTCCATAATTCAATCAAACCATAAGAAATTACCTTTTATTTCAGTAAAAGAATCTACCTTGCAATTCTAATTTATTATCTATAATATATCATCATAATCAATCAATTTTATTCTATTTAAAAAATATTTATTTTTTAGTCATCTATCCTATACTTAGTATTTTGGAGAATATTTTAGTTGTAAAACTGCTTTAAAATTTATTTTTTTATAATTTATCCTTCTTTAGAATTGCTAATAGATTTTCACTTTTTCTATTGTCCAAACCTATAAATCAGTTCTGTGAGTAATCTTTTATGGTTATTAAGTTTTATGATTAAGAGGCATCTAAAAAGCTTTTTACTTCATAAATTTTTGTTACTGAGTTAATCTTTATATTAATGATAAATATAAATAATAAATGAAAAATTAAATTTCTTAATTTTAAATTACTTAATATTATATTTTAAAGAAATTCCCAAATAGAAAGTAATATATGTTTGTTTTCTTAAACATTTGACCATATTATTTTGTGAAAAATCTTGCAAGTATTCCAAAAGATATGATTAAAGTGTTTTAACAAAATATCGTTCATTCTATTTATCCATTACAATAAGAATTAATCAATATTAAAACATATCGGTAAAAATATATTTCATTAATTTACATATCTCCTATGTATGAGTGATTTTTCTATTTTAGTGGTTTAGATATTACATTATTTACTGTAGTTAAAACTTGAAAGGTTAAATTGCATTATGATATTAATTTATATTATTATGCATAAATTTGTGACTCCAGAAACTTTTGTTCATAAAATTTAGAATGATTATTTCATTAAGAAAAAGCCTAGTCCTGATTAAAGAACAGGGAAAAAGAAATAAACTGAATAGGATTTCGAACTCTATTAAAACCTTAAGGATCTGAGGAATAATAATTAATTAATACGAAACAATCAAAGATCACTTTAAATTATTAATCCTTTGAGTAAATAAATTAATATGATGGAAACAAAGAAATAATAATAAGAGAAGAAGATGAGGGAAGCTCAATTTTAATTAAAAAAAAAGAGTATGCTTAATGAAAATTAATAAAAGTTACAATCTGATCTAAAAAATTTAGAGAAGATAAGTGTTAGTGCTTTTAAGGATTTTAAAGAATAAGTTAATCTTTATAATAAATATTACAGTAATACAATTGGATAGGAACCAGAAATAAAGGACATTCAATATGAAGACTTAAATATTCCTTACCAATATGTGGATGATGGAAGTAGATATACTTACAGAGAAATATTAAACCATGAAATTCCAGAAATAAATTATATGAATAATGAGGCTAAAAAATTAATGGAGTAAAAATTATAAATTAATAATATCTTAGAACAATTCTTTAACTTAAATTTTCAGATGAATAATTAGAGAATAAATTATTAAACAGTTTAAAATAACATGTAGTTGTAAGAAAATTAAATTAAATGGAAAATGATTATTTAGCTGCAATAAAAAATAATGATTTATAAACTATAAAATTGATGTTAATTTCAGATGTAACTTTAGTTAAAACAAAAGATTTTGTAAATTTTAAATATATTATTAGATTGGTTAAACTGGATTGCATTTGGCTGCAAAACGAAACTATTATGATATTTGTTAAGAGCTTATAAATTATAATGTTGATGTATTTGCAATTGATTATGTAAAATAAAAAAATAAATTATAGGCAAGTAGAACGGCAAGGCAATTGGCAGAAAAATATCAATATTTTAAGGTGGCTAAGTTAATTCAGATGGAAGAGGATTAACTTAATAAAAAGAGAAATATATAATCATGAAAAATACTTTATTATTTAATATCATTTAACACAATATAATATAATATAGTTTATAAAATAATAAATATCAGTGAATTTAGTTGATGATTATTGTTAATAGGCAGTTATTTCAATGAATCATATTTAAAAATAAATAAATTATAAAAGAAATACTTGAAAAATGAATATTATTCTTATTTATATTAATAATAATAATGGATATCGATGTTGATAAAGTAAGTAATTTAAATGTATGAAGATAATTGAAAAACTTTTAGAAAGTAAAGGTGCTAAATAAGGGAAAGCTGTAAATCTAACAGAAAATGAAATACGTTCTTTGTGTATAAAGAGTAGAGAGATATTTTTAAGTCAACCAATGTTATTAGAATTGGAAGCTCCTATAAAGATATGTGGTAAAATGTTTAATATATGTAGGTGATATACATGGATAATATACAGATTTATTGAGACTATTTGAATATGGAGGGTTTCCACCTGAAGCAAATTATTTATTTTTAGGAGATTATGTAGATAGAGGAAGACAGTCATTAGAAACAATCTGTTTATTATTGGCATATAAAATAAAATACCCTGAGAATTTCTTTTTATTAAGAGGTAATCATGAATGCTCATAAATCAACCGTATATATGGATTTTATGATGAATGTAAAAGAAGGTATAATATCAAATTGTGGAAAACTTTTACTGATTGTTTTAATTGTTTACCAGTATGTGCAGTAATAGATGAGAAAATAATCTGTATGCATGGAGGACTTTCACCAGAATTAACACATTTGGAGTAGATTCATAGAATAATGAGACCTATAGAAGTACCAGATACAGGGTTATTGTGTGATTTATTATGGTCAGATCCAGAAAAGGATATTCAAGGTTGGTAAGGTAATTTTTATATTAAAATAATATAAAGATAATGAGAGAGGAGTTTCATATATATTTGGAACTGATGTAATAGCTAATTTTTTGAAGAAGAATGATATGGATTTGGTTTGTAGAGCTCATTAAGTTGTAGAAGAAGGATATGAATTTTTTGCAAAAAGACAATTAGTAACGCTATTTTCAGCTCCAAATTATTGTGGAGAATTTGATAATTCAGGTAAAGAATTTATTTAATTATTTAATAGGAGCATTAATGAGTGTGGATGAAACTTTAATGTGTTCATTTCAAATTCTAAAATCTTAAGACAAAAAAAATGCTCCATAAGCTAGACCAAGAACACCAAAATACGTTAATTGATATAATAAATGTTATTTAAGATAGAAATTAAACTTATTTAAAATTGTCATTTCATTAAAATCATTTCCTATAAATATAATGATTAATTATACTTCTGCTAAACTAGGATGAATAGGAACAGTGTTATCAAAATCTCTTTTAGTACATTTCATTTTCATAGCTACAGCAAATCCTTATGTTACCTCAGCAGCCTCAGGTCCAACATAATGAAATCCAATGATTCTATCTGATTCTTTGTGGACAATCAATTTGCCTCCACAATATTTAGCATCATCTCTTTTTCTGAAACCCCATTATAAAGGTTTAAAATAAGATCTATAAATTTTAATTCCATCCTCTCCATATTTTTATTTTGCTCTTTCTTCTGATAAACCAATACATCCATATTCAATAGGTGTATAAATAGTAGTAGCCACATCAGCATAATCCATAATCTCATTACTATCTCCATAAAGTCTCTTAGCTAATTTCCTACCAGCCATTACAGCTATAGGTGTATACTCTAATCTATTCAAACAACAATCACCAATTGCATAAATATTATCTACTGTAGTTCTATCATAATCATCAGCTATAATTTTATAATTTCTAGCATCAATCTTAACACCAATTGATTCTAAGTTTAATTATTTAGTTGATGCTTATCTTCCAATACCATATAATACAGTATCATAAATATCTTCTTCTACTACTCCATCACGTACCCATTTTACTAATCTTCTTTTCCCATTATCCACTCCTATGATTGATTATAATAAAGCTCTTTTAACAAATTTTATTCCATTATCTGTCATATATCCTTCAACTTTGTAAGCCATCTCTTAATCAAAATTCCTCATTACTCTTGTTCTAACTAATATAGTTGTATCATATCCAAAACCATGAATAAATCCTGCACATTCCAAACCTACATATGAAGCTCCTATAACCAATGTTTTCCCTGGAGGAGTTGTTTATTAAAATACATCCTCTGATGTTATCACTAATTTTGGATCTTAATATAGAATTGGTCTAGATCCAACACATACAATTATGTTCTTTGCACTTATTATTTCTTTCTCTCCTTTAATATCTGTAAGCTATAATAATACATTATTAAAATCTTAATCTTACTTCAATTGTATGTCGATCAATAAATTTAGCAAATTTATTATAATAATCTATACCATGATCTTTTAAAGAGCTTTCCTAACGCACATTCAATTCTTTTATATGTTTTTATACTGTTTCAATCAATTATTTCCAATTATGTTTTCCTTCACTTTCTATACCCTAATATCCTGCTGCTATTTAATCTTTCCTTATTTCACCCATTCTTGCTGAAAATGGCATTAATTTAGTGGGTACGCAACCAACATTTACACAAGTACCACCTGTTCCCCAAGTTGTAGCATGAGGACTTGGAGTTGCATAGTCAGCCATTCCCACTTTTTTTCCTAATAATGCTGATGCTTTTGAAGAAGCCAAGCCTCCTGCTCCACCTCCTATGACAAACAAATCATACTAAAATTTCTTTAACATAATTTATTAAGTTTAGTATTAAATAATATTTCACTTTCATTGTTATATAACTTGTTGTAGTTCTAAGATTCTATTATAATATTTTGCTCTGTATAATTTGTAATATATTTCCTTCATCTTTAGAAGATCTAGTCTTTAGGAAATCTGTAGAATTTATTTATTGATCAATTGAAAGTGATACTGAATATATTAGATTAAGCGATCCTTTTTTATTGCTAAAATGAACACTACAATATAACTTATGCATATTCCCAACAAAAAAGGACTGATCCTTATAAAAACTGATAATACAAAGAAAATAAATGAAAAGATCACAAATGTCGTGAAACCTATTCTTAAAATTTTATCATTTTTCCTTTTTTTTAATATCGTTAAGAGCAAATGTATTTATTCACTCAATTATTTGTACATTTAATGATTCTGTTCTAAGAATTGCTGATTTTGGCAATTTAAGTTTAATAATTAGTCAATCTAATTTAGTGTATTTATTTATATTCCAAGATCCATCCCTTTTGATTTTTTAAATAATTATTATTTAAGAGAATGACTTTATTTATTAGGTATTTAATAATTAATTTAGCATTTCTTTATGATTATTTTACATAATTTAAATTTTAATACTTCAAATCAAGATCATTCTCCAAAGTTAACACTTATTTATAGTCTAACCTAATAGAATCAATATGAGAATATATATATCTTAATTTTATAATTCACTTTAATCAATTGTAAAACAAAATTTAAAATCAGAACTCTTTCTCACTACATTTTAAATTAATAAGTTTTATTTAAATAACTAAAAAATAATATTGATCTCTCACTTATCTTATATATAGATACTTAATGATAGAGATTTCAAATATAAATTTTAATTATAATTTCATCATAAGTAGATTAATCAAATTACTTCACTTATACATATAATATTATAAACAAATTCAAATAAAATCAGATTGGAAATTAAATTATTATAGAAGTAAATTAGCATTGAGGAAGAATTCTTATATATAAATGAAATTGCATAAAGTACTATGTATCTAACAAAATTAATGTTATAACAGAGGCTCTTATACGAGTAAGTAACATTTTAGTAAATAAATAAAGTAGAATTAAGGCAATTTTGATGAAGATTATGTTGAAGTTTAGGATAATTAAAGTTTTTGAATAAATAATTGAAATATCAATTGATATAATTCATAATTTTAGTCCAAACTTTTTTTAATATGTAAAGTCAAATCATTTAATTAGAATTTGTGTACATAAATTAGGATTTTTAAAAAAATCTAAATAAATTTGAAATTAGATATCAATAATATTTAGTGAAATATTTAAATATTTACATTCTCTCAAGTGTTATCATTTACTGGGTATTTAATGTTTTTATTTAGTCTATTGTTATGATCCATTTATATGTTTCATGAATTATCAAGTAATTTATCATTCAAATCCTACAACACTGTTCACTATTTGAATTAGTATTTACTTAAATTAGCCTATTTTTATATATCTTTAATTCATAACCTAGAATTTCAAACTAAAAATTCTTCATGCATTTATTCTATCTATTATGTCTTAATTCACAAACCAATTTAACAATTTTTTTCATTAATAAAATTATTGTATTTAATATAGGGTTTTTTTAATTAAAAAATAGGGTTACATCTCATGAAAACTAATTTAATTACCAATTTCATATTTACCATAAAATGGATGATATTTAAAGATCATTTACTGCACGATATTAATTATTTAAATAATTCCATCAAGTCAAATGGAACATGCACTAAGTTCAAATATATATTAAATATTTTTGAAATTAGATAATCAATATTTACTAGACTTAATCATTTAATAACATACAATAAAATAATTTTAGAGATAGTAAAATAAATTATTCTTATTTATGATTAATGGTCGCTTTTTTACTATTTAAATATCAAAATTAAAATTAATAAAACTAATTATAGTTCTAATTCCAAATTAAATGATCACCAATATTTGTATCTCTTATTTGATAGAGGTATATATTTTTTTGAAAATTAAATAATTTAGATAGAATTTATATAATAAATTTTTCGTGATTAAGTTACTTATAAATCTTAGATATTTATATCATTAATAGTATTTTATAACAATTTTGATTTAAAAGAGATACAAAATTAAATATCAAATACTCATTCATTTAATTCATTCGCCATATGACTCTTATAAAATGTACTTCTCATTTTCATATCTTTAATGTTGTTATTTCCTATTTTGATATTATTATAATGATCAACATAATATTAGTTTCGATTAAAAATACTGTTCCTCCCCTCTTTATCATTCATAGGAGTTATATCACTTGATTTTGAATAATCTAAAATTTATGATTAATTTAATAATTGTTGTTAATCTTCCTATCTTCTTTTTATCATAGAGTTTGTTCCTTCTAAAGTTGTATAATAAATTTCTAATTTATCCTTAACATTATAGAGTTTTCTTCTATCTTTCTCCATTTACCTTTCTTCTTAATCTAATTCTCTTCTACTTTTTAATTTTGATTTTTAAGGTGATCTAACGATCACTCCAAAATGGTTTTTTAAAAAAGTTATTGTTTCATCTGGACTTCTCATTCTTAATCCAGCTCTTATAACAATCTCTGAATCACTTTATACTTAGGATGTATCTAATTATCTCTAATCATTTATCAATTTAGGTTATTCATCAATTTGAGAGTCTTTTTTTTTAATTTATTGCTAAAGTTTTAAATGTCTTGTTTTATTGAACTATTTTTCAAAAAATTCCTTTAACCCTTATTTTTTTAGTTCATATATTTTTTCTTATTTATAAAGAGGCATTGAACTCAACACTTTTGTTAATACCAAATTATCTTTATTACATGAATTACTTAATACTTCTGTTCTATATTTTGAATACTAAAATTATCTTCTTTAAATATTATCAATAATTGGGAACACTCTATCCATGTCTTATTCTTTGTTTCGATTCTACTCAATCTTATATTTTTATAAACTTAATATAACTTACCTACCCAAATAAATCGTCTACTCTTAATAATATATCTTTGTTTTACTTCTTTACTTTTTCTTTTTTATCACGAAATTCAGTGATTTTTTGAGAAAAATTAATCTTTCTTTCTTTTATGTCTAAATTCATATTAAAAATTATATTTTATATAAATTCAATTCTTAATTTTAATAATCAAGTAGATTTTTTAATTAGTTCTTTTGGATATTGCAAATTAGTTAAATTTACTATGCTTTGATCCCATATTAACTTTTGCTAATTTTAATTATATTATATAGAATTACTTCTGCTATTTATTCTTTTTGAAGACTACAAAATGTTGTAAAATGCTTTGAAAATTCAGAAACTGTATTTTCAAGAAGTCTCGTTACTTCCACATTTGATTAGATATTATAATAACTTAAGAAATTTTTTAGATCTTCTTGAATTTCAGTTTCTTATGGTAGCATAATTTAAAAACTTATTTCTTTATTTTAAGTTAGGTTGCTATCTTATAAGGCTTTAAGCTAAATAGCTGGAATTTCCCATTTGTTGAAGTCCTGCGTTGTAAATAATTTGTTTTTCTTTAGTTCCAATTTAGATTTAAATTTATCATATTCTTATTGAGCTTAGTCTTTTAATTTCATAAACTTGAATATGTGAGATTATTACTTCTTTTAATACTAAAATTGAATGATGATGAAATTTAAAGAAATAACAAAGTTCTTCTTAAACTATTTTAATTTGAGCTGTTAAATTATTACCCCATTAAACTAGCATATTATTCATTGATATATATAATATATCTAATTTTTAAATTTTACCTTAAGGAATGGATTAATTAAACTTATTTGATAATTAATAAAGTTCAGCACAAGTTGATCCCATATTAAAAATAGTATTAGATAATTAATCAAAATCTAGTAATAATTATTTAGATTCCTTTCTTAATTTTTTATAACATATATCAACTGAATTAATTAATTAGGTTGCTTCTAAATTATAAGCACTCAAATTTTCATTATTTTCTAATTAAATTTTACCATCAATTGAAATAATCTATTCTAATTTAGTTACTTTTTAGACTTAAGTACTCAATTTTTAGATTTATTTAAAATCTTTTTCATCTTTTGATGATAAAAATGCAAAAAACCATTTATCATGTCTTAATAATTCACATTTAAATATTGATTTTAAGAAATTCTAAATGAATAAACATAATTACCTCTAAAAATTTCATACGTTTGTGAAGATACAATTCATTTTCATTTTTAAGAACAGACTTTTTAGGTATTGGAGCAATCTAATTTAAATAACAAATATTTACACTTTTTCCAGGATAAATTTTGCATAATAATTCTCTCAACCATAAGAAATCACTATATCTCCTTTAAACATTCCAGCCTATTGGATCTGTTTACACAGTATATGAATAATAAGATGATGTGAAAATACCCCCGGATATTCTTTAATATTTTGTAATAAAAACGTTTATTTCATCAGATTTCAATATTTATTTTTTATCTTAGACCTTGCATAAATGAATTTTAGATTAATCTGATATTATATTAAGTTCACTATTTAGTAATTACTCTTATTCTTTATTTTGATTTTCAATTTTTTAATATGAATTTTCTTGCTACTATACTACATATTATAAATTTTTATCCTCTATATCTGATTTTCTATCAGAAAAATTAGCTTGAAATTATTGATCTAATTATTGTGAACTTAACTATTAAAATGAAGCAATTGCTTAAATTAGTTCTTGATATGTCCACATGTCGATGTCTTATCCACCTAATCGTAAATTTATTTTTGGAGTGTACCGTTCTCTTTCTATTGTTCCATAAAACTTATAAATTTTTCAGTATCATATCCTTTGTCAATTATTTCAGTTTTTAATAAGATTTCTTTTTGTTGTAGTTCATCACAATTGTTTTATTAATCCATTAATTATATTAAAAAATGGAATATTATACAGAAATATCCAATGAGTTAAAAAATAAATATAATCAACATTATAATCTTTATTAGGTACAATAATTAAATAATAATAGAAATAATAATTGGAACGTAAAATTCTTTGTTATAAGAATAATAATGAAGATCCATTAAAATATCAATAATGCATAGATGATTTAAATACAAGAATGAATATGAATTCAACAACACTTAGAAATAGGTACAATCAAATTGAAATTGATGATAAAGATTGTCAAAGTAAATGCTATGAAGATAACAAATGTTTTAAAGCATGTGAAGATTAATCAAGAAAAAAAGCAAATTAATTATAAGAATAATTTTATAAATTAATGTTATAAGAAAATCCAGAATACAAAAAAATTAAATGAATTGTATTTTATAATATAACCTATAATCTCAGAATATTGTGCAATCATCAGTTTATCCAATATTTTAATTATCTGGTTGTTCATCAATTATTTACTTTTCTTATTATTGTTAACTTTCTCTAAATGTTTATTATTAAGTTGTATTTCTTTATTCTTATTCTTTTGGAGGATTTTATTAAAATTATGATAATAATCTATTCATTTATTCTTCATGTGTTTATTCTAATAATGAAATCTTTTCTTCATAAAAAGATTTTAATTAATGTATTTCTTTACCCTCATATTATTTTAATGTTTAATTAATTTCTTTATTAATTCTTTCATAATTTTACATTTAATCAAAATACTCAATTTTTAATTGATTGACTTCTACAAATTTTTATTTTAAATTAAATAATTCTTTTTCTTTCTATAGAAGATTATTTCTAATTTATATATTATTTTCTTATAATTCTTTAGTAATATTAGGTTAAACAGGAGATTAATTAAAATTTTAATCAAAATCTTTTCTTTTCAAACCTAAAATTTGTACATTTAAATCATCTATATGTTTATTTAATTTTTCTGTTTATTCATTTTTTCTTGCACATAATTAACTCATTTCTTCAGCATTTTTTTTTAATTCAGCAAGCTATTTCTTTAATTCTAGTGTTTCTTAATCCTTTTCTTCATATTTCATATTCAAAGATTAATTTTATTGTTATAATATAGATGTTTTTTTTAATAATGAAACTCTTTCTTCTGTTAATCTATAGACTTCTTATTCATATTCACTATTTATTTTTTCTTTCAATTATGTTTCGAATTCAGTTTTATTTTTTTAACTTTATTATAATTAAATTTATAAATTGTTAATTTCAAATTTTAAATTGCTTATTTCTGAAAGCTATTTAGAAATTTAATTTCTATAATTAACTTCCTTTTATTCAAAAATTTTCATATTGTTTTCTTATTATTCTTCTAACTATTAATTAAGAAATTAATTATTTTATTGATTTTTTAATTGAGCATTTAAATTATTTTTAATTGATTAATTATCTAATTCTAATTATTATTGCTAATCAATATATCTTTGAATTAATTATTATTATTATTATACTTTTTCTTCTAATTCACTTATCATATTATTCTTTTCTTATATTTAAATCAAATATTTATCAGCATTATCTGATTTAATTGAACTTCTTGATATTCTTGAATTATATGCATCAGATTCCATATCATAATCTTATTTTGTATAAGTTACTGAATTTCTTAAATTTAACAGTTCCTCTTTTTGCTTTTTAATTGCTTAATATAATTCTTTAATTTAAATCTTATTGACATCATATTTTTCATTTGATATAACAGACTCAATTTTAGAATTAGAATTATCTTTTACAAGACCAATAAATGAATCTAACAGATATTCTAATGAACTATTATTAATTGATGATCTTTATTGTTATTATTATTCTTTCTAATCCTATTATTTTTATTGAATTAATATTTATGATTATTAACTTAATTATTCTTTACTCGTTAAACTAGTTCTATGCTTTCTTTTCTGTTGATCTTCAAATTATAAGAAAGTAGTCAATTATTCTAATTAAATATTCTTCATAATTTAGAATGGTATTTCATCAATTTATGCATCTGCAAAAATCTTCTATAATTCCAAACAAATATTTGCTAAGAATTTCTCATAAATAGAAAACTATTTCAATAGAATATATATATACATCTCTATTGATAAGCAATTGATTAAAGAGAAAATATCCTACATAAAATTCTATATGATTAAACATAAGAGTTGTTAAGATATCAGATGAATAAGTATCTAAAAATACTTTAATTTTTGATTTAATTAGAGAATCAATTGTAGTATTTGATTAGTCTCTCATACAATCCATTAAGAATTTAACTTCCTAATCAATTGGTTTACTTTCTTCTGTATCTAATTTATGATATTGAAATCTTTAAGGTAATACTTTTTAGTGTAAAAACAATAATAATGTTAAACATATAGCTTCATCACAAAAATATAAGATATAAGTTGTTATAAAGACTAGATTTCTTGTTAATCTTACAGGATTGGATTTAAAAAAACAATGTAAAACATTTGATATTTTTGTCAATATAGAATTTTCCTATTCTCCTGCACACATTTTATAATTCCAATCATATAAAGAATAATTTAAAGTTTTCTTATTCTAAAATCGATTATAATCGATACAAATACCTCCTTATAATATCTCTATAGATTTGTTTATATTTAATTTTTTGCTTCATTACTAGAATTATTCAAAATCTTAGGTAATTAATTTTAATATTCTTCTTATACTTTCTCTATTACAATACTAAAAATCTATAAAATAATACTCATCTCCTTAAGCTAAAAAAGCCCATCTTTTTCCTATTCCAGATAATTATCCAAACTTGCATTTCTCTACTTCCATCTACTATGTTTGATGTTTTGAATCATCTTTACAATTCTTACAAATTCTATGAGGGGTTTTTAAATCATGAGATGGAATGATTGCTTTATCAGGACCACAATTATAGCAGACATATCTAAGACATCTTTTGCATTAATGTTATTTGTGTTTCCTTTAATAATTGAAACTAGATAATACCAATCAAAAGTTTATTAGCATAATTCACAAGCTTCATTTTTATTAGTTGAACTTCCAACAAATGTTCTATAAGTGAATTTGGAACCAATCTTTTCCAACATTTATATATATTATATATTAATATTTATAATTCTGTAATGTATAAAGAATATCAAGTTATTACTTTTCTTATTTGAATAAAATAAATATTTTTATTAAATGTCTTAAGATCAATGTTATGATTAGGGATTATCAGGTTAATCTTCACAATCACCTTCTAATTAATAGGTTTAGAAAAGCATGAATTAATTTTCTATTGATTTTTTTATAGAAAAGCGATTTATCACTTAAGAGGATTTGAAACCAATTCTAGAGGATGTTAGGGTAATTGATTCAATAATAATATCATAGTGTTTATATAGTGTTCATTCAATTAAATTGAATCCTTAGAATCAAATTCCAGCTTTAGAAGGTACTGCATTTTCTATTATTGATCATGATGAAAATAAATTAAAAGCAAGATGTGATGCAGTTTATAAAATACTTTAATTAATAGAATAAAGAAATAAATAAACATTAGAAGTAATTATGTTGATTCCTGAAGGTAAAATCAATAATTAGCTTAGGGACTGTCTCATATGTGATTGGAACCTAGGGAAAATAAATAGAGCATATTAAATTAGAAACTAAGGTTCATCTTGTAGTTAATTAACCAATCTATGAATTTTAATTAAGAACAGTAACAATTATTGGTAAATATTAATTAAATATTATAAGGTGAGTCTAGTAGCATTTTTAATGCAGTTAATTTAATAATAAAGTAATTGTAGGAAAGAGGAATTTCAATTGAAGATTATGCTAAAAAAGCTGAACCTTTAGATCCAAGAAGAGTTATAACAAAAGTATTTATAATTAATATTAGAGGCCAAATTTGCATTTTAGAGTGTGATAATAGAATATATATTAAAAAATAAAGATTTAGAGAAAAAATATTTAGTAAGATTGAAGGGAAAGGGAATTAATGAAATAAAAATTAAAGTACAAATTAAAAGATTATTAGAAAAACAAATTAAAAAAGGATGAAGCAATTTTATAAATTGATGGAACATTATTTAATGTTTAAGAGGCAATTTAAAATATAATAAAGAAAGTGACTCAATAATTCAAGAAGATTGAATTTGATATAAGAATTATAATGCCAGCTAATTTTGCATCTAAATTAATTGGGGCTAGTAAATAATTTATTTATTATATATAATAGAAGGATGTTAAATTAAAGAATTAGCCAATAAAGCTAGAGGTGCTTAAATAAAAGTACTTTCAGATAGGGATGACACAGATATTGGTTAAGGTTGAAATTCTATAGAATTTTAGATTGTTTGGTATAAGTAACAGGATCGATGGAAAATAAATAGGAAGCAACAATATTGATTTTGGAATAGATTGAATGTTTCAAAAATGGAGGCCCTGTATATAAATAATTAATAAGATCCTTGAAAGCGGAAGGTACATAAATGAAAACTTTGCATAATAATACAAAAACTCAGTGCAGGTCTAAGACATGAAGCAAAAGAGGTTTTTGTGGAAGAATTAATTAGGTAGACAATAATCATCTTCTTCGCGTTCAGATAGAAGACAGAGATCCAGGTCATCAAATAAAAAATAAAAATATATGAGAAGATCTAGATCATCTAGGTAAATATAAATAATAAGTTAGTTCTATTAAATCTAATAAGCGTAGATTGAAATAATAAGTGCTCAAGACCAAAATTATTGTTAAATAATCACTAATAGAATTAATTAATAAATAAGTAGTTCGATGTTGTTAGGACTTAGATGTTAGAATCAAGACTTTTCCTTCTGTATTTTACATAATAGATAAATAGGATATAGTATAGGAGGTTATTGTTAAATTAAGTGGAGATGTTAGAAGTTGTATAACAGTTATCTAATATATATTAAATGAGTAATGTAAATTATCCAAGAGATGAAAGTAAAATAAAATAATAAAATATTCTCAACATATATTATATCAAAATATCATTTCATTTTATAAAATTATCCAATTCAAATTAGGATATAATTTCATTAATATCCATATGTTTATTTTAAATTGAATTCAAATATGTTTATATAATTTATTTAGCCATTTCTATACCCACTATTCTAGATCCTAAAGCTATTACATTACAGCCAATTTGAGCTGCTTATTTAGCAGAATAATAATCATTAATTTATCCACATCTAATACCTTTAATTTTATTAGCCATAATTGACATTCCAACTCCACTTCCGCATATTAAGATTCCTAATCCTTTATTTCTAAATACATCTTAACATAAATCTATTGCTATTTCATTATAATCACAACTTTATTTTGTATTAGTTCCTTTATTTATTATATTATATTATTGTTCTTTAAGATTTTCTAATATTATATTTTTGTATTCTAATCCAGCATGATCATTGCCTATATATATTTTATATTAATTCTTTTTTGAAAATTAATAATACGTAATTGTTCTTATTTTGTTAATGGAATTATTAGTTGATTTTATCATATAATTATTTATAGAAATTAGTAATATGATTTATAAGCTTAATTAATTATGACGTATGAAATGTTGCTATTACTTAAATTGATTGTTCAATTAATACTTTTTAAAATTAAATGTCTGATTTTATTCAATGGACATATGATAACAGAATTCAAATCTCAATTGACTTAGCAGCTGGATCAGTTAGTGGAATGTATTTTATAATTAATTACTCTAAATAGAGCAAATTGTATATCAAGTCATCCATTAGACACTGTTAAAGTTAGAATGCAAATGTCAAATGATGGTGTACATTCAACTTTAAAGAAAATTGTTTAAAATGAAGGAACAAAGGGGTTCTATAAAGGAATGTCATTTCCTATACTTTCCATACCAATCACAAATGCAATTGTTTTTTCAGTTTACGAATTCTGGAAATCATTTTTTATAGGAAATTCGAATAAATAACTAACTTATTTTTAAACGTATTATTTCTTAAGTTAATTATTAGTGCCATTTGTGGAAGTATTGCAGGCAGTTCGGCTGCATTTTTTTCATGTCCTATAGAATTGACCAAATGCAAATTACAAATGTAATCGACTGACAAAATTTACAAAAATCCAATAGACTGTATATACTAAGTAAGTTTTTATATGATTTTAATTATAGATTTATTAAAAGGAAGGTTTTAAATCTTTATTTCGTGGAATGTGTGCTACACAATAAAGAGAGATTCTAGGTTATTCAGCTTAGTTTGCTGTATATGAATTGATAAAAGATTTCTTATGTAATTTGTCTTAAAAGGCTGAACCATCAACAGCTAATCTTTTGATTTCTGGAGGACTTGCTGGTGTTTCTTGTTGGACAATAGGATATCCTTAGGACGTATTTTTTCATATTAAAATATATATAGACTATAAAAACAATTTTATAATGCTAATAACCTTCCGATTAAGCTTTATATAAAGTTAGATTTTATGATGGGGGTTTTCTAGATTGTTTAAGAAAAAAAATTATATAAGAAGGAATAGGATCAATATGGAAAGGATATTCAGTTTGTATTTTGAGATCCTTTTATGCAAATGCAATAGGATTCTATGCATACGAATTAGCAAAAGAAAACTTTACTTCGCTCTATTAAATATATTGATAATGTGAATAAATTCATTGTTTATATTATACTCAATTTACAAGAAAGATATGAAATCAATTTAAAAACATCTTATCCTAATCTAGTTCATCAAGTTTTTCTTTTGATTTGTTCATTCTCCTTAGAATTATTGGGTTTTTTTATAATTAATAAGAAGCCTTAGCTCTTCGAATTTCGTTAGATTCTGCTAATGAGCCCATACTTTTTAGATATTATTCAAAGTTATCATTTGTGATCTTTGTATTATTTGTCTAGTTAGAGGAAGATTATTTTTTATTTATTGAACAACCCATTCTTATTTTAATTTCAAATATATAATTCAAATATTTAATCATATAAAGTAGAAAACATTTAATTCATTTCTTTATTGTTGATTAAATCATTTTATTTGATGTCAGCTTGTTAGAAACGAATAATTAAAAAATGAATTAGATTAACAAATCCAAAAATTAATTTATAATTAATAATCAGCAGTTTTAATGTAAGAATTAGCTGAACTGAAAATTTAAAAATAAGAGATAACATTAGAATTTAGAAAAATAAAGATTATATATATTATTATATTCATTCAATGGTAGGATCATAAAACAGAACTGTCGGTAATTTAGGTGCCTGGGAACAGCTCTTGTAATATTTGATTTATAATAAGAATTCAGTAAATGGATTTATTAGATCTTTATATAATTTATAACTAATATGGTCCATGTCTTCAGCTAAATGCATTACACATTAACTAGACTTACAATTTTCTAATATATTATTAAATTATACTATATAATTCTTGTGCTTAAGTATATGGTATAATGTTATCAGCTTTACCATGTAAAATAAAAGTAGGAATCCTAACTTTCTTAATTTAATCTAAATTATCGAAACGCTATCTGATAAGATATTAAGCCCATGACCCAACATAATCTCTTACAGCAGCTTTTAAAGAAGTAAATGGAGACATTAATGCAAGACATGCTGGTTTATATTTACCAGCAATATAGGTAGCAGGTCCACTGCCTATACTCCTTCCAAATATAATAATTTGATTTTCTTTATAACCCAATCTTTTAGTAAGATAATTATAAACATATTCAGCATCTTACAAAATGAATTCTGCATTTGGTTATTCATTTTTATATTTACCATAACCTGGATATTCCATTGCTATGGCTGATACCTAAATTGAAATATAAAAATACATGTAAGTTATCTCTTAAATGAATAAGAAACTTATAAGATTATGTTATGTCTTCGCAATTAGCATGGAAATATAATACAATATTTGGAGAATGAATTTTAGAATCTACATACATACATGGAATATATCCAAATATATGATTTGATTCTCTAGAATTTGATCTATGAATAGTTGGTTCATCTAGGACAAAATTTGCTTTCTTTTTCTCAATTAATTCTTTAGGTAATGCAATGATAGGCTGACTAAAACAGATACTTTTTTTGATTTTAGTTTTTGGATAAAAATTACTCAACATCCTATATAATTAAGACTTTTTAGTAGTAATTTAAATGGATTGCATGTTTAATTATTGTAGTTTAGATGAAACATCAGGACTTCCCTCATTAGAGTCAAATGATGGTGAATTAATTTCACTAGTTTATCTTCTTTGCTATCTTTAAGTGACAGGTTTGCATGGAAAATTAGGAATTGGTTATAATTGAGATTCACTACTATAATTAAAAAAGAGTTACTTGGGTTCTTCAATGAAGTTATTTTCATCATCTTCAGATTCTAACTCATTCTGCTTGAAGTACATACCTCTCTTTTTGGTTGTTCTGGGGACATAATTTAAAAAATTTGGATATAATTTTTTGTACTTAGGAATCCATAATATTTATCCTTATTCATGATCATTAGATATTTCTTTAGGAGCAGGGAAAAAAATAAAGTCTAGGTCCATTAATTTATAATATTGTAATTATTAAAGAGAGTGAGAGTTAATTAAATGAAAAGGGCAATCAAACATTTATAATTCATAATAGGAGTAATGTGCAACTCATTATTTTAAGTCAAGTATATAAACTATTATATGGAGAAGCATATTTTACTTTAAAACTATTACAAGGTTATACCAAATCAAAGTCATAGATTGCAAAAATATATTATTCTAAAGAATTTTGTAATAGATAGAAAGAGAAAGTGTGAATGAGTAGAATTTGAATTATGAAACTGAAAATATACAAATCTTACTTAAAATTTGAATTTATTAGTTATTATTATGAATTAATATTATATTATAAGAAATCAAAAGATTTTGAACTAATGATAGTAGCTATTAGTATAAATATTATTCTTATATTTTGAGATTTAATAAAATCAAAAAGAGATATAATCTAATTTTAGTCTTATGTGTTTATAAAAACAAATACTTTTGGAAGTAAAGATAATAAAGAATATGATAAATTAAAAGTAAATGTTTAAACAGTAATGGCAAATTCTATAAAAATAAGAAGAAACAAAAATATTTATTATGGGAATTTAATAATAAATACTGCGTCATCCTAGTCTAATAACCTATATAAAAGTATCATACTTTAAAATCATCATTATTCAATAATAAAAATTAATGAGAGGATTTATAATACGCTTTGCATTCGCTGAATAGGTCTCCATCCAGTCTCAAACTTATTTAAAAAGATCTTACAAAGAAGCTACTGTAGAAATGGCCATAAATCCTGTTAATCCATATCATCAATGGTTCATCAAAGTAATCTTAAATTTTATATTTTTAGCTCGACGGCAAAAGTGTTAAGACTTAGTAACGAAACATTTTAGCAGTCCCTTCTCCTTAATTGGCTGCTTGTATTGCATCAGAATTCAATCGACAAAAAGAATACCTAAGTTTCAAACAAATGCCACTTATGATGTTAGCCAGAAATGCTATTGATTTGGATTATGATGCAACCAATAGAGAATACATTGAAAAAACTATCATTAGCCATTTAGAAAATGATGTTATTTTACATCGTAGAAACCAAAAATCATAACTTCTATAAATTCAGTAACAATAATTGGATCCTCAATTAAAACTTTTCAATTCTAGATTCGGAATGGATATTCAGGTTAATGATGGTATTCAAATTGGATCATTAAGCTAATAAAATAAAGTCAAAATTGAATCTTTAATTAGAGGATTAAATAATTGGTAATTAGTCAGTCTCAGTTCTTAAGCAGGTATAAAATTAATATAATGTTATTAGATAATCTAAAATCTTGTATATTATCAATTCAATTATCTTATGGGTTAGTAGATTTGAATAAAGCTTTAACACTCTGCGATATTGAAAATTAATTTAATAAGAAGATTACTGAAACTGAAAATCCACAGGAATCAGATGGCGAAGATAACATAATTTCTATGAATGTATAAGCAGCTCAACTGTTTTCATCATTAATTTATTCATAAAGTATCCTTTATTGATATTTTGTTTATTGTGTATAGAATTAATAAATTATTATAAGATTTAAATAAACAAATATATACCCACTAAAATCAATCATGACTTGAAGGCTTTTGGTTAAAATGTAGATATTGATTATGAAACTCTTGTCAATATTTCTGTATGTGTTTTCCTTTCTACTCTAGCCACTGGAGATGGACCAGAAACTTATTTTAAAGGAAGACTTTTCCTTAATTCTACCTTAGGCTAAGGTTTATATTGAGGATCCCTTTAAATATCAAAGGGTGTCAGTTCTGGTCCTAAAGTACTTGTGATACATCCATGCAACATACTAAATTCATAATACTTTGTTACGTTTCATAATCAAGTAATTAAAGTAAGAATCCAGGATTGGGTCGAACATATGGTCTCTTTTATTTTAGAAATCTTAGAGCTTATTCTAAAGTTTATTGATAAGTTTTCATGAGATAGGCCAAAACTAGGGTAGCTGATCTTGAGATTCCGGCTGCACAATGAATAAGAACATTTTATTAAGATTTTAAAGCATTTTCAATGAATAAGTAAGATCTTTCAAAAACTTTACTTATTTGAGAATTCATATTGTCATGAATATCTAAATAAATTTATTGATATTTTGGTCCAACAATGATTTCTACTTATTAATATTTATTACTCTCTTCAGTACATATAGATAATATGCAATTTATGTTATTTGTTTCTAAAATTTATTAATTTATTAGACAATCTAAATTTCCAAGAAACAATTTTCCTCTTTCTTTTTCTGATAATATCAAATTGATTGGTTATTCACCAGGTAAAGTGTATTTAAGTAGATGGAAACCTTTCATTATAAATAAAATTTATTTTATTATTTAAATGCATAAATTAGAATATTAATGTAATAATATTTGGTATCATATTTTGTAAGTATTTTTAATCATTTATTTTTATATTGATAATATTAAGGAAAGAATGAGTTTATGAATATTATTTTTGATTTTTTAAATCAATTTTGACGATCTTATAAATCTTTTTAGATGCAATAGCACAAACCTAATTGTTCACATATGACACCTTCACAATTCAATACAAATCCTTTACAACAAGGACAACCTCTATATTTTTCATATAAATCCATCATTTAATCAGGGTCTTCAGGATCAATATCAATTATTAACTGATTATATAATAATAATGCAATACATCTTTTTATTTTTGAAGCACTTCATTTTAATATTTTTCAATATCATTATTAGTAAGCTCTTTTGGTATAGTTTATGTTTATGGTTTATTGCAGAACGGACAATTTTATATGCCATGAAGATGATAATTATTGAGTTTGTATTCTACACAATCAGGAGATAGTTTAAATTGAGGTTATTTCTAAATTTCTTCTTATTAAGACATTAAATTATATAAATGATAAAAAAAACATTTTCAGGTATTTCATTAAGAGATAAACAAAAATTCACCTTTAAAGAGTAAAATGGTTTACTCTGTTATACATTTACTTAAATAGTTTTAATTGGCAAAGGTGAAGCAAAGATTTATGGACTTTCTAATAATAAAAAAATTTAGGTTGCTTCTTTGAATGAAAAATAAAATTAATGCAAATGCAAATTTATAATGGATGAAAATAATTTTACTCATTTATTATGTATTGGAGATGAATCTATAACAATTAATGTGTTGGGATACAGATTAGAAAATTAAGTTTAGGAATTATAAGAAAATAATTAGCATGAAAATTTGATTATTAGAGATCAATCCAGAGTATTAAAATAGAAAGAAGTAGATTCAAATGAGTTTGAATTACTTTCTAAGAAAGAAAAGAAAGAATATAAAAAAATATAAAATCAAAAATAATTATTACAAAAGTATTGAAATATAGTATGTGTTGTGATATATTAAAATTTATTAGTTTAAATATTTTCTTTGATATGTTCAAATCAATCTAAAAATGGAGAATGAGAAATTAGCTAAAGCTCTACTTTTTGCTTTTATCTATATTCTCTACATTATTGATTGGAATTATATTAGTCGTAACTTAGAATCTTGTATACAAAGAAGTAGTTCTGACTACATAGTAGATATCAACTAAGTTGACAGATAATGAAATATCAAACTAGTTTGAAACTCAAATGCATTTGTTTTTTGAAGTAAATCATAAAAGTACAAAATCATTATATTTAAGATTACCGAGCTCTTGATAAAATTGCATAATTATTTACATTTGTATAATTAGAATTGAGTTTAATAACATAAAAAAGTGATTAATGTCCAGTAAACTAAACCCAAAATTATAGAAAATCGAATATCTGCTATAATATTTTCAATTTGAAGAGTGGATAGGAATTAAATTAAATACAATAAAAAGACTTATACTACCATTTGAAACATTAGAGTTTATTACAAGAATTACTATTTCTTTTTGATCCTGAACAATTTATTATAGGTAATTGGTCAATTGGATATAGTAAACAATCCTATTTTTCAGCATATTAAGCTATAGGCTATTATTCAAACTTTAATATTGCTACTAGACCATTCTACACAAATCATATTAAAAAAGCAAATTCATCAGAATATATTTTTAGTGACGTCTTCTTTAATTTTGAAAATGAATACAAAGTCACAATCTCAAAAAACCTTACAAATGATATAACTGATGGTATTGTGGCTACATAATTTGAATTTAAAATAATTAAAAAGTTTTTTTAAGAAAACTTTCTGATTCTAAATAAAGATGGATTAATATTGATTGGCAATGTTTAAATGTATTTTTAACCTAATAGAACTAATGTTTTTTTTTTTAATGAAAGTCTTACTGGTTTTAATGAAAATGATTGGAATTCTGTAAAGAATTATATGGATTACAACATTTCAGAACCTAATTGTACAACTTTAAATTCTTTATATTTATGTAGATATAATAAAATATTATTGATGGATGTAATGATATTTGCCAAATTTTTAAGGTTTTCTAATCTAATATTGATTATGTAAAATATGTTTGTTATTAAGATTAAAGAATATAGAAAAGGATAAAGATTTAGAATAATAATTGATTTGGATAGAAGATTAAAAGAATCTTTAAATTACTCAATTATTAACATATTAATTAATTGCTGCTTTGGGTACAAGTCTTATTGCCATCTTAATTGTTAGATATATTTGTAGATATATGACATATCTAGAAAGATTAGCACATTCACATTTTTAAAATAAACCTGTTGATTTTTAAGTGTATTCTTTCCTAAGAGAAATAAAAAAACATTCATAATCACAATCCACTAATATCACTTTAAATCTATCTGATTCCTATTATAAATTAATTTCATAGTTAACAGCAAGACCTTTTATAAAGAATGATGAATGTAAGAATTTTGAATCTTTTCAATTTCCATGCTCTAAAAAATAACGTAATCTACCAAAATGGAAATCTTCTATTTTGGAATTATATGATAAATAAGGGATATCTAAATAAAAATGCAAGGCTCTAATATTGAATCTGTTAAGATTATCATATCAAAGACACAAATATTGAATCTTTTTATACAAATATATTTATCTTGTTAATCTAATATAATACCTATTGTTCTCTTTATTTAAATTTTATTAATAATCCACGTATATTAAATTAATTAAAATGGAAAAAAAATAAGGAGCAGTAAAGTAAATAGTATCCTCTAATTGTGTGTTAATTTCTGGACCAATTAATAATGAGACAGGAGTTCCAATGACTAAATTCTTGACTTTGTAAGGAATTCAAGCACCAGAATTCTCATTGACAGATAAAGAAAATCCAAAATAAGAGCCATTTGGATTTTAAGCAAGAGAATTTTTAAGAAAGTAAGTCTTAGGATAATAAATTGAATTCATAATTGACCATAAAATCAAAGATTAAAATGATAAAGTAATTGGAAGAATATTTAAAAATGGATAAGATATTGGGGAATTATAATTAAGAGAAGGATTGGCATAATTAAGATAATAAGGTAAACCAAGTTAAGAATATGAAAATGCATAAAATTTGGCTAAATAAAATGGAAAGGGAATATGGTCAAAAAAAGAAGAATTAGTGAAATATAATAAAATTGAATTAAAGGATGTCAAACCTAAATAATATACTTAATGTTTTGTTGAAGATGTATAAGGATTGTTTGTATTTTATGCTTACATTCCAGAATTATAAGGTTTAGTCAAATGTTCATATGGAGAAGTATTTATGCCAACCTCAGTTTCATAAGTATTGTAAAATAGAGCAAAATGGACAATCTAAGAGTTAATTCTTTAATAAGAGGTTACTTTGACTGTTTAAGGATAAGATGAAAAGTTTTAATCTTTGAGAGTAGATATTAAAAAGAAAGATTTAGATGTAAAAAAAGAACTAGTAAGTTTAGGATACTTTAGATTATCACCAAATGCATTTTAATTAATAAATGATTAGAAAAGGTAATATATTTATTAATTTTTCTTATAGATACAATGAATTAAAAGAAACTTAAAGTCAAGCTGAGATTAAATTGATAGGAATATGGAAGGATGCTATGAAATAATAATAATAATAATAATCAGTTGTCTTATAAGGAGGTAAATAGACATACACAGCCAAAATTATTGAAGTTCATTCAGGAGATTAATTGACTGTGATGAATGTTAATAATAGATAATAATCAAGAGTATTATTGGCATCCATTAAGGCTCCAAAATATTCATTAAAAGAAACTCAACCATTTGGATATGAAGCTAAAGAATTTGTTAGAAAACATGCTATTGGTAAAATAGTTAAAGTAGAAGTTGAATATGAAAAGAAAATTAAACCAAAAGAAATTGAAGGATTGGCTGATGAAGATGATAAGAAAAAATTATAATAAGAATTAAATATGATCTTTGTTAACATTATATTAACTGAAGATAATGATTCAAATTTAGCTGCTTTAATTGTAGGAGCAGGTTTTGCTACTGTTTAACCTCCAAGAGGAGATGATGGAGTTTCTAGATATATTGATGAATTAACAGGTGCTTAAGAGGCTGCAAATAAAGCTAAAAAAGGAATTCATGGTAAACCAGTTTAATTACCAAAAATGACTGATTTATCTGTTAATCCTAATTTATAAAGATCAAGAGATGCTTTTGATTCTTTAAGAACATTAAGAAAATTATCTGGAGTTGTTGAATTAGTTTTAAATGGATCCAGATTAAAATTAAGATTCTAAGAATAAAATTATACATCTATTGTAGTACTTGCTGGAGTTAAATGTTTACCAAATGAATAAAATTTACCAGATTATTAAAAGTTCTCTAATATAGCTTTGTAATATGTTAAGGAAAATGCTCTTCAAAGAGATGTTGATATCGAATTAACATCTATTGATAAAAAAGGCATCTTTCATGGACATGTTTTCTTAGGAAAATAAAGAATTAATTTAGGATTAACACTTCTTGAATTAGGATTAGCAGTTACATTTAATCCAGTTGCAAATAGTCATGCTTATTAAGCATTATTTGCTGATGCTGAATCAAAGGCTAAATTGAAGAAAGAAGGTTTATGGGATATCAAAGGTTTAGATTTAACTATTGTAAAAGGTGATGATGATGTACCTGTTAGATCTGAATGCAAATTATTGAATGGAGAAGTAAAAAATAAATTTATATTATTAGTTAAAAAAACTTGTATTAGTTGAAATTGCAGATAGTAATACCCTTTACTTTTAAGATCCAACTGATAAATTGTTAGGATAAATTGAAAAGAGTCTTGCATCATTTACAGCTATTGAAGCTAATAAATTAATTCCACCATTCAAAAAGGGTTTGCTTTGTGTTGCTAAATTCTCAGTTGATGGCAATTGGTATAGAGCAAAAATTACAAGAGAATTAAAAAATAGATATGAAGTCTTATTTATTGATTATGGAAATGTTGATATTGTATCATAAAATGATATCAGAAAACTTCCTGAGAATCTTGCTGCATTACCTCCTTAAGCTATTAGATGTAATTTAGCTTTTATTACAGGACCATCAATTAGTCATGAATTAGGCAATAAAGTAATAAATTTTAGTAATTTAAAGGTTGGATAATTCATTAGAGATTAAATCTTTGAAAAAGAAGTTGTTGTTTCTTTTGAATATTAGGATGATATAAGTAAAGGAGTTATTGCCTATTTGACCAAAGAGAATTAAGCCAATAAATCACTTAACATTTTATTATTATCTTAAGGCTTTGCTAAACTTGATAAAACAGTAATATGAGATATTAATTTATAGGCTCCTCCTTTACCTTAAAAATTAGAAGAATGGGTTAAGGCAAGTTAAGAGGCTGAAAATAGTTGCAAAGGTTTATGGAATTATGATGAAGAAACTGAGTGATGAATTGTATTTTAAAATAATATAATAAATTTATGTAAATAACACCTAAAGCTATAACAGCACTTTCTAAATTATTGTCTTAGAATTCATCAAATAATGTAAGAATTTTATGATTTAGTAAGAAATAAAGTTAAAATGATTCAAAGCCTAAATCGAATTAGAATAGTAAGAATTGTAGATCGATTAATAATAATGAATTCAAAAATTTCATCTCTAAACCATCTTTATCAAATGAACCCAATTATAGTGTTAAAAATGAATTGATATCTGTGCTTAATAGTAGTAAAGAGAAATCCATTAAATCAAACTTAAAACCACATCATAGTCTAAATTATCTTTTATTATCATAATAACAACTATCTGCCAGAAATAGTTTTCAAAAAAAGAGACCTCCTTAAATTAATGTAGAAGAAAGCACTGAAATATAGAAACATCCTTAGAGTGCAAAAAATGTCAATTAAATGAGTCCTTTACATTATTGTCCTAATTAGAAATCATAATAATCTTAAAAATCAATAAAATATCCTAAAGGTATGAATGTTTTTAGCTCATTAAATGAAATATTAGGGTAATATGTTCAAAAAAGGAATTATTAAAAATGTAATTTACAATACTTTAATTAGAGGCTGGGACAGGAGAAGGAACGAAATTGGTTGTATGCAGATCAGCAAGAAATTAAGAATAAAAATAAGAAAAATAAATATATTTATCTGAAAATAAATAATAGTAATCAAATTCATAATATTTTGATTCATAATAATTGAATAAATTATATCTGTATGCAACACAAATTTTGAAAGCATATTAAACTAAAGAAATGATTTGGAAACAATAAAAATAAAGCTTAAGAAGTGAGATTATATTTCTAAAATAATTACTACAATAATAAGAACAGTAATAAAATCATGAGTGATATTTATTTTTTTTTGTAATTTCAATCAAATTTATATTAAATTTTCTATTTATTGATTCTTAAGTAAAATTCCTAATCATCTTCCAAATTTATTATTTTATTTCATTTTTTAGAGTTTAGTTTAAAGAATTAAATACAATTTAAAAAACTACTATATATGATCACAATGACGTCAACATAGTAATGAAAAACAAGAAAAACAAAATTTAAATAACCATTAGTTTAATGAAATATATATTGTTATTGTTGACTATTGGAGTGTTTTAAGTAAATGCTGTAAATTGGGCATTATTGGTTTCAGGTTCAAATGCATTCTACAACTACAGACATCAAGCTGATGTATGTCATTCATACAAAACATTAATTAAAAATGGTTATTCTCCTGAAAATGTGATTGTTTTTGCATATGATGATATTGCTTAGAACAGATAAAACATCTACAAAGGGGCCATTTATAATTAACCTAATAAAGATGGATTTTCAGATAATGTTTATGATGGTTGTGTTATTGATTACTCTAAGACTGATGTCAATCCAACAAACTTTCTCAATGTATTGAAAGGAAATTATGATCATTTACCTGATGGTCATAAATTTATTAATTCCACAAGAGAAGATAACATTTTCGTTTATTTCTCAGATCATGGATCTCCAGGTTTAATAGCTTTTCCAACTTCTTATCTCTATGAATAAGAATTAATGGAAACCTTTTAATATATGTTTGAGAATAATAGATATAACAAACTTGTTTTCTATTTGGAAACATGTGAATCTGGATCAATGTTTGTGAATCTACCAAAAGATCATAGAATTTATGCATTGTCAGCTGCTAATCCATATGAATCATCTTGGGGAACATATTGTCCACCTGACGATATTGTAAATGGAAAGAATCTTGGAACATGTTTAGGAGATGAATTTTCAGTTACTTTCTTAGAAAATGTGGATCTTGGAGATTTTTCATAGACTTTATAAGAACATTTTGAATTTATCAGAGATAATACATTAAAATCTAATGTTATGCAATGGGGTGACCTTTCATTTACAAGTGAAACTATTAAAGAATTCTTTTGGGGACGTAAATTCCTTGAAAAAAGAAAGATGTGCCCCAAAGATGCCTTTTTTATGAATGATGAAGTATTTAAAATTTAATAAAAAATATAGAATGTTTCAAGATGGGATTCAAGAGATAACAAATTGTTATTTTATTAAAATAGATATAATAAAACTGGTGATTTGGAAGACTTCATTGAATTAGAAAAAGAAATCAAATCAAGAGCATACTTTGATACTATTGTAAATATTATTTATTTATTATTTATTTAGTTTGGTGAATTACAATAATCATTAAAATTGACTGGAGATTATCATTTTGCTTTAAATTAGAATTGTCTAAAGTCAGTTATAGAAACATTTGAAAATAAATGCACAAAATTAACTGATTATGGACTTAAATATGTTAAATTATTTGGAGAGATGTGTGACAGCACAAACTTACTTCAAATTCAATTAAATATGATAGTATCATCTTTATGTATGACAGAATGATTTATCTATATTAATAAAAATGAATATTTCCATTTTTATATTCTAATAAGAAATTAAATTAATAATAATAAAAATAAGCATATGTATTTCTTATTCTTTATCATAGGTAAGGAATTAATTAATAGGAACAATCATATAATTTAAATTAAATATAATAACAAAGCAATCTTAATTAGTAATATTAATAATAAATGAAATAAAGTTAAGATGTTGAAAATTTATAAAATGAGACAATAAAAAGGGAATAATATATTAGTAAAGAGGAAGTAGATGGAAGGGAATTAATGTAAAGTAAATAATTTTCTATCTTCAGAAAATCCAATTATTAAGAGCCAGCTGTAATTGTGTATATTATTTTATTATTATTTAGGAAGTATCAATCTCAAATTATTGATTCAGATGAAGAAGATATTAAGAAAGAAACTGATAAAGATTGTGAAGAAGTAGAATTTAAGGTATTGAGTACTAAAACTTAAACTACTACTTTACTCTAATGTGATTTGATATAATAAAATAATGTAGAAATTGAAAAAGATTTTGATTATTTAAAGCCATTAGATTATGAAGAGGTTTTAAAATAAAGTTAAATTAACTTTAGTTTAAATAAATAAAGTTCTTAAAAGGATGATTCAATTGATAAGTCTTCATTTAGAACTGTTATAATTACTCAAGTAGATTCAGAAGATGATGAAGAATCAAATGAAGAACTTGGTGATTAAGTGAATTTAGAAATTGGATCTCTCTCAAATTAAGAAAGTGAAGTAACAGCTGATAATAGAATTATGATGAGTGTTATGCAGAGTAAGTTTTCTAAATAAATTTAAAAATAATTAAAAATACAATAATCTCTAAATAATTAAAATAAAAGTAATTAGTTAGATGATATATTTAAATCAAAGATTGTTTTAATTAATAAAACACCTATGATTATTCGAGAAGATGAAATTTATATTCGTAAAATAAGAAAAATTTAAAATTATTTTAGATTTGTTAAACCTTACAAAAAACAAAAGAAATAACATAGATATAGGGTAAATATAATAAATGAATTAATATAAACAGAAAAAAATTATGTTAATGATCTTAATTCTATCAGAGAACATATTTAGAAGCCTCTTTTATCTTTGATTTAATGTCAAGATCATGTGAAATTTATGTTTAATTTGGATAGTATTTATCATTTTAACTTTGAATTTTTGAAAATTCTTTTAATGAAAGAGTAGAGTGTTAAAGATTAACCTTATGCTAAAATTATGGATGAAATCTCTAACTTATTGGCTGGTTTTAAGTTTTATTTTGATTATTGTAAAGACTTTTAAGCTTCTAAAAAAATGAGAGATCATTATTCTAGTACAAACTAAGTTTATCAAACTTTTTTTATTAATTTGTTAGAGAAATAACCAAATTTCTTCAATAATTTAGATATTGAAAGTTATTTGATTAAACCTGTTTAAAGATTACCTAAATATATTTTATTATATAAAGATTTATTAAAACATACTAATAAAGATCATCCAGATTATAAAAATATAGAATAATGTTTAAAGCTTTTTTAATAAATAAATGATAAAAATAATAGTTAAATTAAAGCTTATTTAGAATAATTAAAATTAATGGAACTTTAAAATTAATTTAGATAATATTTAATAATAGTTGAACCTAATAGAGTATTTAATTTTGAAGAGTTTTGTTCTATTTATACAGATAAAATATAGAATAATATAATTTTATATGCATTTAATAATCTTTTATTATTTGCTTAAAATAAATAAAATGGATAATAAGTTTATATTTTTCATCTTCAATTAACTTATCAATCTTATGTTAAAGATAAAGAAAATACAGATTATTTTGAACACTTTTTTGAAATAGTCAATAAGACTGAATCTATTATTATAATTAATCAAGATAATGAATCAAAAATATAATTAATAGCAAAAATTTAAGACATTATCTAAAAACTTAAAGAAAAGTAAATCAATATGGAAAAATTAAGAAAATCAACAAGTAATCTAGTTGATGTTTGTGATAATTCAAAAGAATAAAATTAATCGAATAATGATTATGAAATAAAGGTGATTATTGTTGGTACAGAAATAAGAAATATTAAATCTAATCCTTATACAGTCTATATAGTATAAATATTAATTTAAGAATATCAAACTAAGATATTTGTAAGATACAGTTAAATAGTTTCTTTATAATCTATTGTAAATAAATATGATTCAAATTTAAAAATGCCAGTGTTATCAACATTAAATTGGTTTCATTCAATTGATTCAAAAGTAATAGATGAGAGAAAATTATTAATTGAAAAATTCTTATCATCAGTATTGAATTCTACTAAATGTTAAAATACAAGTGAATATTAAAAATAGATTTCGGAACTATTAAATTTAAATTAAGATTTCTTTAAGATTCCTAATAAATAGAATTAAAATCCATAATCTAAATTAGATGAGGAAGATATCAGGAAAATGATATTGTAGAGTCAATTTTCTCCTGATATTTAACCTAATTTACTTTAATCAATGATAATGAAAAGAAAGTCAACAGTTATCATATAAGCAGCAAAAGCATCATTTTAAAGATAGAGTTTAACAATTATTGAACAAGATAATTCAATTGTAATTGGATAAGATGCTACTAAACAACCATATTTTATAAATGTAAACTTAATGGATGATAGAACAATAATTGTTGGATTTAAAAAGTAAACTTTAACATTATTTATAAAAAATGAAGTTGCTAAATTTGTAGGATTAAAATAATGGCTTGATTTTAGATTATTTATTGTTGATTAGAATCAAGATCAAAGAGTTATTGATGACGATGAAAAAATATCATCTATATTAGATGCTCATACATAATAAAATACAGGTTTGATTAATACTTTAAAGAAAATATTTAATAATTAATAGAAATTCTAGTTTATATTTAGAAAATACTCCTATTTATCATGGAAATAGGAAGAAGCTGATTACAATTAGGATCAATAAAGACTTAATTATATAATACATGAAATAATATGGGAAATAAGAAATGAAAAATTTCAATATACATTTAATGAATATTGTTTGATAACAGCCTTATACTTTTATTCAATAAACATAACTCAAGATTAAATATCTTCTCTAATGTATAAAGTAATACCTAAGAATTATTTAAAAAGCAAAAAAGTAGAAATTTGGTTAAAAGAAATAGTTAATAATATCAATTCTTTATAATTGTGGTTAAAATAAATTTAAAAAGAAGATTAATTATCATCAAATTAATAGAACAAAAAATCTAACACATCTATATCACAATTAGCCTAATTATTGATTATGAATTTATTTAAAAATAATTCTCTTTTTGGAATGCAATAATTTTTTGTTGAATGCAATAAATAAACTATCCAACTAATTTAAATACATTTTAATATTTAAATTAATAGTAATATTTTTATTGGATTAAATTATAATGGATTTCATATTCTGAACCCTTATAATAAATTATTAATTTATAAATGTCAATATGAAATGCTGTCCGAAATGAAGGCTTGTACAACAGAATTTTCTTGTATCATTGAATCTGTAAAATTATCATTTAAAACATAATTTTCTTTTGAAGTAAATTATTTAATTAAATTCATTAGATAAAATCATTGATTCTTGAATATAAGTAATTATAGGAATTCACAAAACAAATAGCTTATGGTTTAAATTGATTTTATTTATATTCAAAATTACCCTATGTTTATATCACTAAATAATGAATCTCCAACTTAATAGTCAGATATTTATTTTTTATGTTAATAAGTTTTTTATATATCTGCTTTTTTAAATAGTACATTTAAAAATTCAGTTATTTATAAACTATTATAACTCTATATTTAATTCAAATCATAAATAAATAGTAATCATTAAGGAAATGAAGATATATTTCTAAAGAAAAAACCAGAACAAAATCTAATTAATAGTTTTGAAATTGATTAGAATTTAAGTTCAATAATTTGATTTAATTAGATTAATTGGAAAGATCTCTTTTGGTTGGTTGTAAGCAACAATTACAAAAGATAGTTTCATATTTTTATTATTCAAAATAATGAATTGCTAATTAATAGCAGATATAACAGAATATTCTTTTTTTAGGATATCTTCATTTGAAATTATTAATTATTTTTATAAATAGTATTCATAATAAAGATACTAAATATTATTATAGTAATTTAAGTTATTCTTTGATAAATTGCCTACATTCTTAGAGTGAAATTTATTTTCTCTCTTGACATCTTGAAATTAAGTACTAAATTATTTTATTTGGCATGTCTTTAGATATTTTTTAATTAATTTTTAAGGCATCATTAATCCATTTTGCATTAACGTTCATAGATTATATATCATCTTAATATTAAATATATTCCAATCTCAAAATTTAATTATGTTTGACAACTATATTCCTCAATTCAGAAATTAAATTCTCCTTTTCTTACATAAATTTAAATTGATTTAAAAGTTTAAGTGCTTCAATTATTATTTCATTTTGAGAAAAATATAATTCTATTGAAAAAGAAACTAATTCAACATTTGTTTATCTCAAATATTATTGAAACTCAGAATAATAAAATATCCCATAACTTTATAAACATTTTTGACAAGCATTTGTGATAATATTATCATCTCCTCCTGGTATTTTATATTTGATTGGTTATAAATGATATGGACATTCATCTTCTTACTATAAATCTACAGAATAAACAGGTATTTATGAAATTTATGTTTATTCACATGATGTAGTTTGAGAATTTAGAGATAAATTTCTATTATTCTTTTGATAACTAGAATGTGGAGTTTGTTATTAATACTCATTTAAAGTCTATATAATCCAATTTAAATCTTTTCTTAATTTGGGATCCTTTTAAATAGAATTAATTAATATATTTTTGATAAGATTCTTTTTATTATCTAAAATTGCAGGTTTTGCATATTATTTATCTCTTATAATGTAATTAATTGATTTTATTTTACCAAATACTTCTTCTTCAGTATCTCCATTATAAAAGGGTGTTTTATGTATTAATTCATCAATAATTAACCCTAATGCCCAAATATCAACAGATTTGTCATATTGTTATTTGGATAATATTTCTGGAGCAACATAATGAGCTGTTCCAACTTTAGTTGTAGTCATTCTTTCCAATTTCACACTACTCAAACCGAAATTCGTTATTTTATAGATTTCAAAACCTTGGTTATCAACATATCTTAGAATATTCTCAGGTTTAATATCTCTATGTACAATATTTTTACTATGTAAAAAGTTTAATCCACTTGCAATTTAAAGTGCTATGTTAACTATTTATTCTTCAGTAAATGATTTAGTAATCATCATTTCATATAATGTACCACCAGGACAATATTCTTAAACTATATATAGAGCTTCAGGTTAATCAAAAATATCAAACAATTAAATTACATTTTAATGTTTAAATTAAGATAATTGTAGGAGGATCATTTTCTCCTATTGACAAATAGCAACATTTCTATTACTAATTTTGACAGCAACTTGTTATTAATTTGATTTTTTAACGCCTAAAAATACTTAAGAAAATGCTCCCTATCCAAGTAATTAGTTTTTAGTTTCATAATATTATTCATATTCATTTCTCATTTCTCTTCAATTTAAATTTTTTATTCAAACTCAATTATAACAAAAAATTATAATTCATGTATGACAAAGAATTCAAATTTATTTCTTTTCTCAAATTTAAGCTTCATATAGTCAAAAATTATTATTAGATCTCCTCAAATGAGAATAATTCAAAAATTTCAAGAAAAGAATGATAAAAATAATTTAACAATATTAGAAATTATTCAAATATTTTTATACTATATTAATTTTAAATATACTCTATTTGAATTAAGATGCTCATTATTTTTCACCTTTTTAAGATAAATTTATTTAATTTTCAAAATAAATTGTAAGATTATCTCATAAAATAGAAGAAAATATTTTTTAGTTCAATTTAACTAAATCTTTTATAATTTTAATGTCTTTATAAAATTCCTTTTAATAACTGAGGGCCTACATTCCTATAACTTATAGCCAATTAATATTCTTAGTTGAAAATTGGAAGCTCAAGTTTGTATATGCCTAATTTTATCGCTACAGTTGTATATATAAACTTTATCATTAATGTATTATAAATACTAATGGATATTTTACTATTATTTATTCTTATTAACATTTTAACAAATCTAAACCATAATATTACTTAATAATAATCATTTTTGTTTGTAATTTAATATTCCTCAATTTTAATATCATAATTTCATATTGTTTACCAATAGAATTAAGTATACTATTGAATTATTTTTAATATCCTATAAATTAGGATACACTTCTAAACAATAATTTTATTATCTTAACCACAATAAATTGTAATTTTTTTAATTTAACTATGTTAATATAGTTTGTAAATCCCTAATGGCTTGATTTATAATATAATACGGTTAGAATTTTAATAAATTTATTCATAAAGTATTTTTATAATTTGATTTAAAAAACATATAAAATATTAATTTTTTATTAAAAATTGTAAATAAAAAACATTAAAGTGTTTCATAAATAAATAACGTTATCTTATAAATTTCTTCTTTTTAGACAAGCGAAATGAAAATTATAAAATTTAATTTAATTATTTTCCTGTTGATTTTAATTTTGAAACGTTGTTAACTTTCTGTTTGACAATAGTAAGTTCTAATTGATGTTAAAAAATCACATAATTTTTATTGAGTATTTTATTAATACCTCTTTACATATTTTTGTTTTTGATAATTAACAGGTCATAGTCAAAAATATTAAAGTAATTTATATATAATCACAAAATTAAATTAAAAATTTCAACGAAAATTAACAAACTTTAATATTAAGTATAAGAATTTGTAATAATATTATAGGCATATGATTAGAGAGACAATCAATTAGAAGAATAAAGAATATTTTTGAAGGTCAACTCTTTTACGTTTATGTTGAAAAAGATCAACTTATAATTTATAAAAGTAAAATATATTTATTAAAAGAATAAAAGCTTATAAATCAATTGTTGTCATCTTCTATTGACAATAATTTAGGAAATGATTTAGGAGATTTTTCGTATTTGTTTCTACAAGATGTAATGAACAACTATTGATGCTATTATTCATTAAGAATGCTTTAATCAGTTTTAATTCCTTTTTTTATATTACTTTAAGAATGAAGACTATTGATATGGCGAAGTGATAAAGAATTATGTTTATTAAAATTATTTGGCTTATTTGATGTTTACATATTTAGTAAAATTTGATGTTTCTTTAAAGAGTCCCTTCTTGGTGATTGATTAAATTATAATAATCTAGATGGAGACAGTGAAGATCCATCAGTTAATTAATATTAATGTTAAAAAGAAATTATATTCTCAAAGTTCTCTTCAGATTAATTAAATTTAGATTAAGATTTAGACAAATTCAATTTAAAGTTTTTAATTTCATTAGAGAGACTCAATTCTTATTTACTTTTTTATTGTAAATGTCTATTATTAATATAAAAAAGCTTTTCTTATTTTTATTAAATATTTTAGTGTAATTCAGAATTTGGTACAAAAAAATCTTTTTACATTTTATCTTTATATTTTTATTGGAATGCCTCTTATTTTTTTTTTACACTTTAAGAAAGACTTAAGAGTTTTTTATTTTCAGATCTTAAAACTTTAGATTAATCTAAGTGTCTTTGTTATACATCTAAAAGTTCATCAAATGGTATTGAAGTCTATTAATTTTATGTAGTATTAATGTTAGATTATTAATAATTTTAAATACTTTACATTATTTATTAATATCTTAAAGATATATATTAATTATTTTTTTCTTGAAATTCTTTTAAAAGATTAACAATATCTGGAAAATTCTTCCTTATTTTTCTGAATTCCTCAGCTTCTACATAATATGCACTAGTATTATCAACACATTGACAATTGTACTTTCTTTAAGGTAATTCTTCAATAATTTCTTCTTAACCAACAATTCCTCCATCTGTTATTGAACTAAGCTATAAATAACAATAATATATATACTACAATCTTTTTGAGTACTATGTTAAATTTATTTTTAGGTATTACTTTATTCTTAAATGCCTTTTATTCATCAATTTTGGTATAGATATCAACTCTTCCACTAACAATAATTAATAGATATTAAGGTTCATCTCCTACTTACCATATAATAGATTATGATGTAAATTTGATTGGTCTTAAATATTATACAAATTTTGTAATACTAAATGGTTAAATTCCAGGAAATATTTTAGTATATAAACTCATTGCCTTCTTTTATTCTTAAATAGCCTTCTCACATATTAATTTATATTGAGCACGATTAATTGATATACAATGTAAGAAATCTGATATTGCTATCAAACTAGCCGTTCTAGGTTTATCAGAGGTTAATGCCACATCTCCAAAGCATTATCCAGATATGTATTAAAATACCTATAGTGTATTTCATTATGATATACTTTATGGAATCTATATACTCCCTCTTAATAGTAAATAGGATTCTATCTATTTTCATACAATGCGTCATCTATGAAAAGCAATCTCTTGCTTTTTTTAAGATTATTTTAAGCCAACTCTTCTTGAATTTATTCTTTTGATTTAGGGATGTAAACACCAGCTTAGCCTTTCAATATAATGTACATCTTATCACCAAATTCTCCATAATTGAAAACTATTTATCCATAAGGAAAACACTCATATTTTGCATATTTTATAGTTTGAATAACAAAATCTTGAAGTCGAGTTCCCTCAGGACAATTGTTTTTAAAAAATTAAATCTAAAGCAATGAATCTACTAATTATTCATTTTATTATTTTGGATTGATGAAATATTCAAGTGCTTAAGACAATAAAGCTTCATTTTATAGCTATTATTTCAGTAATTAGTCTTACTGATTTAGCTTTTAATTAGTTTATTTCATCAATAAATATAAAATTAATTTTATATATTTTATCCTTTTGAATTATAGATTGTTTAAGTATTTTAAACTTAAGTTTTAACATCTAAGCATAATTGTATTCTATAAAACATAGAAGAATATTAGAAGTTGCATATAATATTAATAATATTTATCTTATAAAATTTACATAAAATATGAATATATTATGTCTCCTATTTGATTAATAATTAAATATTTAGAGAAGTGTATAGAATTAATCATCAAAGATTGAGAAAAGAATTTGTCATTTAAGTATTTATAACAAATTTTAATTAAAACAATTAAAATTATTAACTTTTAAAGCTGAAAATTATTTAAAGCATTTTTATATTAAACTAATGAATAATATTTAAGTAATGGTTCTATTATTAATTTTAATATTAATAATTCTAATTATTCTAAACAGCTTTGATTTTAAATTTATTCTTTTTTAGTGATATTAACATTTATATTTTCATACATATAATTGAATTTGATGAAATCATAGAGATATGTGATTGTTTATAAAATCAATATGTTGTTTTCTTTTTATTATTTGTCATAATATTGAATGTAATTTATTAATTATTATACTTGATGAGAGAAGGACAAAGACTTAATCAATCATTTTCTTATTGTCGATCAAGTCCTGATAAGAAGGGTTCAAGACACAATAAAATAGTTTCAGATGCTTATAGAAAGTTTCTAGCTACTTATTAATAGTTATCTATGTTAGGCAGTTAGTATAAATATTCACATAATACTCTTATGCCTTATATTCACTTTTTTAAATACATGGCTAAAAGATATGATGAAACAAATCAAAAATGCAAATTGAAAATGTGGATTCCTGATACTATAATATTAAATGATGTAGATTTAAGTGCAATATGGTTATATAGTAGTGCAGATGGTTATGTTTATAGAACTGATTCATTTACATCTAGAAATGCAGCATAAAAATTTATTGAAGGTAGCAATGATCCAAATGAATTAATTGCAGTTGTAAAGAAACCACATTATAAAGATATGGAATTAATTGGAAATGACACAAAACCTATATTATAAAAGGATATTCAATTACTATTTTCAAATGCCATGAGTGTAAAATAAGAAATCACTTGTTTATAAAAATATATTAAATGTTAAGGTCCTATGGCATATATCTGTAGAACAATATGGAAAAAAAATGGATAAACTACAGCTTGGGTTATTACAAATAAATTAACATTTTAAGATGAAGGTGAATATGCTTAAAGATGTCTTGCAAGTGCCAGCAAATATAAATAAACCAATATAATTCAGTGTAAAGGTGGTCGTTTCATAGAAGAAACCATTCCTTATATTTAAAATCTATTACTCTATTGTAGATAGAGTTTGAATGTAGAATTTGATGAATTAGGTTGTGATTTTACAAAGGGAATAGATAATAAATGGTATTTACTTAATGTTAGAGGTTTTAAATTGATTAATCCTTCTCATTAAATATTTACTAGACATATTACTCATGATGAATAAATACCTGTAGATTATGATAGAAAATAAACTTCTAATTTAAATCAATAATGGAATTTTACAAAGACTTAAATTTGTAAATTTTGTGAATTGATATATCCAGCAAAAGAATTAACACATTAATTAACTTTAAAAATGTTAATAGAATGTGATTTACATTTATTAAGTAGAAATATTGAATTAAAACATTTATAAATTAGAAATAGAATAAACTTTACACATCTTGATAGTGCAATGTTATTTCATAAATATTTTGTTTGTGATAGTTGTTATTAATTATTTATGGCATGTGATGAATTAATATAACTTGAATTTAAAATGGCATAAAAATTAGGAATTGATGTTAATGAAAAAAATAATATTATTTCACTTACTTAATAAGATTATCGTATTAAAGGACCAAATGTTGTTCAAAGATAGGCTAACACTATATATGGAAATGGGGAATATTTTATTAAACCTCATGATTGGGAAATGTTAAATGAAGTATAAATAAAATTGATGCCCAACTTACCTGAAATTAATTATGGAACCATTCCTAAAATGAAAAGATTTAGAATTATGATATACCTTAAAACTGTATCATAGATTCCAATTGAAGCTTAATTTAATTAATGTAAATATTACATTTATTACAGCTTTCTTAATTAAGAAATTAAGTATATTTATTTATGATAATTTTAGATTTTAATTAGATATGAAAAAGAGTATAGATCATTAGAAAGATGTATTAAATGTTGATCATGTTAAATTATTTTATCTATTTGCAGCTGATAGATAAGATATTAATTGTATTTTATCACAATTGAAAATTGGTCTATTATGCAATTAAGAATTAATAGGAGAATTGGAATGTGAATTAGGAGATTTCAAAAGTTCTTAAGTTACAATTAAAGAATATTTAAAATATTTCTCAGGAATCTAAATTAAATAAATTTTATCATGGTCAACTGATCTAAGTATTGGATTAGTAGAAACTTAATAAGGAAGTATAAATGTAGAAAGAATTAAACTTTAAAAATATGGAATAATCTATTTGCCAAATATTGATTATTATTGTAGTGAACCATTACCTTAAGAATGGATGAATTAATTTGAAAAAAGAAGAAAAAACAATATTAATCATATTGGTAATAATAGTACAAGTTTTGCAATATCTGATGTTTCAAATATTTTAGATCATTCAAGAGTCCATTAAACCAAATATCCATCAAGAAAAAGTTGCACTGCAGCAACTACTGCTCCAAATAAATTAGATTCATCTTCAATTTTATATTCAGAACTATTAGAATATTAAAGAGAGTATTAAATTAAAATAAATATTATAGCACAGATAAAATACTTAATTTTGATTATTGACCAACATTTTATGAATTATTTATATATATATTTATAATACATTCACTTTAAATAAGACTTATTAATTTTATCATATAACTTCTAAAGAAAATAAATTAAATAAAATAAATAAAAAAATACATCATTTATAAAATACATAAAAAATCTGAATTTTTTATAATTTAGAATTATTTATTATAAAATTATATATATATAATTCTTCAGAATTTAATTAATAACCTAAAATATATGTAGCACATTAATTAAATTTAAGAATCTTCCCAAACTCCATTTAAAGAATTAATTTACTTATAGTAATGAATTGTCTATATATGTTTTGCTGAAAACGAACAAATTGTATTTAAAATAACTAAAAGAAATTATTTTTAATTAAATGCTCATCTTAACTATAAGAGTTTTGATTTATCTATAATTTAAATTTAATTACTGATTATTTACTAAAATTCTATAATTCTAAAGATTTAATATTTTTTTTTAATTATTTATACAAATTAAGTAGGTTGCATATTCATATTTCAGAATGAAATTATAATGAGATCTATTATTAGATAATTTAGATTTGAAAATTAAGTTAGTTAAAAATATATTTTTATAATAATATGATTTAAGTATTAACAAAATCTTTATATTTTCAATAAGTAAGTTTTGAATTTTATTGTATTATTAAGTAGGTATGAATAAAGTGAATAATTCCATAAGATTTAGTAATGTGTGTAAAATGATTATTGTAATATAAAAAAAAATTAGGAATTAATTTACTTATATAGATAATGATTAGAATTAAGAGAGCTTATAAGTTCAAAAAGTGAGCTGATATAAAATTTTTATAAATTGATAATAATTTATTATCTGGCCTTGAAATAATGAGAAATTGGTAATTTAAAAAAAATAAAACAAATTTAATACTTAGTGAATTAGAGAGATTTAAAGATTAATATTATTATTTTTTTATTGATGCAAAGAAGAAGACGTTGTGCTTTCGATTCAGATAGTTTAGAGGAATATATTTAAGTAGAAAATAATTTAAAAATGAGCTTGCAACTATTGGATAGAATTAAACTAACCTATTCTATGATGATAAAAAATTAAATTGGTTGAATGGGAGAAAATAAGTAGATGATGATGAAGAAATACTAAAGGATATAGAAGGATTTGAACATAACTATAGCTCTCCAAAGGTGGATTATATTGACACTTCTGAATTACCTCCTGATATAGTTTTGAAATCAAGTGATGATATATTTAGTCATCATATTATGATTTTGGGAGATATCAACGAATATGTTAAACAATCATTAACTATTTTTTGCATGCAGAGTCGCAAAAATAGCAGTGAGGATTTCAATGAAGAGTTGATATCCCCTATTAAAAGGTATTTTTTAATATTTTATAGTTTAAGCAAACTTTGTTTAGATTTAGCGATTAAGAGAATTCAAGAAAAAAATGGAGTGCACATTGTCAAGTTTCTTATGCATGATATGACAATTTAGAATTATGGTCCAATTATTAATGGTATATCCATTTCAAGATCATAGTTTACTTTCTCTAAACTTCCAATTACATACTTATATTAAATATCGATTAGAATAACTCATAAGCTTAGAAAGAACAAGATATGATAGAATCTGTTAAATAAAAAGCTTCTATTGTGAAGAACATCTACATTTTATATTTTACAGAATCAGATATCTAAGATCAAAGAATACCTAATAAATATTATTGCAATCGATGGAATATAAGTGTGATTCTTTCATAAGTATACATATAATAATTAATAACTAAGATCATAGAACAAGTAATTAATTAATGAACAAATACTTTATAATTTATGTATTAATACATTCCTTTTTAATTGTTTGTTTTATCTTTTTATATTAAAATTCAAAATGCAACCAAATGATCCTAAGACTTACAAGCCACTCAAATAAATTGATAAAAACTAGAGAGGATATGGTTTAAAATAAATTGCCTAAATGACTCTTGGTTCAGGTAATATGTTGTTGGCAGTTGAATTACCAAATGGAGAAGATTTAAATGAATGGTTGGCTGTCAACACAATTGAATTTTATAATGAGATTTCAATTCTATATGGTACACTTGTAGAATTCTGCACTCCTGAACTTTGTCCAATTATGTCAGCTGGCCCTAAGTAATTTTTGAAATTATTGTTTCAAGATATGAATATCTATGGGCAGATGGATAGAATGTTAAAACACCTCTTAAAGTCTCTGCCTCAGAATACATTGATTATTTAATGACATGGGTAGAGAACTAACTTAATAATGATTCTTTATTTCCATGTTAAATTGGTAATTTATACATTTTATTAAGGAATTCCATTTCCAAAAACATTTTTGTCTGTTGTAAAAGTTATCTTTAAGAGATTATTTAGAGTTTATGCTCATATTTATCACTCCCATTTTTAGCATATTATGGCACTTGAATTAGAATATCATTTGAATACTTGTTTCAAACATTTCATTTATTTTATTGGTATTTATATGCATTGAATTTAGATGAATTCAAATTAGTTGAAGATAAAGAACTTGCTCCATTGGCAGAGTTGATATAGTAATTCAAAGCAAGAAAGGAGAATCCAACCATGAATTAGGGTGTGTGATAATTAATGCACTTAATTAATAGTATATATATACATTTTTTATTAATGCATAATAATTATGAATGATAATGATAATGATGTTAACAAATAATTCAAAGTTTATACTTTTTAAACAAATTTTAACTTTTTTATTTTATTCAAATGTTTATATCATTTGTCCTTATCCATCCTTTAAATTGAAGAAAATAGTGGCTAATTTTACTGAATTTTGATATTCTAATCAATCTCTACATTTTATAATTCAAAAATCTAAAATATTTAGATGTTTAAATATGTAACAAAAATAATTTTATTAATAGCCTAGTGAAAAAAATGATATACATAAAACATTAAAAGATTATAGTATTCAGCAATACCTCAAATTTAATTTATTATAATTTAATTCTAGATATTGTTAGTATTAAGAGGATATGGTAATTATGTACCTACATTTTTACCATATGAAGGAAGTATATAAAATCTCATTAAATTTAAGAATTTAAATATGATATTAAATTGAATGCAGTTGAACTATTACATTTATTATTCGATCTTTTAACACAAATTTAACTATTAAGAAATTTCAATAAAATTAAATTAGAGTGGAGGATAATAAATTGGCTTAAATCCATATTCACTTCAACAAATAATAATTTATGGATTTTTGATAGTTAGTTTTCAGTTTATATATCTTATCTGTATTTTATATTTAAATAAGTTAAATAATTTTAGATTATTAAAATTCTATTAGTATTAATTAATTTTAACATAATTAATGATATAATATTTTAAAAATAAATTAATTTTGAATGATAAGTTTTTCAAGATATTAGTATATATATATATTTTTTATTTTTTTAAATAAATAAATAAAATCAAAATCTTCTCAAAGTAATTATCATCAACCTAATTTCTTCAATTGATCCCTGATTTAATTGGCTTTTTTAAGATTCATTTAGATTTAAGGTTTGGATTAATTCTAAGGTGAATAAATAGATTAACTAGGAGATTGTCGAAAAGTAATTTATTAAAGAGCACTAAATTATAATTATCTTTATGTTTCCTTTTTCGAATCAGGAGTACTTAAAATAGAACAATCGGAATCTGATGATTATTATTATATATTAGGAGAACAATATTTCTTATTAGTATCAATATTGTTTGATTTCTCCATTAACCAACTATCAGAAGATGCTTTAATAGGATCAAATTCTCGTACACCTAAAAAGGGTGTTTATTAAATCAATTCATTTTATTTGCATTTTGATATCTTAGACCTTAAATCATACTATCCAAATTTTTTCATATTATCTATAATACTTAATTTATCATTTAAGCCTTCATTATTTAAATTAATTTCATCAACATTATTAGATTCTCTCCTGTATAAGCGAGATATAAATGGATGAGAAAGTGCTTCTAAAGATGAAATTCTACATTCTGGATTAGGTTCTAAAGATTTCTTTAATAAATCTAAGGCATCTTCAGAAACTTAAAGATCCTTAAAATTAATTTAGCAATCTCTGTTTTTCTCCATTATTTCATCAAGACTATTTCCATAAAAGGGAGCTTATCCAGAAAGTCTAAATTCATAATAATATGATTTACAAAATATAAAGGATGATGCCTACACTGAAGACATCAACTTTTTCATTATATTTTTTATCTTCTAAAATTTCTGGAGCAACATAACCAGGAGTTCCACATTTAGTGATAATAAGATCAGATTCAGTATAAGATGCTAAACCAAAATCTGCAATTTTTAAATCAAAATTCTCAGATTTATCTTTTAATAATATATTCTCAGGTTTAATATCTCTATGCATGATATTCTAATTTTAATAAATGAATAATTATGTACTTTTGTATGTAAATATTCTAAAGCATCAAATATTTTGAACATAATCAAAGCCACCTTAGACTCTTAAAAACATTTTGTTTCTAGTATGAGATCAAATAATTCTCCTCCTTCAAGCAATTCCATTACTAAATAAATGTAATCACCACTCTCATAAATTTCATATAATTTAATAATGTTAGGATGATGACAAGAACGTAACAAATTGATTTCATTAAGTAGTCCTTACTTTTTGATATCAGTTATATTCTTACTCTTTATTTATTATTTTTATCTAATAAGGCTGATTTTTAGAATGTCTTAACTGCATATTTACTTTAATTTAATTTTCTTTAGGCTAAGATAACCTTATTTATTAATACTCTTACCTTTGCATATGTTCCTTTTCCTATTACTTTAAGATTTAGAAAAATATCTCTATAATTATTAAGAATACATGTCTTTTTTAAGTGTTCAATCCATTTTTATTTTTATTCTTATGATTTCGCTATAAAATTGTACTTTTTAGATCCTGATAATAGTAAAATAGAATGTTTATCCTTTTCCATTATGTTTTAAGGATTTAGATCTAAATAAACATTTGTCAAAAATAAGGCTGCTATTTCTTTTTATTATCTACAGTTCTAATATTATGATTATATTGTGTAAATTACATTATAAATGTTAAGTCTATCTGAGTATAACTTAAAAAACTTTTGTTTATATAAATCTTGTTTCTTACTCTTTATTAATAAAGTTCCTTCAAATAATCGAATAGTAGAGATTGGACGTTTAATTGAATTTAATTTCACCCATTAATTTCTTTTATTGGTATTAGTAGAATCAAAAAACAATTATTCCGTTTACATAAATATATAATTTTATTATTAATCTAAGTTTGTCTATATAGAAATTAAATATCAATTTATATAATACTAAACTCCTAAAAATTGAAACATTTAATATATCAATAAAAGAATTATGAAAATGAATTTGTTTATATATTTATTATTAAAAAATGATGTATTCCAAAGCTGGTAAAATTTCAATTGAGTTATTTCCTTGGATATAATAAAGAGATGCAATAATCAATGGAGATAAAAAAAAAACTTATGAAATTTCAATCTTTGATGATATTCCTCATAGTAAACGAACCTATAAAAGTTTCAAAGAAAATAATAAAATATCACCAAAAGAAAACTTTTAACTAAAAGTTTAACCATTTTCAAGATAGGTTGGAAGAGTTGAATCTAAAAAGGAGTTAGATAGATAAGGATTTTATAATCCAAAATATCATTTAGTTAAAAGAAGGTCACCTTTAACTGATGATCCTGATCATTTTAAATAAATAAATAGTGATCGATCTTTGTCTTCAAAAACTATTAAAAGATCTATTAAAATATAGAAACCCACTTAAAATCATTGTTGTGAAACTAGTAAAGAATATTTAGACAAAAAGTAACTGTAAGAAGAAAGAAAACAAAGAGCTTAAGAATATTAACCAGAATTAAATAGATTCCCTTTACCAGAAGGACCAAATGAACATAGATTTGAATACTAATAATACCCTTAATCATAATATAATAGATCTCCAAATCCAATAATTAGACCACGATCTAGTTCTTCTAAAATAAAGTTAAAAGAAGTAAATATATAATTTGATAAATGATAGTAAAAGAATGGTTAAATTTATGATATAAATTACACTGTAATCTATCCTAAATCTGATAAGATGATACCTGTACTAGATAAATTAACACCAAGATAACCATTCAATAATGATAAGCCAATATATACATAAAATGAAACACTTTCTGATGATACTCCTAAAAAAAGAAATAATCCCTAATCTTTTAAATTGGATTAATAGATTTCTAGAGAGAAAGCCATGAGTTACTATTCCTCTATAAGAAGACTTTATTATTTATGATTATTGTTATTATTATTAAATATAAAAATAAAATGTCCTATCCCTTTGGTAATTAATTTTCAGCAGGGATGCCTAATGCCAAATACAAAACATCACTTTGTAGACATTATTAAGGTATTATTATTATTATTTAGATTATTAGCTACAAGGTAATGTGCAATTGGAGCTAAATGTCAATTTGCTCATGGATAAGAAGAAATGAGATCTATTAATGGTATTTATTAATGTTAAAGTAAATAAGATCCCATTCCTTCTGCCCTTATTGCAGTTTTAACAGTCCCTCCACCTTATTAGGAAATTATGAAACCAATGATGCCTTAGTAACCTGCTTTCAAAAGTATAAAATAACTTTGAGGTTAGTCCCATGTAAATATCATGCTTAAAATTATTGTAAAAATGGATAAAATTGCCAATATTCTCATGGTACTCAAATTTAATATAATGAGATGTCGATATTTAACAACCCATGATTCCAAATATAATTAATCCTTATTAACCATAATACCCTTAAGTAGATATGAGATAGGAAATAAAACAGGAAGATCCAATGACTACTGTATTTATCATTATATTATAAACCTTGGAATAAATATTTTCGAAAGATGTTAATTATTATAAAATATTTAAGGATATCATATAAAAATTAAAAATTGCATAAGATCAAGTGAAATGTGGTAATTTGACAGTTGGTTCAGAATGCATTAAACTCATTATGACAGATCCAGAAAGAACCGATGATGAGATAGAATAGTATACTACTATATATAATAATGCATGTTATTATTATCATCAATTGTAATAAGGTTGAAAATTTGTTGTTTAAAAATAAAAAAACATATAAATAAATAAATTTAACTATTTTTATCAATAATATTTTTTGTAAAACTTAAACCAATTATTAATTGCAAGAAATTAAAGATTAAAATTTTACACCTTTTTTTTTAAATATTCTAGTAATTATCAAAAATCTGTGAATATTTCTCAATTTTATATCATTATTAATTAAGTAGCATAAATAATTTAAATTCTGTTTTTATTATAATTTTAGAAATTCTTGTATAATCAATTAACAAACATAATTTTAATTATTGTCATATTATATAACTCATTATTAACAATATTTAAAATTATTACAAAAATTATTCATAGCATCCAAAATTGAATATAAAAAGAGCTAGAATTTAAACTATTTCTTTTTTTTAATCAAATAATATTTCCTATTTAAAAGTTATTTTATTTAATAATAATATATTAAAATCGTTATTATATTATTCTTAATAGAATTTTAAAATATTATCTTTTGTTTTGATATTATTTAGTAATAGTAAAAATACTAAGAATATGATTCTATAATATATTTATTTAAATGTAAATTTATAAGTTTATTAAATCGATTTATATTTAATTTTGATCAATAGTGGATTATCAATAAAACATTTGTAAAATAAATGATATTATTTAAATACTATATAAAGTTATAATCAAAGTTAAAGTAATTGATTTATTTCCTAATCAGCCTTAATTAATAGATCTAAAATATCATTTTTAGTATATGGCAATTCATTATCTATTAAACATTGTATTTCTTAATCAGTTTTATTTTAAAAAGTTGTTGAAGTTAATAAATTTTCCATTGGTAATTTAACACTTTCAAATACTTATTGAGTTTCTTTTTATTATTCTTCAGGAATGGTTTGAAGTTAAGATAGTGTAAATCTTTCTTGAAATGAAACCTCATTATAATTTTATGTGATCTAATACATTTTTAATTGTTCATTTAATTGTTAAATCTAATTCTGCTATTATTTATATTATTCTTTATGAGTATTAATTTCATCAAGTAACTATTAATTTATATTACTTAATTTAATAATGAGTTATGTTTATTCTTCATATAATTCTTTTAATTTTAGATGATCCTAATTTTATTGTTTTATAGTTTTGTTTTATGTTTCAATTCTATTTTTTTATTATAGATTCTCAAATTTCAGTTAATCAATTTGATTATATAATTATTTGACAAGTTGAATAGATTTAATATCAAGAAGGTTTTCATTTGATACAGTAGTTATTGTTGATTATTGAGAGAAGTAATTATTTAATTGATTAGTTTTTTGTTAATGAATAGGTGATTTAGAATTATTTCTACTTTAAAGTTGTAAAACTTGTTTTAAATTTGAAATGTTCTATTCAGCAATTTATAATTTAGTTTTGAGAAGCTGTGTTTCTTTAATAAGATCCTGTACTAGATCTTATTTTTTGATATTCATTTTAATAAATAAATATATATTCAAAATGAATGAAATAGAGCAATAAGAAGCATCACATTATTCAACAATAAATGAATTAAAATCTGAAATTTAAGTTGTGTCTCAAAAAGAAGATCATTCTATAATAAAGTCAGAGACTATAATAAATTTTGATGATACTTTAACTCAAATAGGGTTTGGAAGATTTTAAATAATGTAATATTTGGTATCAATAATATTGGGAGTTATGGAAGGAGCACAAATTACTATATTTACATTAATGATACCAATACTAAAAAAAGAATGGGATATATCTGAATCTATAGTGTCTTTATAAACAAGTTTCATATTTATAGGATTTCTAATGGGATCTATGCTATCAGGTTAATTTACTGATAGATATGGAAGGAAATTACCATTCATTTTTAGTTCATTGTTTACAGTTCTGATTTGTTTTACTACAATTCTTTGTACAAATGTTTATTAGTTACTGATAATGAGAGGATTTATGGGTATCTTTGTAGGTTTCTTTGCTCCATGTTGTGTAACTTTATTATAAGAAATTACTCCAAATAATTTAAGAGGTTAAATGACAGGATCTGTTACATTAAGTGTTGCAATTGGTTAATTATACGGTTTTTTCATGGCATCATTAATTTTGGATGGAATAAATGGAAGTTGGAGATTGTTAACTTTTTTAGGTTCATTGCCAGGATTAGTAGCTTTAATATTGTCTCTATTATATATCTAAGAATCTCCTAGATACTTATTATTAGAAGGTAAATATTATGATGCATTTCAAACCTTAAAATTGATGATAAAAACTAATAAAACTTCAGAGTTTAATTTATCAATTGAGAATGAACATAAATTAGTGATATGGTCATTATATATGAATAGTATAGCTAAAAAAACAGAACATGCTTCTTTTAAAAGTTTGCTTAATGGAGATAGATTATAAGTTTCATTAGTTTTATGGAGTATTTGGTTTTTACTATGTTTTGCTTATTATGGTAATTTAATGACTATGCCTTAAATACTCTATTAACTCAAAGACAATTAATCATAGTTGTAGTAATTAGTTTATGCTTGTCTAAGTGATATTTTAGGTGCTATTTTGGCTACTTTAATTATTGATATCAAAGGATTTGGTAGAAAGAATTCATTAATGATTGGATTCATTGTAGCAACTGCTTTTTCATTTTTATAACTTTATTATTATGAAGAATATTTTGCTATTTTAGCAATTTTATAAAAATTGTTTCTTTCAATGAACTACATCTTTTGGTATAATATAAATTTTGAATTAGTTATCAATTAACAACAGAACTTTATCCTACTAAATTAAGAACTACAGGATTGGGTACAGCAGTAGCCATAGGAAGACTAGGTGTTATTTTGATGCCTTGGTCTTGTATGATTATTTCCTAATATTCAATCATCGCTCCATTTCTTTTGTTTTCTATAGCTTCCTTTTTAGGAAGTATTTTTACTTGTTTTATTCCTTTTGACACACTTGGTAAGAGTTTAGATAACAATAATTGATTAATTAATCTATTAAAATATTATATATATATATATATTTGTAAATAAATCATAGTTATTATCTTTAAGAATATTAAGATCCTCTATTTAATCTATTTGTTGTATCAACTGATTATATCATATTATTATTAGTTTTACTATTACTTTTTGTAATATTAACTTCTTTAATTTAAGTTATTTATCTCTTTTTTAATGCTTCAAGTGATGTTTCTGCCATTATTAATTTTTCACTTAATTCTGATGCCTCCTCATTTTTTTCTTTAAATTTCTTTCTCCAAACATCAACTTCTCCTTATAAAGATATTACAGTTGTTTCAACTCTTGAATAGTTTTCTTAGACTATTTATAATTCTTAGATTTAATCATTTAATTAATCTATCCAATTTTCTTTTTCATTTAAAATATTTCTTAATTTTATAATATCTGCATCTTTATTACTTAAATGTTTTTACATTTCTTTACTATCTATTTCATATTATTGTATTTATTTTTTCAATTATTTAATTTCTTCATTATTACCATTCTTATTCTATAATTATTTTTATAATAAAGTAAAACTTTCTTTTTATTCAAATAATTCTTATTTTAATCGTTAAATTTCATTCTTTAATCCATCTTCTTAAATTACAAAATTCTTAACCATAAGTTCTAATTCATTAATTTTAGTCATATAATCCATAGATTTAAGATTTTATTCATTAATTTTTAATCTTTAGTTCTCTATCTACAATCTGTTGATCAACTATTCTAATTACAATAATTTTTATTTATATCTATTTTCCATATCTTATATAGAGACTACTTATAAAGGTTTTTCATTTCGTTGTATATCATTTTATTCTTATACTTATTATGTTCTTTCTGTTGATAATTAAATTACTCTAATAGGAGACACAGATTATTGCTAATAAGATGGTTACATTTTGGCTATATACTAAGAGTTATTTCTCTCTGTTGATGGAGTTCTATTATTCTGTTTATTCATACATAGCTGAATGAGTAGATTAAGTTTGGATTCTTTAAATCGAATAAGTAGGTAAATAATTATGTGGTTAACTGTTTATTAGAGGAACTTGTCTTACATACGGAGATAAAGTCTAAGTATTTTTAGGTATATATTGGCTGCCTTTAGAACGCATTAATCGTTCTACTTTTTCGTTTTACATATATAATTATAGTATTTTGAGTTAAAAATGTAATTGTTTAAAAGGTAACAATTTAACTTCTTTGGAATTATAATAGAGATATTGACCCAATAATAAATTTATCTGACATTTAAAGAAGATGGAATATAATTATAAATCAGCATTATAACCTATTTTATATTAAAAATAGTTGCGTTTCTTTTTTATAATATTTGCAATAATCTAATGCTATAATTCATATTAAGTTTTATTTAGAAATTAAATGTAATTAGGAATTCATCTCATTTATTATAGAAATTATTTTAATGAATAAAAAAATATTATGCAATTAGCAATTATATTAATTTTGTGTCTAATAGAAAATATAAAAATGACAGAAATTTTATCATTCCTATTTAGTTTAGGGTTTATACATCAATATACTAAATCTAGAAACTCTTTGTCTAATATATTTTTAGGTTAATAAGAAGCAGATGATCTTCAGAAAAATAAGCAATCAGAGATTGATAAAAAAATATTAAAATTTTATGAGATTAGAACTTAAAGAAAAAAAGAAAATAAAAAAAGTTGTAATTATTTGTGCAGGCATCTTTTGGATGACTTAAGCATTAAAATTATTTTTATATTTTGTGATATTGAATGAAAAGGAATAATTTGTCTCAAAAAAATGTAGTGATATTTAATCGACATATTTATAATCCATACTTATTCAATCCATTATTATCTAAATATCCAATAAAAACTATGTTTGACAACTGGTTGATTAATGCATTAAGGTTAGGTAAATCTTATTAATATGGAAAAAAAATTATATAATCATTAAATCAATAGGAATCGAATTTGTATATGTGGATAAAACTAAACATAATTAGCATGAATTAATCTATTTGACAACTATACTTATATGATGAAATTAGATAAAATAATAATTTACATAATAAATAATTATCAATAAATACTTGAAATATTATATTAACCTAATAAATTTAACATTATTTATGGAACAGCATTTTGTGAAATCATTATGATCACAGTAGATATGTTTTAGGAATAAATAATATTAAAGAGTATGTATAAATAATATATAATTAGTGTCATCTATGGAGATTCTTTTATTATTTGTGCTGGATTACTTAATATTGGGTGTAAGAGTACCTATCATGCTTTCTAGAGGATAGATTATTGAATTTAATTACATTAATTTGAAAAGGGATCTACCTTTGATTAAATAATACTTAAATTATCTACATTATACATCATAAATCTTAATAATAAGTTAAGAATTTCAAGTTGTTGTTTGATAGATAAAGAAATAAATCTAATATTCCCATTTATGAATAGTATGCTTTAATTCTAATGTAATAAATGAAAGAATAGTTTAATATGGATTCTAGACTCCAGATGATAAAATTATATTGAATAAATTATAGTTAAATAGAATGAAGCATGAGTTTAGAGGAATGAGTTAATGAGATGGTTATGCAGAAATAATTTATGAATTAATATAGGGTTAAAAAAAAGAAGAGTAATCAGCCTTTGATTTAACAAGGCTTTTATTTGTTTGAAGTATAAATATATATATATATCGTTAAAAATAATAAAAATGAGTTAATATGAAAGGATTAGACCAATAGTTTTTCAGAAAGCTCCAGAAGTGAAACAAGTGAGATCAAATTCATTAGCTGTTCGATCATCACCATCTAAATGTTAATTAGATTTATCATTTGATTTATAAGTTAATTCAACAACTAACAATACAAATCAAGTATTAAAAGATATCAACAATTATAAAAAACTTTATGTCAGTGAATCATGTTAAAATAATAATAAAGAAAATTAATTATCTGGAAAGCATTTTTCGTTTAAGGCTGATGAAAGTTAATATTTGAAATAAAGAATTAAACAATTAGAATCATAGAATAATAACTATGTAACTGAAAATAAAAAATTAGCACATGTTTTGGATCAATAAATTCAATTAAATCAATCACTACAAGAATAGTAATAATCAAAAAATTAAATTATAAGAAAATTAGAAGATGTTTAGAAAATGAGTAAATATTAACAGTCTAATAATACAGATCTTAAATAAATAAATGAATAATTGATTATATCTAGAAAAGTAGTAAATGATTTAGAAGAAAAACTTTAAATTGTATTAAATGAAAATTAAAAGTTAAGCGAATTAAATGAAAGATTTTAGTTTACAGAAAATCAATTAAAAATTGAAGTTGAAAAATATAAAAGCAAATGTTCAATATTGGAGGGTAAATTAAAATAATAACAGTAATTTAAATTATTATATTTAGAGATGAATCTAAATGTTTAGAATTATAAAGAAAAATAAAAAAACAGAATGATCAATTAGAATTATTGGCTAGAGAGAATTATTAATTGAAATAATAGTTAACTTAAAATAATAATTAAATATCTTAATAAGAAGATAAATAGTTTAATAAGTAAATTTATATTTGATTTTAGTGATAAATTTAAAGAGACAATCCAAGAATTAGAATGTGAAAATCAATACTTATAATAAATGATAGGCATTGACCAATAAAAGATGAATAATCTCGAGGAAAAATTAAATTTGTTGACCAAAGAAAATTAAAGACTTACAGAAATAGTCAAAAATCGTCATAAATAGCAATGATCTAAAATTTATAACTATTTTTGTTATTTAATTTAAAGAAGATTAAATTAAATGATAATATTGATTTAAAATCAATATCTATAAACTGATCCATAACCAAATGTTGGTGCAACATAACTATAACTTGGGGCATATCCATAAGTTGGAGCAACATAACTAGTTCTTAATGGAGCCACTGGTGCTACTGATACTACTGGAGCTACAGGTGCAGCATAACTGTAAGAAAGTGGTGATGCATATGAAACTTAAGCAGGAGGAGCTCTTCTAACCTATAAACAATAAATTAAAATTGAAACCTCTCTTTCATATTCCAAATAATCTACTCTTGGCACATTCTTTTCAACTGGTACATAATCAATTTATTTTTCATATGAAACTTAAGGAATATATTCCTTTTAATATTCCACTGGATAATAATCAGTAACCCATTTTTATCTTGGAACCTACGTGTTAAAATATTATTTACTTAAACAGTTCTTACTTCCTCTTCCATTTCTACTACAGGCTTTTGATATGGAACATATTCAACTCTAGATCCACCTCTAATTGGAGAATAAGCTGGAGAGGCATAACTAACAGGAGCTGCATATTAAACTGGTTAAACATATGAGACTGGAGCTGCATAACCAACTAATTATTAGTTTGATTATCTTTACCTGGAACCGGTCTGGCAATAGATGTAGCTAATGGAGAAGCATATGAAACACCTAAAGGAGCATAGGAGTACATGATAATATTAATATTGACAATAAAATTTATTGATGTTTTATTTTTACATGAGATATCAAAGCGAAAAAACTTAATAAATTATTTTAATTATGATACAAATTCTAAAGATAGATAAAGACTATTATTCAAATATTAGGATTTATAATTACTTTCGATATATAAACTTTAATATACATTTAACAAAGTTTTGTTTGAAATTATGAGATAGAGAAGAGAATTCGATTATATAAAATTTGTATTTATTAAGTTTGTGTTATTTCCAACTGATTATAAAATATTTGATATTATTTAATATAAACTATTTTTTGTAAATATGTCGGAATATTTTAGAAAGTATATCAAAAAAGAGCATTATGCTAATCATTAGTATTAGTTTATGATAATATTATAGCTCAAATCTTAAATTCAAAACATCCTTCAGAAATTGTATATTGGAAGTATTTAACAATTATTAAATCAGGCTTTTAAAAGAAGATTATGGAAAGAGACTGATGGAGATGATTGGGACATAATGTGGGCTGAGAAGGAATGGATTCATGAAGTTATGGATCATACTCATCTATAATCTAATCAAAAAATTAATCATTTCAGAAATCATTACGAAGTATTAACAAACTTAAAATAATTAGTTAACAAGGAAAGATCTCATGATAAAGAATTTTAAAAGATATAAGAAAAATTTAGAAAGAGAAGGAAAATAAGAAGAAGCAAATAAGTAATTAAAGCATTAATTAATACAGTTATAATTTCTTCCCTTTAACTTTCCATTTGCCTAGTGAATATCCGATATTTTTTGAAGAATTTAAAAGGTAAACCAACAATGGTGATACAAAAACAGCTTGGATAATGAAGCCTGTATTAATAATATATTAATTCTTAAGATTGGTAAATCATAAGGAAAAGGTATATTCATCTTTAACAAAATTTAATAAATATCTTAATGGAAGAATACCTTAAGATATAATTAAGATAATCCATAAGCAGAAGCATATATAGTTTAAAAATATATAGCAGACCCATTGCTAATTGGAGGAAAGAAATTTGATATGAGAATATATTTGTTATGTACATCTTACTAACCATTAACATTATATTTATATAGAACTGGTTTTGCAAGATTTACACATCATCGTTATGATAATGAAGACATTTCAAATACATGTATAATTTATATATTTAATATTATTAAGATGTTCATTTAACAAATGTAGCAATCTAAAAGACATCAGATAATTATGATGAAAAACTTGGTGGAAAGTGGAATTTATAAACACTTAAACTCTATTTAATGACTAAATATGGTTAAGAAAAAGTTGCTGAAACTTTTTATAATATTTAAATGCTTATGATTAGATCACTATAAGCAGTTCAAAAGATAATTATTAATGATAAACATTGTTTTGAATTATATGGATTTGATATTTTATTAGACGCTCAACTAAAACCATGGCTTTTGGAAGTAAATGCAAGGTATTTATTAAATTCATTATATTAGTCCTTCTATGACTTCTAATACACCTGTAGATTTTGAATTGAAATGTGGTTTATTAGATGATGTATTTACAATTATTGATTTGGAAAAAGTATTGACAGGAAATGAAGAATAAATTGGAGGATTTGATTTGATATGTAAAGGAACCCCAATCAAATTACCTATTAATAGCACATTCACTACTTATTTAGGGGCATTTAATAATAGATAGTAATAGTTAAAAAAAATTGCTAAATCTACTGCTATTAGATTGGCTTAAACATATTAGGAAAGTCAAACAAAAGCAATTGAAGTAGGATCTAAAGGATAAAAAGAGAAGGAAGAAAAAGATAAATAAATGAGAAGTTCATCTAAAGGACCATAAGTTATGCAAGTATTTTATTTATATTATTTTAGAATGGAGTAAATGGAAGTATTAAAACTAATAATTAAACAAAATAAAATACAATAATCAAAAGAAATACTACTAATTTACCTACTTTAGGGACTGTGTAAAATAAGAGTAATATTAAAAGATATCCTTTATAAAATGCTGGTTAATAATCATAATAGATTTAGTAATCATAATCAAATTCAAGCAAAAAGTAATTTATTATATTAAGTTAGAAATAATCCTAATGAAGACTCAATGTTGAGTGCAAATTAGAAGCTGCAGAAATTAACATAAGAAAGTAAAATAAATTAGTTTTAACCTTACAAATAATAATCATAATACAATGATGTTATGGGTATGGGCTCTAAAAATCTTTAAAAAAACGAAGAGTGAATTAAAATAGTTTTCTAATTTTAAATATATTAATTATCATTATATCTAATTCAAATTATATTATTTATGGTATTTTCCATTACTTTTCTTCTCACAAATATCTGATAAAATGTTACCTCAGGCTTATGATTGTTATTTTTTACTTTATCATTCAAAAATCACATTTTAGAAGAGTTTAAGTAAAATCCTTTTTTTATTCAGTAAAAGATTCCATATTATTAAATGCACATTTACAAAAAAAGTCATATTAAGATTATTCAGTAAACTATAAGTGCTTAAATTAATATGATTAAAAGTAGGATGCTAATTAAATTTCATATAATTTTTAATTATACAAAATAAATTTCTTAATTTTCATCAAAATAATAGAACTCCATAATTTTTCACCGCAAACAGAAAGGCAGTTCAATTTGATTGCTTTAATAAATGTAATAAATTACTTTAAACTTTACAAGAAATTCTTACAAATCTTAGTTACATTTTAAAGTAATTGGAAAAAAAAAAATAAGATAAAGAAAAAAATTGAATAATATCATATCTGAGAAGGAAACCCTGACGAAAAAAGAATTTTATTTGGACCAAGCACCCTAGAATACTCTTAGCGAAGGTCAAGCTTTACAACTACTACTGTAATTTAATTATGACTCGACTTACTTGCAATATTTTTGGATGATGACCTGCATGAATCAACACTTACAATACCAAAATTTTTTTTAATTTATTGAAAATACAAATACATTTATATAAAAGAATAGAAATTTAAAGAAATTATTTTTTTCATCATTGTTGTATATTTATATTGAGATTTAATTTGAATTAAAATTTATATCCTAAATATTTTCCTTTACTTCATCTCATTTTGTTAAAATTGTTTTTTAAAATCATTGGTATTTCATATAATTCTTGAACATTTGTTTAATAATATGGTTTTATTTAATAAAAAAAAGATATTTACAAAATTTAAATATTATATCATTTTAATTAGACACATGCCAACAAAGTTTTTCATTTAATTAGTTGTTTATGAGAAAACTAATAAATTGAAATAGTTGTTGAAATTCAAATAAAAAATAAATTTTGAGTGAAAAATTTCAGTATTTTAATTTGTTCTTAAGAGTTATATATAGAATTTATATGGATTCACTATGCATTGATCATACTTGATTATGAAAGAGTCAAAGTACAAAATAATATAAAAGTTAAAATTTATAATATGAAATTTTTGATGGACCAATTAAAATACATATTAAGAAGATAAATAAGAAAAATTTATATCAATCGAAAATGATGCGAAATATAATTTTCATTAAATTTAATTCAAATTTTTTTAATGAAAATAATGAATTATATTCAAACATTTAGTATAAAAAATTATACGTCAATTTTAAGGCTCTTAAACTTATGGAATGTTCTCCTTTTTTTTAATCTATTTTAACTCAATTTCTTTAGCCTACATTTTTTAAATATTGATCATCCATCTTAATTAAAAAAGGCATGAATAAACTCAATTCTCCTTATCTTTTATGTTTATTTATATTCAGGATTAAGCTTATCCTTTTATATTTTTTATAATCAACTTTTTTATTTCTCCACTTGAAGTTTTTACATTTCTTTATCTAGACTACTTATACTCTTCTTTTTCTCTTTCTTTTCATCATTTTATAAAATCTTTTTAGATGGAGAAGGAACTAATTTAAATATTTTTAGCATCATTTTTTTTATTTCAGATTAGAAACATATTATGACTTTTTATACTATTAGATAGAGATTTCATATTCTGTTTATTATTTGATAATTTTGTTTTCTTATTGCATAGTTTATTCTTTATCCTCATAATTTTAGTATTAATTATTGTCTATATTTTCATCTTCATTTTATTACATTTATGTTTAATCTTCAAATTATTTATCATCACAATTGTCATTAAGTTCAAGTGAAATATTCACATCTTAATCATGAAAATAAGGTTGCAATTTATTTAATTTCATGAGATTCTCTCCAATATTTACTATTCTACTCTATGCTTTATAAGCATCTTCCTTTCATTATTTATATGAAAGTGCATTAATTGCCAAGATCTTTTCTAAATGTTATTTGATTTTAGAACCTACTTACTGAAGCTTTATTTATTAATTTAAAATAGAAACCTTGCCAAAAAATACATCTTTCCTTATAGCCCTTATCAAATCTAATGAATGTTATTTTAATTTATTAGAAAGTTATCTAAAATTAACTTATTATAATCTTAAAGATGGTTTTATAATTTATAAAGTTCATTCTCTAAATCAATAATAATTTAAATATCTTTATATAAAAATTCAAGCACTTCCTTTTCGATATAAAACCAGAATGATCTTTGCTAATCTTTAAAATGAAAATATGAATAAATTATTCATTATTCACTTTCATTATATTTTTAGTAACAACAGATTTATAAATTGCTTTCTTAATTGCATCATCAAATTGATCTATTTATATCTCTGTATATGCTTGATTATCTTCCAAAAATTTTCATTTTTTTGATGAACATAGGTATTATCATCTTAATATTAAAGTTAATATTGATTAAAGATGCATTTTATATAATATAAAAATAAATTTTTATTTTAATTATCAAATAATATTTATTTTTCAAAGATATTGGAGACGAAATAGTAGATTCAGTGAGAATTCAAATATTTATAAATAACATTTATTCTTAAAATCTCATACAAATTGTATAATTTGTAATTTAGAGTATAGGGAGTATTTATGAAAAACGTATTTGACCAAAAAGTCTTGAATAATTCTATTTTGCAGTAAAAGACCCTTAAATCTTTAAAGAAATAAGATAAGATCTCTTAAAGGATCAGGAAAATAGTATATAGTTTCACATTTAGTAGGACCAAGAAATTAAAATCTTAGTGTTTCCTTCCCATTATAAGAAAATTATATATGAATAAAATTAAAACTTATTAATTCTATTATCATGATTTAGACAATATTCTTCTATTTGATTAATTGAAATGTCATTAAAAAAAGACTAAGTAATCTACCTATTTGGAAGGAATCATAAAAGGGTGAGAATATTCTATTTATTAATGAAATATATTATATTTTTGATCTGACAATTTTGATTATTAATTATATTAAAAATAATCAATGAAATCATAAATTGAATAATGTGAATTATTGTTGGAATAATAACAATATTAAGAATTATCAAATGAAATTAACAGGATGATAGAAGAAGAAAAAGAGTAAGAGTTGGAGTTATAACAAAAGCAGGAGCATTTATAGGAATAAGAAAAGTAATTAGAGCAACTGAAAAAAGAAGAAGTAAAATTATATTCATCCAAAGGAAACTTTAAATGAATATTACTCTGAATAATTCAACCATTTGGAATAAGAAAAACTATTACTCTAGTAAATAGAAAATGAAATATAAATTTAAAAATAAAGGGAAATTTAGTTATAGATTGAACAAAAGCTAGCCGCTGAATAAGAGCAAATGTATTTTATATTATAATATCTTGATATGAGAATTAAAAAGAGAATTTTATGATGCTATTTTAATAATGCCATGAGTATCATTAATAAAATCAGATTCTTGCTTAGGAAATAGAGGGTCTAAAGGATGAAAACGATGATTTAAGTAGAGGTATTTCATTTCATATTTATTTTAGAATGTCTACATTTAGAAGGTTAATCAGAACAATAAATAAGATATATAAATTGTTTAAAATAGCTAAATCAAAAAACAGAAGAAGCACTATAAAAATTATAAGTTTATTAAGAAGAATTAAAACAATTATTACATAAAGGAAAACAAGATCAAGGACCTAAATTTGATCCAATTCAATTTATTAAAAGTGTAACAGATGCATAATAAAAAGTTGATATACCTTAGGAATTATGTGAAGTTGGAGAAAGTAATAATTTATATAATAAACAGATTTATCTTTTGAAAAAGAAATTAATTAAGTACCACAAATTTCTAATAATGAAATAGAAGTAAAACAAGGCCTTTCATTTAATTATAAGTATTTAGCTGCAATTACTGCAACTATAGCATTAGGAATTATTATTAAAAAAAAGTTGCTATGATCTTTTTTTGATGATCTATTTCAAATATATTTATGCAACAATTTTGTTATGATAAATAATTAAAAAGAAAAAGAAAAACCTTATTGAACACATTTATAATTTTTTTGATTCTTTTTATTCTTTAATAAATAAATAATTTTTAATTTAAGCAGACCCTTCTTTACTATCTCATCTTAAAATCCATTCTTATTAGATTAAGTGATCATTATGATTGTTCTTTTATTTAGATTAAATATAATAGGTATCATAAATCCTTTAAATTCATTTTTAGAAATTACTTATTTTCTTAAGAAAATAAGATGTAAATGAATTGTTTTATTTATGTAGTCAGATTACATTTGATTCTTTAACGATAAATTGAATGATTGTGAATTTGCATAATAATAAAATCATGATTATGTATAGTTTCCTACTTAATTTTCGACTTGGGCTACTTTTTAGGTTGCTGCTAGAATTAATTGTTAAATTTAGCTTTTTTCTTTTTTTAATTCAGTAATTTAACTTTGCAATTTAGAATTCTCATCTTTTTATGTATTTATTGCCTAGATCATATTTATTTGATACTTGTCTCAAATCTCTAAGCATAGCATCAAGAGTGGGTTATGTTGTATTCTTGATTTCTTCATTATTATTTGTTATTCTTTATTTCATCAGATGTAACTCCTATTTTAATTGATCAATCTCATGTTTATAGCTTTATAACAATTCATTAGATAACTCTGTAATATTCTAAAAATATAAGAATCAAATTACATTAACTAAAAGCAAATGATTTTTAGCATTAGTAGCTGATTCTTGATCTAATTTAGAACTGTGTACTTATTATTATTAAATTTCTGACATTTATTTTTATTATATTAATTTTTATCAAAAAAATATATATTCATATATAAAATATATGTAAAGAAAATTAAATATAATAGTTATTTATATAATTTTAAGGTATTATTGTTTTTTTTAAATGTTTAAACTTAGAATAAGAACTAAAATATTTATAATATTATTTAATTCTGTAATCATCAAAATCAATAGTTAAAATATTTTAATGAATAATTAATTATACAAAATGAACATAATAATAATATATAAATTATGATAAAACATATTTATTTTTTCTTGTATTCTTATTATAGTAATAATTAAAATTAAAGTATTAAGGAACAATAAATTAAAAAATATCAAATATTCATAAAGGGATTGTTAAATTTGATCTATTCTCCACATTTTAAGTAACTTTAATTTCAAATGGATTGTTAAAAAATATTAAGACTTTCATTTATTGGACTCATAATAATAAAATAATAAACATAATTGTGTGGTTATTTGAAATTAAATAAAATCTTTTTTTATTATTTATGGGTATTTCAAGAGATAGCAGACATAAGAGAAGACTTACAGGTGGACGTATGCCAATCCATAAGAAGAAGAGAGCATTTGAGAAGGGAAGACAAGCAGCTATGACTAAATTAGTATCTGGTGAAAAGAGAGTTAGAAGATTAAGAGTTCGAGGAGGAAATTTCAAATTCAGAGCACTTAGATTATCAGATGGCAATTTTTCTTGGGCTAGTGAAGGTGTTGCAAAAAAAGCTAAGATTGTAGAAGTTGTTTATCATCCATCAAATAATGAATTAGTCAGAACAAAAACACTTACAAGAGGTGCTATTGTTTAAGTTGATGCAACTCCATTCAAATAATGGTATTTGAAGAAATACAATGTTGATTTGGGTGCTAAAAAGACTTAAAAAAAAGTAAGAATTTTGAAATTAAACATAAGGATTAACCAGCTTAACCAGAAGTCAAGAAATCAAGATCTTTATAAAAGAAATTAGAATAAAGAATGAAAGATAGAGTTATTGATAATTTAGTAGCAGAACAATTCTAAAATCAAAGACTTTTAGTAAGAGTCACATCTAGACCAGGATAATCAGGTAGAGCTGATGGTTATATTCTTGAAGGAAAGGAATTAGAATTCTATGTTAAAAAAGTTGAATAAAAGAAAAAATGAAATTTTTATTATCAATACAAGTACATTAGCATTTAATTCAATATTTCATTTTTTATAATCCATCATCTTTTATTTGGCTTCTTCTTTTGTATTATGTACTTATTATGTCATCAAAGAAATAAATATTGGTACCATAATCATTGTCAAAACCATAACTATAACATATTGAATCTAATTTAATAATAATATAATACATATCTTGTATCAAAAGAATAACTTATATCCTTAACATAATTATTATAAAATCCTTATTCTGCAATATCGTTATGCATTCCATATTTAAGAGTACATCTTAATAATCCAATAAATGAATAAAAGAAATTATCATGATTTACTAATTTCCCTTATATTGTAATGCTCCAAGACATTGCACAAATGCTAATAATAAATATCAAAACTAAAAGTAAGAACCAAGATTCTTTATTAAACTTAAATAATCAATAACATAATTACTCTAATAATAACTAATCCATAACATTTTAAATAAGGACTCCAATTCCCTAAAAATCTATTTATAGCTATCATTAAAAACAACATTTAAATTCCATCATATATTCTAGTAGTATAAAGTGGTGTTATTAATTTGGAGACATCCTAATATGAATTAGAACCAACATCAATTAAACTTAATTCATCTTGATATGATTTTGATATGGTGCTTCTAATTAATATGCTAACATTACTTAACATATCTATAATATTTAAATATTAATACAAATGATATCGAATATTAATGGAATTTTAATTACTACATATAGCACTTTTAAATTGAAGATGAAAAAATCACTGACAATTAATTTTTTTTATTAAAATTCTCTTTCTTCTTGTGGTGCTAAGTCTCTTTTTTTAGATTACATCTTTCTTCTTCTGTTTAAAAGTTCCATATATTATAAATAAATAAGGATTAAAGTATTTTAAGTTCCTATAAAATAAAATCCAAAAAAATCTGAAAATAATTATTGAATCCAATACCAAAAAATGAAGGAACTAATAATAGTATAGCTATATAGAACATGATAGAATGAGCAAGTACTTCTTAATCTGTTGAAGAATTTAAATCAAATGCTTGTGTTTACATAGTATTATAATTGAGTAATTCCTAAATATTATATATATTTTACATCATTAAATAGATATAGAGTTGTAATTGTTGCTTATATTAATCTTTAAGTTGGACTATTAAAGTAATTTAAAATAAATTAAGATTATTTAATATTGTATTTTAACCACTTTTAAGATTTAATCTATTCAATACTATTTTGGAAACTATTTTAATCTGTGAGATTAAGTTCCCAAACATATCCTCCATAATAATTATCATATTTAGATGGATTAAAATCAGTTTGAGTATAATCCCCATCCAAGTCTTCAACAAATAATTCATCAAAATTTAAACAACTTTAATTTTTTGTTGAAAACATTGATTTTTATTTAGTATTCAAAATATGACAATCATCTATATTTTCTTCTTAAACTAATTTTTATATTAATAATCCTGATTTTAAAGGGTAATTGTAAAAATAGTGAATATCATTTTCTCCTGCTAAAGTTTAGTAAATTAGGGATGATAAATTAAATACAGGTATAGGGTAAGATCTTTAAATAGGATATGAATTTTAAAATGAAGCTAAAATTTGAGTATTAGTAACAAATTTGATTTGGTTAATTTCTGTATATATAAATAAAAACAGTAATATTATAAAGAGACAAGATTCAAAAAAATATTTAACTTTGTTTAAATATCCTAAATATAATGACCAATCCATTTTATTTTCCAATCTTCTAGTTTATCTAAAAACTTTTGTTAATCCTTCAGGGTAAGCTTCTGTGAATAAAACTTCATCAAATTGAGATACATTATTTCTATCTTCTTTTTATTTCTTTTACTTTATAAGTTAAACTCCAACAGTAGGTTCATAGTTTCTAAGTAATTCATAGATTGGTGGATATAATTCATTTAGTACATTCATTTCAAATTATAATAAATTACCCATCTAATCTGTATAAAATATTTCATTATCTTCTGCCATAAAACAAGATTTAACAATTTACTTCAACTCTCTAAATGTTTTAATTGTACCAGGTACTTTGACCTAGACAGAATTACATTAATTTCTTAATGTTATATAATATCCATTATCTAGTTCATCCTCTTCAACCTTAGCATTTTCTTCATCTTGTTTTGGATTCAAAGTTAATTGGAAGTTTTGATTTCGTTATAATCTTTTTGCTATTTCTTTTTCTTAAATTACTTCTAATGTTTCTTTCTTGCTAATGTTGAGGAGAAATAATTTTAGTGTTTTAATGACTTCATATTCTAATTTAGCATCAATGCCCTGAGATTCCTATGTAACAGGACCTGATGTTTTATCCTAATGTAATTTCTGATGCTACTCAAGCTATTTTTATAATGCATCATATTCCTATATAATGTTGTAAAAATACTTTTTCTGCTTTTCCTATTTCATCAAAATAGACATCATTTAACTTTTCTTCCTCTTGGTATTCTAGTGATAATTTATTAAGATCATTTATCAAGGCATCCCTTTATATTTTGAAAGGTCTTAATTTTTTTGCATTATATGAAATGCTTGTCATTATCACTTAAATTTTAATAAACAATCAGCAAAATAATCAATTTAATCTTTAGGATTTTGTTCGGCAACTTAATTCAAAGCTCTCTCTATAGCAGCCTATAGTCTTGAATCTTCTAAATATTTTAGAGTATTTATATATTCTCTGTCTTTTATTTATTATATCCATTTATTCAATTCTGCTTATTGAGCTTCTATATTAACAGTTTGAAAATCATAATTATTATCTTATTATTATTTTAATTCCTATTTAGAAGACATAGAATTATTATTAGATTTATCTAATTATCTTTCTGAACCTAATTCACTTTTATCTTTTTTAGCAGCTGGTTTCTTCTTTCCAATAAAATCAAATTCCAATTCTAATGATCCCATATCATTTTAATCTTTGTACAAAGGAACCTAAACTAACCACTCAGGAGCTGTCTCTGCATTTTATAAATTCAGAACTCCCTCTCCAATAATTTCTTCTGAATTTTTCTTTTGTGGATCCACATCATATACATTAACTTTTAAGCTAGAATTTTTAGGATCATAGACAAATTAAAAGGTTTCATTCCAAATTGGAACTTTTCCTTAATTTGTAGCTGTTTTTGTTTTGAACTTCTATGCCCCTAATTGAATACTGACTTATGGATCCTATTTGCCCTTCCCTTTTTATTCATCAAGATCTTGAAGCAATTTAGCACCCTTTACAGTTATATTTAAGTTAGGCTTACTTTTCATAATTTTAATAATGTTTGAAAAAATTCTTTAAAGAATTTTATTCACATACTTAGGAAAATTCATTACAGGGTTTGATTAAACTAATTTATAATTAGGAATTTGGAGTGGAAACATTGTGATAGAGAATGTAGCATTGAAACAAGAAATATTTGCAGATTTAGAATTACCATTAGAATTAAAATTTAGTTCTATAGGCAGATTAATTTTAAAAATACCCTGGAATAAATTATCATCTTCTCCTGTAGAAGTGGTATTGGAAAATATTTTGATAGTATTTAATCCCTTGCCTTAATAAAGATGGAATAATGATGATTCTATATAAATTAAAAGAAAATTTAGTAAATTATTGGACAAGGTTAAATAGAGCATCAATATTAAAAAGAAGGAACAAAGTGATAATACTGGTTATTTTGAGAAATTCACTCTAAAAGTGATTGATAATGTTTAGATATCATTAAAAAATATTCATTTTCGTTTTGAAGATTAACATTATTCATGGGGTATTAAAATGGATTCTTTAACAGCTTTGACAACAAATGAATAATTTATTGTTGCTTTTGTTGATAGAAGTAATAAGGATACAAGGTTTGTACCTAAAAATAAATTAATAGAGTTATAGTAACTACAATTTTATTGGAATGCAAAAGAAACAATTTTTATATCATAATATAACACTTAAGAATAACTTACAGTTTTTGATTAAGTCATTTAAATAAGTGCTTTATGTAAGTTGATAATGAATAATAAAAACATATTTGATAAAGCACATTATATTTTAGATATGTAATTGGAAGAGATTAATATCAATATAAAACATTCTCAATTAATTTAGATTATTTAATTTTTAGAATTAATTTCTAATTATAAAAATAGAGTATGGTCATAAAAATAAGAATTAATATAATTTGATGTTAATATATATTAATAAAAATTTTGTGATTTCTTCTTTTTGTCATTAAAAAATGATTTTAAAGAAATAGAATAATTAAGTGATTAGGATCAAATACTTTAATTAAAAAATATAATTAGATTAGTTCCTTTTAAATAATTGGAATCTTGGAGTCAAATAGCATAAAAAAAATATTTATTAGATTTGAAAGTGTAGGAGTATCAAAGACAGAAATCAAAGAAAGGTTGGTTTAATTTTTTAGGTGGATAGACATAAGAAGAAATTTCTGATACTGAATTAAAATAATTGGAAGAGTTTATAGATAATGAAGAAACAAATCTAGTTTTTAGACCTTTTGAATCATTGAAATTTAAATTTATTTCAAAATTATAGAAAGCTCATATATAATTAGTTAAAGATAATAATACTTTATAGGATGAAGGAATAATTAAATAATTAGAATTTATAGAAATAGATTGGGAATAATTTGAGAACAAAGATTTTAAATTTTCTACAATCATTTAAAAAGTCAGTTTGTAATTGATAAAAAATAAATAAATAGAAGAAATTTTTTAACCAACTTAGGAAACTAATAAGTTTTTAGAATTATGTTTAACAAAAAAAACTACTAATAATATTTGTAAACTCGATTTTAGATTTCTTATGTAAAGTTTAACAATAAATTATAATCCTTGTATAATTAGAATTATTAGGGAAATTACAGAAGTAAAGAAAGGAGACTATGTAGAATAAACATTAAAAACAGCAACATGGAATTAAATAGAGAAAATACAAGATTCAACTGAATCTTCTTTGTAAAATATTTTATAATCAAATATTCAATTAAATATTGATGCTAAGATTTTGGAACCTATATTAGAATTATCAATAAATAGTAATGAATTTTGGTTAGTTAAGATGGATAGTTTTCATATTAGTACAAAACCCTTAAATCAATAAGATTTATATGAAAATTTTGAGATATCTATAAGCAAATTTAAATTTTTATATTATCCATAAAGATTTGGTAATCAAACATTATAGATTTTAAATGATTACAATTTAATAGTGTAAGTTTAAAGATTAAAGAGTATACATAATGAACTAATAAATAATGAGAATAAACCATTAATAATAATAAAAGTAAAATTAAATGTAATAAATATCATGATAAATGAAACAGTCTATAAACATTTAGTTTATTTACCAGAAACAATTTATCCTACATTATCACAGGATTAGAAATTATAATAGTTATAATTAGAGAAATAATTGATATTAAAATACAAAGTTAAAGATGGGTATTTGAAAAGACAAGGATAATTAATAAAGACATGGAATTCTTAATATGTAGTATTAAGTAACTTTGATTTATATTTTTATGATTAGGACAAAATATTAATGGCAAACTCATAATTAAGTTTATTTAATTCTACATTAGAATAATTAAAGGTTGATGATTAGTTATATTCTTTTAAAATAATAAATAAATAAGGAGAATATATATTTGCTTGTGAGAATCAAGTAGAATTAAGAGATTGGATTAAAAAGATAAAATAATAAATAGATTAATATTAATCTTATGAAGAAATTAAATAGAAATAAGATGAATAAATAAAATTTAAATAGAATGATAAGATTTAAATTGATATATTGATTGAAAAATTACAAGTAAAATTATATAAAGATAAAAATTATCCAAGTGATAATTAAGAACATCTTTTATTTTTGTTTAAATTAAATAATTTAAAATTTTAAACAATTAAATTATAGCAAATTTAACAAATAATCTAAATTGATAATTTATCAATTTAAGATTGGATATTTGATTATAAAAATCCTTAATTCTAGGATTTAGTTATTTTAAGTAATAAGGTGGATAGCCAACCTTCTTTAAAAATAGATATTACTTAAAAGAAATAAAAAATAAATGTAGATTAGTTATAAATAAATTGGAAACCAGATACATTTTTAAAAATTAGATAATTATTAGAAATAATATCAGATAGGAAATCAAGAAAATGGTATTTTGCAGGAATTCGAGATTTCGAAGCAGAACAAATGAAAAAAGGAAAGAATTGTGATGATGAAGAAATTAAAAGAAATATATTAATTGATGGATTAAAAACAGTATTTAATAAATGTCAAAGATATGGTTAATCAAAATTAAAAGTGAAGCATAAATTTGATACATTAATTGATCATTAGAATTTCTTGAATGATTATCAATGGATTGAAGATGAGATTTTATCATTATATCAAATAAAGAGCAGTAAAGATACAATTATGGAATTAGAAACTTCTATAAATTTTATTTCAATTAATTTCTTTCATAGAACAAGTCATTGTTTACTCTTTAAATGTGATTTATATGAAGTAAAATTTAATTTTAAATAACTATAATTTAGTTATTACTTGGATACTCAATTAAAAGATATAAGTCTATATGATATGACTAATTATCCTTTTACAATAAATAGTAATTTAGAATATCATTTGATATAACCATAGAAATTAATAGGGAAGAGAGATGTTTATGATGAATGGGTAATCAGATTTAGATTTAGTGGATATGATGAAATCATTATAGCCAATTAAGAAAGAGTTAATACATTCTTATTGATTGAAATTAATCCAATTTTTGCTATCTATCAACATTAACCTTTAATGAGATAGATTGATTATATTATAAATTAAATAGTTACTTTAATAAGAGAACCTGAGGCATTGACTATGAATACAGAGTATATTGAATAAAAAAGAAAGAAGAATACAAATTTAAAAGTCAAAAGAGTTTGGGGAGACATAGATTTAATTTAATCAAAATTTATTTGTCCAACTTTTATTGATTTAAGAATTGTACTTAATAAACCATTAATAATTATAAAAGGATGGCCTCATTTTTCAGAATATTTTTAATTGGATTGTGATGTTTTGGATATCTATAATAAATAATATATAGATATGAGTAGATTATTATAAAAAGGAGGTATTTCATTAATAGAATCAAAGGAATAATGGATGCCTGATGGTAGAATAACTGAATCCTGGAGTGAAGCTTATTGTATAGAAGGACATAATATGTAAATTTAATATTATGAAAATGGGATCAATTAAATCAGTTCTTTATTTGAATACAATTTATCCTTTGAAAGAGTTTTATATTATTATGAAATAAATGAATTATATAATAATGTATAAATGGATAGAAGTATTAAAATTAGATCCTGTATGTCATCATTAATATTAAAATTATATAGAAAAGAATATTTAGAAATATGTAAAATGATATTTCATAATTTTACAAATGATGATTTCAAAGATAAATTATATATTCATGATTTTGAAGTTGTTCGTTAATTTGAACCAGCTCCAATATTATTTTGGTTAGATTTTGAAGATATCTCAATATTTGCATTGAGTAAGAAATCTGAATAACCATTGATATAAGTAAATATGAAACAAATGAGATTAGAATGGTTAAAAGATACTAATATTGATTTAAATTTATTTAGTAAATTAATCAATATGTATAATTATGATGAATTCAATAATGAATTTGAATTTTTAGGAGAATTGAATTTAAATCCAGATTAATAAAAGTTATTTTAAGTTAATCAATTAATTAAAGGATATAAATCCACAAAATAAAAAGAGGAATTTAAAAAGTATAATTTTGATTAAGAATTTAATAAAGATTAATCCTAATTTTAAATGTTATTTCATATTTAAAAACCTAGTTCTGATAAGGAATGTCATATAGTTTTAAGAAATATCAGAATGATAGTAGAACCTACAGTTTTTATTAATGTAGGTTTATGGAGTAGATTAGAATAATAGTGTTGGCCTTTTTAAACAGAATTTGGAGAAATGCCAAGTATTGCAATAATTGTTGAAATCTTAAATTCTAGTTTATGTTTATAAGGATTGGATAAAACTTATATACTTGGAACAAAGGGAGATATTTCATATGTTTGGAATAGGAGTAGATTTTTACATCCAGAAGATATCATTATGAATTTGAAAAAGAATTAATTAGATAAAAATTTAGTGGATGTTATTGGAGATGCTTTTGAACATAAAGTAAATCTGAAAAATCTGGAATTATTTAAATGTAAATTTGTAGATTATATAAATAATGATCTCAAATAAATTAGAAAAAGACATATCATATTGCCATTTTCATTATTTTTAAGTCTAAAAAATGAATTATAAGTTGAATATAATAAATAGTTCATCTATTACAATAATAAGTTTTCATTTTATATTGATAAAACTATATGTAAATTTTCATATTAAGATTTACTATTAATAATGAGTATTTCAGATAAATTGAAATCCAGCAAATAAGTAGTTATTCGTGAACCTATATATTAATAAGAAGAGATTATCAATTAAGAATAACCTATCAATAATTTATATGATGTAATAATTTATGGATTATAAATTGTTGTAATAAATGATGCAGGTGAAGCATATGTTCCAGTTTTTGATTTGACATTATCAGAGACTCAATTATAATGTTAAAAAATTAATTCAAAATCAATAATTTCTACTATTATTAAATTAAGTAGTTCATTCTACAATCCAAAAATTGCTATTTGGGAACCTATTTTGGAAAGTTGTAATTTTTCAATTGATGTTTCTTTAAATCCTAAAGGAGAACCTTAATGTATAATTTTTTTAGAAATGATTTAAGAATAAGAAACTTTAAATATCAACTTATCTGCTTAGATGATTAGTGTATTTCATAAGACATTTATATCTTGGAAATAGGAAATGTAAGAAAATAAAAAGGAGAAATAAGTTTCTTTGGAATAATCTGAAAAATAAATGGAGAAATCCATAAGTATTTAATTAAATAAATAAAGTATGTAAGAAGAAAAATCAAAGATAAATGAATAAATAATTTAAAATAATAGAGATGATAATATTGTTTATGTTTCTCCTTACACCATTAGAAATGAAACTGGATTTGTACTTGAAGTCAGTGATTCTACAAATATAAATAGGATGTATAGATTATAATCTAATTAATCTATTAATTATGAGATTGATGCTGATTTTGATTAAATTTTTGGAAGAGAAAGAGAAGATTTGCAATAATAATAACAAAGATTAGTAAACATTAATGTTATTCATAATCAATATGAGTTTGAACCAATAAAATCTATAGATCTAGATTGTATTAAGGTAACCAGATGTCCAATTAGACCATTAAATAAATATACTGATAAAACTTTTATGTTATTCATAGAAGTAGTTCCAAAAGATACTAGAAAATTACTATTAATTTCTTCTGAAACAATAATTTTTAATCAAACAGATATGATTATTGATTTATAATTATTTGATATGCCAGGTATCCAAGAATAAAATATTTACTAAATTTAAATTGATCCTTATAGAGCATTTAGTTTACCTATTGATAGAACTAGATAATATTTCAATTTTAAATTTAAAGATCATATTCAATATTGCAATTATATTAATTTAAGATACTTATAAGATAATTTTGATAAAAAATATGAATAATAACATAATGATTATTATACAATTATTAGATCTTCTAAAAGAAATGTAAATTAAACTATAATTTATTTGGAATCTCCATTTTAAATTAAAAATTGTTTGCCAATGCCCATTTCATATGAATTGTATGGTGATTCTGAGCAAGATTTATCAAATGATGCTATCATAATATACTAACAATAAATTGACTATGAATAATCAAATCTAACTAATGTTACACTTAAACATCTAGATAAATATTAATATGAACATCTATAATAGAAAGAGAAGGGACAAATGATTAAATAGGAATAAAAGTTAATACATACTATTTCAACTAAAGGTAGACTGGCAATTACAGTCAAATTACCATTTTTTTAGAACTCAGGAATACATATGTTATATCATGCTAAATTTGGTCCATTTCAAGTTGATAATATTCAATTATGTGACTATTTTGGAAATACAAATGGATATGTATTAATAGATTAAATCAAAAATGTATTTTATATTTACTGTCAATAAATGATTGTAAATGAATTACCCTTTAAAATTTATTGTTATGGAATGACAGATATAAAGAAAGGTAACCCAAATCTTATTGCTGGTTAACCTATAAAAGATTTGGAATAAAATGATATAACCGATATTCATAATATTACTCTATTTAATGATTAATAATACTTATCGTTTTCCATAAGTGAAAACTCTGCTTAGCTTTCGGAAACTTTAAATTTGAATTATACAGGAAATCAAACAGTTCGTATTTAAAATGACTAAAATTAAATTGTAGAAGTAGGCTATAATATTTCTTTAATGTGTGTGGATAAATAAAAACCTTTAGTTACTAAGGTATTAACTATTTCTCCAAGGTTTGTAATAGTTAATCAAACTCAAAAGACTATTCATGTATTGCAAGAATCAAGTCATTAATATTTGGAAATATAGTCGATGGATAGAAAACCATTAATATGGTATTCTGTGAGATATTAATACATTTCAATTCATTATTAAGATGAAAATATTGAATGGCAACCTACTAATCCAATAGATCCAAATGGTAATGGATTTTAATGTTTTACTATTAGAGCTGTAAGGAATTAATAAATTATCAAACATTTTAATTGTGTAACAAAAAGAGACAATTAAATAATATATTTAATTATTTTAGAATGTAAATCAATTGTTACATAAAATACAATATATGATTAATCATAAAGAAATTCTATTATTTAATAATAATAATCATAAATATTCAATATCAATTAAGTAGATCCTCCTTATGTTATAGTTAATAATTTGCAATTAGTAACATTGATTTGTTATTAATATTGTTGTTCAGATGAAAAGTATAGTCATCGTTATTAATTCAATGAATACAAGTTGTATATAAATAATAACTAATAATGTGCATTTTCTTGGGAATACCCTTGTGAAAGAAGAGATTTAGTGATACAACTCTAATTTGAAGGTGAATTACAAACACATTATAGAGTAAATCCAATATTTATTAATCTTGAAGAAGCAGAGGCAGTTCAAGAGTATGTCATTTAAAGTTTATTAAGTGAATCAAAACAATATAAATTTTATATTATTTCACTTTGGGAAGGTGCTAGTAGAAAATTAAAGTTTTAATAAGAAATGTAGAATTAATAGAATTAACATGACACAAATATTCTAAAATTAGATATCAATTTAAATTAAGTAGGTATATCTTTAATAGATTAATGTTATTCAAAAAGAGTAGAGTTAATTTATATATATTTTTAAGGACTTGAATTTAATTTATTATAAACAACATAAAGTAAGAGATCTGAATTTAAAGTGAAATATATCAATATTGATAATAATACATCTAGTAAGACTATGTTCCCTGTTATTTTTACTCCTACTAAATAAAAGGAAATTTTTGAATTTAATAAATCTCATTTGTCTCTTATACTTGAACAATCTACTTAAGTTAAGTCTATTTCATTAATTAAAAACATTACTGCCTGTTTATAACCTACAACTATAAGATTGACATCTGAAATGCTAGAAATACTTTATTCTGTTTATAAATCGATTGCATTATCTTTCATATCTAATATGAAAGCTGAAGATTAATTGAGATAGTTTGACTTTGAATATGCAATTAGTTAAGAAGAATAGTAGATAATGTTATAAACAAATAATTTAACATTATCTAATAAGGTTTAAAATAAATATGGAGTTGGATCTAATGAAGTATAAAACAAGATAGAATGGTTGGAGTTAAAGATTGAGTTGAATGATTAATAAGCAACATATATTAACAAGATTGAGATTTGTCCTTTAAACTTTAATTTGACTTTTTATAGCAGTGCAAAGTCAAATTTGTAATATAATATGTTGATGTAGATACTAAAAACTATTGGTATAGTTATAGGGAATATAGATGAAGCTCCATTAATATTAGCTGGTATTATTTTAGAGAATTCATTTGATACATCTAATGCCATTATTACAAAGGTAACTACTCATTATAAAGACATGCTTGTTAATCTCATTTTTAAATTGATTGGTTCTATAGAAATATTTGGTAATCCAGTTGGATTAGTTAAACATTTAGCAAAAGGAATTTATGATCTATTTGACAAACCAATTGAAGCATTTATTAAAGGACCAATAGAAGGTGGTATAGGTATAGTTAAAGGAGCAGGAAGTTTAGTATAGAACACAGTAAGTGGAGTATCTAATTCAACAAGTAAGATTGCTGGAAGTATAAGTGGTGGTTTGGCATATATAAGTTTAGATAAACAATATAAAAAGTAGAGAGAATAATTGAGAGTTGTTAAACCTAATTAAATAATATCTGGAATTTATTTAGGAGGAAGATTGTTATATGTATCACTAAACAGAGCTGTTGTTGGAGTATTTGATTTACCTGTTAAATAAGCAAAGAGAAAAGGAATGAAGGGATTAACTATTGGAATTCTTGAAGGTACAGCTGGATTCTTTATTAAACCATTTGCTGGAGCATTTGATTTTGTAAGTAAAACAACTGATGGATTTAAAGCAACTGCTTAATATTGGGATGATAAAGCTAATGATAAAAGAATAAGAGATATAAGGGTAATATATTAGTAGGAATAATTTTATAAAAATTATAATGCTAAAGATGCTAAAATAATGTAATTCTTAATCAATATAGATAATAAATTGGAAGATTATTATTATTATGATAGCTTTGAATATTAATGTGGGAATACATAATTAGTTTTTGTTTTGATGTATTAATAATTCTTTAATTGTGACAAAAAGAAAAAATGTTTCATTTGGTAAATCGATCCAAGTAGTGTTAAGGATATTTAAATAATGAATGATGGTGTTTTGTTTTTGTTAAAGGAATACAATGAAAAATATAAAGTAATATATTGTAAGTTATTCAATAGGCTTAACAAGTGCAACTGCATATGACATAGTAAAAGTAGATGGAATAAGTGATATTAAAATCTTAATGGCTCTTGAATAATATTTGATATTAATTATTTTTAACTTTCTTTCATGCCAAATCTATAATCTTTAAGCAACGCTTTCAAAAAGTTTAATGTATACACTAGACCTGTCAGTTTATTACTTTTAAAAGAATAAGGACATAGAACATATTTAGGAGTTTTTCTCACAACCATTCTTGTGAGTCTTGTGATTCTGGTTTATTATAGTGGACTGGTTTCACTTATAGTAAGAAATAATCCCAGTGTTATCACATATACATAATATTAGGAGCATTAAAATGCATTTTATTTAACTCCTTAAAATTTCAGCATTGCCATTGCTTAAAAAGGATATGATCTTTTGGACTCTTATATTCTAGAGGGAGCACTTGGAGGTGTAGATAGGTATTAACATTAATAATTATTTATAGTACAATCTTTCAAGAAATCCCATTAACAAAATGCATCGATTTCTAATTTAGTGATCCTTCTTTGAATGCTTACTTCGATAAGTCGGATCAAATCTGGTATTGTTTAGATTGGAGTTCCATTGGTTAAATTGCCATAGAAGGTGGTTTAGAATCCTCTAAAGATAAATCATTATAAATCATAGTTAAATAATGCACTTCAATGTATATAATTAAATTATTCTTAGTACCTAATGTACATATCCAAATATATTAGATAGTGATTAATTCCTATTTAAAATGACATCAGCCAATACAGATATATCTAATTTTAAAACACCAGCATACTTAATTGGTAAAACATTCAGTCTTACATCTCTGACAAACTTTGCCAAAAAATTGAATATCATTCTCTAACCATAATAAACATAAACTGATAATGGATACATCATTCAAGATTAATATTAGGAAACAATTCTTTCTATTTCTAACTATTTTGAAACTATTCTAGATAAAGATGATGATAAACATATCTTTGAAATCAATATTTCACTTGATCAAAAAACTTTGATTACTTAACGATCATATCCTAGAGTCTATTAATTCTTAGGAGATATAGGAGGTTTTTGGGAAATCATCTTTCTTTGTTCCCTATTGTTCATTATGCCATTCAATAATTTATCATATAGAGTGGCTTTATTAAATGAACTATTCAATTTTGAATTAGATTATGATAATAAAATACATCCTGAACATAGAGGTAGTTCAAAAGTTAAAGAAATATTAAATAAATCAGTTTAACTTGAAAAATTTAATAGAATGTCAAAAGTGGCAGAACATGATGAATAATAAAAATCTAAATTATTAGATTAAATATCTAATGATATTACTTAATTTTTCTAAGAATAAGAAAGTAAATTAGATTTAAAATTATTTGATTATTTTGGTTGTTGTTAATGTAAAAAAGGTGGAAAAAGAGATTTAATTAATTTCTCTATGAGTAAAATTACCCATACTCTAGATATTACTTATATAATTAAAAAACTTTAAGAAATTGATAAATTAAAATTGATATTATTAAATTCAGATTAAATCAAACTTTTTGATTATTTACCTAAACCTAAATTGGGATTACATATGAAACCAAGTGAAAATGAATATTGTTCTATTTTAAAACCAGAATAATCTGATTTAGATAAAGCATTAGAAGCTTAAAAAGCCTTTCAAGCTTTACAAGATTAAGAAGATGATATCACACCTAAATTAGTAAAACTTTTAGATGATGATCTTGTATCCTTATTTAAATTATAACTAAATAAAGGTGTAAATCGTTTCGTTAAAAAACCAGCTTAATTAGCTGATGCAGTTTAATAATTAATGATAATGAATGCAAAGGAAAAGGAAAATTAGAAGGATAAAAAGAAAGAAAAGGAGAAAAAGAAGAAAAAAAAGAAATAAGATGAATCTAGTGACTCAGAAAATTCTGCATCCTCTGGGTCTGATAAGGAATGATAAAGCTATATATATATATTATCATATTTAATAATCTTTTCATAGACATTAGATAAAATATAAGTACTTTAAATAAAATAATAATACTATATCTAAACAAAACTGATAGTAAAGGAAAAAATTAAATCATGAATTTAAAATTATATGGAAATATAATAACAAATTTCTATATTTACTGTTCTGTTAATTAATAATATAATAATAGAATTTTTAAATAAATTTAAATGTATTTTAACATAAATTGATTATTATATAAAATAAAGAATATGTTTTAACCAAAACAAGATGAAAGGTATCCCCTTTCTACTGCATGTTAAATATTAAGTGCGACAGCAGGTTTTACTACAGGGATGACAACAGGATTTTTTTTAGGAGAAATAATATGTTAAACAACAGGGGTTATAGTAGCAAGTACAACAGGAAGCATATTAGGATTTATTGTGAATTAAAAAACTTAGATTGGTTTCTCATCTTTAATTTGAAAAAAACTATTTTGTAACTAATGTTAGTTTCTAATGGTTTGAATATTTGATAAAAAAAAAGAATTAATTTAGTTTTTTATTTGATATATATATATTATAAAATCTAAATTTATTTTATGCTTGACATATACTACTGGATTAGTAGAAGAAAGTATTAAAAAATTATGTGGAAAAAATGATTCAAATATAAGAGAAGTGAGTTTATTTTTTGCCTAGATGGGTTTATATGAGTGGATGTTTGGATCATGGGGTGGACTTTTCGGGAACTCATTGAGAAGATAGCTTATATATTGCTTATTGTATACAACAGGATTAAAAGATATAAATAGAGAAAATGAAAATGAAAAAGATTAATAACTTTTATAAATAGTTGAATAATAAGAGGATGAAGATTAAGATGAAGAATTTGAGATTATAGAAATAGAAAATAATAAATAGGAAGAAGAAATAGATAAAATAATATAATAAGATTGATACATATTAGTATTACTAATTTATATTTTTCATTGTAAAATTTCTTTAAGTATATTTTTTATCAACTTATTGCATTCTTCTAATAGATTATCATAAGATTCAAATTATTATTTATCCTATCTTACATTAGGGAATAGTTCTACAATTTCACTAATTTTTTTAGTTAATCTTTCTATTTTATTAACAATTATGTCATTTTAATAGAGTTATTCATTTTCAATAATATTATTAATTAAATCTTAAATTTCTTTGTTCTAAAGAGATACTTATGATGATTTTGTTTTGTGTTGTAAATTTAAATATAAAATAACTAAAAAAGTTTAACTAAAATAATTAATATGATTTATTACATTTAATCTAAATGCATAATCTTGGTTTATAATAATTACCAAAACTCTTTTAATTATTCATCTTTATTATGTGATATCAACCAAGATGATTCATATAATTTCTTAATTTTTTATAAATATCCTTATTCAAGAATTAATTGTGGATCAACATTTTACATTATTTGAATAAAATATTCTTATTCTCCAAGAAATTTAATAAAAATATCATTTTTAGGTAATTACTTTTTAATATCATTAAGGTAAATTTAAAATTTCTCCTTTCTTTCATTCAAAATCTATCTATTCTCTTAAACATAACTCCTTAAATAATTATATCCAGATTCCTTAGGAGGTAATGATTTTTATATAATTTCAGGATTATTTTTAAATAAATATTCTGAGAGTAATTAAAAATCTCCATATCTTCTTAATACAGTAATGTTCCCAGATTTGATTGGGTAATAATAATGTGAATTTTAATAAATAGGATCATCAACTAAAATAACTTATGAAATTTCTTATTATTGCTCTGATAATAGATTAAAGATTTCTTTATTTGATGAATTATGTTAGAATATATCTTTCATTCGATTATTAATCATGGCTTCAATTTTTTGAGCTAAATAGTTATTTAAATAGAATATACAATCAAGAAGGTTATCCATATGAAATACTATTAATTTANTAGGAAGAAGAAATAGATAAAATAATATAATAAGATTGATACATATTAGTATTACTAATTTATATTTTTCATTGTAAAATTTCTTTAAGTATATTTTTTATCAACTTATTGCATTCTTCTAATAGATTATCATAAGATTCAAATTATTATTTATCCTATCTTACATTAGGGAATAGTTCTACAATTTCACTAATTTTTTTAGTTAATCTTTCTATTTTATTAACAATTATGTCATTTTAATAGAGTTATTCATTTTCAATAATATTATTAATTAAATCTTAAATTTCTTTGTTCTAAAGAGATACTTATGATGATTTTGTTTTGTGTTGTAAATTTAAATATAAAATAACTAAAAAAGTTTAACTAAAATAATTAATATGATTTATTACATTTAATCTAAATGCATAATCTTGGTTTATAATAATTACCAAAACTCTTTTAATTATTCATCTTTATTATGTGATATCAACCAAGATGATTCATATAATTTCTTAATTTTTTATAAATATCCTTATTCAAGAATTAATTGTGGATCAACATTTTACATTATTTGAATAAAATATTCTTATTCTCCAAGAAATTTAATAAAAATATCATTTTTAGGTAATTACTTTTTAATATCATTAAGGTAAATTTAAAATTTCTCCTTTCTTTCATTCAAAATCTATCTATTCTCTTAAACATAACTCCTTAAATAATTATATCCAGATTCCTTAGGAGGTAATGATTTTTATATAATTTCAGGATTATTTTTAAATAAATATTCTGAGAGTAATTAAAAATCTCCATATCTTCTTAATACAGTAATGTTCCCAGATTTGATTGGGTAATAATAATGTGAATTTTAATAAATAGGATCATCAACTAAAATAACTTATGAAATTTCTTATTATTGCTCTGATAATAGATTAAAGATTTCTTTATTTGATGAATTATGTTAGAATATATCTTTCATTCGATTATTAATCATGGCTTCAATTTTTTGAGCTAAATAGTTATTTAAATAGAATATACAATCAAGAAGGTTATCCATATGAAATACTATTAATTTATATATATATATATATATATATATATATATTTATAATAAGGTAAAAATATTTCATTAAGATTTAGCACAGCATTGATTATTTTTAATTGCTGTTGGTTATTAGAATTATTTAAGTCCATTTTAATCTAAATGAACAGGTTTTCTGTTGGATGCCACTGTTTACTGTTCAAATTATGATTAATTTACTATAAAATAATTGAAATAAGTATACCTTATGATTATGTTATAAGAAGAGAATGGTCTGTGGGTAATGCTAAACAAATTTATTCCATAGCTTCTTCAATTCCTTTACCTGTTTTAGCACTCACCTCATAATAGAGAATATCTTTTTTCATAGCATATTCTCTTGCTTCATCTATAGTAACAACTCTTTCTGAATCTATTTTATTTCCTAGAATGACAATTAAAGCTTCATTGCCTCTTGTTTATTTAACTTCTTTGAACCATCTATCCAAACTTTCAAAAGAATGTCTAGCTAAGAATATAAAAATAAATTACATGTTACATCAAATACAATAACAGCACATTAAGCATCTCTAACATATCCAGGAATTAATGAATGAAATCTTTCTTGTCCTGCAGTATCCCATAATAATAAACGCATAGTTTTACCATCAATAATCATATTTTTACTAATGAAATCTATTCCAACAGTAGCTTGAGATTTTGGATCAAAAGTATTTTAAACAAATCGTTCAATTATACTAGTTTTACCAACAAATGAATTTCCTAAAAAGACTAACTTTTGTTTTTATCTTGCTTCTGATTACATTATATATATAATTAATTTTAGTATTAAATTTTGAAATAAAATAAATCAAAATTATATTATAATAAATGTATTATTATTTTAAATTAAATATAAGGTGAAGCTATTATCACAAGATTCTTAATTCATTATATTGATTCCAAATGTAAGATTTTACATTTTCAAATATATCACCAATTTTTCTTAGTTTCATGAAATAAAATTCATTAATTAGTACAAGTTCATAAAGATATTTATATTATTCAGTGTTCATTAATTCATGTTCAGTCATATTACAAAAAACACATACAATCTAAATATTTTAATAAGTATTACCTATAATATTAAATTGATTGATATAATATATATACCAAATATCATCCCATAATATGCTAGTAATTCTATAGTACTAATATTTGAAAACACAGGTAAGAAATATAATAAAGTTATACTGATTTGATTATCAGATAATGTATAAAATGTTGCATAAACATTAGTTATAAAGGTTATAAAGTATGATAATAATAAAATGACATAAAAAAAATGATTTGTATTATTTATGCATTTATTCAAATAGATTGAATGAAATTGAAATCCTTTTACCTAAATAAATGAGATTATATTTTACACATTAATTACAATGATCACAATGATACACTTATGCTTTTTAAATGATTTTACATTTAGGACAAGTTCTAGATATATCAAAATTAATAAATTATTCATCTTTTTCAAAATGTAATTTTACTGCTCTCAACAATTCTGATTGATTTTATTAATTATTATTTTCTAAATCATCTTAAATTTCATCTATATTTATTTCTTCTTCTAATATATGATGTCTATGTTAACCATCATTTTTATGATGACATTCATAACTTATTTTAGGATGTCCTAAACTTTTAGATATTTTTTTGCCTTCATCTTGTCTATTAGTAGTTTTAGATAAAAATATTATGCAATAAAATAAACTGTAAAGTGTTAAAATTAAGGATATTAAAGAAATACTATATCCATAAATATCATCATTTTTTAATCTCCAAAAATTACATCCAACAAGAATTCCAATTATTAAATAAATTATACCCATTGTTATATATTATACTAATCTTGTATTATGTTATTTTATAAATTCTTAGTATTTCACATTTTCTACTATTTTTTTTATTGCTTAAGTTTTTAAATCCATTTCTTTATTTGGCATAATATCTGGATATGTCCTAATTAAATATTCAACTGCATCATTTGAATAATTTGAAATAGCTCTCATTAATGGAGTTTTACCTTTAGAATCCAATTAATTATATGTTTTATCACCTTCAAAATATTTTAACATATAGACATCATTTGTATAAGCAGCCCAATGCATAATAGTACATCCAGCATTATCTTTTACATCTGTATTAGCTTATAGAGCAATTAAATAGAGTGCAATTAATTATTAGTTACATTTTATTGCATAAAGCAAAGGAGTAAATTATAAATTATCAATTTCATTAATCTTATTTCCTAATTCTATAAAAAGTTTAACCAATTCTTAGTTTCCAAAATGACAAGCCATCATTAAACAACTTTATTCAATTTATGATTTATTTGAAGGATTTGCACCTTTCAAAAGTAAGTATTTAATAATATCCATTCTTTCAAATGAAATTGCATGATGAATTAATGCATATCCTGTTGAATCTAATTCATCTAAATTTTCAGGTGTATGTAATATTAACAAATTAAAATTTCCAGATTGAATTTCTTATTCAAAAAATATAGGTTATTATTTTATTATGTCTTCTAAATTTTCTTCTACATATTGATGTGGTTGAGGTATCAATTTTGAATCATGAGATTCACTATCAAATTCAAGTTATTCATATTCTCCTATAACATTATCATTCATTTTAATTAATATACTCCTTTACAACTTATAATAATATATAAAAATATTAAAATTTAATATGCGGGGATTTTTGAGCCTTGCTAAGACTATTGTTTATTCATCCTCAATTATTAAACCTACCTAATAGATAAAAATGCAGTTTCGATTGTATAGATATATTCATATGTAAGGGCAAATCAAAAATTGGCATCTTAATTCAAATTATGTTCCACCATTCAAATTTTAAGAATGATCAATTTACAAGGAGTTTGTTCCAATTCATAATTAGAAGAAGCAGATGGTATTTAATAAATCTTGATAATTAGAACAAGATTTGGAATCAACCATTTCCAAACTACTTTCAGTAACCCTAAAAAGCAATACCAAGAAGCATCAATTCATAACTAAATGATATCATATTTGGTTTATATCTAAAATTAAATCAAAATTTAAATTTAACTACTTTTTACTATATTCTAAGATTTATATCTCAAATATTAGATATTTCATAATATATAAGATTTATAAGTTTTTAAAATAAAATAAATAGTTTTGAGCATTATATTCACAAATTTTTGAATCCACTTGATGCCTTTTATTCATTCTAAGGGTGATGTCTAATTTAATAGATAAAATGTACATTTCTATATTCTATTTTTTTAATGTATTATATCTAGTAAATAAAGTATCAACAGCATCATCATCCTGAGATATGTAATCTTATTTCGAGTCACATTCATTTACCATCTGACTTAATTAATAAGTATTTTCTATTGACTTATTAAAATCATCTGGTTTTAATAACTATATTTATGAAGTATTTTAAAATGATTTCTTTCTTTCCTATAAAATATCCTATGTAGAAGGTACTTTCAATGAATGACTATCATTATTTATTTCATAATTTACCATTTATTTTATTTTGAAAAAGGAGTTCTTTCAAACTATTATAAAGAAGCAACCTATATAATCTAGTTTTCTTATTTTTGATTAATACTATTTAAGTTATTATTCTAAACTGTCCAATCATAAACATCATCATAATCTATTTTCCTAGACTAAGCTAATTTCCTAAATAACTAAATCAAAAAATCATAATCAGGATCACTTTAATATTACAAGGATCTTATATAACTATGTTATTATATAAATATATATATATACTCTAAGGCTTTTGCAAATTCTATAGGTAAGTCTACACAAATTTCTTAAGGTGTCATCTTAATTTTCTTTTCACCTACTTATTTTTGTCTTTCCTTATTATTCTAACCTAACATGTTTTACCATGGCAAAGATCTAAATTCTAAGTTAACCATTTAAATATACCCTTTTAGCATGAGAATATCAATATAAATTATTGATTCCAAATCATCTTTCCTTCCTATTTCATATCCCTTATGAGCTGCTATAGAAGCATACCTTGTTGTACCCACAAAAGATCTTCCATCTTTAAAAGGACTAATATCAAATCAATCTAAATTATTTACACATGCTTTAAGTTATTATCTCTATATAATTTGCTAATCCCATAATCCACGATATATATTTGTTTAGAATGGTACATTATATTTTCTGGTTTCAAGTCTCTATGCACTACTGATTTGTTATGAATTCTTCTTATAACTTATAATAAGTAATCAGTTATTATTAACACTGATTTTAGTGAAAACTTTCTATATTCTTTTAGATAAGCCCCAATATCTTTACTCAATAACTATTACACTAAAACATTTGAATTATTGTCAGTTCCACTCCAGATTAATTTAGGAACTCCTTAAGTGCCTTATAATCTTGTTAAAATATGTATTTCTCTATCCAAAGTTGAATTCTTTTCTTTTTTCTCTATTTTCACAGCAACCATTTGATTTTTAATAATGTCCTCTGCTTCAAATACTACTCCATATGACCCTGCTGATAATTTTTTCTTTAAACGGAATTAATTATTAATCACCCTATTTGGACTGCTGGGAGAATTCATATTTTTAATTAATTAAAAAAAATACAAATTCAACTTTAAAACTTTTTCTAAGTATATCTAATGAATTCACATATAAATATTAGTTAATTCAAATTATTAATAAATCTAGGGATTTCTAATAATTTTTAACTTTTTCAAAACTTACATCAAACCCCATATAATCCTATCAATTTTCTAAATAAAATCAAGAATTTTCAACATTTATCTCTATTATTTATAATTAATGAAGATTACACTTATATTACACATTAAAATTGTTAATTACTACTTCAATGAATGTATTTTTTTTAATTTATAACGATAATTAATATATATATAATTATATACAGATTAAATTTGTAATCATTAACAATTGACTATAAGTGATAAATCACATTTAATCTAAATTATTTTTTTTCATATTTTGATAAGTCAAAAATAAAAAGGATCTTATTCTGTTACTTAAATCAAATAAATATTTAGATAATCCTTTTCTTTTTCTTTCTAATCAATTAATAAATATTCTTAAATCTCTTTTAAACATAAGTAGAAATAATATAAAAAAATTGAAATTCTACTAATATATTGTTTTAGCAAAAAAGCATATTTAAATGAAAAGTAATGATTACTTTTAAATGTTTATATATCTTAATAACAATATTAATTAGAATTATTCATAATTTATAGATGCTATTTTAGGTTTTTAAATCCAATGACGGGTAATTAATAAATTAAATTTCTTTTTCTCATATATAATTATATTTGAATAGGTTAATAACAGATGAAGGTTAAAGCTTATTTTCTAATCACCATAAAATATCAATTATGATCAAAGAAAAGCATTTAAATTAAATGAGAATGCGTAATATAATAATTTACACACATATATTTATATGAATTAAACTCAAAGTGAGAAGATTATTCAGGCTTGACTTTAAATGTGCATTCTCATTTATTGAGATTCAAGCATGGTCTAATTTAAGAAAAAGCATTTGCTCATTGGATTTTGAGCATTTAATCTACATCTTTCTAATTATATATTCCATTCACTTTGTTTTAAAGTTATTTATGGTTTTGGTATTCTAAGTAAATTGGAACTATTCATTTAGTATGATTTTATTTTTTTTTTATTTTTTATTTTTTTTTTTGAAATTAATCATATTATTTATTTCCTTTTATATTATAATTTATCTAATAGAACAAAATAATGTTAAGCTGCTATTTTTCCTTTAATTATTTATTGTTTTAAATTTCAATATAATTTACAGCACTCAAATTCCATAAGGTTATCTATTAGATTTATTTAGTATTTATAAAATTAATCTATAATCTTATAATTTTTCAACAATTATCAAGGCCGACTTTAATATAAGTTGAGATTACGATAATTAATATAATATCTCTTAAGAATAAGAATTTAAAGCATTAAACTTTTGTGTACTCTGAAAAATATTTTAAGGTTATTTTATATTAAATATATATTTAATAATTTCTTTATCAAACTCTACTACCAAAAATAGAGCTTAAAGGTCTACCAAATTGACTGTGTTCTTATTCTGCATCAGCATAAGGATCCTCAATACCTTTTTCTTTTAGAATTTTTCTAAAATTTTTTATCATTGATTCATTGGCTTGTAATTAATTAAGTGCAATTTGCAATTAATTTTATAATTCTACATTCTTTTGGAATTCAAATGGTTATAATTTTTATTTATCGAAATTGGGACCTCTTAGAATCTTACCCATTTTATTATTCTTTTATGGGAGTGATTATAATCTAGCTTAAGCACTTCCTTATTTATTAATATTCAAAGCTTAAGGTAATATAGGTTACTATGATTATTANTTACCATAAAATATCAATTATGATCAAAGAAAAGCATTTAAATTAAATGAGAATGCGTAATATAATAATTTACACACATATATTTATATGAATTAAACTCAAAGTGAGAAGATTATTCAGGCTTGACTTTAAATGTGCATTCTCATTTATTGAGATTCAAGCATGGTCTAATTTAAGAAAAAGCATTTGCTCATTGGATTTTGAGCATTTAATCTACATCTTTCTAATTATATATTCCATTCACTTTGTTTTAAAGTTATTTATGGTTTTGGTATTCTAAGTAAATTGGAACTATTCATTTAGTATGATTTTATTTTTTTTTTATTTTTTATTTTTTTTTTTGAAATTAATCATATTATTTATTTCCTTTTATATTATAATTTATCTAATAGAACAAAATAATGTTAAGCTGCTATTTTTCCTTTAATTATTTATTGTTTTAAATTTCAATATAATTTACAGCACTCAAATTCCATAAGGTTATCTATTAGATTTATTTAGTATTTATAAAATTAATCTATAATCTTATAATTTTTCAACAATTATCAAGGCCGACTTTAATATAAGTTGAGATTACGATAATTAATATAATATCTCTTAAGAATAAGAATTTAAAGCATTAAACTTTTGTGTACTCTGAAAAATATTTTAAGGTTATTTTATATTAAATATATATTTAATAATTTCTTTATCAAACTCTACTACCAAAAATAGAGCTTAAAGGTCTACCAAATTGACTGTGTTCTTATTCTGCATCAGCATAAGGATCCTCAATACCTTTTTCTTTTAGAATTTTTCTAAAATTTTTTATCATTGATTCATTGGCTTGTAATTAATTAAGTGCAATTTGCAATTAATTTTATAATTCTACATTCTTTTGGAATTCAAATGGTTATAATTTTTATTTATCGAAATTGGGACCTCTTAGAATCTTACCCATTTTATTATTCTTTTATGGGAGTGATTATAATCTAGCTTAAGCACTTCCTTATTTATTAATATTCAAAGCTTAAGGTAATATAGGTTACTATGATTATTACATTACATCTTCGTTCATCATCTCAACATTTTACTAAAAATATTTAAAAATATAAATACTTCTCCAATATTTTTACCAAGCTTAGTTTATAAGACTTTAATTTCTTATTTAAATTTTTCATTTTCTTTTTTATATTTATCATTTTCAATTTTTAAATTTGATTTTTCTGTTTCATAATCTTTACATTATTTTCTAATTTCATTTAATTCATGTATTAATTATTAATTCTCACTAGTTCTTTTATAGATTTCTTTTTCTCTTCTAACCATCATTTTTTCTGTACTTGAATTAATTTAAATGGCACTCTTTTCTAAATGATTAATATGTCTATTCATTTCTTCAATAGAACGAGGATCATTAGAACTTTATTTAATTTCTTATTAAAGGACATATCTTTAATATAATTTAGTCATTTCCTTTTTCCATTCCTAAAATAATTAAATTATATTACTTTATCATCAATATAATGTACACAATTATGAATATCTCTAGTAATATTTTATATAATATTTTCTTTCTTTTTAGTAGTTTAAATTTATAAATTTAAATCATGAGTAAGAGCATTAGTTTTACTAGTTTCTTCATTAATTTTAGAATTTAATTCACTATTAATTTTTAATTATTTTGCAAATTCACTTTCTAATCTAAATAATTCTTCTTTTAATTTTTCAATTTAAGCTTCCTTAGGTTCTAATGATTTTTTCATTTCTGTAGTTCTAAATGATAAAACATGTTTAGATTTTTGTAAAACATTAATTTTATCTTTGTATTCAGATATCTTTTTATCTTTTTTCTTCAATTAATCATCCTTATCTTCTAAATCCTTACATTAAACATCTATTTTAGTCTCAGCTTCCTTTAGGTTTTTCTCTAATAACTAATAAGCTTATTCCTTCTCTTATAATCTTTTATCTAATTTTTCATTTTCTAATCTTAATTCTTATACTAATTTCTACTCTTATTTAAACTTTGAGTCTTTTTCAGCTAATAAACATTTAAGTCTATCAATTTCTTTTTTCTATCTATCATTTAAATCTTTAATTTCAAATTCATGATCTTCTTCTTATTATGCTAAGATCTCTTCATATGTTGCTTTTAATTAGTCTGCTTGATTTTAATTATTCTCTAAAGCCTTAGCTGTAATTTAGAAATTCTTATAAAACTTTTCTTTTAATTCTTCAATATAAGAAGTATGTTTAGATTCAAATTCTTTTGCTTAAGCTTAATTTCTTCTTCTTTCTTCCATTAAATCCTATTCTAATTAGAGATATTTTTCATTTTCAAATGCTAATTTTCTTTCATATAAATTTTCTAATTCTTCAACAGCTTTTAAATGATTATTTTCTACATTTTTAAATAAATTAGCAGATTCTTTTTCTGCAGCTGACTTTTAAGCCTTTAACTAATCATAACGTGCAGCCCAAGCAGCTATTTCATTATTCATTTATTTTTCAATTTCTAATTTTTCCTTTTCAACTTTTCTTTTCTCTTCTTATACTTTAAAATCTGTTTTCTAATCAAGATCCTATAAATCATTATGTAATTTCTTCATTTCAGCAATATAAGTTTCAATTTCATTTCTAGAGACTAATAAAACATCAGCTAAATTTTCATCAACAACTCCAGCCTTAGGATTAATTTTATCAATATCATCCATCTATTCTTTAGCTTCAGCTCCTGTTTTAGAAGCATAAATCTAACCATCATTCGAAATTTCAGAGACTTAATATATAAATAGTACTCCATCAGTTCCAGTTGAGAATACATATCTACCATCTGGACTACATTTAATTCTAGTAATTTCTCCTTAATGAACAGGCATAGTTTCAAAAGCCATTTGATTAAATATATAGGAATATATTTTTATTTATCCATTTTCTGTACCTCCTATAATTCCAAATTGATTATATAATGATTAAATGTAAGCTAATTATGTTAATTTTTATTAACCAAGATCATGAAAATGATGATCTTTACCAGTACTTATTCCATTCTAAACAATTCTTTATTCTCTAACTATATATTTTGTATCAATTTTATCTTGCTCTGTTTTATCTTTAATACTTTCAGTTCCTGCAGCTATTAACATACCAATAGGTGGATCATAAATTAATGATGTATATTTATTTGTATTATAAACATAATCTTTTCTTGACCAATCATTGGGATTCCATTCAAATATACTACCATCTAATCCACAACTAGCCAAAAATGTATCTTTGATTCCCCATATTAAATCAGTTATTTAATTACTATGACCTTTTAATGTGTGCATGAATTCCATTGTATAAGCATCATAAATATTAATATAATAATGATTGCTTTTAGCTCTTGGATATGCAACTGCTAACATATGACCTCCTTGACTAAATTTCACTTAAGTGCAACATTTTACAGCCATTTCTTTATAAGCACGTAATTCACTATGCAAAACATGGAAAATACGTAATTTATCTTAAAATCCTGCTGCCAAATAATAACCTGTAGGATGAAAACCTACTGAACATAAAGGTGAAATATCTTAAGTTGTACTCTAATTCTCTTTTGTTCCTAAACCTTATTAATTACCATCATCTCCTAAATAAAATTTACGAGCTAATTCACATCTAGGATAAGCATAATTCCATATTCTAATTGTACTATCATATTTGCTTGCTGTAACTATTAAAGGTCTTTATAAACAAACATCTAAATGTGTAATTGGAGCATTATGAAATCCATTAAATAAAAAATCAAATTTAACTTCTCTCTTTAAGAATTTCTCATTATTTTTATAAGATTCCAATACTTCAGTTGAATTAGGTAATACTTAACCCATTTCTATTGTGCAGATATCATTATTAGAGAATGCTACTGCAACTAAATCTTCTTATTTTGTTATATCCATACTAACAACTTAACTCTTTCTTTCACATCTCCATTTCTTTAAGAATTGTAAATCCATTACAACTTCAATACCATCTTCTGTCTTCTATTTATCATGATCATCACCTCTAATCCAAAGTGCAAAATGACCACTATCAGATCCAACTAAAAATCCTTTTGAAAAAGCAATTAAAGATGAAACTCCAGGTCCTCTAATGTCAGTAAATGCATTATTTATATATTGTCTTACATCATTATCATGTATAATGAAAATTTCAGCTTTATCATTAGCTAATATCACTTTATTCTCTTCAAACCATGCATGATCTGTAAAAGTCTAAATAGGAGCCAATCTCTTAATTTAATCAGTTAATGAAATAAAGGAGTTTTCTTAAACTCTTAATATTTTAAAATAATTTTTTCCACTCACAGCTACCATATGATTATCTTTAGGAGATATTGAAACTCTTGTTAACTCTTATCCTATTGCAGATAAAGCTAAATGCTTCATTCTAATTAGATCTACAAAAATTAATAAATAATCTGGTGGACCTGTTAAACAAAGTAAAAATCTAATTAAGATTCAATATTCATATATTACCTAGAATCTGTATGTGAAAATGCCATACTAATAAATGTTGATGATTTAGTATCTAAATATTTATACGGTTTTTTCTCCGCTTCCATTTTACTAGGATGAGCTTTCAAATTATAAATTACTAGCTAAGGAACTGTTTCATTTTTCATTTTTTCTGCAACTGCTAATGTCCTATTAAAATTAAATAGTGTTTTAAGTACCTCTTGTTTGGAGCAACTGTCATACAGGAAACAATATCTAAGTTATCCGATAATCTGATAAATTGAGTATCAGGTTTATCAATAAACTTTTATGCTATAAATTTACCAACTGGATATAGTAATCTTCTTTATTCATCTAATAACTTAATATTTTCATTCACTACCCTCTATAATGCTTATACTATCTTTAAATTTTGCTGAACATAAACTACCATATGATTATATCACATCTAATTTTAGTCTTCTATCTTCATTTCTTCGTTTCTTATCATCCATTTTAAAAATAATTATTAATATTATAATAATGAAATCACAGATTATTCTAACTTTATTGTTCATTTCAGCTCTAGCAACTGTTGAAAGAGATTCAAATCAAGAAGCACTAGAAGGAGTCTGGTCCTATTTTAATTAAAAAGGCCCATTTACAGTAACTAAATGCGGAACTGACTAAGACCATAAAGATGCCTTTTTATTTACAGGTTATTTCCTTAGAAAAGCAGATATTGCCTAAACATCAGAAATTAATCCATTGATTGCTGAAGGCTAATAGTTCTATAATGTATTAAATTTAATCTAAAAATCTTAGTCTTTACCTTTAGAAACAAGGAATTGTTTTGAAAACAACCAAGAAGTAATTGATCTTGGTAAATTTTTAGGAATTGATAAATATACTGAAGATGATTTATAAAATAAAGTATCTAATTGGGTAGGAACTCATTACTTTGTTTATAAAAGATTAATCAAAAAAGCTGGTAGTGATTGGAACACTTGGGAAGATTATGAATAAACTGGAAGAGATTTAGCTGAATTATTACAAGGAATTTTAACAGATGCTTAAGAATAATGATCATCATAATAATTTACAAAAATAAGTAATATTTATCAATTTAATTCTTCAATAGAATCAAATATAATACTTCATCCACAATAAATTCTTTATTTTAATATTTTAGATACTTTTTTCATAATCTTAATATCTAAAATCTATATAGAATATTTATATTATATTTATAATATTCTCTTTGTATCTATAGAACTTTGATTTACTTGGTCATCTTATTCGAATTCTTTTTTTTTAATTGTATTTAACAAAATAATGAAGCAGACAAATATTGTATTTATATACAACAAAGATATTTTAAATTTAGAAAAATAAATTATTTATTAGATGCATAAATTGTAAGATTCATTATTAATCTTTTTGGTCCTGCTCTCCTTCTTATTTTTCTATTTAAAGCGCTTTTCCAAAAGGGAAAAATTTAGTTTACTTTTCTTGAATACATTTTTTTACATATTTCTCCAAAGAGTTACAATCATTTGGATCTTTATTTTTAATATAAATTATGTAATATAACATATGATATACATTATGTTTCAAGTAAATATGATCATGCCAACCTTATGCACCTCTAAAGAAAAGATAAATAAATGTTTTACATTTGTTCAAATTCATTTTTATCCTGGCTACAAATAAAGCACTTGCCTTCAATATCCTAAACTAAAGCTTATCTTTAAACTCTTAATTAACCAAAAGTATCCAAAATGATACCAAATATCAATTAGATAAAAAGGATATTAAAAATAATGAAAAAAGTAAGATCAAAGAGGTATCTGTCCCAATATAATGTAGAATCCTGATAAACATCGGGATATTTAGTCAAAGATTCCCCTAAACCTCCCCCATTTCTCAATCCAAAATTAATTGTAGATGTAACAGCAAGAATAAATGTATGGCCATAAACACCATTTTCATCATCAAACATCTCTTCAAAATTAGAGAACGCAATTATAGCATAGTTTAACAAACCAATAAATCCTAAAAATGTAAATATAGCTAAATTTTGACCATTTGATGTAATTGATTTTATGATATTTTAGAGATCCTCAGATCTTTTGATGATATCTAATAAAAGTATAGCATATATATAAGGATTAAAGAATGCATATACGGTTAGACCAAAAATGCAAATCTATTATTATTAATAAATATATATCTTACATTATAGAAATTATCAAAGTCAAAAAATATAACCAAAATTAATCTCTTTATTGCACTTTTATTCACTTAATCTTCTTAAAATTCTGATTCAAAATATCCTATCAAACTATAATATTTCATCGTCAACCATGAAATCTAAAATCCTGCTTCTTTTTTTAATATTTAAACTCTCTTTATGTTTGTCTGTTTTTTGTGATATGTGATTGAAATAGGATATCTTTCAAAGGCACAAAAGAAAACTATAATTAGATTTAAAACTAATAAAATAATAGAAAATATCTAATATAGAATAAAAAATAAATACATTATTTAAATAATTAACAAAGATTTCTCCTGATGTTATATTTTAATCTTCAGGTGCTTCAATATTAGATGCTATTTTACTATTTATAACTGTATCATGCATAAATACAAGTAGAATTACAATAATTAAACACAAAATGAAAGATATATCTTTTAATGATCTCCAAATTACAACACCAAAACGCATAATTATTATAGTATTAATTTATTAAGAATGTCTCATTTGAATTTAATAAAATTCAGAAAATTCGATCAATCCACGCATTCTATCTTCATCTGTTTCTCTATTAATATCATATATCAAATGTTATTTGATATTTGGAGTAATAAAATTGCAAATAAAGGGTTTTTAAAAAAATATTTTTTCTATTTAGTTCAATTCATTTTATATTTCAATTCTTCCTGTGAATTATCTATAAAATTTAAAGAATTTATCTGTTCTATTTAATTTTTAAGACAAAATTTTTGAAATTGCGATCTTTGTTCTTTTAGAAGTTAATTCACCATCTTAAGGTAACAAGCAATAACTTTCATATTAATTATGATTGTATTTCTCTTCCTAATTTACAGGTTATATTTTATTATTTTATAAATTTTATTTTTATTAAAATTAGTTTAATAATAATTTTAGAATTTTTCTAAATTCTGGATCTAAAAAATTAGTAAAATCATACAAATCTTCATATTTTTCTTTTTTCTCATCCAATTTGAGCAATTCCAATTTAGGCTCATCTGGAAAATGTTCTGATAATTTAAAACATATGATAAATATATTAAATCCTGTTTGTATTAAAATATTATCCTCATTTGTTCTTAATTCATGTTTACAAAAACTATTAGTACAATCATAATGTTATTCACTTTTTAATTCACAAATATTATCTAAAATTATGTTTCTTTATTTTGGTTTGATTCTTTCTTCATAAATAGATTATGCTATTCTTATCAAAAAAGTAATATTAACAGTATCTTTAATGAATTTTAATAATTGAATATCTGATCTTCCTTAGGTTAATAATAAGAGCAATTTAATAAGTGAATGCAATATTTAATATAAAACATATTTTTCTCTTTATTTTTCTTAATAAAGCTAATCAAAACTTAACAGTTCATATTCTTGCAATATTGAATTTAATAAAGTAAATAATCTTGTATTTTTACATAACTCCTTTTTATTTTCAACATAACCTATAGAAAATTCAACTAAACTTTCTAAAGCTTATTTGTATATTTCTTATAATTTATAAAATACTTTTTATCCTTTTTCTAGAAGATCAGCTAATAAACTAGCAACTTCATTAACAATATTAATATTAGCTTAATATGAATCATCATCATATTATTATACTAAAAATCTTTAAAAATCCATGTTTAGATTTTCACATAAAACTTGTAATAATTATAATACCTTTAGACAGAGAAGTGTATATTCAGTATGATTCCCATTAGTTTATTCTAATTCTTTAATTCTTACATCTAAATCAATTAAGAAGAAACCTCTTAAAAATACTAAAAATTTTTATTTCACATTTTCCTTTTGTAACAATTTATAAAAATTATTCTACATTTCTTCATTTCCAAAATCTAATAAATGAATAAGAAAAGTCAATGCTTCAATTTTTTATTTATCATCATCAGTTTAATTCAACATTTCTAATGCCAATATATAAAGTTAGTTATCAGCCATATCCTTTTAAAATTTAATATATATTTCCTTTTTTTCCCTGATTTCTAATTTAGATTTTTCATCTTTTGTTGTTTCAATCAAAGAATCTATCTCATCTTTTTGAGTAGGCCTTTAAAGCTACAAAAATATTCTACATAATTTAATTAAATAAATTTCTTTATTTAAAAATATTTCTTAGCATTTTTTCAAAAAGTCTTTTAAATTATCTAAACTAAATAAATTGGTTTATTATTTCTCTAATGATTTTATCATTAGTTCTATTTACACATCCTCAGAGATTAAATTTCTATTTAATTCAAGCTGGCCATTATAATATTATTTAATTAAGAGTATTGTAGCTTATTAAAAGTCTTTTTTCACACTATCTAAATTTTTTTATTAACATTAATATGATTAAATTTATTAAGAAGTAATAAGACTTGTATTAAATTTTCTTTCAAACTATTCTCTCATTGCTTATTTAAATAATTCCCAACCCTCAATATTTTTTTTTTTATTTTACTTCGATTCTTAATTTTCAATACGATAATCATCTTATTAATATATATTTTGAATATCTTCTAATTATATATATTATTTATAAATGTTGCAAGTGTCTATAATCTTTCTTAATTTTTCTTAATCATTTAATTCTGAAGCATCTTTTTCAATAAAATTAAAAAATTATTAAATATTTACTTTATATCTTATTAAATATATTTTAAAGTTTCTCTTAAACTTATTTTCAATCCTCTATACATTATCATTTTATAGTAATTTCTTTTCTCCAGTCTAATCTTCTTTTAAAGTATTATATTTATCAAATAATAATTTATCATTATTGTTTTCTTATACAAATCTGATTCTAAAATTCTGACCAAATTTCGTAATTTTTCTTTTAGGTATTATTTCTTCTATTGAAATAATCAATTCTCTATAATCATCTAAATCTAAGTCTTCTTTTTTTACTCTAAAGTCTCTTTCCAAAACATTAAATATTTCTTTAATTTTTTAAACAATCTATTTGATAATAGCAAATTCATCTGATAAACTAAAATAATCAGAATTTTCATTATCAATCATCATTTCATCATAAGTGTATACTAAAAAGTGGAAAATACCATTTTTCCTTAAATATGTCCAATATTCACTACAATCTCTAATTATTCGTAATTCTTTATTTGATGCTTCATTTATAGACAATCTTCCTTCGAAATAATTTCTTTTTTATCTTGTAATCTATTCTCTCAAAACCGTTTCAATGACTTTCTTATTCTAATCTTTATTTCCTAATTTCGCCAACCCTTCTAAAAATTAACATATTTGTCTCTAATCTAATTCAGGTGTTATAATTCTTGATAAAATGTCTCTTACTTCGTCACTTTCAATAGTATCGTTACTAAAACCTCCTTCTTTTGCTTTATTTATATATAATTCAAATAAACATTATAAGTAAGCTCTCTTAACAATATATTCAGAATCTGAATGTAAAAGAATTGATTTTAATTATTCATATAATAATATTCTTTACATTTCTTAGATTCCTAATCTGTATTATTAACAACACTCTGTTATTAGAATTATCAACTAAGCATGTAGTTTAATTCTATGATAATATAAACTATCATTTTCACTCTATTTAACTAATCCTTATTAAGGAATTAATATTTTTATATAGTAATTTACTGGTTCTAATATAATTCTCAAAAATTAAGATTTTAAAATGGAATTTAAAATCAAATGCTTATTGACATAAGACTGTTAAGCTGGAATTTCAAAAGTCTTGGTTAAACATCTTAATATTCTTAAATATTGAATTAAACTGAAATAAGCTACTGCATCCTAATCTTACTTTCTTGGAGTTTTCTTCCTTTCAATGAATAGCTTTTTCAAACTAGGTGTTATCACAAAAATCTCTTAACTTTTCATTAATTCATCTCCTAATTCTTTTATTCTCTAAAAAATATTCATTATGAAATTATCATGTTCACATTTTGGAATTGTGGATATTAATTATACTACAAGTTTAGTAACTTTCATTGGAATATAAAACCAATCTTCAGCTCCTAATTGATCAATTTAAATGATATCGAGCAATTTATACAAATACTCTTTTTAAGCTAAAATTGCTATATTAATTTAATTATCCTTTGTGAAGTATTCAAAAAATAAAATCAATCTCTTATAAAATTAAACAATATCAGCAGAACTACACACACTTTAGGGTTTTACTAAAAATTATAGGAATACCAAATGAACTCCTGCATTTCTAACAATATTTTAAAATGATTTTAAGTATTAAACTTTTTAAGAATTTGGTTTAAAGAATTATTCAAATTATTAAATTATTTTTTCTTAATAGCTTTTTAATTAATCAAATGATTTTATACGTTTTATTTTTTCTTCTTTCCTATTAGTATTTTGAATGAATTTAATTGCTCTTTTAGTTTAAATTTATGCTTCTTTAGGGCTAATTATCTAAACTGTATTTGAATTTCCATTAATTATTGAAAAATATTGTAATTCCGTTGAATCATCAATAATTTCAACTTCTTTAATTTCATTTATTGAATTTTTAGGAGCTTGAAAATTCTAAATTAAAATTTCAAGCAAATCCTCATTTAATTTATTTCTTTTTTCTAATGAAAGTAAACAACAAAACAATAAAGCACTAAAACTATTGCCATCTGGTTCCTTAAAAACATTAAATATTGTTTTCTATGCTAAAGTTTTTTACGTTTTGATTTAATCTTCTTAATTAATGTTTTGAATTTCATTAAAGTCAAATTAATCAAGTTCTCTAGAGCTTGGAGAATTACATTTTGATTCATTTACTTAATATTTACCAAATAAGAAATCTAATATTTAAAGATTCAATTTTAAGAGACTAAAAATTTTTAAAATTTAAAGACCTTCCAAATAAATTTTCATTTTTAATAATTCATCATCACAATATTAAAATGTCCAAATCAAAAATTAAAGAATCCAATTTCGTTCAAATTAAATATCTTATTTAATTACTTAATCAAATTATTTCCGACCGTTATCTTAATTTTTATGCTTATATTTTCTTTATTCTTATAATTGTTAAGCAGTTGGTAAATAGGTTGTGACCCATAGATTATTTTCAATAGATTAATTTAAATTTAATAAATTAGATTCAAAACTTTCATTATCTTTGAATTTATAAATCTTATTATCTTATCTTTATTGTAAAATTAAGGCAACAAAAATGTTTGGTAATATTGAAAAAATACTTTAATTTTCATCCAGATTATTATATCCTAAATCAATACTGTTTTTTATTATTTATAGAATTCCCAAAAAGTATTTTAATTAATAATTTGCTAATCTTTTATAGTCAATATTATTCTATTCTATATTTAATTTAAGTGGTTAAAATATATTGTTATTAAATTCTAAAACTTTGAAATGATCTGGATAAGCTATTTAAGTAAATATTTCTAAATAATAAATTCTAACATCATTTATTTACTTTCTAGATAGCATTTTCTTTGCAAATAATTTCAAATATTGATGTTCTGCTTAAGCTCTATTTGAATTTAAAAATTTCTTATATTCTTCGTTTCGTTTCAATTATTTTGAAGCATTTTTTTCATAAAAATAAATCCCTGATTAATTTTAAATATTATATTAATCTAAATCATCATTCAAATAGCATTTGTTATCAAACTATGAAATTTTTATTAATGGATCAATATCTAAATATAAATTACAAAATAGTTCTATTAAAGTTTTCTCAAATCTAAGTCCTGTTTTTATTTTTTTTTGACTTATCAAACAGATTTCTAAAAATTTTTCATTTAAAAAACAATTTTTCATTAAACATTTGATACTTTTTAAATTTCTTCCCTTACATAAAGATGAATATAAATCCATTACGTTCATTAAATAATTTTCATATTTCTAAAATATTGGTACTACTTTATTATAATCTTCTTATCTCACCAATTAATTTTCCTTTAATGTTTCAGTAGTAAAGAAATCAATAGAAATATCTACCAAAGGAGGTCTTTGTTTCTTAAATCTATTACTACTTTTGATCTATTTTTCAACAAACCTTAAATATAATTAACAAAAAATTGGATTATTTTCTCCAAATTAATGTGATAATTATAGTAGTGTTCCTTTTTCTCTTTTTGGAGAAAATAGAACATATGGATATTAATTTTAATTTTCTTCATAAATATCTAATGCAATTAAAGCCTTAGAAAAAGGAAAAGATTAATCAGATTGATGCTTTTTTCCAAATAATAATTTTCTACAAGAGTCTTAAGAAAAAGATTTTGGATTTTCATACGGATCAATCATCATCAAACTTATTATTTCAATATATAGTGCTTGATCTTCAATATTTTTTTCAGTTAGGGGCTCGAGTTTTTTAACCCATTTTTCTAAGCTAGTTTTTATATCAGTCTTATCAGTATAACGCACAGTTTCTTTCATTAGATTGGAAACGCCATCTCTCTAATACTCTAATTGTTAAAGCAAGAAAACTAATATACTCTCATTATACATTTACAAACTTAATACATAATTACTTGTTTTTGGATTACTTTAAACACAGAGACTCAAAACAGAATAGATTTCTGTAATGCAATTCTTTTTTTGAGATTCTAATTTCATTTTGGCTATTATTTAAGGACTTTTATCAAATAAAATTTTAGTATTTCCGTAGATCATACAGTTGCATAATCCTTAAATTGCAAAAAGTAAATTAATAATATCATTATCCATTAATGTATTTTATTTGCATTATTATTATTCGTTAGATTAAGGCTATCCTTCATTTTTTAAATACAAATTTAAATTTTACAAAGTTTAATATAATTATAAGATTTCATCAAATAATAATTTTTGATTATTGAAAGCTTCATAATATTCATATTTTCGCTTTTCTTATTAATTTTTATCAATAGATTTTACTATGCCCCAATCTTATAAAAATAAGTAAAACTAAATTAAATATTCTTGAAGAGAATTAATCCTTAATGATATTTTTGAGAGTTCCTAAGAAGTTGACTTCAATAAAAAAGTTGATTTTTCAATTTTTTATTTTTTACTTTTTCTTTACACTGCAACTTTCTTATCATCTTAGCAAACTAAAACTACACCTTCTTATGTTTAATGACTATCAATTGATATTGTGATTGCTGATTATATTTTACATGTCTCACTATAAGAAATTGGATCAATTGATTATTTTTTAGATTTCAGATTAAATTGGCATTCCATCTTTAATCCATCATAAGTTAATCCAACTCCATTATTTGTTATTTATAAAAATAATCCAGTACAAACATGTCTTATCAAAAATACACTTTCATAAGTTGACTTTTAATATATTAAACTATCAACATGCTAAATTTACCATAAACAGTTTAAATTTTCATCTGCTTCTTATGTAGTATCAACATATAATTAATACATTTAATTAATTTTTTCATTTCTTATTTTATCTACATCAAAATAATATTGATTGATTGAATAATTTATATTAGTTTCAGAATAATTTATAATTAATTCTTTCTTATCTAATTCATCAGTAATTCTTCTTATTCTCTTAATACATAAGTATCCTCCCAAATACCTGTTCTTTATGGTTAAAACGTCACCACTCTGTAAATACTTTCCCTTAATTTATTATTTATTAATTTCTTCTTCTGTTTTATTGTCAATGTAACTTGAAATTTTTAATGGATAAGCTTATTCTGATGCATTTACTTCAAGTCCATCTTTCTTATAAACATTATCAGATGGCATTTGCACACTTAAATTCCATTGTGATTAACTACAATTTTAGACAATAATTTAATCTCCATACAATATTGGTTCACCTGCATTTTTTACAGAATTCATTGATAAAATTCTAAAGTTTGAATATTAATTTGATTTTTCCTCTAAGGATAGTTCTCTACAACAATTCTCCTTTGCTAAAATGCCGCTTTTTAGAGTTAATGTGCATCCTGAATAGGTATGTAATAGCTATATTTCTTCACCATAAACAATATTAGATCCTTTTTAATACTCTTAGAATTTTTTATTCTCTTCTATTTCCTCATCACACTTTTTTTTTAATTCTGCTAATTTTTAATCATTATCGGAAGGCTATGTCTATTCTTCAGTAATAATCCTTTAATCTACAGGCTTCTCTCTTTATAACTTATATTAATTTTAATATAAGTATTTTTTTCCTGTAATTATTTAAAATAAACATTTTTAGAAAGTTAGGCTCCCTACCTTAAATTATAAGCTTTTTTGTGATTAGATATCTTGTAATTTATTTTTTCCTAATATTTACACACATTCTAATTTATTGCTTGCAATTCCATCACCAGATATTACTCCTTTGAAATCATCGCTCAAATAAGATTTAAAATAGATAATATCACCTACTTTTAGATGGAAGTTTTGCCTATGATATAATCACTATTTACTTTTAATGCTTTATGTTATCTACATTTTAAAATAGGGAGTTACAATTTTAAGTTTGAGTCCATTTATTTTCACCTAAAAGTTATTATTCAATTTTCAAAGTTGGTATCGGTGGTAAGTCGATCATTACTTATTAAGAATAATTAAATTATATTATGTTATGATTTGATCTCAAAATGACTTTTAAATTATGAAATTATATTGATATAAATGATAAATTATCATTGATAGAAATTTTTAAATAAATTTTATTATCTATTTTACTTTTATTGGTAAACTCTGAATATTTCAATTTATTACTTTTCACATACACATATAAATTCAATATAATTATCACTATTGTTACCATAAAATATCAATTATGATCAAAGAAAAGCATTTAAATTAAATGAGAATGCGTAATATAATAATTTACACACATATATTTATATGAATTAAACTCAAAGTGAGAAGATTATTCAGGCTTGACTTTAAATGTGCATTCTCATTTATTGAGATTCAAGCATGGTCTAATTTAAGAAAAAGCATTTGCTCATTGGATTTTGAGCATTTAATCTACATCTTTCTAATTATATATTCCATTCACTTTGTTTTAAAGTTATTTATGGTTTTGGTATTCTAAGTAAATTGGAACTATTCATTTAGTATGATTTTATTTTTTTTTTATTTTTTATTTTTTTTTTTGAAATTAATCATATTATTTATTTCCTTTTATATTATAATTTATCTAATAGAACAAAATAATGTTAAGCTGCTATTTTTCCTTTAATTATTTATTGTTTTAAATTTCAATATAATTTACAGCACTCAAATTCCATAAGGTTATCTATTAGATTTATTTAGTATTTATAAAATTAATCTATAATCTTATAATTTTTCAACAATTATCAAGGCCGACTTTAATATAAGTTGAGATTACGATAATTAATATAATATCTCTTAAGAATAAGAATTTAAAGCATTAAACTTTTGTGTACTCTGAAAAATATTTTAAGGTTATTTTATATTAAATATATATTTAATAATTTCTTTATCAAACTCTACTACCAAAAATAGAGCTTAAAGGTCTACCAAATTGACTGTGTTCTTATTCTGCATCAGCATAAGGATCCTCAATACCTTTTTCTTTTAGAATTTTTCTAAAATTTTTTATCATTGATTCATTGGCTTGTAATTAATTAAGTGCAATTTGCAATTAATTTTATAATTCTACATTCTTTTGGAATTCAAATGGTTATAATTTTTATTTATCGAAATTGGGACCTCTTAGAATCTTACCCATTTTATTATTCTTTTATGGGAGTGATTATAATCTAGCTTAAGCACTTCCTTATTTATTAATATTCAAAGCTTAAGGTAATATAGGTTACTATGATTATTACATTACATCTTCGTTCATCATCTCAACATTTTACTAAAAATATTTAAAAATATAAATACTTCTCCAATATTTTTACCAAGCTTAGTTTATAAGACTTTAATTTCTTATTTAAATTTTTCATTTTCTTTTTTATATTTATCATTTTCAATTTTTAAATTTGATTTTTCTGTTTCATAATCTTTACATTATTTTCTAATTTCATTTAATTCATGTATTAATTATTAATTCTCACTAGTTCTTTTATAAATTTCTTTTTCTCTTCTAACCATCATTTTTTCTGTACTTGAATTAATTTAAATGGCACTCTTTTCTAAATGATTAATATGTCTATTCATTTCTTCAATAGAACGAGGATCATTAGAACTTTATTTAATTTCTTATTAAAGGACATATCTTTAATATAATTTAGTCATTTCCTTTTTCCATTCCTAAAATAATTANATAATTATTATTTAATAAATAAGTAATATTTATCAATTTAATTCTTCAATAAAATCAAATATAATACTTCATCCATAATAAATTCTTTATTTTAATATTTTTGGTACTTTTTTCATAATCTTAATATCTAAAATCTATATAGAATATTTATATTATATTAATAATTTTCTCTTTGTATCTATAGAACTTTGATTTACTTGGTCATCTTATTCGAATTCTTTTTTTTTTAATTGTATTTAACAAAATAATGAAGCAGACAAATATTGTATTTATATACAACAAAGATATTTTAAATTTAGAAAAATAAATTTATTTTTAGATGCATAAACGTAAAGATTCATTCTTAATCTATTTAGTCTTCCTCTCCTTCTTATTCTTCTATTTAAAGCGCTCTTCCAAAAGGGAAAAATTTTGTTTTTTTTTCTTGAATACATTTTTTTAAATATTTCTCCAAAGAGTTACAATCATTTGGATCTTTATTTTTAATATAAATTATGTAATATAACATATGATATACGTTATGTTCCAAGTAAATATGATAATGCCAACCTTTTGTGCCTCTAAAGGAAAGATTAATAAATGTTTTACTTTGTATCAATATCATTTTTATCCTGGCTACAAATAAAGCACTTGCCTTCAATTTCCTTAACCAAAGCTTATCTTTCATCTCTTAATTCGCCAAAAGTATCCAAAATGATACCAAATATGATTTAAATAAAAAGGATATTAAAAATGATAAAAAAAGTAAAGTCGAAGAAGTATCTCCCCCAATATAAAGCAGGATCCTCATAAGCATCTGGATAACTAGTCAAAGATTCTCCTAAACCTCCACCATTTCTCAATCCAAAATTAATTGTTGAAGTAACAGCAAGTATAAAGGTATTGCCATAAACACCGTTTTCATCATCAAACATCTAGTCAAAATTAGAGAAGGCAATTATCGCATAGATTAATAAACCAATTAATCCTAAGAAGGAAAATATAGCTAAATTTTGACCATTTGACGTAATTGATTTTATGATATTTTAGAGATCCTCAGATCTTTTGATGATATCTAATAAAAGTATAGCATATATATAAGGATTAAAGAATGCATATACGGTTAGACCAAAAATGCAAATCTATTATTATTAATAAATATATATCTTACATTATAGAAATTATCAAAGTCAAAAAATATAACCAAAATTAATCTCTTTATTACACTTTCATTCACTTAATCCTCTTAAAATTTTGATTCAAAATATCCTATCAAACTATAATATTTCATCGTCAACCATGAAATCTAAAATCCCGCTTCTTTTTTTAATATTTGAACTCTTTTTGCATTTGTCTGTCCTCTGTTATATGTAATGGAAATAGGATATCTTTCAATGGCACAAAAGAAAACTATAATTAGATTTAAAACTAACTAAACAATAGTAATTATCTAATATAGAATAAGAAATCTATACATTATTTAAATAACTAACAAAGGTTTCTCCAGATGTTATATTTTAATCTTCAGGTGCTTAAGTATTGGATCCTATTTTGCTATTTATTACAGTATCATGCATAAATATGAGTAAAACTACAATAATTAGACACAAAATGAAGGATATATCCTTTAATAATCTCCAATAGACAGCTCCAAAATGCATTGCTTTTCTATTATTAATTTATTAAGAGTGTCTCATTTGAACTTGATAAAATTCAGAAAACTCAATTAATCCAAACATTCTATCTTCATCCGTTTCTCTATCGATTTCATATATCAAATGTTGTTTTATATTTGGAGTAATAAAGTTACAAACAAATGGTTTTTAAAAATATACTTTTTCTAATTAATAGTTTTCATTTTGTATTTCTATTCTTCCTGTAAATTTTCTATAAAATTTAAAGAATCTCTAGACTCTAGTGAACTAATAATTTTTGTTATTTTTAATATTCAAATAAATATTTTTAAAGCTTAAATCGTTAAATTTTGATTCATCTTTCACCAACAATCCATCAACTTCATCTTAATTATAATCAAATTAGCTTCTTTAATTTAAAGGTAAAATTTATTTATTTGATATTTTTTTCTTTTTTTATAGTTCTTCTACTTGAAAATCATCTAAATCTAAAAGATCTTGTTATTCCTCTTATTCTTCATCAAATTTGAATAATTCCAATTAAGAATCATCTGAAAAATGTTCTGATAATTTAAGACATATGATAAATATATTAAATCCTGTTTGTATTAACATATTGTCTTCATCTGTTCTTAATCCAAAATGACATAAACTATTAGTGCAATATCTATGATTTCCTGTTTCTGATTCATCACAAATATTATCTAAAATTATGTTTCTTTATTTTGGTTTGATTCTTTCTTCATAAATAGATTTTGCTATTCTTATCAAAAAAGTAATATTAACAGTATCTTTAATGAATTCTAATGATTAAAGATCCGCTCTTCCTTAGGTCAATAATAAGAGTAATTTGATAAAAGATTACAATGTTTAATATAAAGCATAATTTTTTTTCCCTTCATCAGAACCAATTCCTCTTGCATCCATCATTATGTCATCATCTAATGATTAATTCACTTATTGTCTTTCCTTTAAAATCATTTTGTTTTCTTCATAAAGCTAACAAAAACTTTAAAGTTCCTATTTTTGCAATATTGAATTTAATAAAGTAAATAATCTTGTATTTTTACATAACTCCTTTTTATTTTCAACATAACCTGTAGAAAATTCAACTAAACTTTCTAAAGCTTATCTGTATATTTCTTACAATTTATAAAATACTTTTTATCCTTTTTCTAGAAGATCAGCTAATAAACTAGCAACTTCATTAACAATATTAATATTAGCTTAATATGAATCATCATCATATTATTATACTAAAAATCTTTAAAAATCCATGTTAACATTTTCACACAAAGCTTATAGTAATTATAATACCTTAAGGCAGAGTAGTTTATATTAAGTATTATCACTTTCAGCTAATTCTAGTTCTTTAATTCTTATATCTAAATCAGTTAAGAAGAATCTTCTTAAAAATACTAGAAACTGTTATTTCACATTTTCTTCCTTTAACAAGTTATAAAATTTTCTCTATATGTATTCATTTCCAAAATCTAATAAATGAATTAAAAATGTCAATGCTTCAATTTTTTATTGATCATCATCAGTTTAATTCAAAATTTCTAGTGCCAGAATATCAAGTTAACCATCAGCCATAGCCCTTTAAAATTTAATATATATTTCCTTTTTTTCCCTGATTTCTAATTTAGATTCTTCATCTTTTGCTTCAATCAAAGAATCTATCTCATCTTGAGTAGGCCTTTTAAGCTACAAAAATATTCTGCATAATTTAATTAAATAAATTTCTTTATTTAAAAATATTTCTTAGCATTTTTTCAAAAAGTCTTTTAAATTATCTAAACTAAATAAATTGGTTTATTATTTCTCTAATGATTTTATCATTAGTTCTATTTAAGCATCCTCAGAGATTAAATTTCCATTTAATTCAAGCTGTCCTCCTAATTTTTTATAATATTTTGCAATTAAGCGTATTGTAGCCAATTAAAAGTCTTTTTTCAAGCAATCTAAATTTTCTTATTAACGTTAATATGTTTAAATCTATTAAGAAGTAATAAGATTTGTGTTAAATTTTCTTTCAAATTATTCTCTCATTGCTTATTTAAATAATTCCCAATCCACAAATATTTTATTTCTATTTTACACCGATTCTTAATTTTTAATACGAGCAACATCTTATTAATATATATTTTGAATATCTTCTAATTATATATATTATTTATAAATGTTGCAAGTCTTGATAATCTTTCTTAATTTCTCTTAATCATTTAATTCTGAAGCATCTTTTTCAATAAAATTACAAAATTATTAAATATTTACTTTATATCTTACTAAGTATATTTTAAAGTTTCTCCTAAATTAGTTTTCAATCTTCTATACATTATCTTATTCTTGTATTTTTTTTTCTCCAATCTAATCTGCTTATAAAGTATCATATTTATCAAATAATAATTAATCAGTATTTTTGCCTTATAAAAAACCTATTCTAAAATTTTTACCAAATTTACTAATTTTCCTTTGAGGTATAATTTCTTCAATTGAAATAATCAATTCTCTATAATCATCTAAATCTAAGTCTTCTTTTTTTACTCTAAAGTCTCTTTCCAAAACATTAAATATTTCTTTAATTTTTTAAACATTCTATTTAATAATTGCATATTCATCTGATAAACTAGAATTCTCAGGATTTTCCATATCAATTCTATCCTTCATTTCATCATAAGTGTATACTAAAAAGTGAATAATTCCATCTTTCCTTAAATATGTCCAAAATTCACTACAATCTCTAAGTATTCCTAATTCTTTATCGGATCCTGTATCTATAGATAATCTATTTTCAAAATAACTTCTTTTTTATCTTTATATCTATTCTCTCAAATCCCTTTGAGTTACTTTTTTATTCTAATCTAAATTTATTAATTTAGCCAACCCTTCTAAAAATTTAAATATTTGTTTCTAATCTAATTCAGGTATTATTATTCTTGATAAAATGTCTCTTACTTCATCATTTTCAACAGTATCATTACTAAAATCTCTCTCTTTTACTTTATTTATATATAATTCAAATATGCATTATAAATAGGCTCTCTTAACAATGTATTCAGAATTTGAATGCAAAAGAATTGATTTTAATTATTCGTATAATATTATTCTTTACATTTCTTAGATTCCTAATCTGTATTATTAACAACATTATGTGATTAGAATTATCAACTAAGCATGTAACTTAATTCTATAATAATGTAAATTATCATTTTATTATTCTTATGCTGATTCAGGAACTAATATCTTGCTATAATAATTTATTGGTTCTAGTAGTATTCTCAAAAATTGGTTTTTTAAAATGTTACTTAAAATCAAATGTTTATTGACATAAGACTGTTGAGCTGGAATTTCAAAAGTCTTGGTTAAACATCTTAATATTCTTAAATATTGGATTAAACTAAAATAAGCTACTGCATCCTAATCTTACTTCCTTGGAGTGATCTTCCTTTCAATGATTTCATCTTTTAAACTAAATGCTTTCATAAAAAACTCTTAACTTTTCATTAATTCATCTCCTAATTTTTTTATTCTTCTAAAGACATTCATGATAAAATTATCATGTTCACATATTGGAATTGTGGATATTAATTATACTACAAGTTTAGTAACTTTTATTGGGATGTAATACTAATCTTCAGCTCCTAATTGATCAATTTAAATGATATCAAGCAGTTTATACAAATACTCTTTTTAAGCTAAAATTGCTATATTTGTTTCATTATCCTTTGTGAAGTATTCAAAAAATAAAATCAATCTCTTATAAAATTAAACAATATCAGGAGAACTACACACACTTTTGGGTTTTACTAAAAATTATAGAAATTCCAAATGAACTCCTGCATTTCTAACAATATTTTAAAATGATTTTAAGTATTAAACTTCTTAAGAATTTTGTTTAAAGAATTATTCAAATTATTAAATTATTTTTTATTAATAGAGTTTTAATTAATCAAATGATGAAATAAATTTTTAAGAATTTATTTTTCTATTAGTATTTTGAATGAATTTAATAGCTCTTTTAGTTTAAATTTATGCTTCTTTAGGGCTAATTATCTAAACTGTATTTGAATTTCCATTAATTATTGAAAAATATTTTAATTCCATTAAATCATCAATAATTTCAACTTCTTTAATTTCATTTATTGAATTTTTCGGAGCTTGAAAATTCTAAATTAAAATTTCAAGCAAATCCTCATTTAATTTATTTCTTTTTTCTGATGAAAGTAAACAACAAAACAATAAAGCACTAAATCTATTGCCATCTGGTTCCTTAAAAACATTAAATATTGTTTTCTATGCTAGAGTTTTTTACCTTTTGATCTAATCTTCTTAATTACTGTTTTGAATTTCATTAAAGTCAAATTAATCAAGTTCTCTAGAGCTTGGTGAATTAAATTTTGATTCATTTATTTATTATTTACTAAATAAGAAATCTAATATTTAAAGATTCAATTTTAAGAGACTAAAAATTTTTAAAATTTAAAGACCTTCCAAATAAATTTTCATTTTTAATAATTCATCATCACAATATTAAAATGTCCAAATCAAAAATTAAAGAATCCAATTTCGTTAAAATTGAATATCTTATTTAATTACTTAATCAAATTATTTCCGACCGTTATCTTAATTTTTATGCTTATATTTTCTTTATTCTTATAATTGTTAAGCAGTTGGTAAATAGGTTGTGACCCATAGATTATTTTCAATAGATTAATTTAAATTTAATAAATTAGATTCAAAACTTTCATTATCTTTGAATTTATAAATGTTACTATCTTATCTTTATTGTAAAATTAAGGCAACAAAAATGTTTGGTAATATTGAAAAAATCCTTTAATTTTCATCCAGAAAATTATATCCTAAATTAATACTGTTTTTTATTATTTACATAATTCCCAAAAAATATTTTAATTAATAATTTGCTAATCTTTTATAGTCAATATTATTCTATTCTATATTTAATTTAAGTGGTTAAAATATATTGTTATTAAATTCTAAAACTTTGAAATGATCTGGATAAGCTATTTAAGTAAATATTTCTAAATAATAAATTCTAACATCATTTATTTACTTTCTAGATAGCATTTTAGATGCATAAAATTTCAAATATTGATGTTCTGCTTTAGCTTCTTTTGAATTTAAAAATTTCTTATATTCTTCATTTCGTTTCAATTATTTTGAAGCATTTTTTTCATAAAAATAAATCCCTGATTAATTTTAAATGTCAAATTAATCTAAATCATCATTCAAATAGCATTTGTTATCAAACTATGAAATTTTTATTAATGGATCAATATCTAAATATAAATTACAAAATAATTCTATTAAAGTTCTCTCAAATCTAAGTTCTGTTTTTATTTTTTTCTGTCTTTTCAAACAGATTTCTAAAAACTTTTCATTTAAAAAGCAATTTTTCATTAAACATTTGATACTTTTTTAATTTCTTCCCTTACATAATGATGAATATAAATCCATAACGTTCATTAAATAATTTTCATATTTTAAAAATATTGGTACTACTTTTTTATAATCTTCTTATCTCACCAATTAATTTTCCTTTAATGTTTCAGTAGTAAAGAAATCAATCGTCACATCTACCAAAGGAGGTCTCTTTTCCTAAAATCTTTAACTATTTTTGATCTATTTTTCAACAAATCTTAAATATAATTGACAAAAAGTTGGATTATTTTCTCCAAACTAATGTGATAATTATAATAGTGTGGCTTTTTCTCTTTTTGGAGAAAATAGAACATATGGATAATAATTTTAATTTTCTTCATAAATATTCAATGCAATTAAAGCCTTAGAAAAAGGAAAAGATTAATCAGATTAATTTTTACTTCCAAATAATAATCTTCTACATGAGTCTTAACAAAAAGAATTTGGATTTTCATAAGGATCAATCATCATCAAACTTAATATTTCAATATATAATGCTTGATCCTCAATGTTTTCTTCAGTTATTGGCTAGAGTTCATTAACCCATTTCTTTAAACTAGTTTTTGTATCACTCATATCAGTATAACGCACAATTTCTTTAATTAGATTGGAAACATGTTCTCTTTAATACTTTAATTATTAAAGCAAAAAATCTAAAATACTCTCTTTATTCATTTCCAAACTTAATACATAATAGCTTGTTTCTGGATTACTTTAAACACAAAGACTCAAAACAGAATAGATTTCTTAAATGCAATTAATTTTTTTTGATTAAGTAATAGTTGGATCTAATTTCATTTTAGCTATTTTTTAAGGGCTTTTGTCTTAAATAATATTTGTATTGTCTTTGAGGTTTCCATAGATCATACAATTACACAATCTTAAAATTGCAAAAAGTAAATTAATAATATCATTATCCATTACAGTCTTTTAATTACTCTATTATTATTCATTAGATTAAGGATTTCCTTCATTTGTTAAATAAATTTTTAAATTATCCAAAGTTTGAAATAGTTATAATATTTAATCAAATAATAATTTTTGATTATTGAAAGCTTCATAATATTCATATTTTCGTTTTTCTTCTTAATTTTTTTACATAGGCTTCACTATGCCCCAATTTTATAAAAATAAGTAAAACTAAATTAAATATTCTTGAAGAGAATTAATCCTTAATGATATTTTCTAGAGTTCCTAAGAAGTTGACTTCAATAAAAAAGTTGCTTTTTCAATATTTTATTTTTAACTTTTTCTTTACACTGCAACTTTATTTTCATCTTAGCAAACTAAAACTACACTTTCTTTTGCAATATAATTATCAACTGACATGGTGATTGCTGATTATATTTTACATGTCTCACTATAAGAAATTGGATCAATTGATTATTTTTTAGATTTCAGATTAAATTGGCATTCCATCTTTAATCCATCATAAGTTAATCCAACTCCATTATTTGTTATTTATAAAAATAATCCAGTACAAACATGTCTTATCAAAAATACACTTTCATAAGTTGACTTTTAATATATTAAACTATCAACATGCTAAATTTACCATAAACAGTTTAAATTTTCATCTGCTTCTTATGTAGTATCAACATATAATTAATACATTTAATTAATTTTTTCATTTCTTATTTTATCCACATCAAAATAATATTGATTGATTGAATAATTTATATTAGTTTCAGAATCATTTATAATTAATTCTTTCTTATCTAATTCATCAGTAATTCTTCTTATTCTCTTAATACACAAGTATCCTCCCAAATACCTGTTCTTTATGGTTAAAACGTCACCACTCTGTAAATACTTTCCCTTAATTTATTATTTATTAATTTCTTCTTCTGTTTTATTGTCAATGTAACTTGAAATTTTTAATGGATAAGTTTATTCTGATGCATTTACTTCAAGTCCATCTTTCTTATAAACATTATCAGATGGCATTTGCACACTTAAATTCCATTGTGATTAACTACAATTTTAGACAATAATTTAATCTCCATACAATATTGGTTCACCTATATTTTTTACAGAATTCATTGATAAAATTCTAAAGTTTGAATATTAATTTGATTTTTCCTCTAAGGATAATTCTCTACAACAATTTTCCTTAGCTAGAACATCACTATTCAGAGAAAGTTTGCATCCTGAATATATATGTAATAGCTAAATTTCTTAACCATAAACAATATTAGATCCATATAAATGATAGTATAATCTCTCATTCTCATTTATTTCCTCATCACACTTTTTTTGAAATTCTTCTAATTTTTGATCATAATCAGAAGTCCATTTATCCAATTCATTCTGGTAGGTCTCATCTACAGCGATATCCCTTATTGAATCTACAGGCTTCTCTCTTTATAGTTTATATTAATTTTAATATAAGTATTTTTTTCCTGTAATTATTTAAAATAAACATTTTTAGAAAGATAAGCTCCCTACCTTAAACTATAAGCTTTTCTGTGATTAGATATCTTGTAATTTATTTTTTCCTAATATTTACACACATTCTAATTTATTGCTTGCAATTCCGTCACCAGATATTACTCCTTTAAAATCATCACTCAAATAAGATTTAAAATAGATAATATCACCTATTTTTAGATTGAAGTTTCGCCTATTATATAATCACTATTTACTTTTAATTCTTCAAATTATCTACATTTTAAGTTACTGGGTTAAAATTATGAGTTTGGGCCATAATATTGTCAGCTCCATTTTAATATTGATTCCTCATATTTGGAATAGAGGATATATCAATCATTAATAATAATTAATTTATAATACATATTGAGTTAAATTACATTAGTTTAAATAGCAAATTTTTTTAAATTATTAATGGAAATTGATAGAAATGATTAATTATCATTAAAAGAAATTAAAAACATAAATTTTATCATCTAATCTACATTTAAGTGCTAAATCTTAAATTTAGTTAATTACTTTAAATATACATATATTATATACATTATTATAAGACTTTCTCAAAATTATCTTGAAATTATGAAACTTTATTTCACAATCTACTATTTAGAACCCTTAACATAAAGCATAATTTGAATTCTGTACTATATTAAATCTACTTTGGTTGCTAATTTAAAATATTTTAAATGTGATTAGCATTGGGTTTCATAAAATCTTCATTAATTCAATAAAAAAATTAATAATATGAAAATATTATATGATAAATAATTTATAAATTGCACCACTAACTGCTCTTCACAAATTACTGTCAGTCAATAAGACAATCAAAATTAATGATAAACTTCATGAATCATAAAAATAAAAGAGTCTTCAAAAATCTATTTAAAATTTAAGCAGCAGCTAATGTGAAATGATGAATACTAAAATGAAAAATAAATTGCCAACTCCAAAAAATACAATTGATTTATCTTTAAGATAAAGTCTTGGCAAAATTAGTAACAATAACGATAGTGGAATCAAAACTAACAAAAATATTAAAAATGAACTTATATCAGTCCTCAGAAAAGCTTAGAGTTAATCTAAAAAAAATAATAATCTAGAAAAATTATTAAGCACTTCTAATGCTCCTAAATAATTTAGTAATTTAGAAAATTTTAAAATGAAAAGACCTCCTTTACTTTAATATTTAGGTGAAGAAAATGAGAAATTAAAAATTTAAAGTGCAAAAAGTGCTACAGAAAAAAATAAAAGTCCTGAAAATAGATATTCATCTGGTATTAATTTTAAATATTTTAGGATTTTTTACAAGTACTAATTAAAGGTAGTAACTATTTGGATCCTTGAATGAAGTTTTGAAATAATATATCCAATGCAAAAGCTAACAGAAGTGTAAATAAATTTATTAATTTAGAGGCTGGAACTGGAGAAGGTATCAAAGTTTGTAAATCTGCTAGAAGTACTTAATAGTAACTATTAATGAATGACCCAGAAAATCAAGAGAAATACTTCCCTAAGCAAAAGTCTGATTATTCCAAAGGATAATCAAAAATACTTCATGAGAATTTACATAATTTATTTTTAAAGACTTAGAATGTATTAGCCAAATACTAAGCCAAAGAACTTTAATGGAAAAAATAAAAAAAATAATTAAGAGATGAAATTAGGATTCTTAAATAATTATTGAAATAACAGCAATTATAAAATTAAATATATCACTGATATTATTAAAGTATTTAATAAATTATTACATCAACAAATAATTTCTTATTTTGTTCAACTTCTTTTAATAAAAAATACTTAAGTATTTTAAGAATTATATTCCCAAAATTAATCAATTACAAGAAAATTAAATTTATCTGCCTTTCATATTAAAAATAACTACACATAATATCTAATTTAATAATTATTTATCTGATAATAAGGTAAAAATAGGCCTCAGATTATCAATAAAATTAAAAATAAAATTTATGGATATATCAAAAGTTTGAATCATAATTAAAACCTAAAAATCCATCTAATAATCTTTTATTTTTATATTTTCAATTAACACTCATAAATTTAGTATTTATTTAATTCATAAATAATCGAAATTTCAGATATCTAACAAAATATATATCAAAAAATATATTTAAATGAGAAAAAAACTTATATTTTAATAAGAGCCATCTATGGTCTAAAATTTATCATTTAAGTTAAAAAAAATATTAAATTACTTAATAATTATTTATTTTAATTTTATTCTTATTTGATAAATTATTTATATTGTGAATTTTTTAGTTACTTATGAACATAACATATTTTTTTATTTATTTTACTTAAGTAATGAAATTTAATCTTATAAAGATGACCAATGAAAATAGTATTTTAAATTATCAAATATAAATAAAGTTTCATTAAATGTTGTTATAATTTTAACTATTTATTCATAATTATTTTTTTACTAATCATAAGTAAGTAGGACTTCTTTTCTATCTTCTAATAATTTTTGAGTAAGTTTTTGATTTATGCCTTTGAGCCTCTTATTTTAATAATTTATGTGATTTTTTTAATTTTTAATTAATTGATTCTTAAACTTGATTTTTATCCAATAAATCTAACCCCTCATGATTGATAGATTTTCAAAATATATATTAGACATATTAATATGTGAATAAAAATTACATAAATTATTTACTCATTACATTTCCTTATATTTTTTATTTTTAATGCATTATTTACATATTCTAAAGTCACAATAAGTACATTAAAGGGCAATAGGTTAAATCATATCATCTCCTTTTTTATCACAAACAGAACACCTAAAATCATCTGTAATTTGATTCAGATAATGTTTGGAGGGACATTAAGGTTAATTTGGTTATTTTTCAATTTTTAATTCAGGAAAGCAGCATTTGAAACAAATGAAAATTGTACATTATTAGCAGAAATATCTACATGTAGTATTTTGCTTTTAACATTTTGAACATTTTTGTTTCTTCTCCTCTCCAGAAGGCTTTTTCCAAAATTTTAATTTATGATTTTTTTCACAAAAAGTTTAATTACAATCAATTAATTCTCCTTTAGTAATAAGTTAATTTTATTATTATTATTATTATTATTATTATTATTATTATTATTATTATTATTATTATTATTATTATTATTATTATTATTATTATTATTATTATTATTATTATTATTATTATTATTATTATTATTATTATTATTATTATTATTATTATTATTATTATTATTATTATTATTATTATTATTATTATTATTATTATTATTATTATTATTATTATTATTATTATTATTATTATTATTATTATTATTATTATTATTATTATTATTATTATTATTATTATTATTATTATTATTATTATTATTATTATTATTATTATTATTATTATTATTATTATTATTATTATTATTATTATTATTATTATTATTATTATTATTATTATTATTATTATTATTATTATTATTATTATTATTATTATTATTATTATTATTATTATTATTATTATTATTATTATTATTATTATTATTATTATTATTATTATTATTATTATTATTATTATTATTATTATTATTATTATTATTATTATTATTATTATTATTATTATTATTATTATTATTATTATTATTATTATTATTATTATTATTATTATTATTATTATTATTATTATTATTATTATTGTTATTATTATTATTATTAATTTTCCATTTAAGCCTTTTTTTAATTAATTTTTTCTTAATTGTTTTCATACATCTATTATCTGGTTTTTAAATCATTTTTCAATTGTTTATTTTCTTCTAAAAGTGTAATAATTTATTATTTAGATGAATTTATTTCATTAATTCTTTAATTCTATTAATTTTTCATTTCTAAAATAGCAAAATTAGATTATTCCTTATAATCCTAAAATTTCTCCTGAAATTAATTAACCATTTACTAAAGTTAAAGAAGACATCTATGACTCTTTAGGTCTTCCAAGGTCAATGATTATTAACAAATTAAACAATTTTATGTTTTGTAAAATGTGCACATATTTTTCTTAATATTCTTTAAAGATATACATGTGATTCTATATTTCTTCTTTAAAATATTTATCCACATTTGCAATTTATTTAATGATATAAGCACTCTGACATGTGTTTAATAACATTCTCTTAAACCATTTCAATTTTACATCCTTCATTGTGATTGATACATTTGAACAATATTTTTGAAAATTAATCTCTAATCATACGATGAGGCTATTTAGTTTAAAAAGGTCCATTACAATTTTCTTCTGGGCATCTTTAAATTATTCTTAATAATACTTATCATATGATGATTTAGATATTTAAAAGCATTATTTGCAATAAAGATTTTCACATTAAATGCATTCAACAGGATCTATAGCGAGATTTTTACAAATTTTGCACAAAAGGTTTTCATTGGGTATTCCAATCGGAATATAATGTAATCTTTCATAAAATTACATATTAATAAATAAATAATATATCAGAGTAAATAAGTGTTCACCTATAATATAAATATGCTTCTGCTTCTAAACACTTAAATCTTGATTAATTGCTTATTTTCTAAAATTTACCCAATCTCCTTTCACAATCATTAATTTTAGCTAATAAACTTTAAGGTTGTTCGAAATCCAAAGATAAATTAGTTTATTCAATGATACTACCATTTAAAAGTAATTTATTTTTTATTGCCTTTACTTATTTCTATTTAATCTAATCTTATAAATTGATGTTGAAATAATTCAATTTGTTTAAGTAGTCATAATCAAATTTTAATGTTTCAAGTGACTTTTATAATAGTTCTTCAGGTGATAGTAATATCGATTGCATATCAGGTGATAGTGCTTCTCGATTCAACAACTTATCTATAGTTAGATCTAATTCAGGTTCTACTCCAATGATAAACTTAGACATAATGAATGATTTAGAGATATTTCTTCTTAATTTAAAATGATATTCAAATTACGAAATGTCATTAGGACAATTAGGTTTAATTTCTTTAAAGAAGGTATGTATAATTTTTCTTGTTTTATAATAAAACTTACTTGCTTAAACCTTGGGTTTTTAAAATAATTTTAGTTATGGTTTTTTCAATTCGAAATATTTATTTAAGAATCTCATAGTTCATAACTACCTATTCAATCATATATTTAGGATCTTGAACTTAACGATTATTATCGAGAATCAAATCATTAAAAGCAATTTTATCATCTAAAACATATTCACATAAAAGATTTCTTAATGCTTTTTCTGTTTAAAGCTAATTAAAATAAATGAATAAGTACATTAGGTCTTTTTTTGGGACTCTCAGTTCTACTCAATTTTAAAAGATTGCTTGAATTAAGACTTTATAATTTTCCATCATTCAACTATTCTTATAATGCCTTTTTAATTTCTTATATTCTTGGAGATTGTCCATTAATAGATCTATTTTAATAAAATGCTTAATTCCATTAATCTAAATCATGTTATCTTTTCGAAATGTTATGAAATACTTTAATCCTCTTATTTGTTTTATTCAATTATTCTGTTTAGGTTTTTTATAAATTGATTTTAGGAAGAGCTTAATTAGATTATGAAATTTCAATAGGTTTTATTGGTGATGAAATTCTTTCTTAATATGATTCTTCCTTTTATTTTTTTCTAGCTGATGATTTTTATAACGTAATGAGTTCATCATGTAAAATTTAAGAAACTGATCTACTCTTAATTAGCTATTGCATTGGCATATTCATACAAAACACTTTTTTTTATCTTTGCACTAGTGATTATTCAAAGGTACCAAAATCTTGATCTTAAATATATTTTAACATTTGCAATGCAATTAATTTATTATTAAATAAACTATATATAATTTATACTGTATTCAATTCCATTAATATATTTTAGTTCTCTAAATAAAAATTGCTATTTTCAAAAATGATATATATATATAAATGAAAACTATTTATATTTTGTAGTATTATTTTGATTTTCTAAATATTTAAAGATATTTATTAATCTAATTCTTTATTATAATATCATATACATCTAAAAATCAAATAATTATTTACTTAATGTATTAATTAGAATTTAATATTTTTTTGTTTCTAATACTTTTGTAAAATTCTATAATTATTTATATATTTTTGAATTTAGATTTTTCTACCTTCTTTCAATATTATTGCTCTATAGAAGTCATTTATAAAATAGATAAAAATATTATGTTTTCGATTAATCAGTCTTTTATAACTAAAATTTCCAAGGATGAAATGTTTCATGTAAGTTTAACTGCTTTGATTTGTCTTGAAATTAGAAAAATTTAGATTTACATATAATGAATATTTGCATTCTAAATCTGTAAAAATGAGCATAATATTCCTAATTGATACCCTTTCAAAAAGAGATTGTCAAGATTTTAATTTTGGATATATATTAAAAAAAAATGAATTATTATCAGAATTCTTCTTTCATACTACAAGTAATTTATTCATAATTTCTTTGTGTGATTAAAATTTATATTAAAGTTCAAAATAGATACAATTTAGTATTATATTGACATAAAATTTATTATGAAAAATTATAATTCGTATCACTTATAGAGATAAACAACAGTCCCATCAGAGACTTCATCAGTAAAATCACAAGTAACAGTTCAATCATATTTAACTACTTCACCTGTAAATATTTAAAATTAATGTGAATGATTAGAAATAACGAAACTAATTGCTTCGTTCATCCTTCAAAGTTTACTAAGAAATGAAATAGGAAATCAGCTAGAATTAATAATGTAGATTATCGTTAAGATTTGAATAAATCCATTTATTAATGGCTTCATAGAAACTGTTTTTGCTATTATAAAAAATGCAAGCTCTTTATAATAAGCAACAAAAATAAGAAGCATTTCAATTGATTTTAAGATTGGGTGCAATAGATTATAGCAATAGTAGCAGCATATTTAAAACTCCTTAGAGAAGTAATTCTCCTGGAATAGTGTCAAAAGATATAGGGTAATATATTATTATTAATAATATTAGAATGGAAAAAAATATACAGAATTAATAACTAATAAAGATAATATAAGATTTATAATCTTAAATTGCTGGTAAGGAACTTTTTAAGGCAATATATTTAATTTAAACAAAGATAATGAAAGATTGTATATACCAAATAAAAAATAAAATAAAATTATCATAAAAATTTGAGAAAATTAAAAATATTTTAGATGTTTCTTCAAAACGAAATGTATTAAATGAATTGAGGTTAAAGTTAAATAAGAGTAAAAAGATTGAAGCTGCAAGCTACTTATTGGCTTTTAAATTAGAAAAACTAATATAGAACTTAGAATTTACTTTTTATTATCAACTTAAATTATCATAAATGAAATAATAATTGATCACAAAAGAATAGATCTAATTAAAATTAAATGGATATAGCATAGGAGAAAAAAATGAAAACATAAAATTAATTAAATTTCATTAGATTATTATTAAAGTTTGTTACAGATTTCCATTTAATTAATTGAAAAATCAATATTAATAAATAGATTTAAATTAATAGAATAGTGTTTCTTTTTAAAGATTTACATTTGGGCAATTACCATTAACAATGTCATAGTAAGATGCATAATTGTAGGAGACTTCACCAAAAAATGAAGATTAAAATGATTAAGAATAATAATCTTAATAATAACCAATTGTAGTGGTTTAAAAAAAAAAATCTATTTAAAAAATGAATGGAAAATTAGCAAATAAAATAAAATTATACAGTAATAACCGATATATTATTATTAGTTAACAAATGTGAGGAATAGAAACAATAAGCATAATTGTAGAAACTAGAATAAATATCAAAATTAACAAAAAAAAATTCTTTGGATGATATAGAATTAAAAAAACCCAAGTCTAATTCAAATGTTAAAAGTAAGTTATTCTTAATGGCAATATTTGTATTTCTTTCAATATTTTTATTTCATGTAATTTATTGAATAATATAATATTAAATTAAATTTAATCAATTAAATAAGAATAATATTTTATCTAAAAGATATTCAATTAATAGATTATTAATGAAATCTATATAATATTTTTGGATTTAATCATTTTAAATAATGGGTATTTTTGTAAAATATTATTATCAAAACATAAACTTCATTACTTTAACTTTATATCAGTTTTCATATTCTCTCAATCGGAATTTCATAATCTTAATTTATTTATAATTTCTACATAATAGACGAAAGATTAAAATCAAAATTTCATTTAGTATTATATTAAACTATATTTTAGATAATTATTATCACTCTTTGAATCTTTAAATATCTCTATTCCTTTTAAATATATTAAATGAAATATCTTTTTGCCTTTGGTCTTTATTGTATTTTCCTAAGATTTTATATCTCTTATACTTTTTGGAACCTGATATAATATGTCTTAATAAAAATTAATAGCTTAAATTGATTTCTATTAAGTGATATTATGCTCACTTACATTTTTATTTCTATTTCTGATTAATTTATCATTCTTTCTGAATACTATTAATAGTTAGATTTGTTGATTAATTTTTGATTTTAATGATTATAGATATGAATAAACTTATAATATTTCTTAATACCCTCACTATATACTGTAGATTATAACTAAGCATCTATTTTTCAAATAGTAATTAATAAAATATCTCTATCAAAAATACAATACCAATAATTAAAATTTGTTTAAAGTTCAATATCTTTTGAACAGATAAAGATATATAGTTTAAGGTTATTTATATTTTTAGTTAACATAAAAATTAAAATAATTAAATGTCTCACGAAAAAAGAACTTCAGCAGACTTTTTTAAATAGGTATTTGGAAGAACAGTGAATGTGAAATTGCATAATAGAACAGAATATATTGGAGTTTTGGCTGCATTAGATGGAAATATGAATCTTGTATTGGAATAATGGTAATTTATTGGATGATTATATAATAGTGAAGAATATTTGGAATCGAAACTCATCAATAAATATGGATAAATATTATTGAGAGGAAATAATGTGCTTTATATTAGTGCTAAATTTAATCAAAAATAATAATAGGAGGAAGAAGTTTGATTTATTATGTATATTATATTTATTTTATATGGATTAAGAAATTAACCATTTCAATTTACCTGATATTAGGGATAAAGATGATTCAGATGATTAAGAAGATTATAATCCATTTATCTATCATCATTAATAAGAAGGATATCATTCATTTGAAAAAATGTTTTAGAATCATTTCGATATTGTAAATAACAGATGGATTACAATTCCTAGAACAAAAATTTATTTATTAAGATCAGCTATGCATAAATTGAAAAAATGGTTACTTTATTTAAGGCAAGAGCATCACATGATTTAATCTATTGTTAAATAAAATGATGATCTAAAGACTCAATTAAAAAAGAACCAAGAATAAAATTCTAATCATTATCTTGTTGAATAACAGAGGACAAATCAAGTATTTCTAAATAAATTATTACTAAGTTGTATGAGGAAATTAGGAAAGTGAGATAAGAGTTAAAAGATAAAGTTATATAAATGAATGATCAAATCTAATAACTAAAAGATACAATTGCTGAAAAAGATAAAAAGATTTAAAGATAAGAATTAACAATATAAAGATTAAATGAAGTAAGTAATGGATATGAGAATCAAAACAAAGGTTTACAACAATAAATAAATAATCTATAGAAAGATTTTACATATTTTAATAATATAAAAAGGTAAGGCTTTATTGATGAGAAGGCATTAATTGGAGGGAATATGACAACTTTTGAATTAGTTTTGGCATCAAAAGTAAAAAGTAAGATATTATAATTTCTGTCCTTAAAAGATTATCAAAATCTAATGATTTGTAATCGTAAACTATATCTATCTTTAATATCACATAATACAATAATACCACATGCAGTAAATTCTCTCAGTTACAAATTTAATCATTAATATAAGTTATTACAAAGTGTAAATGAGGAATTCAAAGTATTAAAATTAAAAACATTATATAATAGAGTGTTATCAAATAGAGTGATGATCCAAAACTTAGAGAAATTATGATAAAGTAATTTGAATTAAAAGTTAATTTCTCTGAATATATTATTCCTACTTTACGTGAATGTTAATCTTTAATAGATGGTGATAATTTTATAGGTTTAAAGAATAATTAACATAATAAAGATTGTAAAATATATATCATTAATAATTTTAGTGATGGATCTATTGGAAGGTTATTTAACACAGTAAGCGTAAAGTTATTAGGCAGCATTATAGAGTTTAGTTTAAGAGAAATTTCCTTGGAATTAATTCTTTCCAAAACCTTAGGCTACTATTTAATAGGTTTAATTATAGAGAAAATAATTTCCAACATCTTCATAAATGTTTGCTTAATAAATCATTACAAGATTGTATGATCTGAGTACAGTTTGTGCTTAAGACTCTTCAATATTTGGGATGTTTTTATCATAATTATAACGTTGTTTAGCTTCATTATTTGTTTATGGATAACATTTGACTTAGGAAGTAAATGATTTATAGTCACTTAATTATTATATAATGACCAAATTTTTCTTTTTATTAAAAGAAAAGAAATAAATAGAAGATTAATATGAAGATTTTAAAACTTAATTGGGATTATATTCTGATGCAAAAAGATTCTTAAAGTATTTATAATAAATAATATTTAAAATAGTGAAAAAGTAAAAGATTTAGAAAAGATTATTTAAGATAAAAATGAAAAAATTAGTAGTTTGAATCAATAAATTTATATGAAGGAAAGTTAATTGAAATAAAACTAAATTATGGTCTAAAAAAATAATGAATCTATTCGATTGTATTAAGATAAACTTAAAATTCTGGCCAGAGAAATTATGGAAGTAAGAAGAAAATATAAAAATACTTGTGTTGAATATAATGAAATAGTATCAAGGTTTAATTTGTTAAAAATTTAATTAGAGAAAATGGAAAAGCATTAAAAAAATTGAGTATAAAAATTATATTAAAAAAAGTATCCTTTATTTAAAATAAAATGTCTTCTTCAAGTTCATCAAGGTCACAATCACCAAAGAAGAATAAAAAAAGAGTATATGTTACAGGATATTCTCTTAAAGAAGATCAACATGATATTAAAAAGCTATTCAAAAAATTTGGTAAAATTGAAGAATTTGCTTGGAAAGGGAAATATTGTTTCATTGTACATATAATGAATTAATTGTAGGAATTTAAAGACTCAGAAGATGCAGAGAAAGCTGTTAAAAAAATGAATAAGGAAGAAGTAAAAGGATCTGTGTTATAGGTCGAGATGGCTCGTGGAAATAAGCCGAGCAAAAATAATGGCCTATGTTATTCATGCGGTCGATCTGGACATTTGTAAGTTTTACTATAGCAATCACTCTTTATATATAGAATACAATATATTTATTATTTAATTCATTTACCATTTTATTAGCGCTAAAAACTGTAGACATAGATCATCATCATCTAGTTCATCTAGCTCTAGTAGGTAAAGAATTAAACATAATAATTTTTAGTGAGTCTAGAAGAAAACATAAGAAGAAACATAAAAAAAAGAAGAGCTCATCCAGTTCAGATTCCTCATCAAGTAGTTCATCAAGTAGAAAGATAAAGAATAAGAAGAAGAGTACAAAAAGGAAATCAAAGTCCTCATCAAGAGGCTCTTCAAAAGACTCATAACATTCAGAGTCTTCTGCCGGCTCGTACTTTTAAAGTTGAATTCTGTTTAGCATTATTGACGAAAAAAAAGAAGAAAAAAACCCTATTGAAGAAGAGAATCAAGGAAAAGAAGGAGATGGTAAGTAATGAAGTACCCATGATGTTATAAATAAAGTTGGTGTCCAATAATAATATTCTTATAATAAATATTATCAAAATTTATTTTAATTCATTTATGTTCTATTAAGTTACTTAAATTCAACATTTTGATTTTATAAAGTTGAATTTTTTAGATAAAATTATTCATAATTAGTTTAAGAGTGAGCATTATAAGAAGAATTAGGTTTTTCAAGTTTATTATAAGAAATTTCTAATTAAATAAAATAAATTACAGCCAAGTTTTAATGATGGAACTTATTAAACTTATTCTTATTGTTTAGATAATTTTAAAAGACATTCTTTTAAGTTTTCTATTTTATTTTTATGTAATTCAATTTCAAGTTTATGGTTTTCATTTTAATCTTTTAATAATTGATTATTCTATCCTAATGCTGCATAATCATTCAATAACTTTTAAATTTAATTTGATTGTTTTTCATAATTAATGAGACTTTATTCATTTAATTAATTTAATTGCTATTATAATTATTTAATATTTTCACATTATCTTTTTATTTATTATTAAGCAGTAATTAATTAATTTTAAACTTCTTCGCATTTTAATTCTAAATTAATTTTTTATTATTATAATTTAAATACTTCCATATCCCTTAAATCATGTACATTTTAAAGATGATTAATATTATTTTTTAATTATTTAATAACATCTTCATAATGCTAATTTAATTCTTATAATCTTTTAATTTCTAAGTCTCTTTTTTAAATTAATTTATCTTATTCTTTAAGACTTTCCTACTAAGAAATAGTATTATTTTAATTAAATTGACTTGTATTCTATTAATTATTTAAGATTTGTTTTTAATTTATTTATTATTTTAATCTTTCTATTTCTTATTTTAATTCTTGATTTTTTTGCTTTTCTTCATATAATTAATTATTTATTTATTCTTTTTCCATTATATGAGCATTAATCTCAGATAATAATTTCTCTTTTTCACTTAACACTTGAGTAAAGTTAAATATTTAATCTGAAAATGCTCCTCTGCTTTTGCTCAAAGCTTTAGAAGCTTATAGAAATTTTCTTCCCATTTGATTTATTGAAGTTGATTTTAATTTATTTGAAATTTCAATTCCCAATTTACCCTATTTCATCAAATCAAGAGCATCCTTCCAAATTTATGGATAAGTCTTAATAGATTATAAATTATGTTTTTTATTAGTATAATAAGTTTTAGTTAAAATACTTTAAAATAAAGTAAGATCTGTTTTTTATCCATCTTATATATGTTCCTTAATAATTTAAGTACATTCTTGTAACAACTCTTTAGGTGGCTTATTTCATTATAGTTATAGTTACCCTTTAGATTTGCTAATGATTGATGACTTTCTCAAATGTAAAGTAGGAAATAGTAGGAAATTTAACATTCATAATTGAAAGTCTCTCTTAAGCAATTTTATACAAACTCAATTTTCCAACAACCGTATCAATTGGAAACCATTTGCTCCATACCCATATACTCTCTAATGTATAACGATGAAAAATTTATCCAACTTATTCCAATTCTTTCATTTATTCATACTTTTTTTTAGAAGTAGATGACAAAAGAAATAATTATTTTCCTCGTTCATCATCTTAACTCTCTTTTTTAAACATTGCATATTCTTCTAAAATAGGTAATATATTCTTTTGAGTCAATTCAATCCATTCATATTCCTGTAGTTCCAATAATTCATTGATAAACTATATATATATATTATAATATACTTTCAAACATAAGAATTTTGGATAATGAGGTCCTTGTTAATTATTGAGGATATTGATTATTACATCAGCACATACCTTCATAATGTCCCTTAGAATAGTCAATTTAATTACATTCTTTACTGTTAAACAGCTTCCACATATTGTTTGACTCCATTATAGGTGTTATTAGAACTTAAAACTTTTTTCAATGATTCATAATCCATTATATTAAGTTTAATATATTCAAACTTATCATTTTATTCCTTGTTTATAAGATATTTTATATATTTAGATAGTTAATATAATAATATGTAAGAGCTATACAATCTTCATACTCCACAAGCAAATATGTTTACTATACCAACAGCATTTTCACTTTCTTGTCTTACTGCTACAGATCCATCAGTTGTATTATCCCAATAACATGAAACTGATAAGTTGATACCACAATCAGCTTTTTATATTATCAGACAATTAACTATGAATTTAAAGTGTTTATTATTTAAGTCTTTTAATTTGTTCAAGATTATTTCACATATTATATTACTTTTTCTTTAAGCATCATCTATATTATTATATTAATATTATTTTAATTCTTAATCAATTATTCCTTGAGCAAGCTTTGTTACTTCTGCTTTCAATAAATTATTAAAAGAATCTTCTTTTTCAAAATTAGACATAATTTTTCTTTTTTATATAATTATTATATTTTCTTTATGAAAGGATAAAAAAATGAAATCCTTACAATATTTGATGGAAAGATTCAATAAAAGACTAATAGAGGCTAATTAAACCTAATAATCTTTTCCAATTTCTATTTGATATTTCTAATTAATATTTTCTTATCAAAACTGAAAGCCATTAGATTTAACATCATAAATCAATAACTAATATACTTTTTTGTTTATATTATATATTATATAAGTTTTACATCCTTTTTAATTACAAATTCATTTTTTTTCTAAACACTTTTCTTATTCACTTTCTATCATTCTTTAAAATTTAAATAACTCAATATTTGAGATTAAGCATTAGAAATTGAAAGGAAGTTAAGCCACATTAACTGATAAATTATTTTTAATGATAAAATATTTTATACCAAATGTAAGTCAAAATTTTTTACTGATCAATTCGGTTTTAATATATTTATTAAACCCATAATTTTAAACTTTTGACTTTTATATTTAAGAAGAAATTAGTTAAATTTAAATTCAATTGAATAAAACTGTAGCTTACTAAGAAGAATTTTTAGGATAGCAAAAAGTGCATTTTGGAAAAGATTTGATATTAATTATATGGATGCATTTATAAACGCTATCATATACCTATAATAATTTAAAAATTGAAATATTAATTCGGATTCTAAGAGGATTTCTCAAAATAAATACAAAGAATATATATATTTTAAAGAAACAAGTGTTTAGTAGTATAGTGTTAGAAGATTGGCATTTTAGAGTTTAGAAAAAAATCTTTTGGATGCGTGAAACTGAAAAAAGAATTTTAAAAATACTCTATATGTCAGAAAGATCTTTGTATTGTACCTAGTTATTTCTCAAATTATTCTTTTAGAAGATTATTAATACCCTTTATACCTTTAGAATACTAAAATTATTAATTATTGTATACCATATTATTTTATATGATTATGAAAATGCTTTTCATTGAAAAAATGGAACATTTACTAATTACTTTAATAATTTTAGAAAATTTTGCTTGATTCCAAATAGATTGATAATCTAGAAAAGTTTTAGTTTTTTTCCCATTAAATATAGAATTGTTTTAATTAAAGTGTCACCATTTTTTATAAAAATAAGATTTGAATAACAAATAAAATTTCTTTAGAGTTTTTTATGATATTCTTAATTGTCCTAATTATTGAAATATTTTGTTTTGATATTTGGAACTTTAGAATAATTCTAACATTGTTATCGAAAATATGAAGTAATTGGATTTTTAGAATCCTTTTACATATTTCTTTTAGTAGATTATCTATTGTATTAGGAATCAGATTCTTAAGAGAGAGATTATTAAAAAGAATTAATATATATTAATTATTATTAATAAACACACATATTAAGATTACATAATAAAAGAGTAGAATAATAAAAAAAAGATTTACTATCATTAAGAATATATTAATTAAATATTAAGATCCTTAATAATTAGAATAAGAAAATTAAGATAAGAATTGGAATTTAGAAATACTATAATTGGAATTTAGAAATACTATCATTGGAACTAATAAGATATAACTTACTTTTTTGGAATATTTAATTTGGAACTTAATTTCTTATTATATTATTTTATTTAGCCTATTTTATGATTATAACTGAAATGAAATTAGGTTTTATTTTAAGTATTAAGTGATTATGTTATAAGATATCGAAAAAAATGTATATTTTTTAGATATTTTATGATTTAATAAATTAATATTTATTATAATCCATAAATTATTGAAGTTTAATCATTGCCTATTATGATCCTGCAATTTTTATTAGTTGTTTTATGTATGAATTTTAAACAATTGAAGTTTTCATTACATGTTTAAGTACGATATGATGTCCAACAGAAACTAAGACTGAGTTTGTAAAATACCTGATTTTTATTCAAATGAAACATTCAAGTAGATTACTTTATATTAGGATTCCAAACTTGGTTTCTGTTTCAACTTTAATTTACCAATATCTGTTGCTAGTGCTCATTGCATTTACTAATACCATGTGGAAGATTAATAGATTTTGAACAAAAAGATTATGAAAATGAATGTAGTTAACTTAATTTTAGGATAAACTCACTTGTATTTGAAGAAAGATAAATCAAAGACAATATAATAAATTCAAACAATAGAAATCAGAAGATAGAAGATTAATAGAAATATTAGAGATTTTAAAAGTTAAGAACCTTAACTACAAATTATAAATAAACAATCTAAAATCTTACATATTTGACGTAGATAGATTATTATTAGGCTACGTCGCTAGAGTGAAGTGTTATATCTAGACCCTTGAATTATACCTAAAAATAAAAGATAGATCTGAAATAAAGATTTTCTTAATTAAATTGAAGTAGATAAATTAATTTTAGGTTCAAATGCTTTGATACTCATGTTGAACTTATAAAATACTAAGATAAATCCCTATCAACAATTTTCAAAATTTTAATTACATTCAAAGAAGAATTAATTAATTGAAGTAACTAACCTTATTTTAGATTCCTCACCTGATGTATGGAGACTTTGATTAATAAATATCAATTAGATCTCAAAACAATTATAAACAAAGAAAAGATATTTATGAAAATGATTATTGAATGTTAATGAAAATTTTGAAAAATAAAGAAAGGAGATTTAGAAAAAAGATTAGAATATATAATTGCTTACAAAAGAAGATCTATCCTTTATTTTTATCAAGTAATGGATTCTATAATAGATTCACTGACAGTGTAGTACATTTTAGAAGAATTAATTGAAAGCTTTAGAAGAATAGAACTTTAGTTTTTAAGTATTTATTATTACAAAATCAGACAAAAAATTGTTGATTTTTAGTCCCTGTTGAACCAAAAGAACTTTCCCTTAATTTAATTCTTTCTAACGATACCAAAATTGAGAAACAAATATGGAACTAAGATCTATGACCAATTTACTAGAGACATACTTTAATAAGATTAAGACTAAAGAAAAATATGTAGAAGCCAAATGAGATCCATCAACCTAAAAGAGAGAGAGACAATCCAGATAGACATAGAAGTTTTCTACCTTTGTTCTTTTCCAGTTGAGCCAAATTATCAATATTTCTTGAGAACCATGTGGTCTACCCCATTAGACAAGACTTAAGATAGAAGACAGCAAAATTTCTTTACCAAGGAGAAAAGACTAGACTATTTCAGAATCCCCAACATTCTCTTCTAAGAAATAAGATTTCCTTTTTCAGAATGATTCCTTTACTTCCAGATTGACTTGATACTCCAGATCAACAATTCAGACTCAGACTAATCTTTCTAAGAGCCCTTTTCCTTATAATTTACAGACCTACATATCACAAGATAAAATATTGTGGACCAATCTCAGATGCCAACCCTTATATGTTTATCTTATCAAGTTAACCTTGTTGAGTCCTTAGATTTCTCTATTACTTAAAGCAAAGACTATTTTCCTTTAAACTTAAGAGACAATTTCCTTATATATTAAGAGCCAATTCAATTAGAATATTTCTTTTTATTAACAAGTTTTTGGAGCCTTACTTAAAGATTAAAAATAATTCCTTATAAAAAACTATTAGAGAGCCTTCGACAGATTTTATATTAATAATGCAGATGCTTATTTGTTATTTAAGTGCTTTTTTTGACTACTTGAGAATCCCTATATATTCTAGAATAAAGATTTGAAGTGCCATCCTTAATCTCTTGAAGACCCAATAAAGACCAAATGAGACCCTGTTTTCTAATATAAAATTCTTAACTATCCTTTGACGAAATTGCCTTTTTAAATCTGTTTTAAGATCACTATTATAAATTTGATGATGCTTTTTGGAATAATGAATTCCCTTGTGTCCTTCTTGAAATGAACTAATAATTTGAGTTTGAAAGTGCGACCCAATTAAAGAGAAGCCAATTAAGAGTTGTGCCCCCCCTTTAATGAGTTGCGACTTGAGCCACCAAACCAAATTGGAACAGTACAATTTGTGATTAATGCCCGTTGCCCCTCCAGAGATCCAATTTGTGTCCAATGAATATTAATTCATGGAAAATTGGTCCCTTCCCATAAATTTTTATGGTTGCCTTAGAATTGTGTATGTGCAATTAAGTCCCTTCAACACAATGATGTGTTTGATATATAAAAAACCCTTTGATTTTGCTAAGAGACATGAGACATGAGACATGGACATGCCGATTAGAGGAGAGAACAAATAAAAAAGAGATAGAGGGAGAAATACATAAAGGGCGAAATGTTGAAAATTTGAAATTGATTAAGAGAAAAAAGGAAAAATTGAAATAGGAAAAATGAATGGAATTTAAAGAATAATGAATTGTAAAATTGGAAATAGAATCAAAAATTAAAGTTGGATAAGAAAAGTAAAGTAAAGAGAAAAAAGGGCATGAGATCATAAATTATGCTTACAGGTAAATATTTATTAATAGGTACTCAAATCATAATGGAATGAATTTGACACAACAGAGTTGATTCAGAAAACTTAGACCACAAAGTGGAAAGAGAGATTTGGATCAAATTTGGATGTGAAAGTTTATACATTTGTACTTTATTTAAATACAAACAAACAAAAAAAATATCAATTTTCTTAATCATCTTTGAATTAACCCTTTTTCTTATTACTATTATTTTTTGCAGGAGTAGCCACCTGCCATTCAGGATAAGAAGAATCTCTATCATGATGTAAATAACTAAAAATTCTTATAATAATATATTACATCCATATTTTTTTTTCTTAATCATATTTAACACATGGATCAGTAGATTAATGTAATCTATCTAAAGCTCCTGAAATTATAGAACTCATTTTTTCTTCTGGTAAATTCTCATTTATGTATTGAGAGTCTCTTACTAAATTGACAATATCTGCTCTTGTTCCAAATCCTTTTGGCAATCTTGCTGAAGCATCTCTTACAAGAGATAATATAGTAACATAGGTAGGTCTTTCATTCTTAAGTAATTCATGTTATCTTGGTTTTTAACTTGATCCTGATATTAATTTCTTAGCCACAGGTGCAACTGTTACTTTAGAACCATCTATGCAAGTAAATGTATAAGGTTGAAGGGGATTTTAATATCTTTCTCTTTCTTATTTCCAATAGAACTCTAACCATTCTCTATTAGTTTATCCATTAGGAATATTAGACTCTTAAACATTTTATGTTTGATTTTTATTCTATTATTTTATTGATTTTTTAGCTTGCATCAAAGCCAAAGTCATTGCTGTTGTAGCAACTGAAGTTGATGTTAATGGTGGTAATGGTGTTATAGGAGTAATAATAAATAAGGATTAGGCTGATGGTATAAATTACTATTGGATTTGAGGTTGAGGTTATAAGGAATATTATTAAACATTGGCTGATGATTATGATTGAGATGTTTATGTTGAAAACCCTTCCTCTTCTAATTCTTCATTATCATCTAATTTCATTTATTTACTTATTTCATCATCTTCAGAAATTGATGCTGGAGATCTTTAAAATATTATTCTTTTTTTCCTTTAGAGTGCATTCTAAATTCTGTTCTGATCTTTATGAAAACTGTCATATAGATTTGAATAGTATTCATTCAAATGATTTTTTGAGATTTTCTGTTCTAATTTATCACAAATTTCTTTATTTCTGGTAAAATATCCACTTTTCATTTTCATTAGGAAAATATTTAATGGGCTTCCGAAATGAAAATTTTTATTGCCTTCTATCACATCTTAGAATAATTGTAAATCAGCTTCAGGTAATAAACAACATAAGGAATCAATCTCTTGTTGTGTAAAATTCTCTAGAGAAAAGACCTATTATATTATATCTCATTTACATTTTCTAAAGAAGACAATGCCATAATACTCAATGGGAATAAGTATTATTGTCCTTTATAATATAATATGATTTTGTCACCCTAAAATACTAGAAAATATTAACACAACATTTACTCACTTTAATCTTCATCTTCTCCTTCATCACTTGTAAATTATTTAAAATTATCATACAACATTTCTAAACTATATAATTCATACAATTACATTATTCTACAAACTACTCTAAGTTCTTTTTATTGATTTAGAAAGTCTTTTAATAATGATCAACACGCGAATTCATTAAAAATTTAGAATATAAAAAATAAGTTATTATAAATTCAAATTTAGGGTTCTTTTGAATTCTTTACTTCATTAATTACAGAGATTATATCTATAATCTTAATTGGTTTTGATACAAAAGCATCAAATCCTTTTTATTAACATTTCTCTTTTTCTTTTAAATCATCATATCCAGTCAATGCAATAATATAGCTTTTTGGAACTAGATTGTTATTCTCCTATAATTATATTATATGATGTCAATTACCAACAATCGAATTTATTCTGTAGCTTCATATCCATTCATTATAGGCATTGTTAAATCCATAAATATATATTAATATCTTTTATCATTTATCATACCCATTTTTATTTTTTGAATTGCTTATTCTCCATTATATGCTTCTTCAACTGTAATAAAATCATATTTGGTTAAAATTAATCGAAATGCAATCACATTTACAGGTGAATCATCTACAACTAAAATTGTACATGGTTCTGGGAATAGCATTTTCATCATATCATCAATAGATTCAGTTATTTTTAAAGGTTTACGTGGTCTATTTTAAGTAGCAGGTGATTCCATACTATCAATATTATATAGAGGAGTATTCATAGAGCTATCAACTTATTTATTATTTTTCTAAATCTATTTTGCATGAATTATTTCACTACTAAATTCAAGATATTATTCTATATTTTTTTATTTTGAATGATCAGAATCTTCAACACTACATAAAAAACATAAATTGCCAAAATTACCATGATTTTCATGTATAATTTATGACTTTTTTTATGTTTCTTTTCTTTAAATCTTTCTTAATTAATAAATTGAATTAGATAATTTTCTATCTTAAATATCTTGAAGAGTTGAAATACCTTTTTTATTTAATTTCTTTTAATTTTATATACAAGGTGCTAAAAGAGATTAATTAAATATTGTAAATTAAGATGTTAATAATTAATTAGCAGAATTTTAATCATATTACAATTATTTTGTATCTTATTTATAAAAATTTGTCATTTCTTTTGAATTAGTAATAGTTGTTAAATTTCTTTAATCATTATTAATATAAACATCAAAACTAAATTTAGAACCTATTCCAACTTGACTTATCAATTCTATATTATCAGTTGGTCCTAATAATCCTACTAATTTTTTACAAATTACTAAACCTAATCCTATACCATGTTTATTTGATCCATTATTAGTGAAATCAAATGTTCCATACATTTAAAATAATTTAGGTTTAATATTATCAGGAATTCCTACTCCAGTGTCTGAAACACTTATTGTAATAAGTCTAACTTGTTAATTTTCAATTTCACTATTTTTATAATCAACAACAATATCAATTTTACCCTTTTCTGTAAATTTTAGAGAATTACTCAATAAATTCAATAATATTTATTTAATTCTATTAGGATCTGAATACATTAATCTATCTCCAAAAGTAATCTTCTTTTATACAATAATGCCTTTCTGATTTGCTTACAATGAGACTAAATCAATAATTTCTTAAACAATGGCTTAAATATAGAAAGTTGTATTAGTTAATCTTAAGGAATTCTTTTGAATCCTTGAAAAATCTAGTATATCACTGATCATGTACAATAATAATTAAGCCCATTTTTTAAGTATAATTAAATAATTAATTTCCATTTAATCAATAACTATTCTATATAAATTATTATTATAATAAATACTATTCTAAATATTAAACAATAGCAACAATTCCATTTATTGGTGTCTTGAAATCATGTGATACACTTACTAAAAGATCATCTTTATATTAGTCTCTCAATTTTAATTCTTAAATTTATTATTATTATTATTTTTCATTTTATGATTAGAAAATCAGCATAATAGCTGGCTACTATTCCCAAATAATTTCTAGTACATCAATATCAACAGGAAAGTAATTTTTAATTTATTCTTTTTATTATAATGATGATGAGTATGTTTCAAGAGTACAATGTTCAAATAGTTTTTTACTATGATATTAATATTATCTATTTTTTTAAAACTTTTTTTAATTTAAATAAGTTGCTAGACATTCTTTATTTGATTTAGATGTAATATTCTTTATAATTTAAGGTGTAAGTCCATGATAATCAATTTTAAATTAATTCGTCATGAACTTGTATTCTAACATTAAATCATATCATACACTCATCTTGAATGATGCAAACAGAAATAGGAAGGGATTCTTAAAAGAAATCAAAGATTTACTCAATCTAATGTTTTTCAATGTTTGGTGTTTTATACTTTATATATAGAGCTTTATTATTAATTCAAATGATTACTTCGAATAATCAAGATCAAATATCCAAATACGGTTAGATATGACATTGGTTATAAGTAATAATGATTCCTAAAAATTAAATAAAAGAGGCAAAACACAAAATATATTATTTTAGATGTGTCAAGTAGAATGTATGAACTTAATAATAATCTCATACTTAGATAAAAACCTAATATCTAATATAAACTATGGTTTTTACATCTTAATCCATCTTTAATAATTCATTTGAGAGACAAACACTTCCTATAAGTAAAACTAATAATATTTTTTATCCAAAACATCCAAATATTAATAGTAAATCTATTAACAAATAGTAATTATCTGTTTATTCAGTTACTCCATTATAAATTGCTAATATAATGGATTATAAAATCAATATGCCAATAGTAATTATCATTTATTTTATTAAATATCTCTATATATATACAAATAATTAATCATAAATATTCTAATACAATTTTTTATATATATAAATATAATTAAAAATAAATATTTTATGATTATCCCTTCTAATTGTTAAGTATCTATAAATTTATATCAAGATATCATTAACTTCTCATTAATAAGCTATGTCAATATTTTCTTTACTATAGAAGGCACTAAAATTAAAAATGACTGAAACAATATTATTTTGTTATAAAAAACATGAAATATCTTAGCAACATTAATAATCATCAATTCCAGGTATGTCAATATCCATAAAAATAACTTTATATTCACATTAACTGGTATCATATTATCATATTATTAATTTAACTATTTAATTTATTTAGAAATGACATTTTTATCACATTTTATTTTATAATATATTTTAAGATGATTATAATCTTATATTACCATTAGTAAATGAAATTATTGCAGATTTTAAATATAAATATTCAATTTAATCAGCTTATTATCTTATTCAAATATTTATAATAGAAATATTTCTTAAATTTCAAATTGCTTTCTCTTTATGAAATATTTTGAATACAAATCATTATCAAATTTTTTTAATTTTTAATTTTTTTTAGTAGGATCAGAGCACTTTAATATAAACAATCTGATCCTCTCGTCTGAATTTGTTTGATTTTATTTATTATTAAAGACATGTCGATAAAATATGTTATATAATCATTATTTTGATAGAGCGTTTATTTGATTTAACTAAAAGACTATAATTTTTTCATTTCAGAATAATGAAGCAAAGATTTTTTATCTTTTTATTATAAAAAAGTCCTTGAGATATAAGATAAATTTTATATTAATCATCATAAATAATTGAGTAATAATAATTTTATATATCGGAAGATATAGAAAATAAATGATATATATAGAATTCTTAATATAAATTTAATCTATTATTTTAAAACTTGAAAATAAATAAAGCTTATTTTACTATATAAGTAATCATAGAAGCATAATTCTAAAAGCAGTATAATTTTAATTAATTGGCTATTATAATTTTGAGATAAATATCTTTGGTGTAACTTGCAGTGATGAGATGTCTAAATCAAATAAGGATTATATTAGTCTTCTACTTAAAAATTTGATTATAATATTTAAATAATATAATATGAAATAAAAAATCTCAATTATGATATTATATGATAATTAAATATTTATTAAGATAAAAATACTAATAATGTATGAATATCAAAATCATTCTGGGGATTATTAGTATTAAAATTGTTCATCAGACATTTGTCTACGTTTAAATTATTGGGCTGCTTAAATAATGATATGTCTTTACATGAAAGCATTCTCCCTGTAGATCTAGTTTCAAGAGATTTTCTAGCTAAATCATTATAATCTTGATTGAGTTCTAAAATAATAATTAAATTTAACTTGTTCTCTTTAATATAATTTATTTGTAAATTTCATTCTTTTCATTATCAGGTTACCAATAATTTTTATTATAAATTGATGAAGCAGATTAAAGTCGAGATAGAAACTTTTAATTTTCTTAGTTAATTTTGAATTTCTCGAATTTTCGTTAGTTAAGATTACTAACATGTGATAATGATAATGGTAATTATCCAGAACTTTAACTTCTTAAATTATGTCTCTAAATATCCATCATTTTAGATAACAATATATTATTTTAATGCATGATTTTATTCTCTTCCTCTTTATTAATTTTTATATATAAAATTACAATGACTATATTTGTTATTAACTTTAGATAACGAATGAGATGGTTTCCATGGTTCTCCATTATTAATTGTCTTTCTCATGTTTTTACAATTTAGTAATAACCTCTCTTAATCAGAAACCAATTTCTTTTTCTAACATATAGGATTAATTGAAATTATATTCCACATTATAATTAATATAAAAATATATAAATCATGCAACTTACACATTTACATATTATCTCCTCTTACTCTTCATATTTTCTATTGCAAATCTCCATCTCCTACACATTATTATACCACAACCTAAGAAGATAATAAAAATTATAAATCCTAAAATTAAAACAACTTCCACTATTAATTATGATTAAAAGTCTAATAAAATTTCATTAATTGACAAACTCATGAAATGTTATTCATGACAAACAATGAATGGATTTTTTTCTGCATTATTGCATTAAGTGGAATTAATAATTATCATATAACTTTATTCAATTTAATTTTAAGATGAACAGATTATTTCTGGATACTTTTCTATTATAATCATAACAAATAAGTAATTAGGAGTGAGGCCTAATGAATACTCAACTCTTGAATTTGAATATTCATTTTCAGAACTATAAATTCTTTAGATTTTTTCAATTTGAGGTATCATAAAATCAGTTTCATCATAAAAGTTTTCATCAATAAAATCACGATATATATTTGTTTTTACTAATTTATGAACATCATAACCTATCAAAATCTAATATTCTCCTATTTATTAAACATCTATTAACTCTATATCTTATAAATAGAATTTATTATAATAATATTCTTAATTTTATAAGTTTATTAAAATTTCAATTCCAAATCTAATTTATTTATTTGTCTATGTAATAACTAAAAATGAATTATTTTTATAAACAAAAGAAATTGGATTTTCAATTGGAATAAAAAACTCTAATTTATTAATATATTTAAGTACTATCAATAATATAATTGTCGTCTTTCAAAGATACAAAATGAATTCCTCTTTTATCATCTAATATAAATAGATAATTTTCATGAGTTTGCACTTTTATTACATTATAATCTAAATTAATAGTATATATTTTCTTTAATTCTTCATTAACATAATTATAAACAATTATTCCTTATCTACCAGCAACAACAAAAACCCTATTTGAAATTTCATCATAATAAATGTCATTGATGCTTTTTACTTCCTCTATTTAATGTTTTCTACTTTCAGGTAAAGTGTCATTTGTCCAATCTAATACATCAAAACTTATAGCTTCATTTTCTGAAATAATGAATATTTAATCTCTAATTTTTAATAATCTAGGTTTTCTAAATTAATTCACTTTTAAATGTTTAGATATATCTATACTTTTAGAATATACATTCTAAAATATACTGAATTTTTTATACTTTCAATTTTGTTTCGTTAAATTCATTTCTTACTACCAAAATTTCATTATCACTTGTTAATATAAATGCTGAATAACCAACAACTACTAAATCAGTATATTTATATTTGCTATCATCAGGAAGTTGAATTAGTATTTAATATTCAATTTTTATTTATCTTTCCAAATAGGAGCATCCTTATTAAAATAATTAAGTATTATTAATCTTTTCATAATCACTTATATTTCTTGATTTGCTTATTCCATTTTTGTAATACAAATCTAAGTCATATGCCTTAGGATATTTGACATGATGAATATTATCAGTATTAATTGAGACAGCAGATTCTGATTGATTAAAATTGTCTATTTTTATTTATGGTGTTTTAGTCCAATTAGAATAGGTTAATCCTAATAGTGTAGAAAGAATTAATTATGAAAACATTAATATAAATAAATAAAATAACTTTAATAATCTCAAATTTTATTATTATTATTGGAATAAAAAACTAATAATGAAGGTTTCCATTTATTATGTATTATAACTAATGATGTAGTTATTAATGAGATATTATTTATTTTTCTAAAGAATTAAATTCTTTTCATATTTTATTATTAATTATAATGTGATATTGGATAAAATATTATGATTTAATTGTGTTATCTTAAATAGAGTTATAGAATTTATGATACTTACATTATTTTATATATAAAGACTCAAATAATAATTGTTTTTAGTATTCTATTGCACTATTGTTATTTATAATATAAATTTTAATTTATTAATATGTCAACTTAAGATGAATTGAAAAAGCTTATGGAAGAAAAGAGAAGATAAAAAATTAATTAAATAGAATTACCTAAAAATGCTTATTTGATTGATGGAAAAATAATTGTACTATTTTATTTAAATTATCATTTAGTGTGTGGAATGTGAATAAATCAATGAGACTTTGATAGATTTCAAAAGACATTTGATTGGCTAAAAACATAAAGATGCTTTGTAAGTATTGAAAAGAAATGCCTAAATAGATGTAAATAGATTAGAGAATGAAGCATTTAGAGAATAGAATGTAGGAAAATAAAAATTAACCAGACAATAAATTGAACGAATAAATAAAGAAGTAGATTTAGAATTTGCTGAAATAGAATAAATCACTTATGAGAGAAATAATTAAAATGAATTACCTGAAGATTTCTTTGAGTAATTATTCTTATTAATTTCATTAGTAAAATTGAAGTAGAAACAAAAATCTAATAATAAATGTAAGTTGAATAATAAAAGAAAATAAAAGATTAAAATGAATAAATTGATGAAGATGTTGATATTTAAAATGAGAAATTGGATAATCAAAAAAGAAGAGAGAAGATATTAAAGAATAAAAGTTTGAAATAAAAGAAGGTAGAATTTGAATTTCATGATGAAGGATCATTAGATTAAGATTTTGTATTGAATTGGAAATAAAAGAGTAACAATTGATAAATTATATAATATAATTAATATGTTAAATTTATAAACTGTTTTAAGAGGATTTGAAGAAAATGGATTAAAATAAGAGAAATAATGTAATAAGGATGAAATTTTAAATAAATTGGATATGATGGCAAGAAGAGAGTTTGATAGAGAAATTGCTGAATAAATATTTGAATAATGTCGACCTACATAAGAAAATTTGAAATTAGTATACAGACTAGCAGATGTTAGTTAAACCTTAGTTGATGCTAGTTTAATATTGAGTGAAAAGATAAAGAAAGCAGAACAATAATTAAAATAAATATCTTAGAATAAGACAATTTGTGAAAAATAATTAGCAGAAACATGTTTGCTATAATCTTATAATTAGCTGTTTATTCTGATACAAGATACTTATTTTTGACATTATTATGTGCAAAAAATATACCATTAAAGTTAAAATATTCAAATTGTCACATATAATTAAATTTGGGTGTTACAAATTAAATAGCAAAGCCAGAATAATAATATGATAGAGTAAATCCAGAATTCAATTAAGATTTTGAATTGTAATCAAAATATACTTAAATTTAATTTTAAGTTCAATTCCACCAACGACAACATTCCTTTCAATTCAATTTTACATATAGACTAATGCAGCTCCAGCATTTTTGTGGGGATAAACATATTTGTAAATTCAGTAATTGGATGATTAATCAGTAAAAGATATGGAACTATAATTGAAAGATCCATAAGGTAGAGAATTAGGAGCTAGTATTGAATTAGAAGCTTAAATAGTATTAAATAAAGTATTATTGTAAAAGATAATTAGCATCAATATTTATAAACTTAACTTTAGAAATTTGAATAAAAGATATATACACTTGAAAATGATTTAAATGAGTATAGAACTGATTTAGATGTAGTGGAAAGACCATTTAAAATAAAATTAATAAAGGAGTAAAGTTTCAAATAAGAACAGAATGATATTTTTGAATAATTTGATCGAAATTAATAAATGAATGAAATAGATTAATAAAATCCTAATTAATTATAGATTTCTTAACATAAAGAATAAATAATATCTGCATTATAATCAGAAAAACATTTAGAAAAATTTGATGAAACACCAGAAGCTCCTGAGATTTTATAACTTGGTGTCATAATATTCACTATTTATGGTTTGATCACTTTATTTGTTTGTTCTGCTAAACCATCTTTTTTAGATGTAATTATATAATTATTATTTATTAGGTTTTAGTTTGTCATGGTCTCATGTTTACTATCTTTATGGACAGATTTGAACCATTCCATTTAAAACTTGTTGGAGGAGGTCTTGTAGCTTCAATCTTTTATGATATTTTATGGATGAAATAATACCATGTATGATAGAGATCTCATTTCTAGTTATGGTGGGAAAGTGATGATTAAAACAATCCAGAATGGGGATTGAAGGCACAAACATTATTAAGATTCGTTTTAGTTTTTACTTATATTTAATTCTTGTACAAAGTATTATACATAATAAATATTTAATAGTTTGTTGTATGTTATTATATATATTAATTTCATAGAGAATCTATTGATCCTACAAAAAGATACATTTTTACTATATGGAGAATTTAGTATAAAGTAGGTAAAAGTAGGGATAGTTCAACTTGGTAATCAATATGATCTTATTTTTTTATAATTTAGTTTATTATTTTACTTAATTTAAATGATTATATAAATTAAAATAAATCATTCTTAATCATCTAATTATTATTAATTATTAGGATTATATTATGATTTTTCTCCAAAAGTTCTTTTAAATTTATGATCAATTGCCCATGCCTCATTTAAATATTAAGGTTTCATTTCATCTAAATATTAAATATTAAATTAATACTTATAAAATTATCTCTCCAAAATACTAAAAATTGTTCTATTTATTCTTCTGTTTTTAATTACTCTACAACTTATTTCCCATAATCAGCTATATCATCAAATTTATTAAATAATTCTTCATTTTCAATCAAATATTCAATAAATCCTGAAAATTATTCATCATTAATATTAATTAAATTATCTTCATATTTCAATTAATTTATATCATATTTATTAATTTAAATGAATTATTCTTAATTTTTTAATTATTCTATTTAATTAGTGAATTAAGTTTAAAATTTTTAATAAGCTTCTTTTGGTAGATTTTTATTTTTCTTATAAAATGCTTTAACCGATTTTATTAAATTTCTTACCTATTCTATTAATGAATCCTTTTTCTTTTATTTAATATTTATATTATATTTTTCTGCAATTGTCAATTTTAATTTATCATTTTAAGCACTTGCCTTTTGATGACATATTAAACATAGACATACAACATCATAAGATCTTTTACCTTATATATGTTTTTTATAAACAACTGGAACTATCTAAAAATCAATTTAATTCAAATTTTTACATTAAATTTTAAAAGTTCATTCTCTTTTCCACATATTACACATTAATTTACTCTTTCTATAGTAATATATTAAGCTTTATCAGATCCTTCTTCTTTAAATCCACTAGCTTCAAATTTCAATTAAATTGTAGGAGGATCTTCACTTATTAAATCTGCCAATCCTTATTTCAAATACCATTTAATTTTCTTTTCATCACAATTACACAAAAAGAAATTTTCTTTTGAATATATTTTACAATTTCCATAAGCTGGCTTTTTCCTTGTATATTTATCTCCAAATTCTGCTTACTTTTATTTTTTTTCATCTATCTTTTGTTATATTTATTAATGTTTTGTCTCTGGTGTTTACAAAGCTTCATATATTGTAGATAATCCAAATTTAATAAAATCTAAATTATAAATAAAACTTTAATAAAACCCTTTACAAAATGATTTAAAGTAAACTTCCCAATCTTTATCAATCTATTTTTAAATGTACTCTAATGTTAATACATATTATTAATTCTAGTAATTTTAATATTCAGGATAAATCAACTTGTAAGTTTAAATATTTTAAATATTTAATCTTTAATAAATATGAATAGCAATTAAAATAACTTATTCATTCTCCTCTAAACATTCAACAGGATCATTATGATAAATTCCATACTACTATCTAACTTTCATGATTTCTAATGCTATAAATTTAACCAATTATACAGCAACAGGTTAAGTCTATAAATATTAATAGATTGGAGACTTGTCATCATTTTCAACAACTAATTGCATTAAAAGATTGTATTCCTTTTAAACAACTTTAGCTAATTCTTAATCAGATAGTATAGGTTTCTTGTATTCTTTAAGAATTGCTTTATCGAATTTGCTTTAAATTTTAATTTACTATTTGATGTCAATTTTACTTAATTCTTACAGTAATACATATCTAAGATATGGTAAATAATAGCAATCATATGCAGCATAAATTAATTATTCTTAAGTTAAAGGTCTTTCAGCCCAATCAGATGTTTGCATATTAGTTTTGTAAGATTTAGAAACTTAATGATCACAATATTATTTCCACAGATAAATCAAAGCACTTCCTCCTTCTATTATAAATATAATCATAAATTTTACTTAATTTACACTAATCTGCAATTTCTTTGATATCACAATAATTTTATATAGTAATTTAAAAATCTCTTTTCAACCATTATATATCAGTATTACCTGCATAAAATACTTTAATTATTTTATCATCTTCAAAAATATTTTTTAAGACATTAATTAATTTTTAACTTTCTAATCCAATTTCAATAACATCAATAATATACACATCTGCCTCATCCTTAAATTATACAATACTAATTTATCCATCAAATCCAATATCATTTGTATGTTCAAAATCAACTCCAATTACATTTCCTCTCAATTAAAATTAATTTAATTCATTCTCATTAGTTATATATTTAAATAACTTTGTAAGATGTTACTTTTATTAATTTTAAAAATTGGATATGATTTCTTCAAAAGTATTTCCTTATACTTAATAAAGTTTTTAAAAAACTTGAATATTTTCTAATTATTCTTACATAAAAAATAAAATAATTTATTTAATATCACTATTATAATTATTAATTTTCTTATTATTAATCCAAATTTCCTATTCTGCCTATCTAGTAACTTCTTCAACAACTAATCTTTAATCTTCAATTTCCTTAAGTCGTCTTTCCTCTTCCATTCTTTTTTTTTCTTACTTTTCTCTTTTTTTCTTTAACAATTTCTTCATATTTGTTATTACCTTCTTTTTAATGAATTTGAATATTCAATAGTAATAGTTTCTTCAATATTATTTAATATATTTTAATAATGTTAATGAATTACAATTAAAATTAGTAGCATTATCATTTTCATCAACTAATTAACTTAAAACATTAACATAAACCCATGTTATATACTCATATAATAAGGCAGTTTCTAAAGAATTTCTAAAAACACCTAAGTCTTATAACAATATTTAATTTTGATTTAAAAGGATTTTTAAGTGATTTTGATATATTTATGCAAACAATTTTTTAATGACTTTGTTTTTATATTTTTTAAAAGATTTGATATTGCAATTTTCTTGTTGAATCTTCTTCTTAATCTAATCTTTATTTATTAAACAGCTTATAATAGTTACATTTCTGATAAAAAAGAAGTCTTTTTGTCTTTCATTTTATTTCTATTACTACTTCATTAATTTAATTTCTTATTCTTCTAAAATAAACATATTATTAATATATAAATTAAATAAAACAATCATAACAAATCATTCAATTTTTGAATTCTTTGCTGCAAGTTTAATTGCTTCAATCATTTAATTCCAAAATTCATCAACAATTACTTTTCTTGCAAACAATAAAGTTGGTTCAAATCCATAAACATCTTATTTATCAACAACAGTTCTTCCATAACATAATTTAGAATCACACTCAACTGCACAATAAACAGGTTTTATAACATACAATTCTGGATGTAATGCATAAAATACAGCAACGGCTAATCTTAAGATCAATATATATTACGATCATGAATTGGAGGATATTCAAATTCTTATGCCTTATATGCAGCTTAATATTCTTAAAGCATTTCCAAACACCAATCTGAGAATTTAGAATTTATATTCTTAATTCTTTATTAAAGGGGTTCTAATAATTAACATGTCTAAGATATTAATAAATTATTGAATAGTACGTAAGTTAAATCTAACGAAATCATCACCAATTTCAATGAATGTTATCTACATGTATCAATTACAAATTGGGCAGCCTCAGGATCTGAATAAATATTGTATTCAGAATTAGGTGTAACATTTCCAAATCCTGATGTTCCACCCATAAATACTATCTGTTAAATCTAAGGAATTATGTCTTCGTGATCCTTCAATAATTTAGCAATGTTAGTCTATGGTCCTGTGATAACAATAACAAACTAATTTAATATATTTTAATACTTCTTGATCTTTAGCAGTCTATTTAATCAAATCATATAATTCAATGTTTTCTAAAGGCTTGAAGGAAGATATCAATCTATCAGCTGCATACAATCCTAACATTTATTAATTAATTTACCTTATGAACCATGCATTTTAGTTGTAGCTCTTGTAGATTTTAAAGAAAATTCTGCTCCTTTATAAACTGGTACATCAGTTCGTCCTACTGAACTTAATAATCGAATTGTATTATCTGTACAGTTTTCAAGACTATTTTTAATACAAACTCTTACCTTGTATTACCAAAACATGTGGAAATTCCAAGTAAATTAGATCTTGGATGAAACAATGATAAAATGACTGCCATAGCATCATCATTGCCAACATCACAGTCTAGCCATATATTTACTTTATTAATGTCCATTATAGATAATTCAATAATTAAAATATTAAAATCATCACTCATTTTCAACATAAAAATTCTTGATTCATTAATTATTACTATTTTTTAAAACATTCATTAGAATCCTTTTCATTATTGCTACTAAGTAAAAAACTCTGATCATTAAAATTCTTTTTCAATACCAATAACTATATATTAAAGGATTCCTTCTTTACATAAAATTTTGATAATTAACACTTTCGATTATATGAAAATGCAGTCTACTATTTAATATTATATCAATCTTATCATTATTAAGATATCTTTTCATATCATCTTAAATAATATCAATAAGTTGTATTTATAATGTCTAAATCATATTAACATGTAAATATTTATTTTTAAATTTTATTTATTCCTATTACTTTTAATTATGATATTTGATTCATGAATTTTTTTAAGTTTCTAAAAGAACTTAAGAAGATTTTTAATTTAAGTGTTCATACATAATTGTTAATTTGAATTAATTTTTATGATTTATTTGACTAATATATAATATGATATTTAATATAATATATATTATAAAATGTTAAATTTCTACAAATGATTCATTTATTTTTTATATCATCAAATAAATAACCTATTATATATAATAAAGGATGAAAGATTTTAAAAAAATTGATTTATGAATATCTAGAAAAATATATTTTTTAATCCACTTTTAATTAATTAATTCAGGTATTTATAAATGTGAAAACTATATGATTAGTTAGATTAAATCATATTCAGATTAAAACAATATAAAAGGGGGTAAGAAGATTAATATTAAATATCTTATACAAATTAATTAAAAATGACTTAAGAATACAAAATTTTATCATAATCGTTTCGAGATAACCTTATCTTTAATAGAAATATGATTAAAAGGGTTTATTTACTTCAAATTTTTTTTAATTTTTAACTTGCTTGTCTTTTTTTCTATATGTTTTGAGAAGTTTAGAGAATTAACATAATTTATTTCATCAATTTGAACAATATGAAAACATTCTTGTGGTACTTCTGAATGATAAATAATATTTTCAATTTCTTGATTTTCTTCTTATTTTTTACTTTCCTGTCTTGATTTATAACTATTGATGGATTCTAAGATTTTTTCATGATTTAATTAGTATATAAAATAACAATCCCCTTCTTATTATTTATTTTTTTTGATTTTACCACCTATTTCTTTTGTTTCATCTAGATCATCAGATATCCTCATTCTTTTGAATTCAAAAAATATTGATTCTTCATTTTATTTTGATTCTTCTTCATTTTAAAAGTATAGTTCCTCTTAATCTTCTTCTTAAGTTATATTGTATTATTTTTTTTTTCTTTAAAGTGGTTTAATAATATTTCGAAACATAAATTAATAAAATTTGGAATGTTATTTATGCTGGATAAGTATAATCCTATTTCTATTAAAATTAATTTGATAATGATTTTTAAATAATTACAGAAAATTTAACAAACTTAACAATGTTTAAAAATGTTTTCTGTAATTATTAAAAAATTTGGCTATTTAAAAACTCTTTTGTTACTATTATATATTGTATTATAAATATTATGGATTAAATTATTCAAAAATTTATTTATAAAAAAGAATCAAGAAAATAATAGAAAATATATTAAGCACTTAATAAACTTTATAAAAACAGAAAGTATATCATAAGGGAAATTTATTAAACTGAGAAAAATTATGTAGAAGACTTAAAGTTGATTTGTGATCTGGTGGTTGATAAATATATATAATAATATGGAATACAAGAGTCAAAAAAAGTGTTTTCAAACATCAAAGAAATTGTAGCAGTTAATGAATGGTTTTTTGATAAATTGACATAAAGAATTTAATCAGAAAATCTAAAATACCAAAGAAATTATAAATTAGAAAAGGAATTAAAGGATTATTATGGACATGAAAATAGTTAGTTATTTTATTTTCAAAATGAACAAACTTTATTAACTAAGTTTGAATGCTATTATTAATATTGTGAGAGATATAATACAATAAAAAATTAAATTAGTAAATTAAAAGATGAAAATGATTATTTTAGATAATTAACAATTGAAGCAGAAAAGAATCCTTTAATGAAATCTAATTAATTGGAAGATTATTTGATTAAACCTATATAAAGATTACCTAAGTATATTTTACTATTAAAAGAATTAAAAAAGAATACACCAACTTAAAATAGTTGTTCTTTATTTAATGGTAATGAATAAATTGAACATCCTGATTATAAGAATATTTGTTAATTATTAAATGTATTTGAGAAAATTAATGATAAAAATAATGAAAAGATTGGTGAATTTTAAAATTTATAAAAAATGATAGATGTATAAAAATAATATGGAAGTGATAAATTAATTATAAATAATAATAAAAGATTTTTTGTTTTTGAAGAGAATCTTGAATATTATGTAAATGCTACATATAAAAAAAGCATATAATTATTATGTTTTAGTGATGCTATTTTATTAATAGAATTTGAATATTCTGCTCTATTTGGTGCAAAATAGAAATGTATAGCTATGAGTGAATTTTCACTTGCATCTGAATTCAACAAAATCAATTCTAAATAAGGGTTATTGTTTAAAGTAACAACAAAATAAAAAGTATTTATTTTTATTGCAAATGATAATAAATAATTAGAGAAAATAGAAAATCTATTTAGAATTACTATTGCAAAATTTATTCAAGAAAAAAAGAGTATGCTTGATGAAAGTGGAGGCAATTCTGATATAACTTGGGATTAAGCATAATTATAAGTTAGAATTGAAGGAACAGAAGAATATAATTAAGCTTCCCTTTAAAATTACACTGTTTATATTATTAAGATTTTATTATAAGATATAGAATGGAAAATATATTTGAGATACTCATAGATTTCTGCAATATATAAATATATTTAAAAACGTGATTCAAACAATAATGTATTAAAATTACAAAAAAGTAATTGGTTATAAATTCACAATAATAAATACTTAGATTCATTGAAAATTAATATAGAAGGATTTATTTAAAGTATATTTTAATGGAAAAAATTTGAAAAATATAAATCAAAAATTCTAATTAAATTAGGTTTACCTACAAATTTTAATATCTTACCAAGATTTATGGGAGGTTAAAGTGGATTAAAAATTTCAAGGAATCAATCAATAATAAATGAAAATTAAGATTCAATTGATATTTTAGCTGAAAAATTAAATTAATAATTTTTAGAAGAATTAAAGATTTCACATATGTTAAAATCTTATATTAATAAATCAGATGATAAAATTATCTCTTTTAGTATAAGAGTGATATTACCTAGATGTTTATAAGTAAAGGAAGAAATCATCAATGATCCTAATAGTAAAGTAGAAAGTTGGATAATTAATAAGGTAACAAAATAAGGTGAAATAATTGTAAGAATAGATAATTTAACAAAAGCAATGGAAATGTGTGAGATTATTGCTAATGCTATTTAACTTTATGAATTTTATGATTTTAGATTATTTGTAACTGATTAAAGAGGTAACAAAAGATCATTGGAAAATAATTAAATTGTATTATAATCAGTACCATCTCATAAAAAAATATTTCCATAATAAAGTTTGAAATTTTTTACATTATTTGATGAACCTTATTAATTAGAATTCTGTAAATACATTTTTTTTCCTTAAATTATTGAATCATATTTATATAAGTAAGATGAAACTAGATTAAAATTGTTAGTAGAGGAATTTCTTAAGGAAGTTAAAGTTGCTCATTTAAGTCCAAAAACATATTCAATTATTTATGCATTATATATTTTAATTTATAAAGAAAGTGATTATTAGGAAAAACACCCTAATTTATTGGATAAGGAAATTATGAACAATCTTATTTTTTCATATATTAGAAAATCATAAACAGATGAGACTTGGAATGTAATTATTTTATTTATTAAATTAGTATTTTGTGAAAAATTAATTGAAAGCAATATACCCTGAAATTAGAAATCTTGTTAGATAAAATGAGAAATTAATTGCTGAATAACAATTGGATTTAAAATAACCATAGATTTTTACAAATATCAAAAATTTGGCTAGGATTTCAATGATTAATTTAGCTTATTAAATACCTTTTTGGGGAGTTGTAAGTTTCTATGTAGGTATCAATATAAAGGAAGAAACAAATAAAATTTTAAAATCAATATTTTAAAATGAATTACCTAATATATATTTAGGTATATCATATAATATGTTCTAACTGTTAAGTCCTGGAAGAAAAAAATTACTTTGTTCTTTCAATTTAGCTTAGATTGATAAAATTACTGTAGAACCTATTTTTATGTTTATTTAAATTAAAAATGTTATGTTGAATAATGAAATTAAAAGCATTACTTTGAAATTCAAAACTATTGAAGGATATAAAATATCATCTTTAATAAAAGAATATAAAAATCTAAATTAGCAATATCCTTAATTATCATAAATCATATAAAATGAGAATTGAGATTCATTAATATGCATATTAATTAATCAAATATTCATTAATAAATTTTTGTATATCCCAATTTTATTTCAATTTGTTTAATTCTTCCTAATTCATAATATATTATAAACTAGATTATGTCTTCACAAATTATTGAATTTTAAGTAAATTGTTGATTTAATTTGTTGCTCTTTGAATTTTAGGTTGCATCATTAACTCAGATTTTTAAATTACAGGATCAGATCCTTTTCGTTTTCCTCTTTTTTCAGGTAATAATTATTCACTAACATCAGAAGTTGTTGATTGATTCTCAATTTTTGAATAATAAGTTGATGATGTATCTGCAGTGTACCATTTAATATATTTATTTTGTTTTTAAGGTAGAATTCCAATAGCCTCACTTAATATTTCATAATTTTCATTGGTTACATCATCACTATCATATTATTATTCAGATTTAGTAGCTTAGAGTTCTTCTTAGTATCTTAAGAATCTATCTCTATCAATTTAAGTATTAAAAACATAAACTTCTGCTTTTAGATTTAATTATTTGCATATAAGATAATGGTTACCTAGTTTACAATCAAAGATGTGTTATTCTCCTAATTTCAATTTTTTACTTTCTTCTTATTGAAATATAAATGATAATCCATGCTCTTATTCATTCCTAAGAATTAATTTTTCTTATTTCAAAAGATATAATCTATTAGGCATCAATTCATCATTACAAATGGTAATCATTAATTAAATATTATAAAATTATAAATATATATATTAGAATCCTAATATTTATGATATTATAAATTAATGTTCTATATCTATATGTTAATATAATTGAATTAAAAATGAAACTCATAATTTCATTATTCAATATAGAAATAATATTTATCAATATAAAATTATTAATATTTAGAATGCTTAATAATAATAATCCAACATAATATAAAAAAAAGATTAAGTAAAAATAATGTCGATTATGAATATTTTTAATATGTTCACTTTTTCTGTTTATTCTGAGATTATCTAATCAAACTTTAATTTGATCCAAATAAGGCACTTAGTCCTTTTTTTACCTTTTATTAAGATTATGCAGATTCTTAATTACCTGAAAGTTTGTCTTAGGCAGCATTTAATAATTTATAATATTATTAATAGAGTTGCTGAGATGTTACTTTTGGTTCTGTTTGAGTATATGAGACATTCTTTTAAATTGTTATAGATGATGTATTAGGAAAAGAAGGAGCATAAGTTTTATTAGGTTATTGTTAAGTCTGTAAGAATTATTTAGTTGGTTTAGAACTTTATCTAGGATTGATAAGTCCATTTAATGCAGATTATACAAATTTTGATTATTTCGAATTGGATCTTCCTGAATTCCTTTATTTAAGTGGATCCTATTTGCCAGAATCATAACATTTAGCTGAATCTTATTACTTAGCAGAATCTAATAATTTAGCACTATCTTATTATTATTATTATGATTTAACTTCTTAAGTTTATGGTCTATCCCTTATCTAATTTGAATCAGATATAGGTGGAGGAGAATGTAATTAAGAATTTAAATCTTCCTAATTTCTAATACTATATCTTTTCCTAGTAGCAATTTCTTCATATAATTTGTCTCTATATTCATTTGCTGAGAACTTCTAATTATCATCTATAGCTAATGTGATAACTTTGTCTGATGATGGCTCATCTATTTCATTATGAAATCTATTTATATTGTATTATTTATTACTTTGAAAAATAAGGATGAGCTAATGCCTTTTCAGCTGTAAGTCGTTTGTTTGGATTAAATTTTAATAAACGATACATTAAATCCAAGGCATCATCACTTGCAGTAGGAAATAATTAATGAATGGGTTTCACTTATGGTGGATTAATAGCTTCTAACATAGTTGAAGCCAAAGGACTTTGTATTGCTTCAATATCCTCAGTAGATGGTTTACCTGTCAATTGTAATATACGATCTAATTAATTTAATGTTGAATTGCCAGGAAATATTGGCTTTCCTGTCAACAATTCCCCTTTTATATAATTAATATAGTATTTATACCTAGAATGCAACCTACACTCCACATATCTACTCCTTTTGTATATGTATGAGATCCCAATAATATCTCAGGAGCTCTGTACCATCTAGTTGCTACATATTCTGTTAATATTGGAGAAGGAGCATCTTATCGACATGCTACTGATCTTACTAAACCAAAATCAGCAACTTTAACAGAACAATCACTATTTAACAGAATATTTGATGGTTTTAAATCTCTATGTAATAATTCTGCTGAATGCATATATTTAATGCTCTTAAGTATTTGATATATTATGTATTATTTATGAACTTCTTCTAATATACCTGCTCGTATTACAGCATGTAAATCTGTTTCCATATGTTCAAAAACTAAATAGATATCTTTATTGTTTTCTGCTCTATGAACATTATATAGTTTAATAATATTTTGATGATCCAATTCATAAAGGAACATAATCTCCCTAAATGTTCGTTGAGCATCTGTTGCATTTTAAAATGCATCAAATATTTTTTTCAATGCAACACATGTATTCTTAAATCTTTTGTCTATAGCTTTCCATACCTTAACTAATACAATATATATATTACAACTCCATAAGCACCTTTTCCTATCTTTCTAACTATCTCATATCTTTTTAATATATGAGGTTCGATTTCGTCTGACATTATATAATTATTAAAAATATATAATCATAATCAATCTAATTAATCCAAAATCTTATTCCCATCAATTTTTTGTCAATCATTTTTAATTCAAAACAGTCCTTTGTTTAAAACTATATTATTTTTCATTGTCTTTTATTTACATTTATGTAAAATTATTTATAAATCTAAATAATTTAATAATCTTTTTATTATCTATTGAATACTCTATTAGTAATTCACTTATATTTTCTCATTAATTTGATTTAACATTATTCAATACTACAAATTAATTTATAGATATTTCATCATTTTAATGAATGTTCTCCTCACGTTTATTAGTAATGAAAAAGAAATTTCAATAATTATTTAGCAATTAATAATCTCTAAAAGTAATTTGAGAGATTAATATATCAACTATTCTTAGAATTATTATTATTATTAAAATACAGTTAAGATTATAGAAATTATTAATATTATTTAAAAGAAAAAGAATAGTTTTCAAGTATCTAAATTCATTGATTCTCTTTTTTATATGAATTTCCATCAAAGATTGATTATTTATTTTCTGATGTAATACGTCATTGACTAAAATATTTAAACAGACTAAATTATCAATAATTAATATTAATTATTAATTTAAATAAAATGGGATGTACTAGTTCTAATTAAACAACTGATCAAGTTATTTAATAAGTTTCTAAATCTCAAATAAGAGAGAATGTTAAACTTAGAATAGGAGTCAACTTTGATATAGAAAATTCAGACACTAAAATGTTTTCGATTAAAAAAAATCCCATTGTATAAAGAAGAATTCTCAAATCAATAAAACCAAAAGTTTCACTTTCAAAATAATAAACAGATGAAACATATGGATCATTTTATTGAAAAATCTCTTTTTGGCTAACCCACTCAGAATGATATATAAACTTATAAACTTTAATTAATTATCTAATTTTATATAATCTAAAATGATTTCCTATTCTTGTCCTAATGAATTTTACCCAATTAATTCTCTTATCCAATCTTCTGATTAAAACAACAATCATGATGAATAAAAGACTGATTATATTAAATTAATTAGACAAATATTATAATACGCTTGATTTACATGTTATATTGAATTCAATTGTTAGGTATTCATCATTATTACATCATATAATAATAGAGTTCAGTTTATTAAAAAATATAAGATTTCAGTAAATAACGAACTTCATTTAAGGGAACAATAGTAATTTTAGGATGTAAGTCTTATATCATTTTTATATTACTTTAGATAATTATTGTATAACAAAAAAATAATACATATAAATTTATTATATCAATATTCCAGATATATAATTTTTTCAGCTATTGATTTATATAAAATCCATATAGTTAACATGAATATAATAAAAAACAATTCCTGTTAATTAGATAATGAAATTACAAGATCATTAGTTTGATAAAGAAAAAATGATAAATTAAAATAAAGGTGTGAAGATTATAATTTTCAGTAATTATTGATAATTTAAACAGAATATATGAATAATTATTATCAACATGTATTTATAATTAAATAAAATTTATATAATAAGATACATCTAATTTAAGATTTACAATTTATGAAAATAAAAAACTGAATGATATTAATAATGGGAATAGAATTAATGATAAAAAAATGATATTTGATAAAGATCATATTTATTATATATTATATTTTTAAATATTCTCAGTATATTTGCTATGAAAGAACTAAAGGTTTTAACTAAGCTAATTTTGATCAAATATTATATTAAATAATAAATGGCCTCATCTAAGAGTAGGAAGATTGAATATTAAATAAAAAAGTTTAATTCATTAATATTAACAATTTATTATTGTGATAAATATAAATATATCATCATGGGGAATATTTGTAAACCTTAAGTTTAGTTACAAGAAGAAAATGAGGTAGATTTAAATAAAAAAGCTGAAATTGAAGAGCAAAGAAAAAATGCAATTCATAAATAAGATAATAGCAACGACTAAAAATAAGAATCTATAACAGATGATCAAAAACAATAACAAGATAATTAAGATGGATAAAAGTTGAGAAGTGAAAATAATTAAGAAGTACTTTTAATAAATAGTTCTTTAGTTAAAAAGAAGAGAAAATAAAAAGATGGCATAAATAGCAGCTGTTATTGATTAGGAAGTAATATATGAAAATATCTAAAAACAAGATAAAGTAAAAAGTCCTTTTGATTATTAACTATTATTGAATGCATTTTCTAATAGTTTTATATTTGCATAGTTGTAAGGCGATGACAAGTATCAAAAATTGAATATTATTTTGAGTAAAGGTCATTGAGAAAATGTTCTATTGTACAGTGAAAGATTAAGAGATGGTATTTAAATAAGGAGATAAGGGGAGTTCATATTTTTTAATTGAAAGAGGTTAATGCTAAATTATTATAAATAATGATGTAAAGAAAACCTTAAAATCTGGTGAAGCATTTGGTGAATTAGCATTATTGTACAATGCTCCAAGATCTGCTTCAGTGAAAGCTATAGGAGGTAATAAATTAAGTAATACTTAGATTGTGCTTTTTGGGCCATAGATAGAAATACAGTAAGAAAAGTGATTGAGGAAATCTCTTTGAAGGATTACGAATAAAATAAAGAGTTTATATAGAAAGTTTAATTTTTTGGTAATAATATAAAATAATAGAATAGAATCATTGACTGATGATTAAAGAACTGCAATTACATCAGTTCTAATAACACTTAATTTTAAAGCTGGTGAAATAATAGTAAATGAAGGAGATTAAGCAGATTCGTTTTTTATAATAAAAAAAGGAGAGATTGAAATTTCTAAAGGAGGGAAATAGTTGAGAATAATGTAATAAGGAGATTCTTTAGGTGAATAAGCATTATAAAGTAATTCTGTTAGAGGTGCAACAGCAAAAGCACATTAAGATGTTATATTATTGGCTTTATCAAGAGATGATTTGACTAGAATTTTGGGTGATAAAATATAGACTATTATGTTTTTAAATTTATAAAGATGGGCATTTGAACGTCATCCTATTTTGAAATAACTTACTAAATTATAAGTAGAAAGAATAGTAAGTAATATGGAATAGAAATAATTTAAATAAGGTGAAGTAATTTTAGAGAAAGGTTAATAATGTACTCATTTGATTGTTGTTTTAACAGCTAATATATAATATGGATAATAATCAATAGAGAAAGGTTAAATGTTTGGTGATAAGTTTTTGGAATAATAAAATTAAATTTTAACTGATTCTTTAATAATGAAATAAGATGGATTGATAAGTTAAATATAAATTAAAGTATTTTTTGAAATTATTGGTGGTACATTAGAATAAATCTTTTTAAAAAATGAGAAAGCACATGATAGATTTATTAAAAAAGAAGAAGGATAAAAAAAAGATTAATATGATCATTTTAAATTAGATGAATTAATATCAATAAAGAAATTAGGTTAAGGTTAATTTGGTAATGTCTATTTAGTTCATAATAAAATTGATAAGAAAAATTATGCTCTTAAATGTATATCTAAAGCTTAAATAATTGAATAAAATTTGGAAAAGCATTTAGCTTAGGAAAAATAAACATTATAAACTGCTAATTTTCCACTTATTATGCATTTTGTTAAAAGCTTTTAAGATAAAAATTATATTTACTTTCTAGAGGAATATATTAAAGGAATGGAATTATTTGATGTCATTAGAGAAATTGGACTTTTAAATACATATGATTCTCAATTTTATATTGGATCATTAATTTTATGTATGGAATATCTTCATCTCAATAACATCATTTATAGAGATATTAAACCAGAAAATATTATGGTTGATGATAAAGTATATAATATATATTTATTATAAGGGTTTTATGAAATTGATTGATTTAGGAACCGCTAAAAATCTTAAAAATAAGAATGGTAGAACACATACTATTATTGGAACTCCTCATTATATGGCTCCAGAAATATTATCTGGAAAAGGATACACTTATTCAGTTGATTTATGGTCTATAGGTATATGTTTGTATGAATTTATGTGTGGTAATGTACCATATGCAGAAGATGCCGATGATCCGTAAATCTTGATATAAACTATTTAGATATGATATTTATGAGGAAATCTAAAAGAAACCTTTGAGTTTTCCTTCTGTCCTCAAAGATAGAAAGGCTAAAAAACTAATCGAATAACTCTTAAGCAAAACTCCTGAGTTAAGATTAGGATCATCATATGCAAGTTTAAAAAACAATTCATTTTTTGAACATTTTGATTATGATTCATTAATGAACAGAGATTTAAAACCTCCATACCTTCCACCTAAAAGCAAACTATAAAGTGATAAAGAAATCTAAAAAGCAATATAGGCTGGAAAACTTATTACTGAAGAAATTAAGGTATCATCAATTACTATTTTTAGAATGATCCAACAACAACCAATAACATATATAAACCAGAAAAAGCTAGAGATCCTAATTGGGATAAAGATTATTGAATAAACATTTATATCTTATGCTATGACCACAAAAATTTATAAATTAATCAATATCTAACATTAAATTGAATTAAATTCATCTAATGTAAAATCCAAAATAAAGCTTTATGTCTTAAAAAAACTAATCAAACTATTGTAAAAATGAATTTATAGTTTTTTATCAACTTTTAATCGAATTAATATATTTATTTATATCTATCATTGATTTTTTGAGTTTTAATTAATTAATCTGATTTTTTACAATATCCATTAATTTTGTCCAATTCTATGTAAGAGATTATTGTTTTTAAGTTGAAACCTCTTTTTTGTTATTTGCTTGTTGAATTTTTTGATCTGATTTATTTTTAGATAATTAATATCTAAAGTAGTAGTATTATATCCTTATATACATTTTCTTAAATTTACTCTGAATATTAAATTTAAACAATAAACTTTTGTAGAATAATTCATTATTTTAAGCTTCTAAATTAATTTCATTTATATTTTCTGTACTTAAATTTCTTATGCCAATATTTAACAATCATGTAAATACTCTCTATTTAATGATGCTATATGATTAACAAATATCATCACTTTTTTTCTATTTAATTTTCATTAATTTGAATCATCCATTTATTTAATATCTTTATTACAATATTATCATTTTTTTATCTCTATTACATTATCCTATTGATCCTTAACTTTATAACAAATTATTTGAAGTTTAATTCCAAGAGTGATTACAATCTCTAAATATTTTAAGTCATCAAAATAATGTGTATTTTAAAATATCTGAATATCGAAGAGATCCATATTATCCTAATAATCACTTTTTCCATATCTTTTACAAATGTTATTATGCTAATTAAGAAAATATAAAATGCTAAAAGTATGCATATAGTAATTAATTTATTTAGTATGATTAAAATAACAAGTCCACTGTTAAATTATAGATTCAAAATGTTAAGAGTTTAATGTAAACCATATGATAATGTTGAACTAATTAGAGATCAAATAATGGATGTTATGAATGAATATCTCTAAGAAAGTGATGGGTAAGAGTGCTTATTTATTTGATAAGAAAACTTATTAATGTAAAAGTAATTTCAAATAATCAGATTGCAGTTTATTTTGTTACAGGAATAGAAATGGATGATACAAATTGGGAATAATAAATTAGTAGAGGACCTCTATAAAAATTTACTATTTTATCAAATTCCATAGAAATTAGACCTTCGCGATTTTGAATTGATTTATAATATTGATAATTTCTATATTTATTTTTAATTATACACAATGGGAAATAACTAATCATAAAATAAAAATCATCCCAAGCCTAAAAGCAAGAAAAAGGAACAATTTAAGAAATTATTTGTAATAAAGAAGGATATGTAAGGATCTAAAATATATTTAGTCTATTTTCCAAGTTATCTTAAAAAACTTCATCACTGATTACATGTTTTTTAAATGTTTAAGAGTTTAATAATCTCCTTCAAGTGTCAAAAACTACTTATTAAATATTTAGTTAAACCTCTGGTTGTTTTTAAATAGAATGCTAAAGACTCTTAAATATTAAATGTGAGTTAATATAATCCAAAAATTGGAAATTAATATTATAAAGTGTAATGAGCATTCCAATAAGAACATTACCTTATGGAGAAGCAATTAAAAGTGTAAGATATTAGATAAAATAATTCCCAATGTTTATAGAACAGAAAATAAATTATAGTGGGTTTTAGAAAGCCATTCTATATTATGAAAATTAATTTAATGAACAAAAATAAATTATCAAGAGTTTTGATTACATTGAAGCATTAAACTTTGCATCTAATAACACAGATATATTATTAAGAGTTAGGTAGGGGTTTGAAATTCATACATAATTACCAGAATTACTAATGTTAATATATAATTTGCATGATTATGTAAAATTATTTTGTTAATATCTGGAAATACGATTTTCTAAATGTAATTTAGAATAATTTATTTAAATTTGGTAACATTATTAGGGATGGATAAGTTCAGTAGAAAATTAGACATTTGATTTAATATTCCTATTTAATAATATAATAGATGAAAGCTTACCCTAATATAAGTTACCAAAATATACAATTAGACATTTTATGGTATGTGAATGGATGAAGAAAGCTGATAAAGGAGAATTGATTGTTAAATTAAGAGAAGACTTTAGATTATAAATGATAGAATCTAGAAATAAAAATAAAAAATCTTAGTTGTTGAGATAATATATTTAATATCTTATTGATATTAGTACTAATTAAAATAATATTCAATAATATGGTTATTATAACTTCTAATATTGTTAAGAACTTAATTAATTAATTAATTTAGCAATAGATTTAACTCCTAAATTAAATATAGAGTATTAATAAGATGAGGAATTATTAATTTATATATTTGGATAGTATGTATATGATTATTATGTGTTTGAATTGTCATCTGCATTTAGAGTTGATCAGTTTAAATGTGAAATTAAGTAATTTCATTAAGAAAGTTAATAGATGTCTAAAATTTTAGTTAAAAATTTTGAAGATTAAAATCTTTAGAATAATTTATTTGGAAATGAAGTTTAGAACTTTAAATACCATTTATAGTCATAATACAATGTTTAATTGAAAATAAAATCTTTATTTAAATAAATAACTATTATGGATGATGATATAAATAATTCTTCTGAGAACATTATAGCAGAAAGTTTAGGGACATCAGGTATTTCATTAACATCTACAAATTGCAGTTCAGTATTTTCAAGTGTAAAAAATAATGATTAATTATATCATTATATCAAATTTTATTAAAAAGAATTATTTAATAAAATTTAAAAGTTTTGTTGCAAATAATAAGATGTATACCAGTATTCATTAGAATAGGAACCATCTAATGACATTATATATGATGTTCCAGAATTAGCTGAATATGATTATATTTCGCATTAAAATCTAATGGATTTATTTTACAATAGAATAAAACGATCCAATGCAATATATTAATTAGAAAGAAGATAAACTATTTTGACATCTAATTACCCGAGTAATCAGTAATAAATCTAAACATAATCACTTAATCAAGCAGAATAAATGTTAAAATGCCTTTTAAAATGAATTTTAATTATTGTTTATTGTATTTTTGTATCTTGGTAAATTTCAACAAATAACTTTATATTAGAAAATTATTTTCTTACAAAAACTAAATTTAGGTTGATCATCATAATTAGATAAAAAATGTTATTTTTGAATTCATAATTGTGTTCTTTTTAAAATCATTCATGGTTTATCAAATATATTAATTTTTGGTTATAAAATATATAACATAAAATAATCAATTATTTATAATATCATACTATTTTATTAAGGGCATTCTTCATGTTTTTGAAATTTGTTATTACTTAATTTAATTTAATTTCAACTTAATCTTTTTCTATTTTAATTTACTTAACTGCTTAAAATAAAGTTTAAGTTTTTTAATCTTTTTCTTTATTTAAATTTTCCAACTCAATTTCTTTTTTTTACAATTATTATATTTGTTATTTTTATTCAAAATTTTATTTATTTAGAGTAAAAATTTATTCCTCAGCTTTAATGATTCTTTCTTCGAATCTTTTTGCTCTATCTTGAATATAATATTTCATTTCTTTTTAAGAATCTAATTCAACTTTCTAATCATCTATTATAGATTTTAATTAATAAATCTATTTATTTTATTATAATAGAAGTCTTGAGAAGTAATTACATAGTTATTATAATTATTAGGATTCTAAATGCAAATAATTTCCATGAACTACAAATTTAGAGAAAGTCATTTGTAAGGCTTGCATAAAATCCTAAATTGTAAATTTAGGTTGATAAGTAGGTGTAGGAATGCACTTTCTACCAGTTTAGAATAATTATTGATTAATTGATTAACTCTTTTTAACTAAATCAACCATTTCTCTTCTTGTTTATATAATCTAAGCTTTAAGAAATTGAACCTATAATGATTCTAGAATTAATTAATCAATATCCTTATATTCTTATTAAAGTTAAAGAGACAAATCACTTAAGGATTTAGCTTATTAGTTTGATTAAGACTATGTAATATTATTATTTTTATTTTTGTTTGTAGATTATACATGATTATTAGTTGTTTATGATTTAATTTTAGTAAATAAGTTAGTTTATGATTAAGTTGAAGTTTATTATTTTGACTATGTTTATAATTCTTCTGTTTCTCCTAAACCAAGTAAATCTTCATTCTGATAAATAGAATCATTTTATGATAATTATTATTTCTATTAAATTTATTATTGATTTTGGAATTTACCTTCAATTAATTCATATGCATCATTAAATATTTCATTCATGTATTATCCAACATTGAATTTGAAAACTAAAAATTTAGCAATTCCAATTTAAATAATTTCTTCAGGGATTTAATATAACATATCATAAAAATAACTAAATTAAATGGTTCAATTACTTTGATTCTACTCTTAAATATTTTATTTCATTTTTTAAAACCAAGGTTTTATAATTAACAATATAATTTAATAAGGATCGATTATTTTAAATGATGAAATACATTTGTTTGCTTGTCAACATTAAAGTAAATATATCTTTTGGTTCTAAAAATTATAAGATAGTAGATTTGTATTTTTTAGTCAAAAGAGTATAAATATTATTATCTTAATATTGTTATTTTAATATATTATATGCTCCTTTAATAAATAATGCTCCTGCTCTTATTTCTTTCATTTATTCTAATTCTAAAGATGTAACAAGATTATTCTTTTCAGCTAAAGTTAGTTTCTTTTATAATTCATTTACTCTTTATTAAAGTTGATTATTGGTTTTCAATAATAAATCATTTTATGATAGATATTTAATATTAATTTCTTCTAATTCTTTATTTCTGAATTTTAATTATTCACATTCTTTAACTAAATCAAATTGACGTTACTCATAATTATTTTTGATCTATGAATAAATGGAGATCAATTTACTTCTTCCATTTATTGCATGTAAGTGTCTTCAATATTTTTTATAATTTATTCTTTTGATAAAATAGCTTTGATCTAATTCTATAATTACAACTTGAGACTATCTATTTCATTTTATTGTGTCTAATAATCATTGATAATTTCTCTTAAACCTTTCACATTATCCTTAACTGATGAAATTTTTTCAACTCTCTCTTTATCTATACTAATATGGAATAAGAATATAATTTAATACATCTATCTAGTTTGTTTATTATATAATTTGTCTACATCTTTTTAAAGAGAAGTATCCATAAAAATCATAAATTTATATTTAGTTGGTTACAATATTATCATAGGTTATGCAGACTCTTCTTGTTTAATTTATTATTTCATTATTATATATTTTAATTTAATTAACGAATGAAGTATTTCTAAAATGGATTGAATCAAATTTGTCAATAAATTATTAGACCAGCAAGAGCAGAATACACTATATATGATTTATGTAAATTTACTTAAGTTTATGAACAGCCTCTTTTTAGATTTAGGAAGAAACTCAATATATAAGGGAAGATTTTGATATCATCAATCCTAGATAAGAAGTGATCAAAGTTAGTTAATATGTAGGGTAAAATAAAAGTGATGTTTGCATCATATATTTACATACAGCTAATGGTTCTAGAATGGAAGTAAGTAAATATGTTTCAATGATTATTAAAAATGGTTTTGGTTTAATTTCATTTGATTTCACTGGATCTGGAATGTCTGATGGAGATATTGTGACTTATGGACATAGAGAAGTAGGAGATTTGTAAACTGTTATAACTCACTTCCAATCATCATATAAATAAATAATTCTATGGGGAAGATCAATGGGTTCTGCTATTGCTATCTAATATATGCAAAGATTCAATAATTTAATTATCAAAGGAATGATATTGGACAGTCCTTTCGTTTGTTTATTAGATGTAAATAAATACTATAATTTAAAATTAGGTGATCTTATAAATGGCATCAAGCAGAACTAAAATTCCTAATTTCATTTTAAAGAGTTTATCAACATTTGTATCAAATGAACTCAAAAAGTAAGCTGGATTTGATTTAGATGATATTAATTGCTTAAAAAAGATATCTTAAATTAAATGTCCAGCTATTTTTGTCACTTCCAAATAAGATACTATTGTACCACCAGAATAAACTGAAACACTTTTTAAAGCCTATACAGGTATCAAAAAAATTTAATACATAAATTAATAACATAATGGTATTAGAGAGCATTCTTTTATTGAAACTCTTATCCATTGGTTTAAAAAGAGAACACCTATCTTTGAGAGATTAGGAGTGGGCACTCAAATTAAATAAAGAATAATGCATAAATAAAAAAATACGTTAGGATCAATTAAGTAGGTTTCTTTGGATCTCTACAAAGAAAGATCTTCAACACTAGAACGTTTTAATTTAATATTTATTTTAGATCAAAGAGTTATAAATATTTCTATATCTCCCAGATAGAAGATTATGGATTAAAAGAAATTAACAGCAGAGGAGAAGTATAACCAATTATTAGAAACACAAAGATCTCTTTATATAGATAGATCTGCCTCAGCTTAAAGAATTTAAATTAGCAACTCCATTGATTATTAAATGTCTCCAATGCCTCTAGCACCTTTGAGTAATAAAATTATCACTTCCTCGTAACATAATTATTTTTCTCATTCAAAACCTATCACTTTCACTAAGGTTCCTCATAAGACAAAAGATGGCACACATTTTTGATTTTATTTGTTTGATAAAGATTATTTGATTAAATTAATTTAGTTTTTAAAAGATGAATTAATTAATTTACATTTTACGATTAAATGTTTAGTACATTTCTTTTTTCATAAATTTTGTATATAAACAGTAAATATTACAGTATCGCATTAAAGTTTGAATCTAAATATCAATTAAATTAAATTAAAATATAAAAATTAAAATGGGATAAGAATGCTAGAAATGCAAGGCTTTCTCAGCTAAGGAAGAATTTGACATTTAGAACATGAATGAAGATTTTGGAGATGAGAGTCCTGATGTGGAGCAATCCTTTTTAGATGAAGAGGACGAAGTTAAAAAACATAGTATTTGCTATAATATATAGTAAAGACAAACCTCATTCTTTAGATAATTTTAATAGAAGAAGAATGTTTAGAAAAGAAGACACTTATGATTAAAATGATGGAAAACTATCTGCAAAAATAGAAAATAGAGATATAGCTTTAACTGAAGAACTAAGAGGAGAAGAGATGATTTTAGTTGATGGATCAAAATATTAAGGAAATGTAGTGAATGGAAAAGCAAATGGAAAAGGGAAGTTATGGTTAAATAATGGAGATATTTATGAAGGAGACATAGTGGATAATATTATTGAAGGAAATGGTGTTTATTATTTTCATAGAGGACCTATTTACAGCGGTCAATTTATGCAAGGGAAAGCTAATGGTATGGGTAAGGAGATGTGGTCAGATGGATCAATTTATGAGGGATAGTTTAGAAATGGTAAAAAACATGGTTAAGGAATATATAAATGGAGTTAGGGTTGTTTGTATGATGGAGAATGGTTTGAGAATATGATACATGGTTAAGGAAGATATGAATGGTCAGATGGTAGGGTAATTTTATTAATGTATCTATAGTGTTATAAAGGAAATTGGAATAAGAATCAAATGCATGGAAGAGGGTAATATAAGTGGAAAGAAGGAAAGCTTTATGATGGAGAATATGAATTCGATAAAAAATGCGGTTTTGGAATTTTTTAATGGCCTGACGGAAAATAATATTAGGGCTACTGGTTTGATGGTAAATAACATGGCAAAGGAGTAATGATCAATAAAGAAGGAAAGAAAAAGTTTGGTGAATGGGTTAATGGTAAGTTAATTAGTTGCAGTGAAGAGATTAATGTATAAATCATTCCAGATGGTTGGGCTGATAAGGTTTGATTTTTATTTTATGCAACTACTTAGTTTTAAAGGATTAATTTGTTTTAAATTACCATTTTATTTTAAAAATTATATGGAATTTTGGGCTGGTTTTAAAGAAAACTTTTATTATTATTAATAATAAATATTATAAATAAATGGCTAATCCTCATATACCTGTTGAATTCAATAAAGATGATGATGAATTGAAATGTCATCCTTCCCAAAGTGGTTCTACAGCCACTCCTACACTCTTTGAGAATTCAAATAATTCTAAAGCGTTCTGTGCATAATTTTTTGAAGACTAACTGCACTAAGATGGTAATTTCAATTTCATATGTTTAAGATGATGAGTTTGATGAACTAAATCAGTAATTAAACTAAGTCTTACTTAATGATTCATTCAAGCCCTCACTTACCTAGACTTTTACAGCTGACATGTATATTAATTTTTAAAACGATTAGGTCATCATATCTTAGTCATGAGAAGCTGACTAAAAATTCTAGGAAGATGTAATTAGAATATTAGAATGCCACTTTAAGAGAAAAAGAATTTGTATTCAATACTTATATTAAAAATGATATTGAAAATTTTAGTTTAGATAAGTACAAACATTATTTACTTGAAAAAATCATTGAAGTTGGTAAGTTTCAATTATTTAATGATTAGGTCCACCTTCCCACAAAAATCTTATATTAGATAGAATCTACAATCAAATACATAAACTCATCAAAGATCTCTATGCTTGCAAAGTTATGTAAAAGGGTTTAGAAATCATGGCATGTAATCCCTAAGATTCTCCAGAATAACTAGAGAATTATCTTTCCTTTATACATTAAGATAATGCTTAAATGAAGAAAATCTACGTTGATAAAATTGCTAATCAAATAATTTAAAAGAGTTTAGAAATCTTTGATGGAAACAATCTATTTAAATTACTCTAAATTCTATCAAAATATGTATTATTGAATATTATATATTTAGATTCTCAATAATAATAATAAAGAAAAGTTCGAATTATCAACAGATCAATATGGATGTCTTATTGTCAATAAAATAATTGACATCTATCCAAAATAATTTGATATCTAAACTAAAACAATTTGTAATAACATTATAGTTAGAGCTATCGAAAATAGTTCTTGTCTAACTAGAAGATAGTATGCTAACTATATTATTTAATAAATATTGGAAAAAGGACAAGAAGTCCATAAAAGATTATTAATGGATTAATATCTCATTAAAGACTTTATCTCAATGTCTATGGATAAATATGGTAGTAATGTAGCAGAAAAAGCTATTATCTATGCAGGACCTCAATGGAGATTGAAATTATGGGAAGAAGAAGTCTCAATTTCTGAAAGGTATATAAAAATAAAATAATTTTATAGCTCATTTAAGAAATTGATTAATGATCAATTTGCTAATTATCCAGTATAGAGACTATTTGAATATTTGGAACAATAATAAAGAAATGAATTTGTTGCTTTATTAAATAAATTACATGAGAGCAATCAATTAAATAGTCATGGATAAATTGTAATGAAATTTGCTTAAGCTAATTATTCTGTTAAAAGATTTACTCAAAAGATCGTCTAGTCAGAATTAAATAAATAAAGCAAGAATTAAGATAAAAATAATAATAACAATAAGTAATAAAAAAATCAGAAATAATAATTAAATCATTAAATTCCACAAATTTAAATTTAATAGTAATAATATTAATAATAATAGTAATAATATTAATAATAATAATAATAATATCAATAATATCAATAATTTAATTAATAATAGATGTAATAAATGCTTTTAAAATAATAACAATAATTTAAATAATTTGATCAATAGTCATATTAAGCTGCTGTTATGCAATAAATGCTATTCTTCTAACAACAATAATAACATTTATTATCTTAAATGCCATAATTATATAATTAGGATGCAAATTATATGCCCTATCCAATTATGACATAAGAATAATAAATGATGATGTTAAGATGGATTCAACAGTAGCAACAATTTTGCAATTCAAATATTAAATTCCAAAATGAATAATAAAAATGACAATCATGTTAATGATAAATATATATATTATATTTATATTCATAATTTATTCTTTAAATGGAAGTATTGCAAAAGATAATATAATAATCAGGAACCAATCTATCTCTAATTGATTTAGAATTTAAGTAGATGTATATACTTTAATTGTAGGCAAATAGAAAATTTACAGGAATTGCTTCCATTTCTTATATAATTTAAGAATCTAAAGGAAGTAAGAAATTTTTATAATTAAAGTTAAATTTACATGGAAATAGATTAAGAAATTTACCAGATGATTTATCTTAATTAAAAAGTCTGGAAACATTAGATATAACCAATAATATGTTTGAAAATGTAATATTTTATTTTTAATTTAGTTGCAATAAGTAGTTCAATCATTAAAAACATTACCTTAATTAAATCATTTGGAAATAGCATTAAAATCTAAAGAAGAGGAAGAATTTATAATTGAAAATCTGCCATAATTATAGATGTTAAACTAATAAGCTATTAAAATTGAGGACCATTCTGAATAACAAAGTGATATGCAATCAGAGAGATCAGTAACAGGTTTAGAAATAACATTACAATAAGAAGATCTAGAATAGATGGCTGTATAGAATTATATTAAAAATTAGTTGTTACATGATAGCATAAAAGAGTTGAGAAAGGAAGATGAAGAATCAGAAAAATAAATTTCATCAATTTTTGAGAACTCTATCAAAACTGTAATGAAAGAATTATAGACTAAGTTAGCATAAAAAGCAAGTGAACACATTTCAAATTTAACTATTCTGAAAGTTTTAATTATATTTAAAAATAGGCTAAATACAATTTATATGAAGTCTGTTTTTAATTGTTTCTAAGATACTTTAAATTAACAGATAGAAAATTAGAGTAAATTATAACAAAATTGCATGATTAACATCAATAAATATTTACAGATATGTCTAATATTATAATGAATGTTAGGGATAATTAATAAATATAATTAATAGATAAAAAATAATTAGAAATAAACTAAGGGTAATTAAAATAAGATAAGGGAACAGAATAAAGACTTAGATAAGAGCTATAAGAATTGTAATCTTATACAAGGGAAATTGAATAAGAAAATAAATCTTATTTAGAATTATTAATTAAATTTGGAAAAGGTGAAAAGATACAATTAAATTCAATTAAAAAGAATAGTAATCATTAGGTAAAGGCTGAATTTTAAAATTTTGATAATTCATCTTAATTAATATAATAGAATAATAATAATAATGATAAAGAATTTGCTCTAAATTTAATTAAGCCATAATAGAGTTAATATGCATCTATTCAAAATAAGATTAATTAATAGCAATCTAATGTTTTGGTTTAAGCTCCATAAATGGTTAAGACATTAACTTTAAAGTAATTTAAAGATTTAATATTGGAAATATATGAAAGTAAATTGAAATTTGATTAAAGATGCTCTGATTCTCATCTACCAAGAGAGACCATGGAATAGCATATGTATACATTTTTAAATTAGAAATATGGTTTAAAGAGTTTAATACTTGAATGGGTTTCTTGTATAATAAATGCATTAAAAAGATATGGAAATGAAGATAATGATGTTGCAGTGTTTGGTAAAATCTTAAGAAATGAATGTGATGAAGAATTTAGATTCATTTAAGGTTAAGTTAAGAATACAATTTTGGAATTGTTGAAAGTAAGATTTTATAATAATTATAATAGATGTATCTAAGAGGGAAATTTCCATTAAAAACAAATGCTGATATTAAAGAAATGATGAATTAAAGAGTTAATAGTTTTATATTCTAAGAAGAGGCTGAAGATATTATTAAATATATGTATAATCAAGAAGATTCAGAATTAATTCTTAACAAATTAAAATAATATTTCATCTAATAGACAAAACATGTAGAGAAAAGAATGACAAGAGAAGAGTAATTTTAAATAGTGAATGAGAAAGATAAATCTAAGATTGAATTTTCAATATTTTAGAAGTTTATTTTAGATTTTTAAATGAAATCACATGAAAAATACTTATCAACTTTTATTTAGCATTTTAAATAATAAGATTAAGATTAGAATGGAATTATAGATGAAGTAATAATAATTTTAAAAATAGAATGAATTTCGATAATTGATTACAGAATTAAATATTGGAATTAATGATTTAGATATCTAGAGATATTTAAATAAGATAGATCCATATAATAATTAATAAATAACATTTTCTTAATGTGTTCAATTATTTTCTCAAGAATAAGCACCAGGAACAAATGTCCCTATCATCTAAAAAATTTTATCTGAAAATTTGTGAGTTATATATATATATATATATAAAGTAAATTCTATAAATTTAGTGTTGTTTCATCTTTTTATAATTATTATCATTATAAGAATATTATTTAGTTTCATTTTTCATTTATTATCATAAAATTCTAAGTGTATATATATATATATAGGAAAAGCACTATGATTATTGCGCTTGTTATTGTTATTTTTTTTAAATTTAAATGACATAAGACATTTCAAAAGAAGTGCTAGCTCTTTCCATTCATGTGACTGCAGCTGCTTCATAAATCACTATCTAAACTCAATAGAGAATGACTTTAGTTACAAATAGTGTTATAGAGAGTGTAGACTAAACTTTGAAGATTATCAATTCAATTATTATGTAATCTCAAAAGCAGTCACATTTGGATGCAGTTATAGAAGAATTTGATGAAGATTATGGTAAAGATTCAAAAACAAAAGAATACTATACAGATAAATAACATATTGGAATAGATAATGAATAATTGGATTAAATTAGAATTGAAAATTTGATGTGTTAAGAAAATTGTAATCCTAATTTGTCAATCAAATCAACAAATTCAAGTAGCTTAAGTGCTCATAAATCAAAGAATAGCAGTTAAATAATAGAAGAGTATCCAAAAAATACAAATCTAAGAAATGACACTCCAGTCTAATAGAAAAAATAGTCACTTCTTTCTTAATAATTATCTTAAATTAAGGTTGATAAAGAAAAAGAAGCATAGGAATAAAAAGAATTAATGCTTCTTATTGAATAAGTTGATCCAGGAGAACTAATTCCAAAATTGAAATCTATTGAGATGATTAATACATATCAATAAGAAAATTCAAATCAAATAGATACATTCACACACTTTAATGATCCATTTATTATTTTGAATGCGGAATAATATTAAAAATAATAAAAAACATCTCCAAAAAAATCAGAATGGTATGATAGCTCTTCAGTTGAATATAAAGCTACATCTTATAATACAAATGAATCATCTAATTTGGATCATCATTCATATAAATGGAAAAGTAGTAGTATTGAAGATGAAAATTTATTGTAAGATTGTGGATTTTAATTTTAATCTTCAGTTTTTGATTTTCCTTTTCCAGAGGACTTTTGTACAAATAGTATAAATGTTTAACAGAATTTTTAACTACTAGAAAGTAAAAACTAATTTACTCCTAAAAAAAAGAGATTATACTGCAATAATAAGAAAGTTCCTCATTGGGCAGAAAATTTAGAGGTATAGATTATTCTATATTTATTAGAAAGTTTAACAATATTAATCTTAATAATAACATTTATCTCAACATTAAATCTTTGGTAAAATGAAGAATAGAGTTTTAGAAATTGCCAAATAGTTTTCAGAAAATAGATATTATAGAAGAGGAAGTTCAGCTTAATGGGAAATTCCTAATAAGACCTTTGATATGATGTAAAAATAGATGAAGAAACTTTAGTAAATATAAGATGAAAATATATAAAAATTATAGCAACATTAAATAAATGTAATAATAATTCATTATATAATAGTCTGCATAAAAAAATTAGGGTTTAATTGCTAAAACACAATATTTTTTAACTAGCATCAAAAAAAAAATCCTCAATTCATTTGAGAAAGATCCAAAATATAAATTATGAATTTATTATCTTTGTTTAAATAGAATTAGTTTGAATTAAAATCTTAAATAAAATAATAATTATTATTAATCGAATTAGCATTAAATATTATAATTCTTTTAGATTTTAAGAAACTAGATCTTTATTTAGAACTGTTAAGTGATATTGTTTTTTATTTAAGCTATTTATTCTCTAGATTTATCTTATTAAAAGAAATAGAATTACTTAAATGAATGACTAAATGATAATCTATAAATACTTTTTTCTCTAATTATTTTAAATATATTACAAAATTATGAAATCATAAATGTTTAATTAAAGAATTGCAAATATATAATACCATAATATCTATGTTGAAAATATTTAGATTTATTTAACAATTTTTAAATAAATAAATTAATTATATAATATTCTAATGAGGAAAGTTATACCATCTATTATGAAACATGTAAGTGAAAGATTTTACAACTTAAAAGGTAAATCAAACAGAATTTGGAGGACCAAATGTACTTAAATTAGGAGAATCTATAATACCTAAACCTAATTAAAACTAATCTCTAATTGAAATACATTCAACATCTATAAATAGAGCTGATATTCTATAAAGATAAGGGAAATATCCTCCTCCAAAAGGAGTTACAAATATTTTAGGATTGGAATTTGCTGGCTATGAACTTGATAGAGAAGGCAATAGATTAAGAAGAGTTATGGGAATATTATCTGGAGGAGGATATGCCGAATATGTTGCTGTTAATAAAGATCATTTAATAGATGTTCCTTCTAATATAACATTAGATGCTGTATAATTAATTTATTTATTATAGGCTGGTGGAATTAGTGAAATCTATTTGACAGCATATTTGTAATATAAATTATCAGAATTAAAAAAAGGAAATTCATGTTTAATATATGCAGCAGCTTCAGGAGTTGGTTAAGCTACCTTGTAATTATGTAATCACTTTGGAGTCATAGGAATTGCTAGTTGTTCACAAATGAAAGTTTAAAAAATACAATAATACACTAATTTTATTGTTCATAGAGATTAATCTATTAAAGATTAGATTTAAATGATAAGATAATATTAACCATAAGGAGTTACAGCAGTTTTTGATTGTGTTGGATAATAAAATTATCAAATGACTTTAGAATCTTTGGGTATAGATGGTAAATGGATTCTATATGGTTTATTAACTGGAGGGTAAATTGAAAAATTCAATCTTGCTCCATTATTAGGAAAACGAATTCATCTAATAAATTCTACACTAAGGTATCTAAATTTATGATTATATAAGATCACGCTCTGATTAATTTAAGGCAGAACTTGTAAAAGATTTTACAAAGACTATTTTGCCTTTTATTGAAAATGGGTAGATTTCTATTCCAATTCAATCTGTTACTAAAGTATAATGGAATGAAGAGGGAATCAATAAAATAATTAGATTACATAATGAAATGGAACAAAATAGTAATGTAGGAAAATTAATTGTTTCATTTTAAAAGGATTGATTATTATTATTATAAAATATAATTAAATTGAAATTTTATCATGATTTTTATAATATTTAAGTTACTTTTATACTTTCAATAAAGATAGTATTAATAATAAGTTATATAATTTTTAATTTCAGAGGAATATTGAAGAAAACAATTATTACTTCTTCAAAGTGATCAATATCAAATGTTCAATTTTTTGTAACTAATAAGGAAATTTGAAATCTTGATTTTTTAAATAAATAAATTACTAGTAGAAGAATGCATTACTCCATAAATCTTAATTATTAAAATACATTTCATTAAAATGATTATGGATGGATTCATATTTATGATAAAATAATATCTACTAATTAATGTTCACTTAAATATTTACACAAATCTTTGGTAGATAAACTAGATCAAATGATCAATGGACATATTTTTATTATTTTAATTTAAATCTATTGATTTAAAGAATATATCAGATAAATATTGGGATAACTCATTAACAAAAAAAAATTAAGGTAATATTTATATCAATTAAATAAATTTAAGGTTTTTTACGATAGATAGTTTTCTATTGATTCTTATATTTTTATAATAAAAAGAAGGCTAAAGTATATTAATGATTTTTGGTTGGATACAACTAATTTGTACTTTTCAAATAATTATTTTGTATATTATTATAAATGGACTCACAAAAAGCAAGATTTAAAATTATTATGTGTTTTTAAAAATTATTAATTATTAATTAATTTATTAATATCAAAAATTCGAAATTATTCTATCAAGCATTTCATCTAAATCTTAATTTAATTTACCAGCAAGTTATTCAATTGCATTAATAAATTGAAAGAAATCCATTAAATTTGTATTACATGATCTCAAAATAATTTTCCTGAATAGTAAATCATAATCATGTTTTAAAAATGTCTATGAAATCATTTATGGGAAATTTGCTAATTTCTAAAACTTAGAAGATGTCAAATATTCCTAAAATTTGTATCCAGATAAAAAACCATAAATTTACATAATTTTTGAGAATATGGTTTCACTTTAATCAACATCCAATTTTTTATAACTTTCAAATCCTTAAAGTTCTTCTTAATCTTCTTTAGACATCATTGCTAATTTTATTGCATCACCAACAACTAATTCTTTGACATAACTATCTATCAAAGATTCTTCAAAAACAGATTTCCCATTTGCTTAAAAAACTTCATGTTCAATTTAAAGACTTGGATTAGAATTAACTTCTAATAACCATGGTTTACCTTTTTCATCAAGTAAAATATCAAATCCTAAGACTTAAAAGCATTTGATTTCTGATACTCTTTTTTGAAATACTAATTTTTAATTGAATTCTAAAAATGGAAGTAAACTTTTTAAATAAGCAACAACTAAAGTTTCAATTTCATCTTCAATATCTTTATTGTTGTATCCTAAAATTTCTAAATTTTTTTTAATGGATGTATAAGTTCTTTTAGTTCCTTCATTTATATCTAATATATTTTGACCATTATAAACTTAGAAATTAGTATTTCTTTTATTAAGAGAATAATTGGTTAAATGCATAAATGGATTCCTTATATTTTTATCATTAGGTTTTTCATAATCTACAGTACAAAATCTTGCTAGTCCTTCCTTATTAATATAACATATATAAGGATCAAGAGATGTTATTAGAACATATAATCGTAGATCAAATTTCTTTTTATCTATTAATAAAGGTTTTGAGATATATTATTGTATTACTATACTTTCATAATTTTTGATGTCTTTTAAATTTTTTATCAAATAAATTCCATCCCCTTAAGATCCTGCATCAGGTTTTGCTATATAAGTTCGAGTACTTTTATATTCCTTTTAAAATTTATCAAGTTCATCAGGGATAATGTAAGTTTTAGGAAAGAACTGATATTCATCTGGAAAATATTAAGCAAATTTATTCAAATAAAATGATGATTATGTTTTATGAGCTAATAAATCCATTCCTGGGAATCGATTAACAGATTATGTTAAATATTCATCATAATTTTATTATTTAAATGGTAATCCTAACATACAAATATCACCATCATTAAAAACTTCTTTCCAATTATATTTTGATATTAATTTGCGTATTAATCTTGTTTCACCTCTACAATTAATTGTGTTTACTTTTATTACTTTCTACTTTTTATATTAATCCTATTATTATTGAAAGTTTTCATAATTAGTTTTGAATTCATCTACTTATTATTCAGTTACAGTTAAAAGATCATCATTATTTTGATTCCATGGTGAAATATCATGAAGTTATTATTGTTACATATGGATTGAATTAATTTAATTAATGAAATTATTTAATAGTAGGAAATCGATTATAAAGGAATAAGATTAAGAATCTGATAAATAACGATAGATAGGAGATTATCTTTTAGGTTGGTGTTTAGGTTTACAGTAGTTAAAACTCTTGGATTGGGTACATTTGGTTTAGTCAAATTGGCAATTCATTAAATAACTTAAGAGAAAGTAGCAATTAAAATTTTGGAGAAATCAAAGATAATAGATGTAGCTGATGTTGAAAGAGTCTCTAGGGAAATACATATTTTAAAATTGATTAGACATAAACATGTTATTCAATTATATGAGGTATTAAATGAATATATAATTATTCAAAGATAATTGAAACTAAGAAATATATATTTTTGGTTATGGAATTCTGTGATGGAGGTGAATTATTCGATTATATAGTAAAGCATTAAAAGTAATATTTTAATATATATTAATAAAGACTATCTGAAATTGAAGCATGTAAATTTATTTAAGAGTTAATATCTGGAATTGAATATATACATAAATTAAATATAGTTCATAGAGATTTGAAACCTGAAAATTTATTATTAGATTATTAAAAGAGTTTAAAAATAGTAGATTTTGGATTAAGTAATACATATAAATAAGGAGAATAATTAAAGACAGCATGTGGTAGTCCATGTTATGCAGCACCTGAAATGATACAAGGAAATAAATATAATTCCTTATTAGTTGATATATGGTCATGTGGAGTGATTTTATTTGCATCTATTTGTGGTTATTTACCATTTGAAGATGTAAACACATCAGCTTTATATAAAAAAATATTGAATGGAGAATATAAGATACCTAATTTTGTATCTCCTGAAGGTACAAGTTTTTTGAAAGGAATCTTGAATATAAATCCAGAAAAGAGATTTAATTTAGATTAAATAAGATCTCATCCTTGGTTTAAATTGTATAGAAGATCCCATCCTATTCCTCCAGGGATTATTATTGGATATCATAGAATTCCTATTGATAATAATATTGTATAATAATTAAAGGAAAGAGGATTTAATGAAGATTATATAAAAATTTGTTTGGATGCAAATAAATAAAATAATGTAACAACTTCATATTTTTTATTAATGAAAAGACATTTAATGAATGGAGGAATATCAACAGCAGATATTAATTCTGTACATTTTGATTAAAAGTTATTAGAACCAATTTAAAGAGTTTAGAAAGGTAATTTATATTAATATTAAATATGATAGCACCTATGCTTGGTTTTTTAGATGAATCAATGTTAAAAACATTGAATTCTAATAGATCTTAATCTAATCAAAGTCGTAAACATAAGAAAATGCATACACAATAAAATAGAGGACATTATTATTTATAAGATGAGAAATTAAATAAATCAATCTAATTAAAATAATCAAATCGTTAAGATAGTATAGATTCAGATGAAGAATTTAGTAAACCAATAACATCAAATGTAAAAAAATAAAAAGTTAGAACAGAATCAAATTATAATGCTGATTCATAATTAAATTAGACAACTATGATTGCAGGTAAAAGATAATCTATTTCTCCTGCCAATGCAAATCTTATTTTATAATACATCAGTAAATTAATATATTTATATATTTAAATTAGAACAATAAAAAAAACTAACTCCTACATCTATTAGAAATTCATGTTAATAAAAACCAAATATATTCTCTTTAAATTATTAAAGAAATGTTTAAACAATTTATGATCATGATGGCTTAAAGATTATGAATTCAAATAAATAACAATCTAATGAATAAAAGAGAAGTCAAAATAATTAATGGATGCCATAATCTTTAATGAATCCTTATTAATTACTATTATAATTGAATTCAAGAAAGGGATCTCGAGATTTAAGTGCTCCTCATTCAACAAAATGTGCAAATAATCCAAAAAGTAAATCAATTAATAGGCAATTTTGATTATACTTATAAATTATTATATTAAAATGAATTTCTTTATGAATCTCTTTGGATAAAGTACTTCTGGACCATAACCAGATAGTTATGAAATTAATGGTTAGGAATATCATGAATTAAATTTAATTGCTGAAGGAGGGTATGGTTTTATTTGGAGAGCCATTGAAACTAAAACAAGAAAATTTTGTGTTATTAAGAAAATTATTTGTCAAAGTAAAGAAGCAATTGAATAAGCATAATAAGAATTAGATTTGCATGTAAATTAAGGCTTATTCATATATAAAATAGAAACGAATTTAACATCCTAATATTGTCAAATGTTATAATGGTGTAATCAAATTTAATAAGAAATTAAATCAGACTATTGCATATATGGTTTTAGAATTATGTGAAGGTGGTACATTAATTGATTTACTGAAGAGATACAATGAAAAAAGGTTGAGTGAATAATAAATACTCCTAGTGTTAAAAGTTATTTTTCACTTTATCATAGTAATTAGTCTAAGCAATTAAATATCTTCATACCTAAAATCCTCCTATTATTCATAGAGATTTAAAAGTTGAAAATGTCTTATTGCATAATAAAGTATTTAAAATATGTGATTTTGGTTCAGCTAGTACTGAAAAAATTGATTTAAAGTATGATTCTATTATTTAAATTAGTTAATCAAATAAACAGCAGATATCTTAATACGAAGAGAGTTTTGCCAAATATACAACAGAAGTATATAGGCCTCCAGAAATGACTGATTTATATTTAAAGTATGAAATCAATGAAAAAGTTGATATATGGATGCTAGGATGCATTTTATATACAATGTGTTTTTATAATCCACCCTTTTAAGAATCTTCTAAATTAGCTATTGTTGAAGCTTCCTATATTATTCCAAAAGATAATAAAGTATACATAAGTATTTAAACATATTAGTATTCAAAAAAGATGATAGATTTGATTGGGATAATGCTTTAGCCAAATCCTAGAAATAGAGCATCAATTTTTGAAATAGAAGAAATATTGAAAAATTATGATACATTAAAATAAATAGTAAATAATTAATTATAATTTATAGTAAAATTAATATATATAAGAGGATGATTTTGGAGAATTTTAATCAGGAGATTAAAAATAAGAATAATAATAAAAGAGTGTTTAATATGATGATTCATTAATTTGATATTGTGTACATTTGAATTGTATTTTTAATAAACTATTTGAATTTCATTTATTTTAATTAAAATGAATTCTTTATTTACTATTCTTAAAGACATACAAATAAATGTACCTTAATCATAATTATAACATTCTTTTGTTTTATGTGGTTAAACTCAAGTTGGAAAATCAACAATTGTATATTTTTATATTTCTATTTAGGTTTCTAAATTAACATCATAATAAATATAAGATTAAGCAGGTTTGATATATACATAATAAAAAACAAATATTATAGGTTATTAAGCAGTCCTTCAATATTTTGAGATTTCTGGATAAGCATTTAAATAATTATTAACTTTACCATTAAATAAACAATCATATTAATAGTACAGTTATATTTTAGTAATTGATTTATCAGATAATCCTCATGAAATTCTAAATATATGTAATTCAGAAATTAGATATATAAAGGAGGAAACAGAAAAGAAATTATAATAATCAATAGATGTTGATACTTTTAAACAATTGGAATTAAATATTTATGATAAGATTATGATGCATCATGATAAAAATAGAATAATTCCTTCATATGTTCCCATTATAATTGTAGGATGGAAATATGATTTATTTTCTAAAAATTTGGATTAAGAATCTAGAAAATGGATAACAAGAGGATTAAGATATTTAGCACATTCAAATAATTGTTCACTTGTATTTGGAAGCAATTAAGATTATCAATTAATTAGATAAACTTTATAATATCATGTGAAACCATCAGTTTCAATATATCAACATGATCATTTAAAATAATTATGTATCACTCAATTATCTGATTCAATTGAAAATATTAATTTACCTCCTTCTGGAAGTAATCCTTTAGATGGATTTAATAAAATAATTAAAGATTAAATTGTTGCTGTAGTAAATAATCAAAAAAAGAAAAAATAATCTAAAATAACAGAAGAAGATTGGAATAATTATAAAGAAGAAAAAATTGATAGACTTATAAAACAATATGAATTTTAATAAAAATAAACAACAAAGCAGGAAGAATCAGTATTAATTTGATACAATAAATATATATATATAATATATTTATTTATGATTTTAGAATTAATTTTCCTATTAACAGGTGTGCAATCTATTATTCTAAAATTTAAAGTTCCACCTGGATAATAATAATGCATTAAAGATTCTGTGTCTTAAAATACACTCATATATGGAAATTATGATACTACATCCTTACTATATAGTTTTACATTAAGTGTAATCAATTCATACTATCTTATTTTAGATAATAAATTAATAGGATTAAGAGACAATCATTATTGAACACTCCAATGATATTAATCAATAATTTCATTATGTAATGTAGGAATCAGGAGAAATTTCAATGTGTTTTGAAGTAGATGATTATGCTGATATTACAACTTTTAATCTATTTTATGAAAGTGGTACTTAAATAGTATTAAAATTTATTATAGGAGCTGAAATATATGATTAAGATTTATTGGCCAAAAAACAACATGTTCTTAATTTAAATGAAACTTTAGATACAATGGAATAATTGTAATAAGATATATCAAGAGAATAATTATTGATTGTTGATAGAGAAAATAAAAGAAAGCATAGTTTTACAGATATTTAAACCAAAATAATTGGGTTTGCTGGCATAACTTTTGGATTATTAATTATTGTGGCTGCTTGTTAAGTTATATATGTCAGAAGATATGTAGTGTATAAAAAATTAGCTTGATTTGCTTGAATATAAAGTAGTTAATCAAGTTTTAATAAATATTTAATATTAAATTCTAGAGAAATATTATGTTCTAAATGAAATAACCTATAAAGAAGAAATACTTATTTATTATTAAAAGAATTAATTAAATTCTAATATTTTTAATAAGAGAATATTAAGAGGTTTCTTATCTCTAAAGTATTTAAGTCTCAGTAATTAAATAAGATATTATGTTATTTTTATTGAATAATAATTTATATAAAAGTTCAGAATTAAGAAGTCAATTTTGTATTATTTTCTAATTATACAAAGAATTTTGATCTAGTGTTCAATTCAACATTAAATCCTTTTTTGACGAATTTTTATAGAACTTATTGGAATCTTTAAATATCTAATCTTTCAGAATTATTAAGGTATTCTACTATAGAATTTTGTAACTTACTTCTAGCTATCGAAGGCTTCATACCTTAATTTTAGTAGGATTCTTATAAGAATTTCTCGAATCTTGATTAATCTTTTATTTCATCATGCAAATACTGGCATCTTATACCATAAGGACAAAACCCTTGATTAAAATATCTATTGCATGGTTTTGTCTTATATTTCTGATGTAAATGAGTCTTAGCTTATAACTCAGAAAAGCCATGAGCGAATGAACACTGAAAATAACTTTAAAAAATACCTCATTTCCAAATTTACATTATCCAGTCAATTAAAAGTTCTTACACAACTCAGTCTTCTTCTTTTTTGTATATTCTTCAATATATTGTATTTTTTCTTCAATTGTCTCAAAATATTTCTTTTTTGGTTAAACACTACAATATTATTTTAAATTCCTTACTCTATTTAGAATTATTCTTCATCTTCATCAGTACTTGCATTTTAATAGTCGATACCATAGTTATAATATTTCTTAAGTGGAGTTAAACTAATCATTATTATAAATATTTATGTAATAAAACTGAAAGTAAATTTTTATAATTTTTTTGTGGAAATCAATACAAAAATTCATCAGTATCCCAATCTAAAATAATATAGAGATTATTAATTCTTTTTTTAATTTTCAATTTTTCGTTTACCCTTATAGAATTTCAAACATCATCTTAAATTTAAATGTCAAAAATCAATTTATTTTCCATTATTATTATATATTCCCTATATACTTATTTCTCATACCTTTCTAAAATGTAAAATATTTATTTTTTTTACTTAAACAATATGAATACATATTTAAATCCATGTATGTTAATGAATTAAATTCAATAAAGCTTATTTATACTATATTTTTTCAAATTTCATTTATTATTAAAATACTAAACAAGCAAACTCAATCCTTGTCTTAAGAGTTAATAAGAATAATTTAAAAAAATCAATTTTAAAATCTAAGTTTGGATTCTTAACAAATTTTGTAATTTAAAACTTTAAATCTAAAATTATGATTACTTTAAGAATGACAATAATTCTAACTAAAAACTATTATTCATATATGAATTAATACTTATAATAGTTGTAATATTGAATTCTATTTTATTATTTAAAAGTTTTCAGTTCAATTATAAATAAAAAATGAATACTAAAAATAAATATAAAGAAATATTAATAATATAATCGTTTTACATATATATAAGTTCTAATTTAAGATTTATATTAATAAATAATAATTAATATTGTTTAAAATTATGAATTTTCTTAATAAAACGCTGAAAACTGCTTCTTAATCTGAGCCAGATTTATAATAGTATTAAGACATGATAAATGGGCTTGAGAATGTATGTCAAAATCAAAGCTGTAATTTACATGACAAAAAAAAATAAGATAGAAAGAAGAAACTATAATATCAAATTTTCAATCTTTCTTTAACCAAAACAACTTTAGCAAGTCTTCAAACTATGTATCAATTTACTAAAAAGTATATCATTAATTCTATTAAAGAACTCTAAGATAATTAAATTAAAATTAAAAAGTAACTATAAAACAAAATTTTTAAGAATCAATGAAAGAATATAATTACTAATTATATAAAATCTCTAAAAATCTACCAAGTATTATTAATACATAGCATCTTTAAATCATTCGAATAAGTAACTGGTATGAAAAAATAAAATCAACATGTTTTAATAATAAAATATAAAAGAATGAATAATTAATACTTCATAATCCAGGTTAGAGGGATGAGGATAATGATTTTATAATTATATGATTTAAATCATACTATTCTCTTTTATAATTTGATAAATTATATAGAAGATGCTCTTTTTGGTTATTTTGATCAACTAGTTTTATATTTATTTGTTAATTTAATTAGATTATTTTTGTATAAGAATTATTACTCAAATACCCTTAAATCATTTTTGTTAGTTCTTTATCAATAGTGAGTAAAATTGTTATTATAAATTTATATAACTAAATTGATATAAATAGCAATACAACTATATTTGAAAATGGCTATTCAAAATTGATGTAGTAATAAATGATATTATTATATATTCTATTTATTTTCCTCTTTTTTTATTATTATGTTAAATGTATTTTAATTTTTAAGTAATAAATATATTGATTATTGTACAATACTTATTTACATTTTATATGTTTGATATTATGTTCGTTGAATATTAAAAACCATAACATCTAAGAAATGATAAAAAGTGAAATATATTTTAAATTTTAATAATATAAATTCAATGAATAAATAATAAGACATTAATAGGAGATTAGCCTTATTTTATCATCCATTATTTTTATAATTAGTTGATTTATGGATGTCTTTGTTGGGGGATACTAAAATAGGATTCATTACATTTATTGAGTTAAATATCAGATTGCAGAAGGCTCTGTTGATTGAGTTTAATCTAAAAAATGCATGTACTATTTATTAGAAATTGAGTTATGTCTGCCTTGAATGATTGGTTAAAAGAAGTTTAAGATTGCTATGATTTAAAAACATTATACATAATTGAACCAATTAATATAGAAGATGAAATAAAATAACTTCCATTTGAGCCTACATTAACTTCATTAGATTACAATAATTTTATGTTAGAATTTTAAGACAATCCAGCATAACAGTATTTGAATGTTAAAATTAATTCAGAAATACTTGGTAAATTTTTCTTTGATTTATGCACAACTTGGTGTATTCATCTAGACATAGAACTCTTCCATATATTTGGATTTACTTTATTTTTTGCTGTGACAAAAGGAGATAAGATAAAATAGTCATAACTTATGACATTAGATGATGTATAAACATTACCAAGTACTTTTTTTGAGGATTTTTCTAATTTGAAAATCACTTATTTAAAATTTAAGAAGAAAAATTTAATATATTATAGAGCATGGTGTGAATGGAATTATTTAAGAATGCCTGAAATAGGAGAGAATATGTTTGATAAATTAATTTCATTATTTCCAGATGAGTAATAGATATTATTATTTAAATAGTCCTAGAGTAGAAGATTTTTATGATTACTTTTCTAATATTATAGAAATAGTTAGTAAAGAAATCACATCTTCACTCCAAAATTAAAATACAAAAGATAAAGAAGTATTCCATACTAATCAAGATAATCAATAAGGTTAAGTTTAATAAGAAATTACTCAATAATAAGAATCTAAAGATGATGAATAAAATAAATAGTCAATTGAATAAGATGAGGCAATGTTATGGTATGAGTAATAAAAAAAGGATTTGCCTGAAGAATTCAAGGGTATTAATTAATAATATATTTAGAATAAAAATCTGATGTTTTAGGAAGATGTTATTTATAATAGATTCAACCATTACCACCAGACTTATTTATATTAAAATATAATGAGAGAGAAAAATGTTATGTTTTAGAAAGGAAAGTTAAGATTCCAATAATTGGTGTATAAAAACCAATAATAAATACTACTGGGAATGAAAGAGTTCATTTATAAAAATAATATTTTAAATAGGATAAAGATACTAGTTTATTTTATACAAGTAATCCAATTAATGATGTTACTGTTATATCATAATAATAAAATTAAATAAAATAATAATTGCCTAAAGTTAAAAAATAAAATACTTAATAGGAAAGAGTCAATAAATCATTTTCACAATATGATAAAAATTACAATCAAGATAAAGGAAATGTATTATTACCATAATTTGCATAAGAATAATTGATATAAAAATAAAATAATTCTTCTGGAGTTAAATTGTTTGAATAATATTCTAATGAAATCAATATCAAAAAAAGAGAAATTAAATAGGATTTACCATTATAATTAATTAAACATCCTAGATCAACTATTACAGTTGATTTAAAAGAAGATCAACATAAAGAATTAGGAAGAATCAATCTAACTCCAATTTAATCATTTAGATAAGCTTCATAATTACATAATACTAATTTGACTTTTAAATAGATTTAATCTATATAAGAAACTAAACATTTATGGTAACCAATGATGACATAAGAAGAAATGGAAGTATTATTATAAGATGAGAAGAAATTTTATCATATTTTGCATCTTTTAAAATTGAAATTTAATTTTGAGCATAGATCAGAATATTTGAAATAATTTAAATTAAAATTAGATTATGTATCTAAAAGAGATGAAATGGGAGGAATATTAACTAATGAAGATAGAAAAAGATTTCATGAAAGAATAGCTATGATTCTTGAAAGAGAGAAAAAAAGAAAGAAACGTAGAAGAAGAAATGTAATTGATCCATACAAATAAAGAAATAGGAGTTGGTCTATAAAGACTAAATTCAAAAATAGAAATTGTAGAGAGTAATTTAAATAGATTTTTATAACTCCATTGCTTTAATGATAAATATTTTTATTATTATTTAATAATTTAGTAATCATTCTATTTATTAAACAGACTTTAATTTTAATGAAATTATTGAATATAAAGTTAAGTAATTATGTAAAAACTTTCTTTTGAAATATTTTTAAACCTTTATAATTGCTTAAATTTATTCATTCTTAGTAAATTTCTCTAATTTTTATTATTCAACTTCTTCAATCAATATTTGATTCATAAAATTTATTAATCTATCTTTATTTTTTAATATTTCAAAATTTATAATATATTAAAATATATCCATTTTTCTAATTATATCTTCTTGAAAAGTTTACTCCATCTTTTTTTACAATAAAGTATAATTATCTCCATGTATTTAAGATAATTCTTATTTTAAATCATCTTAAGTAAATTCTTAATTTGAATTCAAATTTTTAATTTATTTGATCCATATAAATTAAGTTGCTACATGAAAGGCATTAACATTTATTTATCCTTTAGAAATCATATGAACTTCTCTATAAAGTTCAGCAATCTATCCAGAACTTAAAGAAAAGTTTGATGATACAAAATCTTAGAACTTTTTAAAAGTAATTGGTGGATTTGGAAATACTGAAAATAATTGTTTATATCTTTAATTTCTATCAGCTCTAAATATTTCTAATAATAATTATAACACATATCCAGTTTAAACCAATATATTATTATTTACAATTATAGATGCTTATTTTAAAGATTTCAAAATCATATTTTGATTTTATTTATTTAATTTACTTAGAAACAATAAAATGATTGTTTCAGCTTTTTCTATTTTAATATAATTAACTAATTCATATATTGCATCAAACTATTAAATCCACACTCCTTTAATCAAGTATCTTATATGAAGATAAAAATATAATTCTTCTTTTGTATATATATCATTTAAGAAATGACGAAATTAAACAATTTCCCAAACTTTATCAAAACTAGGTATCATCAATTAAATATAAAATCTATTAATATATTCTTAAGCCAAGAGTTTATTGTCTTTAGGAATTATTTATATTTCATGTTTTTCTAAACAAAAAGTACTCAACCATGAAAATACATAGGATTGAAAAGACATAGAATACTCTTTTTACATTTCCTAATACATACCATCCATTATTGCTCTAAGAGTACCCATGAAATTTGCAGACATTTATTAATTCTCTATTTAATGAGATAATATATCAAGAGTGGATTTATCTAAAAACAAAGAAAAATGAGGATAATTAAATCTTAATAATGAGATATCAAATTGATCTTCTTATTTAATTTAAGAATTTTTATTATTCTAATCTAATGAAGATGATACTAGATATCTAAAAAATGCTTATTCAGATTCTAATGGTTTTGTTATTTATGCAATTTAAACTTCTTCATAATCCATTCTACTCTAAAATGGAGGTTCTATTTCTTTACTTCTTTTCACAGTTAAATGATCTATTCTATTTTATAATACTTTTATTATATCTTCAAATAAAGTTATTTTATTAAGTTTTTATAAAATAGAATATTTATAACTAATTAAATCTTCTTTTGACATTTAAAATAATTCATAATATTTTTATTTTTATTCTTTTAAACATTAAACTTCAAATTAATAATTTTTTATTTAATCTTCCTAAACTTAAACTTACATTTACAATTCTTTTATTATACTAATTTACATTTTATCCTATCTTTTTGCAAAAATCAATTATTATTTCAATTCCATTACTATTTAATCATTTTCTGTTTATATTACTTATTATTCTTCAATTATTTATGTTTATTCTTAAATCTGTTTTTTTATTAATGGTTTTATTACACTTTCTTTATCCTTTATTTCTTTTAGATTATTACTCAAAATCTCTACTGTTCTTTAGAGTTATAAATTTCGTAATACATATTAATTTTTATCTTGAATTGTTAACTTACTTTATTTTATTTAATCCTTTTCCAATAATAATTATGTATATTCTTTTAACTTCAATTCTTTATCCTCTTTATATTTACTATATTAATCTTCAAGATCCTATATTTTACATTATAATTCATCAAAATATTTCAAACAACTTTGCATTATCTTAACAAATTAACTAGTTATTGTATCAACCCTGATATCATCAAACATTCCCAATAAAAAAAAATAATGTTAAACCTTCTCCTTAACCGATGGAAATCTCACACTAATCTGATTAATCAATTGCTAATATCTAAATTACTCAATTCTTACTTTTATTACTCATATTTATCATAACTTCCTTATCTAAAAGAATTATTGATTGGTTTTAACATTCTAGGAGTTTGTGCAAAACCTTTTTCAGAATCAAATATTTTCTTCATTTTAATAATACTCATATTTATATTAATATTTATATTTAAACCTTAATAAATATTATTATGTAAAATTTATATATTTGATTATATGATACAATTATTAATCAATTTTCTATCTTTTACACCTCTTGTAGTTTAAAATAAGCTGTTTAAAAAATTATTATTATATTTCAATGAAATACTATATTTAAATTATATAAACTTAATATTTCTTTTACAATTGTATAAAGAATTATCAAGAAATAATCATTTAACAAATAAAATTTGAAATAATTATGATATTTTTAACATTTTTTATTATATTAATTAAATAAAATTAAAAATGTCCAAGGGAGATGCTAAAACATTGAAAGAGGAGATTCAAAAATTATATGATCCATTGTTATTCTATTAACATGGTGATAATCCTGCTTATAAAAGATATATTGAAATAATGTAAGAAAATGCTCAAGAAGGTAAACAAATAGATCCAAGAACCTATTTTGTTAATAAATTGCAAAGGTAAATATATTATTTATATTGTTTAGAATCCATGTAGCAAGAAATATCTAAGATTTTGTTGAAAGGGACTTGAAATGTTTTAACTTTGTTCGAATCTTCCCAGTTTGGATATGTACAACAGGATTCTTTTTATAAGGTAAATAAACTTATTCTATATATAAGCTGCATTAACACATAGATAAATGTTTTTGCCAATTGGATAGAGAGGTATAACCAGTATTAAATAAACTTCATTCTTTTACAAGTATTAATTTAGTATTAAGTAATAAAAGTTTTGGGTATGTTGGATTAGCTGGTTATGGATTGTATTTACTTGGAGCATCTTATTTATGGTGGTAAGTTACTAAAATGACAGGCACCAAATTCTATAAACATTGTTTATTAGGAGAAAGATAATGGTCATATGAAAGAGAAAGATAAAATAATACTTATGGAAATTACTACTTTAAAGATGTTCCATTGTCATGTGAAGAAAATTTCCCAGATTTAGCAAGAGGAGAAATTGCTAAAAAGCAAAGACCTAAACCAGAATGGTGATATATTAATATAATACATTCATATATCAATATAGTATAATTAATGTATGATTTAATAAAATAAAATTAATATTATAAGAATTTAGAATTGATTTAGATTCAATTGAGTATATATTTATATAATTAAGATAATTAAATATAATTAAATTTCCATTTTATGAAGCTCTTTAAATCAGCATTCGGAAAGAAAGAATAAGATAATAACTAAGAAAAATTAAAATAATCTAATGGTACATTTATAATTGATGAATAATTTATGACTCCAGAATTTTTATATAAACCTTCATAAGATGGAATCAAAAAATTATCAAAATAATTCTTTCTTTCTTTATCTACTATTGAAAGTACTTTTAATTTGTAATAAATTAAATCGCATTCATTAGTTGAAGAATTAGTTGCAATGTATCAAGAATGTGTTTAAATTTATGATGGATTAATGGATCCTATTAAATATTATTTCGTTGATAAAATAAAAATTATATTGAATTAAACTGAAAAATTTTAAGGAAGAAATCATTCAGCATCCTAGCATATCTTATCGATATCTAAAAATGATTTGTAAAAACCAAATTTAAATGATTAAAGACCTTTCTTCAGAGAATTTGAAGATTTTGCAGATAGAGGTGAAAAATTAACTGAATTTGTTACACCTAGAGATGAAGAAATACTCTTTAAAAATAATATCAATAAACATGAAGAAATTAAAAAAAAATTTGATTTCTAATAATAGATTAAATAATAATAAGAATAATAATCATTGAAGAAAGACAATAATAATCAAAATATTTATTTTTCAAAATCTCTCAATTCTACACCAATTGTATAATAATAATAAAATTAAAAATAAACAGAACATAAATAACAAATTTAGTCTTAATTAGAGAATTAAGAATTATCAATTTAAGCTAGATTATAATTACGTTAAAAAAATTAAAAAATTAAAAATGAACTATGATCTTATATATATAATTAATTAAGTAAGTAAAAGAATAAAATATAATTTTTTTAATAATTTTTAATAATTTTATCATATTTTATGAATTTATTTGATATTTATCCTGAATTGGATTAGGAAATAGGACATGATAAACTATATTATAAAAGAGTCTAAATTAAAAATAGTGGAAATAATTCTAAATTATTTGGTTTTGATAAATGCTATAAAAAAAGTAATAAAAAAAATACTAAAATTATATATAGGATGGAGAAGTTTATTCAAGAATTTTACAATACCATATCAATAAATTCATCATTATGGCAATAAAGAATTAAATTAAAGTTGTGATTGTAATGAATGTGGTGGAAAAGTTAAAAAGAAAATTTTGATTTGCAAAAAAGAATTAAGAGACTATTAATTCTCACCTCTTAATTAAAGATCTCTAGCATCACCAAAGTTATCTATTTAACCCTAAACAGTTAGACTGCTCAAAAAAGATAAAAGTTTAATTGGCTCATCACCTCATTTTAGTATTTTTTTAATTAATTTTTATGCGATAAATATTAGAAATAAATTGCCTAGAGAAGTGCTAAAGAATCTTAGATTCCAGTTATCTAATTAATTAAGGCATAAAATTTAATGAAAAAAATCAGTAGAACCAATAAGTTTGATCTTAAAATTAAAATGAATTAACAAACTGAATCTTAATTAAGTAAATAATAGAAAAATATAAATGAAAATGAAAAAATTTTAGGAAAGTCTAATGAAAATCTAATTTAAAAGTTTAAAGAAATTGATATCATTAAATAAAGAGATTTATTAAAGAATAAATCCTTTAAACAATCTTCTAATTGTCTTCATTAGAGAATAAAAACAGATGTCTCTACTTACTATTTTCCTAATTAATCAAAAAACCAAATTTATATTCCAAATCTTAACAATCTTGAAAACTTAAAAAAAAATAGTCTTAGCATTTTTGAATCTAAAACATCTAGAGTATTAATAAGAAGCGAAAAATTTAATCTTAAATAATCATTAACATAAAGATTATTGTCTACTTACTTAAAAAAAAGCATTGGCAATAATAATAGCAACAGCAAATCAGTATATAATAAAAAATAGTGATGAATATTTTGATAATATAATTTATGAATATATAAATTAAATTTAGATAATTAAAATATGTTATAGCAGTGTCTCAAAATATTTAGGTTTAGCTTTGCTGCAAATACACCCTCATTAGCTACACCTTGGTCAATGAGACCATTCAAGACTGAAGTATCTGTACCTATTATCAGATTTCATGATGCATAACCTACAGGATAATCAATTACTTTAGATTAAGGTATTTACTTATTTTTATTGAATTATAGAATTATTTAATTAGCCTATCAGAAGAGATTTAGTCTAAAGATTAGTGAGATATACTGACTTATATAATAAGAAAGTAACTAAAGCAACTTTAGCATTAAGAGATGCTGCATCATCAGGGGCAAAAAATCATCCATAAAAAAAGACAGGAAGAGCACGTTAAGGACATAGATAAAGACCAGGAAGAAATAAAGGTATTAAAGCACATGGAAGAAAAATAAGATCATTAAGAATTGATTTACCAAGGAAAGTTAGATTATAGGCATACAAAGTTGGTTTGACAGCTGCTCTTATTGAAGGTAAATTCACTGTTATAGACACTGAAAAATTAAATGAAGGAAAGACTAAACATTTGGTTTAATTAATGAAGGGCTTTGAATCTTTTACTTAACCATTGTTGATTGTTACTAGTGTTGATCCAGATGACTTATTTTTAAGAGCATCTCGTAATTTAGACACTTTAGAAACATGCACAGTCAAAGAGTTTAATATTATTAAAATTCTTAAATTCAAATCAATTCTTATTACAAAAGAAGCAATTTTGTAATTAACTGAATCATTAAAATAAAGAAAATTAACTCTTTTAGGAGAAAATAAGATTGTTAAGAAAGTATTACTTAATCATTTATTAAAATTTAGAAATATTCAGAATTTCCTATTGAAGAATATGATCCTACTAAGCCTTTGGATCTCAAATTCAAAGTGTTAAGAGAATATTTGGAAGACTTTGAAAAATTAAAATAGGAGGGATAATTAGATAAATTTATTTAAGATATGCCTAAGACTAAGAAAGTTGGACGTATTAATACAATAAACCACCATTGAGAAAATTATTTGTTTTTAAATAAAGCATTCATATTATTCTAATGATAATTTTCAAATATATCTTTATTATTAAGGATTTTATTAAATTTCATATTCTCTTTATAGAGATTTCATTTTTTATTTTAGATTTTAAGATGAAATAGCAGCCTAACTTAATGTCTTTTTAAAATTTTCAGACTCTTATTTTAATCTTTCCCATCCAGAAGATTAATCTAATTAACTATTATCCTTGATTCCACTCTATTAAGATTATTAGGATACATAGGATGATTCATTTTTATAATCTAAATTGATAAATTGTATTTTATTACTTTAACTATATTTTTGAGGTTAATAGGCCTTTTCTAATTCTTATAAAAGCTATTCATTTTGATCTTTTAATTATTGGATTTCTTATAATGTATTCATTTATAATTATCTTTCTTAAATGATAACTTGTTCCATCTCATTTACTCTCTTTTATTCCCAAGATAGTTGAGCATCTTTTAGGTCTACTTATTTTTATAAGTCTCTGTTAGCATTTTCAATATATTATTTTTCTCTTTCTAATTAGGCAATTTATCTATTAAAATCTTCTTGAGCAGCTTAAAACCCTGTAGATATTTTTCTTTATGAATGATACTCTTTTCCTAATTACTATATATAATTAAAATATGATAATTACATCTCTGTCTTTAATCAAATCTCTTATTTATCTTTCATATTCTTCGGATTTTCTATTTAATCTTTCTATTTCACGTTCATATTATTGTAATTAGATTTAATATTGATCCTCTCTTTTAGATGCATTTTACATTTAAACTTTGAAGAAATCTTCTTATTTTTCTAATTCAACACCTCTTTGTAATACTTCCTCATGTTGTAATGAAATTTATTAAATTGAAACTGTAAGTCTTTGATTTTCTGCACAAACTTCACTATAATTAAGTTATAAATCATGCATTTCCATATCAAACATTTTTATTTACTCTTTAAGTCTAATTTCTTATTATTATAAAAATTAAATTTGTTATGATTGTAATTCTTTTTCTTATACAGATTTAACAAGTTAATTATTTAAAGATTAATTATCTTTACTTAAAATTTAAATATCAGATCTCATTTCATGAAATTCTTTCTCTTTGATTTATAAAGTATATTTTAGATTTTCATTTTCATTTTATAATTTTTGATTTTTATAAATTTAATCTCTTAATTTCTCTTCTAATTATTAAGCTGCTTCATAACCACGTTCTCCTTTTGTGCTAACCTCTGATAATTTAGATTATTATTTCTAAATTTCAGCATTCATTTGCTTAATTTATTATTATAAAGAGATATTAGTTTCTCGTACTTCATCTAATTAATTTTAAACTTCATCTCTTTCAAGATCTAATTATTCTAAAGATCGTTTTAATATAACATTTTATTCAGATATTTAATTAACTTTATCTTCTAAATTTTCATTCAATTCTCTTAATTATAATACTTATCTTTCATCTTCTATTTTTGTGCTATTCTTTTATTATAATCTTTATAATAATTCTTCTTTTTATTTTTCTAAACTTTCACATAACAATTTTATTTATCTAATTTAATTTTCAGAGTCAGTTTTTTATAATTTAAGAGAAGATATTTAAGATTATGATTCTGTTAATTCATTATATAATTTATTAGATCTTTAAACTTCTTTTTACAATTATTCATTAATATCTTATAAAGTCATTTCATAATTATTTACTTTTTCTGATAATTTTATTGATGTATTTTTAATTTCATGATCATTTGTTTTTAATCCATTTATCATTTATCTTAATTCTCTAGCTTCTTTCATTGCTTCTTCTTTTAATTTATTTAAAAATTCAATTTATTTTGATTATTAATTTATAACCGATTCTAATTTTAAATTTTCACTTTAAAATCTTTCTTTTTCAATTAGAATCTTTCTTTCTTAATCTCTTAATCGTTCTATTTCATTTGTTAAATTATAATAGTCCATTTCTTTATCCTTATTTCTTAATAAATTTTATTAATATTTAAAAGTTTCATCACTCTATTATCTTAAATTCATTTATAATTTATCATTTTCCAATCTTTAATCATTTAGTAATTCTTAAGCTATTTTAAGCTTTTCTTCTAATTGAGAATTAAATATTCCTAAATCTGATAATTATAATTTTAGAGAATTATTCTATTATTATAATAATTTTAATTCTCCTACTGTATCATTTTCAATCTTTTACTTTTATTCTAAAATATTTTATTAATTTAATCTCATCTTTGATTATTCTCTTTTATATTGCTCAACTTCTTATTCTAATTATGCAATTTCCTATAACTTTAATTTTATTTATGAATCTAGATTTGCATTCTTCTATGATAATTCATTTATTTGATCATTTAATAAACGTTTTTATTATTTTAATTCATAATTGTCTCTATCCTTCTCTCCTAAGTCTTTTCTAATTTATTTTATTAGATTTTCTGTTGTTTACACTTCTTTAGTTAATAGATCATTTTCCTTTCTTAATTAATCAATTATAAGTTATTGACCTTAGTTTGGATTTTATTAATGAGACTATTATTAATTCTTTTATTCTTATTTAAATTTTTATAATAAATTATCTAAATTTTATTTAGATACATCCATTCTTTCAAATTCTATTTTCAATTCTCTAATTATTTATTTTTCTTGATCTAATTCTCTTTCCAAATCTCTCTTATCTTGTCTTAATTACTATACAAAATCTTTCTCTCTTTCATATTCATCATTTAATTTTTTATAATTTCTATCATATAATTCCTTTTCTCTTTATAATTATTAATATTCTGACCTTTGAATTTGGAGTTAATCATCCATTTCATTTAACTAATATTTTAACTTTTAATTATCTTCTTCTAAATTTCTTAATGTCTATACTGTACTTTCTTTATCATTCTTCAAATTATTAACAGCTTTACTAAATACCATTTTGTCAGTTTAATATGCTTATACTACTTATTCTGCATTTTAAGCTTTTAATTATAATTATTCATTTTATTAATATAATTACTAGACTTTTTCAACTAATTATTAATTTTCCTATTCTAATTAATTTAATATTTTTTTAAATTATTCTTAATTTTTTTCCTTCTCTTCTTCAATACTAGATAATCTTTATTTGATCTAATTTAACTCATTTTTTTTATCAGATTTATTAGGGCTTTATTATTATGGTTGACTAGGCTTTTTCCTATAACGTGATAATTCTTTTCTTAAATTTGTTAATTCATCATTTAATTTTGTATTTTCTTCAGTTAACAAATCTAATTGTGTTTATGTTCTTTAAGCCTTTTATTATGTTTCTGAAATAAGATGTTCTTATGCTAATTTCTCAATATTTGTGCCTTAAATATCTAGTTTTGACTTCAATCTCAAAATCTCCTTTTCTCTATTTTCAATTTAAAATTCTAAATGCTTACATTTTTCTTCTAATAAAACTTTTTAATTATCATTTTCTCTTGAATCTTATTATACTTATAATAATCTATAAATGATAATCATAATATATATACTTCTTCTCTAAATCTTATATTTAATCAATTAATTTTAATGTTTTATCTGGTTAATTACTTGATGATAAATTATTTTCATTATTTTTTTTAAATAATTCTTCTTGTAATTTCTTTTCAGCATTATTTTTTTAACTTAATATAAATTTCCAATCATTTCTCTCACTTTCTAACATCCTTACTTATGATCTCCATTTATTTTCTTTAGTATCACATTCTTCCTTAATTTGAATCATAGTCATATGTAATTAATTATTTTCATTAACAATCCTTTAATTCTCCTTTTTTAAGGGTAATAATAATTATTCAAACTTAGCTGCATTAATTTTAGTCTATTTCTTATAAAATCAATATACTTCTTCCAATTATTTTTTTAATTATTGAAAACCTTCAGTTGT